AATACTAAGAATTAGAGCTACGAGAGCCTAGTTGCTTACCCTAAGAATTTATTAACGTACTAATTAATCGCTTACCCCTTAGCGCTGTATAAGACTACTAGCGGATCTAGTTAGCGGTAGAAAGATACTAGTACTAAGCTAAAGAGAGCTATTAAGAGCTCTGTATACGGGAGGACTTCTACAGAACTTCTACGTGCAGAAACCCCCCCCCTTTTTATAAATTACGAAAAATTAACAATCCTCTGCTCTGCTAGCAGAGCTAACTATCTCTCTGCCCCGCTAGCAGAATTAACAACCTGCTGCCCTGCTAGCAGCTAATACCCCTCTTGTTTCGAAAGCTAACAATTCTCTACACCGCTAGCAGAGCTAACAATTCTCTACACTGCTAGTAGAGCCGACAACTAGCTGCCCTGCTAGCAGCTAATACCCCTCTGTTTCGAAAAACCAACAATTCTCTGCCCCGCTAGCAGAGCCGACAACTAGCTGCCCTGCTAGCAGCTAATACCTCTCTGCTCTGCTAGCAGAGCTAACAACTAGCTGCCCTGCTAGCAGCTAATACCCCCCCCTCTCTTAAACGAAAAAGCATACCTGGATAAGCTAGAGCTCCTATTACAGTTAAATGCTTAGATTAAGGCATATAAGAGGGAGAAGATACTATAGAAGACGGCGGAGAATTTAAAGCCTATATAGGTAGGAGACTAGAGAGCCTTAGGGCTTAGGGACGAGCCCTCCCTATAAGGGGGGGTAATGTAACAGTCCGACTTAGCTCTAACTTAGTGCTTTAGCCTAACTCGGCTCCGCCTAAGTCACATAACCCTGCCTAGCGCCTTAGCATAGGCACCCTGTGTATATAGAGAGCTCTTAGAGCATCCTTCTACTCCTTACCTTTAGATAGCTAAATTTAACCTAATCTACTCTGCTAGCACCTCTTATTCTTACAGCTCGTGGAGACAGTGCTGCCTGCAGCCGACTTACCTAGCTAGGTGTTCTAGGGGCGCTTACAGCAGTAGAGACCGCGGACCTAGCTCTTACATTAATTATAAGAGTATTCTCTTTCTAAATTTACTTTCTTTTACGTAAATTATACTTCTTTTTCTATACGTTAGCTACTTAAAGCTAGGTAACTTTAGACTCTATAAGTACTAGCTAATATAGTATTAGCTTATTACCTTTCTTAAGCTAATTAAGTAACTTAATAATATAAGTTAGTAATAAATTAAGGTACTATATAATCTTTAATTAAATTAGAGTTAATTAGAACCTTACTTTAATAAGATTACTAGGTATTTTATACTTCTAGGTAGTAGTATTAGTAGTAGAGAGTATTAGCGTACGTAATTAAACTTTAAGCTTTAATACTACTAAATCTAGGTTAAATAAAACTAAGCTAGCACCTCTAAATTCTACTCTAATATTATTATTTATAATTAACGCGTAAAAAGCCGCGTAAAACGTAGGTAGAAACTTAATTTTTATAATATAGTTAATATAGCTACGTATTAGGTTCTTAACTTAGCGCCTATATACTATCTTTAATAGTAAGAAGTAGCTAACGTTAAGTAGCTATAAAAGGTATAATAAATATACTAGTATATAGAGAGCTATAATTTTATTCTTCTTATAGTACTACTAGAATTTAATAGAGCTATAGCTTTTATAGTTATCTAAAATTAGTAGATAATATATATCTATAACGCGATTCTTAGTATACGCGTTAAAGTACTTTAACTACGTAATACTAACTTTATTTATTATCTAGCTACTTTTAGAGATAGCTATAACCTAGTTACGTAATAGCTAGCTACCTTTATACTACGCTAAAAGGTAGTTCTTACCTATAATAATAAGAAATAGTAGAACCTATATATTATCTACTACTCTTACTATTATAATTACTAAAATCTACTTATAATTATCTAGTTAAAGGCTCTTTAGTTATAATTATCTATTAGAGCTAGTAACTACTATTTAAGGTAATATTATTTCTATTATAAAGCTAGATTCGTTAAAATTATACGTATCTTTATTAGTAATACTATACTTTACCTTTATATTATCTACTAGGTTAAACTACGTCTAAATAATTATAGAATCTTTTTACTTTACTCTTTAATAGTTATACTTATAATTAAGCTATATTTTAAGCTTAGAATAGCGTATAATAAAGCGGTTTAGCTAGATTTAACTAATAGCGTTCTTACCTTACTTAGTAAGTAGCTTATTAGCTATATCTTAAATAGTAGTAAGCTAAGAGATAAATTCTTATACGTCTAGGTTAAGTATATACTTAACTATTACCTACTCTTTATTCTTTATAAGTTTTATCTAATTAGGTATCTTTTCGCGTTATAGAGTAATTTTATTACGTTAATTATAGACTTTTTTCTATAGTACGTTATAGAGAGCTATAGCGCGCCGTAAGCTTAGCTCTAGATTCTATTAAATAGTCTAAAGCGTAAGCTATATCTAGAATTCGTCTAAAGTTAATTAGGCGTTTATAGAGAGCTTTATAATAGAGATAGTAGTATTTAGTAGAGGCTTAGTATTTTTAGAGCTTTTAATAATATAAGACTTTTAATAATAAAGTATATTATATATATAGACTATAATAGTTTTCTTAGTATTTTTATTTATTTCTTCTATATACTAGTTATAATTAGCTTATAGCTTATCTTATAACCTATCTCTCTATTACTTAAAGATAATAACCTTACTATTAAATAGTAATAGAGAGTCTAGAAACTTAATAGAAAATCTTATCTAGCTTTCTAAGTATTATTTAGTTACTAGTAGTATAGTAGGTATATACGTAGTTAAATAAGAATCTAGAATTAAGTTCTCTAGTAGTAATACGCTATTTTACGCGTATATAGTATCTAATTTATAAAGTATATTATATATTAAGTTAATAGAGTAGATAGTATTTAGCTTCTAGAGTAGAATTATAGTTACGCTTATAGCTATTAAATCTTTACTAAAGTAGTAGCTTTTTTCTACTATAAATTCTAATACTCTATATATATAGTATCTTCTTTAGTAAGTATATTAGTAGTAATCTAGTAATATATATAAATTTATTATTTAAGTACCTAGTATATAAGTAATTAGCTAACTAATTTATTAATAATTTTACTTAGCTTTTCTAGAAAAAGCTCTTAGAGCTTCTTTCTAGAGGTAGAAAGTATATAAGAGCTATCTACTACTAATAACCTAGATATTACTAAGCTTTAGTATAGCTATACTAGCTTTTATTTAAAGTTATTATTCTAATTCTTATTAGTTATTATATTATATTATTAAATAGATAATTTATAATAATAATATTAGTTTAAGTAACTAGCTAGTAGATTCTTTATCTAGAATTTAAGAATTATAAAAATAAAGAAGTACTATATAACTAGAGTCTTACTACTAGAGTTACTTTATAAAAGTTTATCTATAGTATTTAAGTAGTTTAACTTAGATATAGCTTCTTATTTAAAAAGTAGAAATATACTCTACTAGTAGAGTAGAGAATTATTAATTTTTAAAATAAGAGAAGAGTTTCTATACGTAGAAGTTCTATAGAAGTTCTTCTATACGTAGAGCTCTTATAGCTTTCTTTAGCTTACTACTAAAGATATCTTTTCTACTACTAACTAGATCTGCTAGTAGTCTTATATAGCGCTAAAGAGGTAAGTAATTAGAGCTCTTATAGCTTTAATTCTTAGAGTAAGTAACTAGGCTCTTATAGCTCTAATTCTTAGTATAGCTATTAGTAAACGCTTCTAATAAGACTACTTAGTTTAGCCTAATATTATACTACTATCTCTAGCTAAAAAAGTATTAACTTTTAGATAATATAAGAGCTAGGTTTATAGTTTCTACTACTATAAGCGTTTCTAAATACCTAGCTAGATAAGTTAGCTATAAGTAGTACTATCTCTATAAGCTATAAGAATAAAAGGTACTAGTAGAGTAGGTTAAGTTAAATTTAGCTATCTAAAGATAAGAAGTAGAGAAAAGACTCTAAAAGACTCTATATATAGAGGTACTAAGCGCTAAGACGCTAGGCTAGATTATATAATAAGATTACGTAACCTAAGATTATATAACTAGAGTAAATTTCTAAACTAGACTATTATATTCTACTATTTACTTCTCTAGCTCTAATATAATATTAAGAGTCTTCTAGAATAAAATAAAATTAATAAAACTAAGTTATATTATCTATATAGAAGAATTCTAGAATAGAAAGATAGATTAGATAAAGTAACTAAGTAATAGAAATTTAATAAGCTACTTAATAGCTATAATAACTATAGAGATTTATAATATCTTATTAAATAGAAATACTATAAGCTATTCTAGTAGCTAGAAACTAATCTTAGAAGCTAGAATAAAGTAATTCTAGCTTTCTATAGTATATATTCTAGAAAGCTAGAACTACTAATATAGGTAAAGAAGTTAGCTAGATTCTAATAATAGTAAGAGAAAAAAAAAAATTTCTAGAGTAATTTAGATTATTTAGAATAAATAGTAGAGTAGAAGAAAAGTATTATTATAGTACTAATATAAGTTTAGATCTAGACACTACTTATGTAAGTTTGTAACTAGCGTCTAGTACCTTAGTATCTATATAGATATTTTCTATAGTCTACTAAGCCTTCTACTTTTTATAGTATAATATAGTTAATTATCTTTATATTTACTTTATAATAGTATAATACGTTTACTTATAAAGTATATTAAGTTAGATAGCTTATCTAGATTTATCTTAAGTAGCTTAGAGTTAGAGAAATCTAAATAAGATAGCGGCTTTTTAGTAGAGACTTGGCAAAAGTGTGCAGCTCGCTTGTGTAAGCAGCTCGCTTGTAAAGTACGTTACCTCGCTACGTGATAAGAGTGCGGTTACGCGCTAACTACATTGAATGCTTAGTTATCGCATTGCCGTCACATCGCCACCTGGGCACGCAGAGGGGTTCCGATGCTCTCATGAGCTGCAACGCCTCTACTCCGATATGCGACAACAAGCGGATCCAACCACGGTTAACAAGATTGTATCGGCGTTGCACGCTACTGCCACCTCAATCACCGCCGTGCTCCTGCTGAAACACTCATCATGGCCGATCCTAGAACCCAGCCAAGCACCGGGCGATGCTCAACCGGACAAGGACAGAGAGCGGCCCCTGGATGATTCCCGGAACCCTCTCATCAGCGGTCGAAACTCGCTAGCCAGTACACTCACGGCATGGGAAACTGTGTATCTGCTCTACGACACGTGTTTCATGGTCTACGCGTCGCGTAAACGCAACAAATTGAACACCAACGCTGCCGGCTTGCGCCTCGTTGCGAAGGAGTCGCCGGTCATCCTCGCCCACCACATCCTTCTCGCATCCGCGTTTCTGGTGCTACAGTCCTACATCGTCGTTGGCAAGGAAAAAGGGCTATGGGTCATCACGGCGTTCATGTTGATGAACAGCAGCAATCCGTTGATGCACCTGCGGTGGTACATACGACAGCGAACGGGAAAGCCGAGCAACGCCATAGATGTGGCATTTCTAGCAACCTTTGCTGGCGCTAGGTTCGGGCTCGTAGCCTGGATCTTGACCAAATATGGGCAATACCATGGACTCGGCCCGGTGCAGGCCTACCGACTACTCAGGAAAGAATGCCGCATCGGGACTGCGATGCTGGTTGGTTTCAACGGCGCATGGTGGATCATGCTTGCCCTCAAGGTTGTGAACAGGAAACTCAAGAGATAGACACGAAGTCCCTACTTTTCGCTACGGACCAGTCGCACCATGACAGGTTTCGACGGCCTTTGCGTGGGCAGCTGCTTCATGTCTGCCGCCCAGTCTTCTGGCCTTATAGCATCATTCCGCTCCCATCCCAGCCATCCTCGAACTCCACGCGCAGTAATCTTTCCCTCAACACGCAGACCCATGCGAAGCCATGTTGTAGCCACAGACAACGCCATTCCACGCACCAGATTCTTACCTAGGCACGTCTTTGGGCCTGCGCCAAATGCCGTTCCCTCTGGCGTGCGTCCATCTTCATGATACCTGCTCGGGTCGAACCGATCCCACGTAGGGCCAACAGCCGCCGGATCGCGACCTCCGCCAACGAAATATAGCCAGCAATCCCATCCTTTGGGCACTAGCACATCCGCCTCCTCTGCTGGAGAAGAGATGACATTATTGCCTGTGGACCTTCTCATGATTCCTACGATAGGCGGGCTGAGCCTCTCGGTCTCCAGCAGGATCGATCGAAGTCGACCTGAACACCGCTCGATGTCGTTTTGGCTGAGTAATTCCTCTGCTGCTGTCTGTCCGCCTTCGCCTTTGCCTTCGTGCAGGTACAGGTTCAGACATAGCGCAGTCAACAGAGACGCCATGGCCTTGGTTGCAAGGCTACTCGTTATCAAGAGCGTGTGATTCGCCAAGTCCTCCAGCGCATTGCTATCCGGAGCTGAGAAAGGACACGCGCTCTTTTTCGATTCGAGATGATCTAGAATCAACCCCTGTAGTTTCTTTTTTGCGTCAACACCCTTCCTCCGCGGTGAAGACCAGAAGCCAGCATTGATGCTGACTGGAAACACGGAAAACTGACCACGCAGAAGATCTTCTTGCAGGCTTGCGATGGTCGTAAAGAGTGGGTCGCTGAAGTCCAGACGGAGGAATACGCCGAGAAGGATCTTCCATGACAGTGTCTTCATGCACTCATATATGTCCACCTCAGAGCCGAAGAGCGCGGCCTCGAAATGATGTTTTGTGAGCTCTTGGACCAAAGAGACGGAATCGGCTCGGAGCGCGCTGATTTTGGCTTCCCATATATTCCGCATGTGTCGATGTTGCGCTCCGTCCGTCAGTAACAGATTTGGCGACGGAAAGAAAGGCGCCATCAACTCGTTGTACGCACCGCATGCTTCGTACTGAGAGCTCTCGTCCCGCAGGACTTGGCTGATTTGCGCGTGCGACGAGACGACGGCAACATCACGATTGAGCACCTTAGCCCGTATCACGGTCCGAGATGCTACGAGTTGCGGGTGTTCCTTGTGGAAGTCGAGGATTCGCGAAGTAATGAACGATTCGGGAGAGGCATGGAACGAAAATGTCTCGGAGAGGCCGCGCAGTGTGGATGATGTACCGAGCGGGAGCTGAGGGTCTGGCTTCGGCATATTAGAGCCTTCCTCTATGTCCAGGGGAGCGGTCTGCTGCGAGGGGTGGACATGCCGCCCGTCTATCTTGACGGAGGCTACGGGGTAGCGGGGTAGCGGGGTTTGGGTGGCTTATGTCACCACTACGCCCAGCCCGATCATCGCACAGGCGGGGCGAATCGTAACGGAAACCATATCGGGGGTTCTCTTGACAACCATAGAAACGGTTTCTCTCTCCAATGGCTCCTGGGGAAGACAAGCACCCGGTACAAGATGAGACTCTCGACGACGCACAACTTCATGCCCAGGAGTCAACGAACGATGGGTTGCGCAAAGGGACACCGGTAATCCACATCATTTACAGCTACGTGTGCATCCTCCTCCTCTTCGTCAACTATTTCCTCGCCCAGTACGACAAGTTCATCCTTTCGTACTTTCAGTCCTCAGTACTAGCCTCGCTCTCTTTAACTTCAACTCAATATGGCCTCCTGTCCGGGTACGCGACGGGCATCGTCTATGCAATCCTCGCCCTCCCTATTGCCTTCTTCTCCGACTACACGTGCGCTCGCATCTGGATACTCTCCGTTACCGGTGCATGGTGGAGCCTGTGCGTCATTTTCCAGTCCCTCTCACACAACTTCTCCCAGATATTCTGCGCACGACTAGGCATGGGACTCGGACAGGCGAGCGTAGAAGCCCTATCTGTGAGCCTCATCAGCGATCTTGTGGGGTGGAGGAACGTGTTCATTGGCGAAAGCGTGTTCTACGTTGGGGTCTATATTGGCGAAGCGATTAGCGGCCAAATCGCTACGGCATTCACGGAGACTGGGACGAGCTGGAGAATCGCTTTAAGGGCCATTGGGATTACAGGGTGCGTGATCGCGGTGTTGCTGAGACTCGTCCTAAGGGAGCCGGAGAGGAGGGCGAGCCTAGTGCAGCCCGACATGGAAGGGGTAGAGGAGTCAGGACCACGAAGTAGCCCACACGCGGACCTTACACTTGGCTCCAGCGGTATCCCGCACACCCGAGGCTCCAAACTCCGCGCGGCGAAAGCAGACTTCCACGCCACTCTCTCCTACGTCATCCGTATGCGCTCCTTCTGGCTCCTCGTCCTCTCAGCCGGATTTCGCCAACTCGCCGGCAACGTCTTCGGATATTACATGCCCAGCTACCTAGGAGATACATACCCGCACCATCCGGAGCTCTTCTCCCGCTACGGCATCATCGTCGGCGTCGTGGGATCCGTCACAGTGCTAAGCGGTGGCGCACTGACTTCGCTGCTGTGGCACCGAACCAAACTGACGCCTATATACCTTACGGCCGTCGGGGGCATGATCAGTAGTATTTTCGTGCTGCTCATGATTTTCAGCCGGGGCATCGCGGACGGGAGCCAAGATCGCGGGATCAAGATACTATACGGGGCGATGAGCATAGCGTACTTGACAGCGGAAGCGTGGCTCGGTGCTCTTTTCGCGCTGGTGGCGTTACTTTTACCGCCCGCGTACAAGACGTTCGGGCTCGCTATCTGGGGAAGCGTTCAAGTCCTTATATACTCATCTGGACCAGAAATCATTGGCCTGGCTCTACTGAAGGAAGAGACGGCGAGCGAGGCATATCGTAAGGCTACGCAGGTTTGCCTAGCATTCATAATCCCGGTGGGGTATTGGCTAGCTGGTGTTGGGTTCCTTCTGTCTGTACCGCTAGTGAAAAGGGACCTCCGTCATGAGTTTGTGAGCGGAGCTCTTTGTAGACGGAGGAGAAACGCGGTGTGGGCTTGCGCTGGTGTGCTTGCGGTAGTTGTTACCACGTTGTTTGTTGTTAGTCTGGTATATCAAACATAAGTCTGCGTGGCGGGTGACATAGATGGAGTTCTATTCGTAGATCCATGGGCTGCGTAGAGGGTCTGGTCGAAGGATGATGTTCTAATGCACCGTCACAGAGAGGCGTAAAGTTATTATAAGCTACCATAAGCTTGAGCACCTTGCTGCATTGGCATAGTAAGACGTATATCAATCATGTAAGCTAACTCCCGGTGCCTCGTGCATGCAGCATCATCATATTACTCACTGAAACGACCCTCGAGACTAGGCACGATCTTTTTCATTATAAGCATCAATTGTTATCAGGTACTTTCCCGCTTGTGGTACTTCGCCTTGTACTCCTCGATCAGTCCAAACAAATCTTCCGCAAAGCACGGTCTCACCAAATCCCTCAACCCTTTCCTTCCCCGATGACTTTCCAACCCTATTTCCTCCAATAAACAGTCCGTATAGGGCACCATATCAAACCAGAACCAATTTCCCAGCTGTCCCTTCCCCAGATACCGCTTCCGACACCACGCCACCGTCTCTGTAATCTCCCGCTCCATTGCATCCTCATCGGGTAAGCTTAGGGTCCCGTCAAACACGCTGACAGCCCAGAGGGCCTGTACTTCTGCAGTTCTGAAGTGGTTCCCTAGCATGATTTTCCCGAGGAAGAGGATCGAGGGATCGGAGACGGGGAGCATGGCTTTGTAGAGGCGGAGTGGGGTTAGGGTGGCTGGAGTGCTGTGATACGTGGGTGGGTGTGCGAGGACGGGAAACCGCCTGAGGATGTGTGCTTCAGCGCGGGTATCTAGGGCGGCACAGTGCAAAGCTTCTTGAGCTGATTGCAGGGACTGGGATACGGGAAGCCCGAGGTCGTGGGCTGTAGCGTCATTGAGATGGGCATACGAGCTTCTAATGTCCCATCCTGTGCCGCAAAGCAGGACATCCGCGGGGACGAAAGTGCCGTTTCCGTCCGCGAGATGAATGCCGCGCTCGCAAACGCGGTCAATGTCCGAACGATAGACGGTCACGCGATCCGCGATCGTGGAGAAGAAGTCCGGCCGCTGGTTTATCCCACTGCTGTCGTTTTGCCAGAAGATTTCCGTGTCGGGTTGCAGATTATGGAAACCCCGGTCTTCACTTTCGCCCCAAGCGTCTCCTTTACCCTGACGGCCCGAATAATCGGCCCCCTTCCACGCGCGCGCCGTGACGCGCTTCCAGATCCACGAAAAGAAAAGCATTCCCATGCTCGTCTTATATAGGAGCCACTCCACGAAACCTGCCAACGACCACTCGCGCCTTCTAGCTCTCACAAATACGCTAGCGAGGAATAACGCAGTGAGCCGCGTGTAGAACGCCTCGTTCGAGTTCTTATATGAGCCTGAACCCTGAGCTAGAGCAAAGGATGCGGGACCGCTTCCACTTTTGCGGATAACCCACGATACAGTTTTCCCAACTTTTGCGGCTGCGTAAGCCATGTCTGCTGCGGACTTGGCGCCCCCAATTACGATGACATTGTGGTTCGCGGAGTCGTGGAGAACATGGGATTGTGCGATGTCCTTCTGATGCACGAGTTCGCCGGAGAAGGTCTCTAGACCGGGCAGTGAGGGCATGTAAGGAGAGGAAGTTAGACCGGTAGCGTCGATAACTTTCTGGGCTGTCGCTGTGTAATTGCGCGCTTCCTCTTCGTCCCTCAAAGACTTGTTATGCACGAAGATGTGGGCGCGCCACTCGCATGTTCCTCCTTTCTTCTCTAACCTCGTCACCCTGCTATCGAGGCGAATCCGCGAGGAAAGCTTCCTTCCAGCGAACTCGCGCGACTCCACGTACGACTCCAAATAGCTGGCGACGTATTTCGCGGGGAAGAACCCATAGTAGGAGTCGAGTTCCGGGACGGGCGGAAGGCGTTGGTCCGAGAACTCGGCCATTCCCACGGGCGTTTGCGTCCAAAAGGCATCGTAGACTCGGTCTATGACGGATGTTAGCAGGAGGCAGTAGCGGTAAGGTGGAGAGCTTTTGAACGAACCTTTACTCCAGACGCCGCCGATGGTCGAGCTGCCTTCGAAGACGACGACGTTGGAGCTTGGGTGCACTGCAAGATATGTCCTTGCTGCTTGGATGCCATACAATCCTGTAAGCGTCAGGGGTTGGGTTTATCTCTAAGCCTGGCTGGTCGAACCCCCTACCCGCGCCGATGATGATGACGTCAAAGCTTTCTAGTCCCTTTTCCATATCCCCAGAATCTCCCGAACAGCAGGGCGAGTGCTCTGTCTAGTCAACCGGTGAGATCATCCATAGCATAGAGATAGCTTTTGAAGTGCGAGCTGCCAAGGCGGGTTTCTGTGCATCTGATGTCACAACCGTCTTTCTCACCTGAGGGCCGTGCGCCGCACCCCGCCATATCTGGCCGGCGTCCCCTCAATTCCACGCCTAACACTATACCATGGCGGCCAGCACACTATACGTTCTGTACAACGCCGATGCGTCGGTAATGGGCAAGCTGAAATACGGCTATCGGAAGATATGCAAATCGTCGGAGAAGAACCCGGCTTGTGCCGCGTGTAAGATGTCACCACATTTGTGCTTGATCGCAATATTTCAATAGGCTAACTCTGCAAATAGGTGATATTACCCACGGCGGGTTGTCGTTGAATGAGACGCCAGCATGGGTAGATGCGAAGAAGGCGATCGAGGCAGAATCAGAGTGCAAGGTCGTCCAGTGGCACAGGGATGAGTTGTCGTCTGATGTACGTATTCCGGGTTGCATGATGATGGTGGACCCGTTTCAAAACTGACCTCTGCAGATGAAGGGATTCGTCGCTTCGGCAAACCTGCGATACCCGGCTGTGGTGGCCGACAAGGCTGAGGGCGGGTTCGTGGAAGTGATGAGTAGCTCGGAACTTGCGGCCTGCAAAGGGGACGCGCAGAAGATGGTTGAAGGACTGCGGGAGAAGGGATACATGCAGCAGAAGCAGGCTTCCCTGTAACACGGTTCCAATCCCGATTGGAACGCTGCTACGAAAGCGCTTTGGCAAGCCAGCTTGTTCTTTGAGCGATGCCCACACAGACAAGGAAAGCCATGCACCATGACAGCTGCGGAAGATAGCGTGGGCACGTAAGCATGGCTGTGAAGAACAGTGCGCTTTCTGTCCCTTCGATGAGTGCAGGCTTCATAGCTATGCTGGTCAGTTCCTTGACCTTCGGTTCGTCTCCACCGGCCTTTTGCTTTTCCACCACGGCAGCCACGAAGAACAAGACAAAGTTGTTGACGTGGAAAGACGCCTCCAGCACAGCCACGGGGAGCCAGAGGCTGAGGTCAGAGTGATGGATGGACAGAGCGCAGGCTATAGGGATGGCAGAGTAGACGATGAAGTCGCCGAGGAGATCGAGAAAGCCGCCCAGGTCGGAGGATTGGTGGCGATGACGCGCGACGGCACCGTCAAGGCAATCGAGTGCTCTATTTAGGATCCAGAAAGCGGTGCTCAGCAGGGGAATTCCGGAGGCGGAATGGAGACATGCCTGGATGCCGCAGAGGAAGGCGAGGAGAGTGATGTGGGCCGGGGTGATGAAGGAAGGGACCATGGGCGTGATGGAGTCGAAGAGTGCGTCTTTCAACGGACGGAGATGGATATCCAGCATGGTTATTGCCGTTGAAGGCGCAGTGCGGGTGCAGGTGTAGTGCAGGTACAGGTGCATGTATATCGCAGTATGACTGCATGGGTTGCTGTCTGGTCTATGACGCAATGAGGCTAGCGGCGGCTTCGTATCATCACTACGTACCTGCGTACTCAAGGCAAGCAATGCACGCATGGATTCTTCGCAATTCAGTACTTTAGCTGAGCAAATGATGCCTCAGCACGGTAATACGCTCGCATTCAGGATTCGCGTCGTTGCCGGCACGCTCTTCGCCTCGGCGGTCCTCGTCCCCGCCGCGTACCAGCCGCTCCTCACTGGCGTCTGGAGCTGGCTCGAGCAGAACACGGTCTACCGGCTGTCGACGTTTGAGACGCTGTGGACCGTCTTCCTGTACGCCGCCATCGAGGTGCCGCTTACCGTCGTCTTTCTGCGCCGTCCGGAATGGCGCTTCGCGGTGCAAGAGAGCGCCCCGGCCTGCAGCAAGCGGCGACCACCGGGCATGCGCCGGCCCTCGCGACGGCTGCGCGAGATGGCCGTCTACGTCGCGCCCCTGCTGCTGCTCGATCTCACGCTGATCAAGAAGTTCGCCGACGTGCCGCTGGAGCGCATGCTCGAGTCCGGCAACTACCACGTCCCCGCCCACCGCCACCGCGCAACCTTCCTCGCCCCGACGCTGCACAACATGACGGCCTCGTCCCCTCTGCAGACCCGGGGCGCCCTGCCCTCGCTGCCGCCCACCAGCCGCCGCGTCGCCCTCGAGCTCGCCGCCAGCCTCGTCATCTACGACGCCCTCTTCTTCCTCTTCCACTGTGCCCTCCACCTTCTGCCCGGCCTCAGGCGCTGGCACGCTCCCCACCACCGTCACGCCGAGATCCATCCCCAGGTCACAAACCAGCTGCACGTCGTCGAGCGCCTCGGGCTGGTGCTGCTGGCCAACTTCAGCCTGAACATCATTGGCAGCCATGTCTTCACCAGGACCCTGTTTGTGCCCATCTTCGTGTGGCTGCTCGTCGAGATACACTCAGGCTTGGATCTGCCATGGGGATATGAGAAAATACTACCCAGGGGATGGGGCGGAGGTGCCAGGAAGCACATGCTGCATCACGCGGGAGGGGATCAGGGCTACGAGCCGTATTTTACATTGTGGGATGGGTTGCTGCATCGGATCGCGTATTCCGCTTCGAAGACTTGAAGGCTGTTGTTAGACACTCGCTGCTCGCGGCGTCGAAATGCTGTTCCCTACCGCCGGCCGCCTTGTCCAGCGGGTATCAAATGGGTATCTCGATTTGAGAATATTCTAGAATCATGGGGCACCATAATGGCGGCTTTGGAGATGCGAAGTTACGACAAGCATGACGATACGATAGTCATTACCCGGCTTTCCTAGGCGAGGGGCTAAAGGCCGTCTAGGAAGTCTGAAACTCGTCGCCGCCTTTGCTCGGAGTTTCGCCGATAATTGGGAATGGGGTCATTCCGGCGCGCATTATGGGATTCAGAGTGTCAATCGCACGACGCAGGAGGGGGGGGGGATATAGGGACAGCTTTATGAGCTGGTAAACTTGATGGAGAGTACGAAGCAGCGGTAGCACATGACTACTCATGCCAGAATGCCGCATGAGTATTCCTCATCCTAAGTGCACGAGGAAACGGAGCCAAAGCCTTCATCTTCTCGCCAACCAAGGGAAAAAAAGAAAGAAAGAGGAAATATCGCGTTACGCCACAACCACCCGGGCATCTCCTCAGTCCCATTCATCCTCGTGCACGGCATCGTAGTTGTCTTCTACCCAGAGCATTGCCCTTTTTTTGCCTTTCCCCTCTGCGCTGGGATTATGGTTGGGATCGTACTTGAACAGGCATCGTCCCTTGGGTAAATCTCCCAGATTCTCTTTATCCACTCGCCCGTAAGTGATCTCTTCCCATTTGCTGTCGTCCTGCAGCTTTGGGAGGAACTCTCCTACCCTAGCCTTGATTTGGTCCCACTGATCTCTGTAGCCGTCCTCGGTACCATCGAAACTATCGCGCGGCCTTATCAGGTAGGCCTTGATATCCCCGTCTTCAATTTCCTGCCCATGTTTTCCAAGTCCCATTTGCTGATTCTTGGTAGATTTTGGCCATCCGTCGTTCAACGGTTCGAGGACCGTCATTTGGAATTGTTTTTCTTTCGTTCTTTTCCTCTTCTTAAGGATGTCGTCATCCGGATCGAACGAGACGTTTTCCCAGTAATGAGCGAAATAGAACCCGGTCCGACTAATGACGGCAAGCACCGTGCATCCCATCAATTCCCTGGCCATATAACTAAATTCGCCTTTGTACTCCGCATATGTACTTAGGATTGCGGTGTTGAAATCAGTTGCCCCGCCCTTATCACGCCGCTCCCAGATAATGGGGAAGCCTCTCGTCCTACCCTCCTCGTCATCGCCCGTTTCGTGCAGTATGAATGCCTCCATGGCTTCACTATCTGCAGGCAGTATCATCCGTCTCCATAGCGTTCCATTGCTTACGGAATCCCCGTCGAGATCCCGTTTCTGATCATCACCATCGTACACTGGTGGACTGCATTTCTCGCGTGGTGCTCGAGGCGTGATCCGGTGTACGAGCTGCGCATGCGCATTGGAACCCAGCGAACTCTTATTGAGAGTGGCATCGACAAGTAGATCAGCTTGATGTGGAGTCTCTGGTCACGTATTAGTGACAGGCTATTAAGCACCGATAGACACGTACCTGGCACCACGCCACCGGATGCTCGCAAGAATACCAGGGGGAGGAGGGCGATTGTGGGCTTCATGGTTTCGGACAGAAGTGAGTGGGTGGGGTGGAACACTGACAAGAGGTAAAATGACCGACAGAGGTTGGTTGCGCTTATACTTATAGGCTTGTAGTCCAATACTAGATCTACATGCACCTGTTCGTCTACAGCATCCTTATTACTTACGAAGGAGGACGGCGAAAGCTCAGAACGAGGGCCACCATGCCGAAGCGGCGCATGAGTCCTTGCTTGAGGAAGGAGCATGCGCATTAGGGGCTCCACGTAACCAGATTGTTCGTTGCAACAGCGCCTTTGTTTCGGCAAGAGCCGACCCCAAGGCTGAGCAATTCTGCCTAGCGACGCCGTGCCGCATTTAAGATGATCTGGCTCCCGGCCACTTCTTCACAACACACTAAGACGATGGATATCCCCCAAGGACTTCGAGACATCATAAACGCCGGCGAGGTTGACGCATTCGAAGATAGGGCACAGACGCACTCCATTAGCCAGGAAGAACTGGACTCCGCCCTTATCCATGCCATGCCCAGAGCATCCCTCGGCATGGTTTCAGCTCTACTTTTCCGCGGCGCTCGACTGAAGGAATTATCCTTCCAATATGCAATCAAACGAGGCGATCCTGCCCTCCTTCAAATCCTCCTCGACCATGGCTGGGACATCAACTCGACAAAGTTTGGGGTCCCAGCGGTCTCGTGAGTCCGGACGATGTGGCACGAAATGATTTGCTAATCGGAACGTAGGAAGGCACTTGACAAGAGGGAGCTGCTGAAGTGGCTTTTGGATCATGGTGCAAATCCGAACACCCGCTCAGTGCGGCTCCGCGGATCGGCGGCGAATGAGCTCACACCGCTGGCAGCGGCCACGTTGATGATCGAAACATTTGGTCTTGAGATGCTGCTTGCACACGGCGCGGAAATGGACCACACAGCTCTATTCGCGGCCATGTCGACCAGCTACGACCAATCAATTCGCGTTGCGCACATGACAATACTGATCGATCATGGCGCTGATGTCAACTACCGGACCGCAAATTGGGGGACACCTTTGCATTACGCGGTTCGAAGGAATAGGAGGGAGGAGTTACGATTCCTGTTAGAACGAGGCGCAGATCGCACGATTCGTAATCTTCTTGGACGAACCCCAGCGGAACTGGCACTGGATCGGGGCAAGCTGGATCTGTTTGCGATCTTAGAAGGAGACCGTATTTCTTAAGGATGGGGCATGTTTTGTCAAGATGCTATAAGCCCGAAGGGCCCACCTTGGCGGTGAATCCAGAATATATGTTATGACTCTCGAGGACATCGGGCTACATTTGAAAAGCAAATGCTATCTCCAGTGCAGCGTGGCGTCCTTGGAACTGCTGTTTGGATACGCCGCGCCGCGTCCGGCTGATTCGCCTGCCCAGATGTGGCGTCGCCGGCTTTTACGTATTGGGTGGGGCACTGCTCTAACCAAGCCCAAGTCACGGTGAACCTAGCGGATCAGGTGTAATACATCCCTCTGCGATGGATTGCATTGGCCTCGGGAGGAATATATGCGCCGGTCAAGAGGCCACGTCTCCGGGTCGGAGTGGAGCTCGCAGGAAGTGCAGGATGTCATAGGAAGAGGCGAACCTCCGGCCAACAGCGTTGAACAGACACATACCGCTCTCTATCCTGGAGGAATCCAGGCGGAAGAGGCGATTATACCAGAAGAGAACACGTATGATAACGAAATTCCACGTCTCTTGGATTTGGGAGGCGTATTTAGTTGAACGTTTCTACCGCACTCGGGAGCACAACTGTCTCGAGCTCTTACCGAAGCGGTCTTCTTGCCTTTCCCCAGCCCTCTTTTTGGTATTTTCCGTCTCGCCACTCGTATCACTGCTGTTACAATGCTTCGACTCCTCACTCTATCGACACTTAGTGCTATGGCAGCCCTTTCCGTAGCTGATGTCTCAACAATAACCCTTGGAGATGTCAGCCGGTATTCCGCGTCACTAGTAAGATCAGGCATTATTGATGAATGATCATTCGCTGACCACGCCCAGATGGCAACGCCTACATTGACTGGACCGAAGATGTTGTTCACGGACTCGGCGTCTCCGAACAACGGCATTGACATAATCCTTTCTGAAGAATTGCAAGCAAGCGTCGGGGAAGCTCTAGAGATCAATTGTCAGAACGTCGGCAATCAATGCATTCAGAGCGTCAACGATGTCCTCCTCAGCCCAAAGACCGATTTGGAGTCACGGAGTCTCAGTCCCGCAGAAGCGGGCGGCACCGCACTGGCCATCCTCGTTGGACTCATGATATCTCTGTGGAAAGAGGAACGACCTCAGCCAATGCCAGCGGCCTGGCACGCGCCTATAGCCGAGATAGATCAAGCAGAATCTGCTTTGAGCGCCTCAACGATCGCCGCCCTCACAAGCTCAACCCAACCTTTCGTTACCATTACACCTAAGCCGCATACTACTATTATCACAGGGTATGTCCATTACCCCTTCATCTAAGGCTGCCATGCTGTATATTTACTGATCTGTCACAGCCCCCAAACGCCTGCGGTTACGACTTTCACTGACTCGACCAATGGCCATTCACCGGGAGATGTCGTTATATACCTCTCCGAAGAACTAGCTGCCCGTACAACCGAGTTGATTCAAAGAATCGGCCGATGCCCAGCTGGAGACGTGTTTGACAGCAACTTGAGGCTTCGCAAGCGCCTTGATGATCTCGGCGGTGTGATATGTGGAGCGCAGGCCATCATCCTCAACGCTGAGAACGCTCTGGCGGATTTGCTAGTGCTCCAACTAAATCTTCTCCTTTTCACTGCAGAAGATGCTGCGCGTGCAATGGCAATTGCCATCCAGTTTGCTCGCGACATGGCTCCAGCGCTGGGTGTCAATGCGGCGAGTGCGAGTGCGCTTGGGACTGCGGCGTTCGGCTTAGCTTGGATAGTAAAGATGAATAACCAGGCTTTGGGCACGGAAAACGTAATCCCTGGGAACCAACTCAAGGGAACCATGGCACCAACTGTTGGACCCACAACTGCTATACGCACCACTGCCTCCACAACCGCACCTAGAACCACGAGCTCTACTTCATCTTCATCTTCGTCAAGCCTTGTCGGGTGTCTGGCTGACTGTACTATGGTTGGTGCGATCAAACGTTGTCAAACTCAATGTCCTACACCGGCGTCAGGGGCGCCCCCGAAGGGGACCAACTACGAAGTCAAGACAACCACCATCCGCCCATGGCACCCCCTCCCTTATTCTCAGCAATTTCCAATGAAGGACCCAGTCGCGGCATGTGCTCCAGGGGAGGACACCGCCTTCCCTCAACGGCTTTTTGTGGAATCCTACGCCAAGTTCTGCCTGGAAGCCGACAAGTCTTTCGATGAATTACGATGGATGGTGAATGCAACCGGTGAGCAGGATACTGGGCAGGCGCATCCATTCCTGAAAAGGGATCCACCTCCCACTGCCGAACAATACAGCGGATATAACATCACTTTGTGGTGGAAACCCGCAAGTGATTCAGAGTTCATATGTTCTAAGTCCTGCAAAGATGCTTTCAACCAGCTGGCCTACTCGGAATGTGGCAGAAGGGGCGACGAGCAAGACACAATGGCTGGTACTGGTGGGATTGACGTTGGCTGCGGCTCCTACTCGTACTCCATCTTCAGCCCTAGTCGAGAACCGTCAATAACATGTCGAAACCATCCTCTATCTGCACCACAGTACGATAGCGATGCCGATGGCGGCCCGAGCGTGGGATCCGCCATCAATCAATGGTGCGGCGACAACCACGGGAAGCGACCAGATACAGAAAATATCTACTGGCGGTGGGGCATTACGCAACTTGGCGTTCCCAATAGAAGCTCATTTTGGTTGCGAGCGACGGCAAATAGCTGCGACAGACCGGAATCGATTGTCAAGGATGAATGTGTCAAATCGCTCACGGATGGCATGACGCAGTGCGACCCAGAGAGCGTAGTGACACATGGACTCACGGCTTCGATAGGTTGTCTCGTCTATGATCTCGACCTTAGTGGCGTTACTCGGGGCGAGTCTCCCCCTTGGGATGAGAAGCCCGCTTTTCCAGCGCCAGAGTTTGCGCCTGGAAAAGGTCTGGGAGGAGCGGCTAACAAGCCATTGTGCTACGATCCGTCGATACAAAAGGGCCAAAAGATCTTCGAAGACGATCTGAATAAGGCCATAGATGCATTCTGCATCGAAGGAAAGAAGATTGAGGGCTTTGGCGAGGATTGGGAGCATATGTTTCGGTATCCACCCGACGAACAAGATTCGTTCTACCAAGAAGGGCGGCCTATGCACCTCAACTTGGGAGCCGAGAACAAACAAAACGGTGGGCCAGACCTTTATGACAACATGGACTGGTGCAAGTATGTCCCCTGACTTCATCATTCTTGCGAGTGAGTCGGACGGCTAATACAGATTCTAGAGGTTATGACTGGAAAATGGGCAAGGACGACTGTAAATATGGCTTCCGAAGGCTCCTCCACGACTGCAACAATGTGCCGGACAAATTCATAGGCGGTGACTATATTTACCGATGTGTGAAGTATAACATATTCCATGCGAACGGCTAGAAGCTGTTGGAGATCACGATGGACTGAGATGATTGAGATGTAGGATTAAAGGCCCCGCGGGTTGTGACGTGAAAGATGTGGTTACAGTATCTCGTACCTGCATTTTAAAACCGCGTGCGTCAGCGTCAGAAGACTATCATTGGTACATGTCGTAGTTCCACCAGTCCCCATCTGTTCCATACTCCAGCTTTTAAATCGCTTCAAAGCCCTACTTGCTTTGCAGACCATACCATCAAAGAGACGTCATCGCAGGGTGGCTGAAGAGTCGACCCCAATACGTCTCAGACCTCCTGAACTCTTTCAAAATACCTGCCAAGCTTAAGCTGAGGACCCGATAACGTAGCGCTTGACGCATTGCAAGCCAGAGAAAATCGCTAAAATCTGGTCTGGAACTCTTGTATACGTCTAAAAGCGGGATCTTGATCCTCCTTCTCGGATGGAAAGTTGGTAGAGTCTCAAAATAATCCGGTGTCGTCCTGAGGAGCATGAAGTTCCTAGTCACGTACCGCACGTGGTGAATTTTGGTGCGCATCCAGCGATTCGCGAGGTAGCCCTGACGGTCATAGAAGTTGACGAGCGTCTCAGACTTGTCACGTGGTAGCCAGCTTGCTGCAATCAGGGAGTACGTCGGCGTATACCTGATCGCGTAGCTCGAGAGGTAGGCTTAAGAAGGTGCTCTTTCGGATCCGGTAACCGTTTCGGACTCCGTGTCGAGCTTTTTTTGCACTCTTGCATCGTGCCTTTCCACCATAATGATCCTGCGGACACGCCACTTGTAAGGGCTTCAGTATGTGGGTCTTGGAAGTTGATGGGTTTAGTGGTCGAATGCTCAAGGCCTTGGGGGAGGGCTTGAGCTTGTCCGTAAACGGCTAGCGCGCTCAACCTGTGCAGCCGCGAAAACTGCAACGTTCATCCCCCTCAATTACCCGTTAACTCTTTTCTTTTGCATCCGTGGACGCCTCTTTTGCTCTATGACAGCGTATTGCATACTGCTTCGCAATGCTGCAGCGTTTCAAGTAATAGTAAGACCGCGCGAAAGGGGTTTAGCGTCCTCTTCCCCGCCAGGTCGTATTTCAAGACACTGGTCCCTCTTCTGATTGATACGATAAGAGTTAGTGATCGTACTCTACTTCCATATTCCAAGGACCCGCACAAGTTAAAGCGTTACAGAGGCACTTTTGCTTACCTAGGCTATTAGGTACGCAGTGGGCACATCCGCAGCCTAGTTCAAGTTCCGTATCAATAGCCTTTCCTCCCTTACGGATAGTCTACGAGCTTCAAGTTCTAAGTGACTTATCGCGACAACGAATTGATTCTCACCATGGCTGCACCTTTCATCCGCCCCTACGACTCCACCCGAGATTGGAACAACGGGCTCCACATCGTACGTCCCTGTTCCTCCCTTTATTCCCTCCGCCCCTCTCACCAACGCCTCCCTCCAGTTCTTCGCCACAATCGACATGGGCGTAAACTGGGAGCCTGCCCGAACAATCGGCTCCTACCTTTGGTACAAAGCCTACGTCTCGCTCACGCCCAGTACGTGCTTCATTCTCGACGACGGCGCCGGCTGTGCCGTAGGATACATCATCGGGACGCCCGACACAGCCTCCTTTTCACAGCGCTGGCGCTCAGTCTTCACGCCAATCGTGGATCCAAAACTCGTTCCCAAACCGGAGTTGCAAACCAACGACGCGCTGATGGAGCGCGAGGACGTCAAAGGGTTTAGGCGAGCCGTGTATGAGGGTGAGTGTAGTATGATCCAGGGGAAGCCGGAGGTGTTGGGGAGGTTTCCGGCGCATTTTCACGTTGATATCTTGCCGGAGTGGCAGGGTAGGGGGTGGGGTGGGTTGATGGTGGATAGATTTTGCCAGCATGTTAAGGGGACGGGTGTTAATGGCGTACATTTAGGGATGGTGAGGACGAATGACGGAGCGAGAAGATTCTATGGGCGATTGGGATTCCAGCTGTGCGATGAGGTGTTGGATGGGGGTGCGAGTGGAGAGCGTGGCAGACATGGAGATGCGATTTGTTTGGTCAAAAGCATATGAGTTTTAAGAAGTGTTGGCGAAACGACGACCGGTTCCGTATCGAGTTTTCTGGTCTTGATCTATCCAAGGGGTGGAGCTTGTACTACGATGATGGCGGTTTGCGATGTAGCTCTGAGGTGCGACACTGCGTTTCCATGGGTTAGCAACTGCGACGTTCAACCACACTGTGTCCAGCGAACCTTTATATCTTATGTCGCCAGCGTTATTGGCACAAGAAGTTCAGCAACACGCCTCATGCGTGACGTTGCTTTTCTTTACGGAGACTATTTCATCCATGTGTTGTTGCTCTTTACATCTCCTGTTTCCCCTTACTGACAAAGAGTACAGGGAATCAATGAGGCCAGCACAGAAACTTCCTATACAAGGTGCTGGCAAAAACTCCCGCTGGTCCCTCACTAATGCATCTAAGCTATAAATTCCCATATGCCATGCAAGATTCCTGATATCCTCTTGCTCCTCATACGACTGAATTAGTACACGATTTTCCCATGATGGAGGATATCTCTCAAACCCCAGGGCTTCCTAGCCAGGCGCTTGCGGAAGACACTGCTACCATCAATCATAGAAGCAGGAGTGGCGCCCAGGCCACTATTGCCTATGGGAACGACTAGCAGGCCATGGAGGCCAGCAGCGGGAGGAGGGCCCCCCCGCAACTCCGACTTCCCCATTGTTCGATACGCAGAATGCCTCTTCTAAGAACGCGTGTTCTTCTATCTCATTCCGCTTGTGTATACAACGGACTGTATCCGTACGATGCTTTCGTATATCCCTTACTCCGACGAACACTCCTATCCACTTCTCATCGGATCAAAGAGGATGAACTCGCAGAGCTCGATCCTGAAACGCATCTCCCTCCCTATTCTTCGCACCTAGAGGATGAATCTACCGAATAAAACCGAGGAGGCGCTGGAAGCCACTTCCAACCCCCTTTTGTAGGGGAAGGCATGTTTCCGCGCCACTTCACTAAGGGTCATACAAGCCAAACCATAATGGACATGATCAGGGCGCTTAATGACAGGCTCTAGCATGCTGAGGATGTTATTCAGCCTCTAATCGCTGAAATCCAGGAGCAGGAAGCTAAGCTGCAGGACCAGGGCACGGGGATTCTACGCCAACTGAATCGCCATGCAGCTCTGGGGAACTTCTTCAATCCAGATCTGAACGACATCTTGGATTTTGTCTCTCAGCTGCGCCCGCACAAGTAAGTCTCCGGCAGAGCTCCCTCCAAAAGTAGCCGGGCTGACAATAATAGTAGCGGCGCCTCAAACAACCAGCAGCCACCCAACCAGCCGCTCCCCCGCTGGATGGAGCCCTACTTACCAACGCCCGAGATCCCAACGACAACAGGAGACGATGTTGGGTGGGCTGCCCACAAGGCAAGATTCTGCATCCGAGGGACAGATACTACAGGCGGTGGGTGTGCGATAAGCATGGGAATGAGGAGATATTCAATACTAATATGATGGCGAACCCAGGGAAGCCGGAGAGGAGTTGGGCTTGGACCTATGCTTGAATGGGTTGTCGATGGGGGTGGTGACAGGTAGGTAGCTGGCTGGAAGATCTTCGTTGTGGAAGTTTGTAGGTATTGGAATGTCTTAGACGACTTCGGTTGTAGTGTCTCAAACAGGTCTCATACTCTGATACAACTAGCTTGCCCCATCTATAAAATTAGTTCATAGCGGGGACTCTAACCCTCCCCTAACCACCGACCCCAGCCAGCCAACGAACCATGTGCCACATCCACACCACACTATCCTCTCCCTGCCCACCCTCTCACCACCACCATATATTAACATGTACCTTCCGCACCGGCTCGGACCTCAATGCTGCGCTCTCTTCGAGCACCACCTCTTGCACGAACCTAGAAGCACTTTTCTAAAAAGGCCATCTTACCCTTGCTCTCACCAAACATCACAGCAAAGCCCTAACTTCAGCTCTGCCTAGTTCTCCCCCAACTGTGGCAACTTCAACTTCGTCAATTCCGACCTCATCCGTTTTCATGGTGCAGTCCTTCGAGGAGAACAAGACCCAGAAAAAGCGCGCCAGGCTGGAGCAAGGCGAGCTTTCGGATTCATCAGGCTTTCGTACGGAGGACGCAGAAACGGGGCATAGGAGGCCGAAACGCGTACGACGCGCTCTGCGCTCCGTCAAACTGCTCGCACTTTACGAAAGGGCAAGAGAAAGCAGTGCTTCTACATGCCGCCAGACAAGCAAGCGAGTACGGAGAAGCGAATGGGACGGGCTGAGCGAAACGGAACCATGAGAGAATAGGAAGGTCTGCATGGCAGGGGAATTACCGTGGTCTCAATTTAGCTGGTATCTCATCTAGATAGATAATGCCACCTACTACGGCTTTCCCTCTTACACTATTAACAAGCGCCCGTCCATCCATGCATCCATTCACTCCTGATCCATCCCCACGAGCGCGCCTCAGACGGCAAGCTAAAAGAATGTGGGCCAAGCCGCCACGCCGCTCTCCTAGAATGCCAGAATGAACGAGCAAAGCGCCAGAAAAAAAAAAACGCTCAAAGGAAAACTTAAACTCCGGGGTATAGGATACTATCTCCTACCAGGAACCAACGCCGACGGAGGATACATGACCCTAGGATATGAAGAAATGCCAGACTGTGACGCGATGCTGCTGCAGACTGATATGTATAAAGAGGAAGGGTGGACTGGGGTTGGCAAACGGAGGTAGGCCAGACCGATCTAGAAGGGTATAGGAATGGGAAAAGCGAATATCTGAGAGCGACAACACAGTCAACCATCAACAAGCGTCGCACTCGTGAGATTATCGTCGCCATCGTGCAAGCGTTCGACGCCAATGCCATTTGTCGTCAGTCGCGTCTTATCCTCTCCAACGGGATTTCTCGTCCAAGCTGGACTTCCGCCCGCCCATCTGGCTGGTTCGCCCGTTGCCATAGGTAGTCATGCCAGATCTGCTCTTCCGGCCCTCGTCAATGCTTCCCAGTCTGCTGCTGCTGCGGTGTCCAGGCGTTGCCACGCTGGGTATGCTGGAGCCGCTAACGGTGCGTTGCTTGGGCGTTGGCAGCATGCTGCTACGGCGGCTGTTCATTGCGCTAGAAGGCCTCGTTGCTCGACGCGCGATCGGGCTCTCTTCGCTTTCATCTTCCTCCACGATCTGGACACGGCGAGTGGAGGCTGGTGTGCTCACTGAAACGGATGAGCCGGGCGTCGACTGCGTAAGCGCCTTTGCTCTAGCTGGAGTGGAGGGAGATTGCATCGGACTTGCTAAAGGACGTCTAGCCTTAGGTTGCTGAGCTGGTGTCGTGGACGAGGGTCGCCCACCTGGAGGTGGCGAGAGTGCAGTGGTACGAGCGAGGGGGCTACGAACGGGAATGGCGGAGTGGCTTGATACGCTCCTGAGCGATCTGACCGGGGTTGGAGGGACTTTGCGGTGCGGAGATGGTGTTGTTAGGGTAAGAGGCTTGAAGTTGTGTCCAACAACCGTATCGCGCATATTGGTGCTTCCGTTCCAGCGGGGCTTAGCAGAAGCCGTGTCAGAGCCAGGGGTCGATGAGCGGGCCGAACGCGTTGGGGTACTGGTCATTGCACGAGGAGGATTTGCAGAGGAAACCGTCTCTAAACGAGATGCTGTCAACGGTTTGCGAGACACAGTGCTGGTAGCTGTAGGTAGACTCGAGTATCGGCGATTAGCCGGAATAGACGGCTTGGAGCTCGAGGCGCTCGGTTGCCGTGCCTTCTTCCCCACAGGAGTGATGGTGCCATGATCACTGCTCTTGCGGCTTATGATAATGCTCGACGCTGGGGAACTGTTCGGCGTGTCGAGAGTTGAGCCGGCCAGTGACGCCTCGGTGCGAGCGGATAGTACTGTCGAGACGGAGTCGCGAAGTTTGCGAGTGGACGTAACCTCTTCTAGGAGTACATCCATTTCCTTGGTTTCTGTTTCGAGGTCTGACACCTTTTGCCGAACATCTTGCTGGATCCTAAGAATCTCGCCGTTGACCGTGGACCGGTGTTTCATCTCAATGTCAATCAATTCCAGCACACGCTTCATTGAGGGCGGGTAGTGCTCCCGCTTGTCCTTGTATGTGGAGATGCGCGAACTCAGCTTTTCATCGTCCCCTTCATCGATTGCTTGCCGCAATCGTTGTATGCTCTTCATCAGCGAGTCATACATGGCTATGGCCTTGCTGCCGGCTTGTCGGAAGCTGTGGACCCATTTGTCTTCACCGAGTTCTTCCCTCAAGGCATCTGCGTCTGCCTCGAGTTTCTTTTCCATCTTCTCAAGTTGATCTTTCCTTCTCATCAGCTCATCACACGCGGACGGGAACATGTTGCTTGCGCGGATATGGAAGGACGACAGTCGCATAGGAAGGAAGTCGAGGGAGGCACGTAGGGGCTGTAGTTTGGCGAAGAGGGCGAGTAGTCTAGAGTTCTCCTGCTCGATCTGAGGAATGGGCGAGACGGGCGACATGACGGAGAGCGCCGGGGGCATGCTGAAACGGTTGGACTGCAGTCTAGCTTGCTGGCGGGGGGTCTCTTCGACGATGGTCTCTAGCTCCGCAATGTCAAACTTTTCCGCGCTCTCGGCGACAGAGTCGCTGATAGCGCGGTGCCGTCTCTCCTCCATCTCGAACACGTGCCGGCTCAGGTTCTCGATTTCCAGACCGATCTCTCCTAGCACGATGTTCCACAGCTCTTCCCATTCCATGGCGATCTCCACCTGCGACTTGATGCCCTTCAGTGTCTGCTTGATCTTTGACCAACTGCCGACCACATCCTCCATCTGTGTAACGAGCGTTGTCAGGTCTCGGGTGGGGAGTGTCGCAATGTCCGGGCGCGCCTGCAGGTCCTCAATAGCAGTGATGTAAACATTGACCAGGCCCTCGAACTTGCCAATTGCAGCGTCGACCTCGGCCAGGCCCTCTCGTCCGGCAGCGGCAGCCCACTCGACGTCGTCCTCGGCATCGAGCCCGTTGAGGACCTCGGCGGCCTTGGCCATCCATAGCTTGATGCTGTTGGCGGCGCTGTGCAACGCCCGACCGGCGGCCGTCGAGGAGGGCAGGGCAGAGATTTCGGACGACAGCGACTCGGGAGGGGGCAGCTTGATGGAGGTCAGCTGCAGGATCTGGTTGGTGAAGCTGGCGCGCGAGAGGGTGTAGATGGAGTTGGCGCGCGAGAAGTGGCGGCGCTGGAAGTAGGCCTCGACGTCGATGGCATTGTCGGCATCCAGCACCGACACCTCTTCGGCGGGCGGCGTGTCCTTGGGCGGCGGGGTCGGGGGCCGGGCCAGCTCGGGCGTGGTGGTGGTGGTGGTGGTGGTAGTAGTGTCGCTCTCGGCGATGGTCTGGCTGAGGCTCTTCGTCTTGGTGAGGTCGGGCAGGCGGTACTTTTGCGTGTCCTCGCCCAGCGTGTCGCCGGCCTCGGAGTCGGAGGGCAGGACCTTGTCGCTCGTGCTCACGAAGCTGCTGCGGTCGCTCTCGAAGCCGGGCGGCGGGCTGTGGTCCATGGCCAGCGCCGGCACGCTCTCGCCGGTGAGCTGGGGAATCAGCGGCGTGGCGGCCTGGCTGGCGGTGCCGCTCCAGGCAGTGCCGCGGCGCTCGATGCGGACGGTGCGGTCGCGGTGGAAGTCGTCGAGCTCGCGGATCTTGCTCTCGGAGATGCGGCCAATCTGCGACGAGGCCGGATTGCGGCTGGTGTCCTGGTTCTGGTTCAGGAACTTCATGCGGGCCAGCAGGCCGGGCGAGACGTTGCGGGCGAGCTTGCGGCCGCTGTCGAGCGCGGTGCGTTCGGGGCGCGGCGGCGAGGTAGAGGAGGCGGCGGCGGCGGTGGTGCGTAGGGAGGCCGGCGAGGCGGGTGGTGCGAGCTGGAGCTGCTGGAGGACTGGCCGTGTCGACGAGGCAGGCGTGGAGGGCGCGCTCGCTGCGGGGGTCGGAGCCAACGGCGTCGCGAGCGGACCGTTCATCGGGACATTCTAGGTCGTGAGGGTGCGAGAGGCTCCAGGCAGAGTGTGCTCGGCGGTCTGCAGCGGTTGGGGGGTGAATGCACGATGTCGCGCCGCGTCGAGACTGCCCAGGTGTTCCGCGCCGGCTGGAGTTCACAGCAGAGGCGCGTCGCCTAAATTCTATCACACCGCGGCCGCTGGTATCAACAACAACAACAACAACAACAACAAAGCTAGCACGCTGCTGAGCAACAGGCAGAACAGAAAACGCCGTTATCGTCACTTGCAGGACCACGGCAGGCGAGGACACTCTGCTCGCAGCGCCGGGTCGTGCTGGCACCGCCGTTTCCCCCAGCTAGAACAGGTGGCGTCTCGCCAGTCAATGCGCTGTGCACCCGCGCCCCTGGAGAGATCAAACGGGAAATTGCCAGCCCATCCTGGCTTCCAGAAGGCTTTGTCATTCTGTCTCAAACGCCTGGGCAGCCCTGAACCCCGACCGTGGTGGACGTGATTGCAATCTGTATTGAGACTCGGTAGCTACAAAGGTACACCATCGTGCTATATAGGATGCAAATTGAGCCATGTCGAAGAAGAGGGGTATCTAGGTCGCCTGCCATGGCTGCCGACGAGGCCACAAAGGAAAGGGAATGCACTGATATGCTACGCTATCCAATCCAACCACCAAGGAAGAGAATCGTGAACTGTCGGATGCGTCGTGTACAAATTAGGCAAGGTGCTAGAGGGGGCTAACATGGACAGAGAAGAAAATACAAATGAGATGGTATCCCAGCCGTAGACCGGAGTCGGCTTGTTGAAGAAATTCTGACCTCCCAAGTAGTGAGCGCTCATCTAAGGCCGCACAATCCAAGTTACGAAGCTTCGTAGTTGGGGTCAATCTGAAGCGTCGGCGTCTTGGAAATATTCTTTGCTTCTCTCCACTCCTTGATGATCTCCTCTCGCACGCCCTGGCACCACTTCAACAGGGCCGCGTCGAATTTCCTCCACGCGGCAGCATCCGTGCCGTGGACAACGCCCATGACGTCGACGTCCAGCTTGATATCCCACCGTAGCTCGGCAGCCTTGGCCCAGAACCGCAGATTCTCAGCGCATCTGTACGGCTTCGCCGTATCGGTGTGGTATTGCTTGATCTCTTCGAACTGGCGCCGCGACTTCTTGACCAGCGCGTTGTGGAGGCAGACTAACCGCAGCCCGTTCTGCAGCGCTTTTAAAAACGGTGTTGGAAGCTCCGCCTTCTCCGGGTCCGTCCACTCGGGCAAAGCTTCAGCGCTGCCGTCGAACGACTTCAGAAACAGCAGCTCCCTCTCCCTCTCTTTGCCGGTCCAGTCGCCCTCTCGCCACGACCAGCTTTCTCTCTCCTCCTGCTCTAACCGCTCCTTCTCTTCCTCCGTGTCCAGGAGCTTGCCAATGCCCTCAACCCAGCTTTTGATGCTCGCTGTCTCGGACGGCTGCACCCCGTTTGCAAAGTTGCGTATCGCGAGCCGCTTGAGCACCTCAAGCACATCGAAGAGCTCTTTTCTTATCTCGCGTTCCGATTTGATGGCGTAGAGGCGCTGGGGTTCTTCGTGTGCCGTGTAGTAGTTCTTGGCAGCCCTGATGGCTAACGTGGCCACGTCCAGCAGGTTCAAGCCTTGAATCTGGTGCCAGCCTGGCGCGTCGGCCGACTGTCGGATTGCGTCAACGCTTACTGTACCATCCATGATGTCGCTGGTATGCTCTCCGGCCGTAGAATGGGTAAAGCTCTTCTCGAGCTCTCGCAAGTGCTTCGTAGCTTCCTCAAGTGATTCGCGCAGTTCGCGGCGGAGGATGGCCATATCGGGTGGCGGAGGGACGTATACGGGAGTGTTCTTGTACGTGCTGACAGTAGGCGGGAGCATCATCGGCTCGTTCTCCTCCCAGTTCATGGAGCCTGTCTCATCCACAGGTGACTCAACAAGCCCCTCTCCCAGCTGGTCTACGGCTCCGTCTGAGCTCGATATGGACAGCATGGACATGTCGCCTTCTACTTCAGAGAGTAGTCGCTCGGAGCCGCTGGCCGTCCGGGACCCCTTTCGGGACTTCGCAACGCGACCTGTGGCCGAGTCGAGGAGGCCGGTCCGGGCGAAGTAGTATTGTAGATGGGCGATAGTCCCGAGGTTCATTACGCTGTCCCTGTTCTTCGCAGATTGGGAGAACTGAGTCCCTTCCGGCCGCATGTATCCTCTCCTCCTGCCAGGTATACCACTATCCGAGAGCCGAGAGCTCGCGGAGCGGCCAGAGACCGACGACACCGATGAAGCCGTTGAGACGGATCGGTCGAGCTGCGGCACGGCGTTCAAGGCGAGCGACGGAGAGACCCAGGGCTCCGGCGAGGAAGCCCGCTCGGGCGGAGGGGAGGGCGTCGTGTCCATGGAGGGCCGATAGGGGCTGTCGTGCGAGCGAGAGGGAGAGCGCTGGTGCAGGTCAAGAGCGAACGGCGGGCTTCCGCTCAGCAAACGGGCTTCCGTTCACTGTCAGATCAAGCTGAGAGCTGCTTATCGCGGTCCATGGGGAGGCGTGGTGTTGTTGCTGAGGTGGCCTGCGGGCACAGGAGATTGGTGTATGTAATTACCCTAAGGGTTTCAGAAGCGACGCGAGCAAAACAACGCGCCTCATCCGCTAGTGCTCCCGGGCAAATCGCTTGCTCACCGGACAACACTGCGTCCTGCGTGCAGCGTGCACTCGGCAATATGGGCTTTCTGAAGGCGAGACCGCATCTGCCTCAGAGTGCATTATTCACTGCCTGCGTACGTGCACCGCGATGGCGCCGCTCAGGGTCGAGCCCCGCAGCCTCAGGTTAGCCAGGGGTCCGCTGCTTAGCGCGTTGCCGTGTGGCGCGGCGTAGGGCTGTCACGATGACGTCGCGGACCTGCGTCTTTGGGAGCCATGCATTCGTCGAGGTCCACAAGGGAACCTCGGGAGCCTTGAGTAGTTATTTGCAACCCGCCCACAGCGCAAGCCCCTAGTTCAATGAAGCGATTCTTCTCGAACACAGTGAGGATGGCCGCCAAGCGAGCATGTCCTGCTGTTCCTGCCTGCCACGGCAAAGCTAATATACGTAGATTTCCTACAAAATCGAGGGAGAGGTCCAGGGTGAGTGGCTCTGCCTGAAGGCCTCCAGCTGGCAATACTGACATGCGCAGGTGTCAACTTCAGGTATTGAGCATGCTCCAGCTCGTGCATGTGCCACTGCTTCGCGAACTGATGGATTGATTCAAGGCACTTCGCAAGCAAGCAAGCCAAGGAGGCCGGCGTAACTGGATACGTGACCAACGCGTCCGATGGCACGGTACGAGCTGTGGCGCCCAGATTGCGGCCGTAAGACTGACTCTAGCCAGGTCCAGGGCGAAGCCCAGGGGAGCCACGAGGCTATCAAGGAGTTCGTGCAGCATCTGAACAAGGGTCCACCGGCAGCCAACGTAACGGGCGTCGAGCATTCAGACGTCTCCACGCAGTCGGGGGAGAGCGGGTTCAACGTCAAGTGAGCGCTATGGCCTTGCGGAGGCGGCAACCATATGGTGGAGAGAGTTGCCTACCTGGGTAGCAGCGAAAGAAACATTTATCAAACTAGGTCATACCATGACTTCTGGATATTGAATTCCTCCGAGACGTGTTGAGATGTGAACAGAGCGAAGTATTCCAGGGCTAGCTCCGAGATATCTGCAGGCGCCGTAGAAAGCCGCTCGAGAGACGGCGATGTAGGATACGAAGGTGGGGGAAGCAGCGGACAAACTCTGTTTAGAGTTTTGTTTCATGGAGATATCTCATGATCCATTTCTCTCCGCAACTCTAGAAAGCGTCGTCGTCAGTGGCAGCCTTTCCGATATGGGATAGAGGAGTGAGGCTGAATTGACCTGAAGAAGTGAGATATGTACTGTACTATCTCAGACCGTCGAATCACCGCTAAAGGGGGTAAGGATCACCATTCTTGCCAGTCTGGCTGTCTTCTCTCAGATGTCGGAATCCGTGGGTATGGAGAAGGTGCAGAGGTCCAGCTCAGTCCATGCAGGTAGGGCCCACGTAAGCGTCTGAAACCTTCTCGCTCACACCACCGGGGCTCATCAAACGGCGTCGGCGACACGTTTGACGGTTACTACTCCAGGAAGTCCCATCGCCAGCCAGAGGCTACGGAAGGACCGACACGTTGGAATCGGCGACGTTGAGGGTGGGACTTTTCAGCCCTACGGTTATACAGAGGCGACCCAGGTGGTGGCGCGGCGTGGGGCGTGGGCGCACGAGTCACCGACGAACCGATCACCGAGAGCCCGACGAAGAACTTTCGGAGCGCCCAGGAGCGCAACAGGGGCGGCAACGCCGCCTCCACTCCACGCCGCTCTTCCTCTTCTCTCCTCTCAGCAGCAACAATAATGGGCGGCTCTGCGGACACGCTCAAAATACGGTTCCAAGGCTTTTTCTGCAACGCCCCGGTGCTTGTCGGGGCGGCTCTACAGCGACCTCGCGTAGGCATCCCGATCCGGTCGCGGATGCTTGGCATGCGGCACCCGGGACATTTTCGTCCAGCTGGCCTGCGCAGCCGCCTCAAAACTCTCCATGCACGAGACCCGCGCAGGCCTTTCTTTGGCGACTTTTGACAAATCCAGTACCTCGCAGTAGCCTCGTTTGGTAATCAATACGACACCGCCTTCATGGGAATTGCTCCCCTCTATCGCCGCTAGCGTCGCGGTAGGGCCTGAACACAACTCTAGCTCCCTGGATGACTGTGACAGGTCCCGAACGGTTCTCGATGCCAGGGAGAGTCATTCTTGTCGCCGACGACGCCCTTGGATCATATAAAGCCCCATTGTTGCCTCAGCTGCTTACCCTGCACTCACCTCCACAGACTCACTTCTTCCACTCCCAGTCTTGTCTGATACTGATATCGGCACTCTACTCTACTCCCAATGATCTCTACCAGAGCAGCATCGTGTGGCTCAATTGCTTCCAAGCGGGCATCTGCCCAGCTTATCAAGGCCTTCGGTGGCTCGAGCCTGTCTAGCGTTGGACTGCGGCCCAGCTTCGTCGTCGTCCACCAGCTCCAGTTGACCCCTCCCACTAGCCAGCGGCACTTCTCCACCTCTCCTGCCAGCTCGAAGATCACCGAATACTTCCCCGAGAAGGAGACGGCGAGGGTCCGCAGGACACCAGCAGCATGGCCGCACCCAGGTACGCCTTGCATAACAACGTCGTTGTCACGCACTAACACAACCACAGTGTACTCCGAGGACGAGATGGCGGCCGTGGTTGTGGCCCATCGAGATGCGAAGACAATGTCCGATAAGGTCGCGCTGGCCGCTGTAAAGGTCTTACGATGGGGCATGGACAAAGGTATCTTTCGCCCTTCTTTTTACGCCAGCGCATCCGCTAACCTGTACCCTCGCAGCTACCGGCTACAAGCATGAGAAGGCGGTGGCCCTGCACGCGAAGGACCCGGAAGCGGCGCAGAAGAAGTATGCCATGAACGAGGACAAGTACCTGATTCGCAACCTCTTCCTTGAGAGCGTCGCCGGCGTTCCTGGCATGGTTGCTGGCATGATCCGGCACCTGAACTCGATGCGGCGGATGAAGAGGGACAACGGATGGTGAGCATAGCAATGTTTTGCAAATCGTGAGCATTTGCTAACGCGAACAAGGATCGAGAGTTTGCTCGAGGAGAGCTATAACGAGCGAATGCACCTCCTCACTTTTATGAAGATGGCCGAACCGGGATGGTTCATGCGTCTCATGGTGCTCGGTGCTCAGGGCGTCTGGTGCAACGCACTGTTCTTCGCCTACCTCGTCAGTCCGCGTACCGTGCACCGCTTTGTCGGGTACCTTGAAGAAGAAGCTGTTATCACGTACACGCGACAGATCAAGGACCTCGACGCCGGTCGGCTACCGGTGTGGGAGAAGCTGCAGGCTCCGCAGATTGCTATTGACTACTGGCGAATGCCGGAAGGCCATCGAAACATGCGGGACCTGCTTCTGTACAGTACGTCTGCTCACCCTGTCCTTGGAATAGCTGCTGACGACAACAGTCCGCGCCGACGAGGCGAAGCACCGAGAGGTCAACCACACTCTGGGGAACCTCAACCAGAAAGAGGACCCCAACCCCTACACTAGCGTGTACAAGGACGACACGAAGCCCCATCCCTCCAAGGGCCTGCTGTTCCAGCGACCTACCGGCTGGGAACGCAGCGACATCATCTAAAAGTCCCCTCTTTCCTTTGGTGCTTTCGGAGCGGGAGCGCAATGCTCATTCTCCACTCTCTCGAGTTTTGCATCAGCACGGCGTTGGTCAGGCGTTGAAGCAGCTTTTTTTTTTCTCGCAAAATTTGATACCCGTTCTCGGTGGGATCCAAGGGTGAGAAGCAGAACGGGTAATGTACTTTGGTAGTACCTATAGACGTGGGCCCCCGAGGGCATGAGTCGGTGGCGGCGGATGGGATTTGTCCGTTGATTCACGCCGACTCCCTCGATCGATATCAGACATGTTACACAGCCTTTGGACCCCGCACCCAGTGCTTTGGAGCGGAAATTTGCGCGAGCGCGCAGGAGCTTCAGCGCAGCGTCTCAAGAACTACCGGACTGTTCGCTTGTAGCACCGTGGCGGCGCTTTGTGCGGATCTGGGAATAACAGCGGGTTGCAATACGGCGCCTCGTTCACGGCGGGCGAAGGACTCGGCTGCTGGGCTCCGCACGAGATGGGAGCCGCCGACTACGCGTGATATTTCGAATCCTACAAAGGAGAGCCGCCGCTGTTCATGGCGGAAAGGCGATAGCGGTACGAGAGCCCGTCTCCTCACCCCCGCACAAGCTCGCTTGCCCCACCCAACCCGCTAACGCCAGCCTCCCTCCAGATTCCCCTCAACTGCCTCTGCACCCCACATCCGATTCATCCACAGTACCTCTCGGTGCCGCTGCTTAAAATGGCCGACCAAGGCGGCACGCGGACAAGCAGCCTCCAAACGTCAGCGCCACTAACCCCGCAGCGCGCTAGGCCATAGCTTCCCGCGCTGCCTGCAGCTCCAGGAGCTTCCATCCCAGCATCAAGGTTGAGCTGTAGCACAGCATAGAGTAGCTGGCACGCCCATCTGCTTCCCTTTCTGCCTTCTCAACGCCGGCCGCATTCATCCTGCCCCTTCCCCACGCGCGATTCGCCTCGTCCCCGCGCTGCTTTCCCCCCCCCTCGCCGGGACCTTGCCCGAGCACCCGCGCGCTCTGATGCAGGTGAGAAGCTTGAGCTCCGGCCGCTGACGTATCTGTCGACCGCAGCAGAGCTAGCTCTACGGGTCCGCAGCTCTCGGTGCGTTTAGGGTGGAGAAGCACCCCCAGCAGATCCTCCCCTTCTCCGCATTCACCTATACGCCTACTGCAGCGCTAATCCCAGCGCGACCCTTTATCCAAGACCATACGCCTGGAGCGCGACCACCCTCATCCGCATCTCTGGGCCAATGAGCAGTGGCGTCCATGTTCGATTGCGTTTCGCGGCGCAGGCCCGAGCGCGCACCCTCCATTGCGGATCCGCAGCTGCGACAGTTAATTCGAACGGGCACCATTCCACACATGTGCCCTCAGGGCATTGGCCTCCACGCTTCCGCTAGCCGCTAGCTTCATTAAGCGCTTCGATGAGCATGGTTCAGGCAGGACAAGTACAGATCCCCTCCTTGGATGTATGCAGCTTCTGGGATCCGGCACCAATGCTGACGGAAAGCTCAGTTCGAGCCAGCCTCAGGTGATGGAGCTCCCTGGGCCCGAGGACCCCATAGGTGCGGGGTCTGAAGGGTTTAAGAAGCTGGTAGCCGCAATCAATTGGTTTCACACCCAGTTGAACTTGATTCTCCTGCGGCGGTACAGCTCAATTCACTGAAGCCCTACCTCGCCTATCAGCTACCCACCCATCCCCATTCAACATGACGGTTCCAGACGAGGTGGGCTTGACAAACCTTCGCGCAGCCTGGAGTGCTTCAGCAGCTAATCTAACTTCAGGTTGATATCATTGTCTGCGGTGGAGGGTCGTGCGGGTAAGTTTTCGCCATGCCCAAGGAACGCAGCTGCTAACCAAAGCTCAGATGCGTCGTCGCTGGACGACTGGCGAACTTGGACCACAACCTCCAGGTCCTCTTGATTGAGGGCGGGGAGAACAACCTGAACAACCCATGGTAAGCTCCAATTCCTCACCGCAACCTTCCGTCAGCTTACAAGTGAAGGGTTTTCCGTCCGGGTATCTACCCTCGGAATATGAAATTGGACAGCAAGACTGCTTCGTTCTACTACTCGCGACCTTCGGAATGGCTTGATGGACGACGAGCCGTGGTGCCCTGCGCCCACATTCTGGGAGGCGGGTCCTCTATTAATTTCATGGTATGCTCATTGCAATTGGCCCCGTCTAGCGTCTCTCTAACGGTAGCCAAGATGTACACTCGTGCTTCCGCTTCGGACTATGATGACTTCCAGGCGAAGGGCTGGACCACCAAGGAATTGATTCCGTTGATGAAGAAGCATGAGACCTACCAGGTAGGGCATTGTGATTAAGCCTCACAGGAAACTCAACTGACCCTGGCTCACAGCGTTCCTGCAACAACCGCGACATTCACGGATTTGAGGGTCCCATCAAGGTCTCGTTCGGCAACTACACGTACCCGATCAAGGAGGATTTCCTGCGCGCCTCCGAGTCCCAGGGTATTCCCACGACCGACGACCTCCAGGACTTGGTTACCGGACATGGTGCTGAGCACTGGCTGAAGTGGATCAACAGGGACACTGGAAGGCGGTCTGACAGCGCACACGGCTACATCCACAGCACTCGTGCCGTGCACCAGAATCTGCACTTGGCGTGCAACACCAAGGTCGACAAGGTCATCATTGAGGGTGGCCGCGCCGTCGGCGTCAACACCGTCCCCACCAAGCCTCTTGCTCCCGGCAAGACGCAGAACAAGGTCTACAGGGCCCGGAAGCAGATCATCATCTCTGGTGGAACTCTGAGCTCACCGCTCATTCTCCAGCGATCTGGTATCGGTGACCCAGAGAAGCTCCGCAAGGCTGGCGTAAAGCCTCTTGTCGATCTTCCTGGTGTCGGCTTGAACTTCCAAGACCACTACTTGGTGAGCGGCCGCTTCTGCTTGCGTATTTGATCCGCCCGTTAACATACTGCAGACATTCTCTGTCTTCCGCGCCAAACCACATGTCGAGTCCTTTGACGATTTTGCCCGCGGCGACCCGAAGGTCCAGGAGCAGGTGTTCCAACAATGGAATATCAACGGCACCGGCCCGTTGGCCACGAACGGTATCGAGGCTGGTGTTAAGGTCAGGCCGACAGAGGAAGAACTGAAGCAGATGGACTCTTGGCCTTGCAAAGAGTTCAGGTCCGGCTGGGATAGCTACTTTAAGGAGAAGCCCGACAAGCCAGTCATGCACTACTGTAAGTTGTCCATTCTTATTGTCTAGAGCTATATGTTAATGCGTGCTTAGCCGTCATCGCTGGCTGGTTCGGTGACCACATGCTCATGCCTGCGGGCAAGTTCTTCACCATGTTCCACTTCTTGGAGTACCCGTTCTCGCGAGGATCGACCCACATCGTCTCGCCGAACCCCTACGAGGCCCCCGACTTCGATGCCGGCTTCATGAATGATAAGCGGGATATGGCGCCCATGGTCTGGGGCTATATCAAGTCCCGAGAAACTGCGCGAAGGATGGAGGCATATGCCGGAGAAGTCCAGGCTATGCACCCATTCTACTCCTACGACAGCCCCGCCAGGGCTAAGGATATGGATCTTGCTACCACGAACGCGGTATGTCCTCCCGCCATTACTTCCGTGATGACCACTGACAAGTCGTAGTATGCTCTACCCGGCAACGTCACCGCTGGTATCCAGCACGGGTCTTGGAGCATGCCCGTGGAGAAGGGTCGCGCCCCGGAGCCCAGCATGCTCAACTCCAACTCTCAGCCTCAGTACGAGGACCTCCAGTACTCCAACGAGGACATCAAGCACATCGAAGATTGGGTCAAGCGTGCGCCTCCCCTCTCATCCTTCTCCTACACTTTTCTAACATACAACAGGCCACGTTGAAACCACCTGGCACTCCCTCGGCACATGCTCGATGGCGCCCAAGGAAGGCAACTCGATCGTCAAGCACGGTGTGCTCGATGAGCGCCTGAGCGTCCACGGAGTTAAGGGCCTCAAGGTTGCTGACTTGTCGATCTGCCCAGACAACGTCGGCTGCAACACGTATTCGACCGCTCTCCTCATCGGCGAGAAGTGCGCTGTACTTACTGCTGAGGACCTGGGCTACTCTGGCGCTGCGCTCGACATGAAGGTCCCGCCGTACCATGCGCCGCGTGAAATCACCGGGCTTGCGAGGTTGTAAAAATGCTATGGAGAGATGGGAAAGTGGAAGATGCGAGAACGACAGATAGCACGGGGGGAGGAACTTTGGGTAGCAGCATGTGAGGGAGACCAATGGCGGTAATTTCGTCGCTTTTTCGTTCACTCACTTCCTTCATTACGACTGTATGATGGGATATCATGTCTGATGCTGGGTGCTCGTCTCCATACTACAACAATCACACAACAACAAAAGCTACACACAAAGAATCATGTATATACAGCCATGCGAACGAAAGGACAAATTGACGAGTCTCTGAGATGCCTCATCTCCATTATTCTGCGGGGCATTGCCTGCTAGCTGTGAACGACGCTGCTGTTTGCGGCTCCGCAAAGCAAACGCTTGCTTGCATGGACCCTGCGGATCCGCATCGTCTCGCCGCTGCTCGCGAGTCTTATCGTACGCACGCGGGGTGTCGTATGCAGGGAAGGAAGCACCAAGACGGATTGCTCATGATTCATTTATTATGCACGCGATCCTGCAGCTAACCTTTGTACTTCAGGGCCTTGCTGCAACGGCAATGGGCCCAATCCAGAATCGAACAGGTATATCCTGCCCTTTCGTGTACGCAGAGTGTGTTCACATTTTGCTCTTGCGCTTACACCGTCCACGAAGCGAACCTAAGCCACGGTACGTACCCTCACAACCTTTCCCTCACACCTCCCCTCCCCTCCCCCACCATATCATACAACGGCAAGCTGCCCTCAGTCTCCTTGAACGCCCTCTCCATAATCCGCAACCCCTCCCTAAGTTCCTCCTCCCTAATCGTAATCGGCGGCGCAATCCTAAACACGCCCGAGAAACTCCTCTGCGTGCCCAATTGCGCCCACAGCCCCAACTTGCTCATGCGCTCCCCAATGCGATCGCCCAGATCCAACCCCGGCGTCTTTTTTGCTCTGTCGGTGACGATTTCTATGCCGGCCATGAGTCCGCGGCCCCGCACGTCCCCAATACACCCATAACGCGATTGAAGGCGGCGCAGACCAGCTTGCAACATCTTGCCCAGGTCACGCGAGCGCTGCACGAGGTTATCGCGGACGACGATCTCGAGGACTTTGTCGCCAACGGCGGCGGGGAGGGGATCGTTGAGATGGGTGGTGTAGAGGGAGAAACCCTTTTCCTTGGCGAAATCGGCGATTTTGTTGCTGGTTACGATGGCGCTGAGGGGGATGCCGTTTCCGAGCGTTTTGCTGAGGGTCAGGATGTCTGGGACGAAGGTAGGGGAGTCGTGCTGGAAGGCGAACATGGAGCCTGCGCGCCCGATGGCGGTTTGGGCTTCGTCGACTATGATGAGCATGTTGCGAAGGTTGCATTCGTGGCGGAGGTGGGTGAGGTAGCCCTAGGGTAAGGATGCGATTAACAAATGCTTAGGATTTAGAAACTAGGTTAGCTTACGGGTGGGAGAGGATGCATGCCGCCTGAGGAGAGGATAGGTTCTAGGATTACGGCGGCGAGGGAGCCGCAGGATTGGCGGTCGATGAGGGAGAAGCCGTATTTAAGTTCGGTCTTCCAGTCGTAGGTTCCGTCTGGGTGGCGGAAGATGGAGCGGTAGGCGTTGGGGGCCGGGAGAGCGAAGTTGCCTGGCATATTCGGCCCGTATCCGCTCCTCCCTGAATGATACTGCGCGCCCATGGCTCCGGCAGTGACGCCGTGCCAACTCGCGCTCAGGCCGACAATTTCAAACTTGTTCGTGTAGAATTTGGCTAACCGGATCGCAGCCTCGTTGCTTTCTCCGCCCGTACTGAGGAACATGGCCTTGTCCAATCCAGGAGGTGTGAGGCTTGTCAGTCTCTTGGCTAGGGAGATCACGGGCGGTGTCAACATGGCGCTGAAGACGTGGTCGAGAGATGCAGCATGGTTCTTGATCACCTCCACAACCTCAGGGTTCCCGTGGCCGATCAAGCACGACATCTGCCCCGAAATCCAGTCCAGTAATCGGTGACCGGATGCAGTGTAGATATAGATGCCATTGGCGCGAGTGATAATTTCTGGGTGGAACTTGGCGCCATATGTTAACAAGGAGGAGGAAGCATCCTTCTGGAGTTGGTCTTCGTCGGCGTGGGCGTAGATGTTTGCCATTTGCGGCTAGCCAATCGATGTCGCTGAAAGGAGGGAACGCTGGAAGCAATTGCGTCCGTGGTTTAATTTCTTTTCGTACACGAGCAGCATTGCGACTTTATCTCAACAGACCCATCGGACACTGATAGTGGAGTGAGGGGCTTTCCGTCGGAATTCGGGCACCCGCGGAAAACCGTCGGAAGGCTCGCGCATCGAGTCGGAAACCACCTCAAGGCCCTGAAGTCCCTCTGAGTGCATACGAAATACGGTCCGGCGTCTAGTGCTTCGCGAGAGCCCCTCATATTGAGAAATTGGTCATGCCGGAAGGAGTGTCCCACAGGGCTTCCCACGAGAAATCGAAGGCGTTCGGATCTAGCAAATCGGAGAGGAGAAAGCTTGCATCGTCCAGTACAGAGCCGGGCTGCGCATAGTTGTTACTCTCGCTGACTGTTGTGACTTCGGTCTGAGGGGGCTGAGAGTCCCGCTTGGTCAGTGAGGCAATCTTCGAGACGGAATCGGAGCACCTCTCCAAGCAGTAGTTCGCAATATCCCAATCATAGTGGTCGCGAGCATGCTGAATGTGGGCAATGACACGCTCGAGTCGTGACACGGAAGCCTTTCGCACTTCGACATCCTGGGTCTCGACGGTGCAACGTAAGGACACCGTGACTGCGTGGACAAGGAGGTGGGTGGCGTACGGCAACCAGAAGTCTAGGAAATGATACTCTCCCAGATAGAGGACGAAGTCAAGGACTGCTTCTGACGCAGCGCGCAATTCGTCCAGGCGATTTCGTTCTAGGTCCGTATCTCCTTCGAGAATCGCCGAGCGGAGCGTGACGCGACAGAGAAGCAACCTCATTGAGAGGAAGCAGAACCAGAGGTTGCTGGTGCCAGTCTGATTCGGCAGCGGAACCCACTCTGGCAGCTGAGAGTCCAAATACTTCAAGTCATCCTTCAGTCGACTAACGGAGCGCGGGAGCGCGACACGGTCGGGGTTGATCTCATATACGAAAGGGAGGATCTCTCCGAGCAGCTCTGTCAAAGCACATAGATGAACAAAGCAAGTCACTGATTTCTTTTGCTCCACGGTTGCCTTGGGCGGAGTGAGAGCCTCCACGGTGGGCATCGGCACGTCGTAGAAACGCTTGCTAATGTGAGGGGTGGTGCCATATCCGATGCTGGACCAGTAGTCGGTGATGAGTAGACCCCACCACAAACGCAGGCGAATTGACTTCTCATGCTCAGTTATGTTCCAAGTGGAGCAGTCGCGATGAAGACCGAAGGTTTGAGCAAGGGAGACGGTACGGCCACACAGAGTGATGTTCCCCACGATGGAAACGGAGGGCCGCCCAACCTGGTCCAAGACTGATGACGATACCGTTGCCAAGCTAGGACTGAGGAAGTCTTCTTGCAGCGCAGAAATGGCGTTGTTCCACATGAAGTGTGAGTCGGGTCGTGGGTGCATCTTCAGCGTGTCCGATTTGTGCCAGTACGGCGACCCAATAGCGTACACAACGCACATGACGGAGTTTGGTATCTTATCCGTAGGTCCTTTCCGTAGCAGGGAACAAGTCTCCTCGTCGAGGAGTGGAAAATGCCAATGAACGTTCTTGAAGTAGAGTTCGATGACTTCTCGTTTAAAAGGGCCAATGATGTGCTCAATGATTTCCAACTGTTCTTTCCCAGCTCCTATCTCGGGACGGAGGCCTGTGCGGAAACGGGGGACAGTAAGGTAAACAATCGGATCATTGGTGTCGTCGGATAGTGTCTGATATGGTCCTGAACCCTGCGCGCTAACACTTCGATGTTGCGCGTTAATGTGCCGATTCAGGATATCGACGTCCTCCGCAACGTGAGGGGCGAGAATTATAGAGGCAGAGGGATGTTCGGGAGGTCTGTGCAGCACAGGTGCCGCATGGAGTCTGGCTGAGCTATCTCCATTCGCATTTCCGTTGCTGAGTCGGCGTCTTTTGGAAGGCTTGCCTTCTGCATTCTCCTCTGACGGCGATGAATTCGTCGAATGCTCAACGTACTGGCATTTGAGGCGCCTCTCCCGGCACGAAAGGCATGGCTCCCCGGGGATGTCGATATGGCACCGTATCTTTCGTGATCTGCACCGTATACACGCGGGTACTCTGTGAGAACGATATGGACGGCTTTGGATCGGCGCGTTGGCGGAGCTAGCCATCAATACGGGTGCGTATTGCCGGTAAGCCCCGGAAAGGCTGGGGCGATGGGGCTACCACCGAGTATCACGATGACTTGCTTGGACCAGACAGCGGCACTGGCGAGATGCATTAGAAATGTTGCTGATGGGTGATGAGGTTGGAGAGGATGATGAGTCGAGATGCCGCTAGCGTTGAAAAGTAGATGCCGACATGCCGATTACCTCGCTAGGATTTGCCATTGGAAGCGGCATGCTGGATCCACGAGATTGAATTGGGATGCGCGTTGTGAGGAGCTTCGCAGCCCTATTCTGAGCGCTCGGCGCGCAAAGGGCAGTCCGAATTATCTGACGCCGTAACTTACAAGGAACAAATGCGTCCCTGCAAAAGAAGCAAAGACCGAATGTTGATATATACATTGGTATTGGTATCATATTGCCGCCAGTAGACATTACTCGCGCGGAGCTCCTCGAGGGCACTCGGACGACTAGTCCTCCTCTTCTTCTTCCGTGAAATCAAAGCCAGTAAAGACCTTCGTTTCCCGTTCCTGCGGTGCAGGAGCCTCAACCCGCCGCGCAGCTTCAACCGGCTTCTTGGGCGAATCTGCGGGCTTTGGAGCCACTCGAGCGACCTGTACCACTGCCCCCACCTTCTTCTTCTCCTCTTCCGCGCGTCCTGCGATGTCGATTTGCGCGGGGTCGTTGCCTTGGTCACGCTCATGCTGGATCTGCATCAGGTTGCCTCGCCGAATCTTGTCGTTGTTGGGCCATGGGAACCAGGGCATCTGGCTATCATTGAGTTTCTTCAGCCATTCTGCCTCCTCGGCTGTGATGTCTTTCGGCTCCTCTCCTTGGCCTGGTGCGGTGTCCTTTGGTGGCTCTTGCGTAGCTGCGGATGCGCCAGCAGCATTCGCAGGGGTATTCGCCGCATGAGACGCTGCAGCGCTGGAGCCGCCGTCCTCTCCGTCGTTGTCCTGGCCTGCCTTTGGTGGGGGGACGCGCTCGCGGTACGTCGGCGGGACGGTGTACTTGGAGATGTTCTTTGCGTACTGGAGCAGTTCGTCGAAGGGGACCGGCCGCGAGTTCTCTGGGAAGGTGGTCGCGGGCGTCTCGAAGAGCTCGCGGCGCAGGCTGGCGAGGGTCGCAACCGAGGACCTCAGCTGCTCTTCGAGAGCTTCGGCTTCGGCGTGCAGGGCTTGGATGCGGTCACGGTTTGCCTGGTGTTGCGCGACTGGCGCAGATTAGCTCAGCGTTACGGGGGTTGGGCCAATTGACCACCTACGCTGGTCCAGCCGGCGGCCCAGCTCCTCGTCGGCGGCGATGAGGTCGGCTGCGGCCTGCGGCGAGGGGTTATAGGACGCGATCGAGTCGACGAGCGTGCCGAGTGCGGCCTCGACGCGCTGGAACTGCTCGTGCAGAACGGCGTCCATGACTGCGCGGCGGTGCGAACAAGCTTCCCCAAGCGCGAGCGCGGAGCAAGCGTCCAAGGGACCTTGGAAGCCACCTGGGCAGAAATGCGTGGGCACGTGATTGAGAACGGCAGCGCGAGGGCGGGAAGGATTTCGCTGGGGCTGCCAGCTGAGGGTAGGGCTAAAAGGGTTGCATGCGCTGGGCGCCAACTCCGCGGTGCTGGATGGTCAGCTTATTATAGGATGGCAGAGCGTCGCACCTTGGAAGGTTCCCAGGCAGCCGCACGGAGGCCTCGGGCGTTCGCAGGCGGGCTCAAACGACGTGCATTATGGCGAGCGGAAGGGCCGCTATAATTGACGCGACGGCCGAACGGTCACTCCGTTTAGCCTCTGAAACCGCTCCAGACCCGTCCGACATTTTCCTCGCTCGTGCGGCCGGCGCACCTGCTACTACTGCTGCTCCTACTGCTTCTCCTGCTTCTCCTGCTACTACTACTACCTTACTGCACCGCTGATTCACGCCTCTCTGTTCCCCCCCCCTCCCAGGCTCCAGCCGCGCTGCGCCCCGCCATACCCCGCCACAGCGCCTTCTGACCTCACTACCCTATCCTATCTCTATCCTCTCTGCAACCGCACGCCCGACCTTTGCCTGCCCGAAACCCCCTCCTCCTCGCGCACACACTCATCCCGAATTCGACGTCTCCAGTCGCGGACGTAGTCTCTGCTACAGCCATGGGTAAATCGTAAGTCGTGCCCTCTCCTTCGTCACCGGTTTCCTTTGCGGTCGCGCGCCGGCCGCGGCTTCAGGCCTGGTCCATATACACGCCTTCCCTTCACCTCGACGCAGCGCCAGGGTCGAGTGAAATGGATGCTCTTGCGGCTGCCCCTCGCCATGGCTTCGGCGCTCAAACACCATTCCGTCCGGATCGAGCCCACACTTGCGGTTCAACCCGACGCCGCCGTCATGCAAGCCGAAATCGACCGCCGCACCGACTACCGCGAACGCGTAGCCTCGCCGCCTCACATGCCGCTGGGCGCGCGCGAGGTGCCTCTGCTAGAGCACGAACATCCGCCGCTCAAGTTTGCGCGCCAGCACCACGTCGAGATACCCCACCATGACGACCCCGAATACGCGCGCTATCAGGCTATGCAGAAAGTCGCCCTCTCCAACGCTGTCAAGTCCTTTAAGCAGGAGCTTGCTGAGCGGAGCCCTGTGGAACACATTCAATTAGAGGACCAGAAGCTGATTGTGCGACACCGCAGCCAGAGCAAGCTTTCCCAGCAGGAGCTGGCCGACCTCCAGAAAGCGACCCACTTCGATAAAAAGGAACTGCAGCAATGGTACAAAGGTGCGGAGCGCGCATATGCGGCAGGGTGACTTGGGCTGAATACGCGCAGGCTTCCTGAAGGACTGCCCCTCCGGCATGCTCACCAAGGAGGAGTTCCAGAAGATCTACAAGCAGTTCTTCCCATTCGGCGACCCGTCGTCATTTGCCGACTACGTGTTTAACGTCTTCGATGCGGACAAATCCGGTACTATCGATTTCAAAGAGTTCATCTGCGCCCTGAGCGTCACCAGCCGGGGCAAGATGGAGGACAAGCTGGACTGGGCGTTCCAGCTATACGACATCGACGGCGACGGCAAGATCAGCTACGAGGAGATGCTGGCCATTGTGGAGGCCATATATAAGATGGTAGGCGGGCACAGCTAACGAACTGGTGCATGCGCTAATGCGGATAGGTCGGCTCCATGGTCAAGCTGCCCGAGGACGAAGACACGCCGGAGAAGCGCGTACGGAAGATCTTCCGGATGATGGACAAGGACGAGAACGGCAGCCTGGACATGGCCGAGTTCAAGGAGGGCTCCAAGCGCGACGAGACCATTGTGTCTGCTCTTTCTCTCTACGATGGCCTTGTGTAGGCGGATAGATACCACTAACCTCGGATCTTGTTTTCAGTAGGTGTTCACTGGCTTGCTTGATATCAACAGCGCATTGATCGGGTTTCCTTTTGTATGCTATTCGGCTGCGTGCATGTGGGCTGCGGAGGAGGTCTGAGGTCGCTTCGGCGTATGGGACATCGATTGAGATGTAAATAGGGATAGCGTGGCTGACGATGGGATTCGGGATTCGGGATGCGGGATGCGGGATTGCAATGAACAAATATCCTCGTTGACTATCCCTACCGGGATGCGTGCAGGTGCAGGCGGGTGATTGGCGCGTCCACGTGACCAGCTCAGCCACGCCGGGCTGTTTCTATCAGGGCTAGCGCGACTCAGGAACCAAAAGCTACGGACAGGTATAGCTTTACGACATTTGACATTTCTATCAGCCGACACCACCGTTCCAGAAATCACAGTCGACGCGAGGCACTCGCGCACAATCAGACTCGGCGAATACCTCCCGCCACATCAATACTCGGACTAGCCTTCGCCGCCGCCGCCTAACGGGCGCTCTGTAGGTGCCTTGCCGTCATCCTCCCTGGGAAGCTCGAGCTGACGCTCTCAACCACTGCGCAGCGCCCGTCGATATCCTCCCTCCCACTCCCCACGCATATCCGCATAGATTCCCGTCATGAGGCGCCTCGACATATCCGCTACTGGCGCTTTCCTCGCCTCCCTGCTCGCCCTCGCGCCCGCGCCGGCTTCCGCATTCTACTTTCCGGGCGTCGCGCCGACTTCATACAAGAAAGGCGACGCGGTACCGCTCTACGTCAACCACCTCACGCCCGCCGACTCGCAAAACGACCCCAAGCTACGCTCCGTCTTCTCCTTCGACTATTACCATCCGCCGTTCCACTTCTGCCAGCCTGAAGGCGGCCCCAAATACATCCGGGAAAGCTTGGGGAGCATATTGTTCGGCGACCGCATACAGACGAGTCCGTTTGAGCTGAAGATGGCGGTGAACGAGACGTGCAAAGCTCTGTGCGAGCCGCGAGAATATGCGCCGAGGGATGCGCTGTTCGTCAATAGCAGGATATACCAGGGGTACGACTTGAACTGGTTAATAGACGGGCTGCCGGCGGCGCAGCTGCTGAAAGATCCAAACTCAAATACGCCTTTTTACAGCCCTGGATTTGCACTGGGCCAGGTGGACGGAGAATACCCGCAGCTCAACAACCATTACGACATCGTGATCGATTATCACGAGGCCGGCCCGGACAACTACCGCGTCGTAGGTGTGCTTGTGGACCCCTACTCATACAGAGACTCCAAGTACATCGACAAGGGGCAGGCAGAATGCGGCAATGAGGAAAATGCAGTGGTTTTGGACGAGAACGGGAACATGTCGGTAACATTCACGTACAGCGTATACTGGCGCCTCAGCCCTACGCCGTTCGCGACGCGATGGGACAAGTATCTCCACGTCTATGACCCGAAGATACACTGGTTCTCCCTCATCAACTCTGCCGTCATTGTGGTCTTCTTGATAGGAATGGTTAGCACCATACTCGTGCGGACCCTGAAGAAGGACATTGCGAGGTACAACCGTCTAGACCAGCTCGCCTTAGACGACTTTGGGCCCAATGGCAACATTGAGGATGGCGTGCAAGAAGATTCGGGCTGGAAGCTTGTGCACGGTGACGTCTTCAGACCGCCGAAGAATCCCCTGTTCTTGGCCGTCCTGGTCGGCAACGGCGCCCAGCTATTCATGATGGCTGGCTTGACAATCGGTGGGTCGTTTTTATCTGCGAGCCCTCATATGCCGCTGACAGTTCTGTAGCATTCGCGCTCCTCGGTTTCCTATCCCCAAGCAACCGCGGCGCCCTCGGAACCGTCATCATCATCTTCTACACCCTCTTCGGCTTCATTGGTGGCTACGTCTCCTCGCGGATCTACAAATTCTTCCATGGCGAATCCTGGAAGCTCTGTTTCTTCTACACGCCCTTTGCGCTCCCCGGCCTCGTCTTCGCCACCTTCTTCCTGCTGAACCTCTTTGTCTGGGGTCGCGGCGCCTCCGGAGCCGTCCCCTTCACCACAATGCTGATCGTTGTCATTATCTGGTTCGTCATCAGTGTTCCGCTCAGTTTCGCCGGCTCCTGGGTCGGCTTTAGGCAACCCGTCGTCGAAGCACCAGTGCGCACCAACCAGATCCCCCGCCAGATCCCCCCGGCGGGCGGCTACCTGCGTCCCTTCCCCTCTATGGCACTTGCAGGCGTCCTTCCCTTCGGCGCCATCTTCGTCGAGCTCTACTTCATCATGAACTCGATCTGGTTCTCCAAGGTCTACTACATGTTCGGCTTCCTGTTCATCTGCTACGGGCTGATGATCATGACAAGTGCCGCCGTCACCGTCCTCATGATCTACTTCCTGCTCTGCGCCGAGAACTACCACTGGCAGTGGCGCAGCTTCTGCACGGCGGGCGCGAGCGCGTTTTATGTGTTTGCGAGCGCGCTGCTGTATTGGATGAAGGATGTGCATTTTTTGAGCTGGACGAGTGGGGTGGTGTATTTAGGGTATAGTGCGTTGCTAAGTTTGCTTTTTTTTGTGCTTACTGGTAAGTCTTGTCCTCGCTATGCCATGATGAGGTGCGGGTGGATGCTAATGAGTGAATAGGTACGATTGGCTTCTTTGCGAGCTGGTTGTTCGTTTTGAAGATTTATAAGTCCATCAAGGTGGACTGAGCGAGCTCCGGTCGAATGAGATATGCTTTCAATCTTTTGCCCCGTCGACATTTCTGGTTGGTGTATGTATGTTTGCCAATGCGCTCAAAAGGTTATTCGGCTTGTATAGCTTAGACGCGTAAGGAGTCGGATGGCGTTATTCACTTCTTCCCACTTTTGCAATCTTGATCGTCGTCATTTGGGTCGTGTGCATAGCGCATGGCGGGGACTTGATATCCAGGAAATCATTGAATCCGGAATTCAAACCGTAGGGCTTCGCATCAGGTAGTTCCGGGCTGGTGCGGTCAAAAAAAGAATGGGAAGTTTGTATAAACGCATATACTATGCTATGCTGTCCCGATGCTCCTGTCACCGTGCTGTCTCACGATAATGCTATTTCTTTTCCCCACGGCGGACTCAGCTTTTGTGTGAGATACCTAATTCTCCCTTCCCCGACTCCTCCCGCTCCCCATCCACGCCCCTTCCTCATGATTCGGAAAGGCATTCCTCATCCCCATCCCATTCCGCACCTTGTCCTCGCTCTCCACGACCTTCAGCGGCAAATCCTTCCCCACGCCAAACAGCACGAAGAACGCCCACTTCCACCGAAACGGATTAATCACAATGGTGAAAATGAACCAGTATATCAGCTCAGAGTATGTGAAGAAGTCGAAAGCGCCGCCTGGCGCTTTCGCCTTGATCCATCGCGTCATGTCGATCCAGCGCTTCATCCACCATGTGCGTGGGCGCGCGAGCGGGTCCACGAGATACATGAGCAAAAAGCGCGTGTAGATGCCGATATGGTAGTTTCCCACTGTACCGATGGCGTTGACGTAAGTGCAGTTGTTGGCGCAGATATCGGGATGTTCCGGGGGAAACACCTGGAGGTACCAATTTGGTGGATCGTATGGGGGTTCAAAGACTTCGCTGGGGAGGAATTTGAGGCTTGGGCGCTGGTACCCGGTTGCCATGATGACGATGTCGGCTTCGATGAGTTTCTCGGTTCCGGGACCGTTCTTAGGGACGCCCTGGGCACGTCTGTTGAAGCGGATGCCGGCACCGGAGGAATCGTACCCGAGGATGTCGCCACGCAGCCAGGACGCTTTGCCGCTGCGGACGAGGTCGAGGACATCGTCATTGACCATGGGGGTTTCGGTGAAGATGCCTTTTCCTGAGCTTTTAGGGGGCGAGATGTCGTAGAGGTCACGGTAGAAGAAGAGGCGCAGGATGTTCTCGGGGATCCATGAGAAGATTGTTTCGGAGCCGAAGATGTTGAGGGCGAGGAGCGAGTCGATGAGCGGATTACGTGGGATGATCCATTTCTCCGAGCGCGCGAGCACGTATGTGTGTTCGGCCTCCTCTGCGGCGACGAATTCTAGTGCTTCGACTGCGGAGGCCCCGCCACCTATGATGGCCACTTTTTTTCCCTTGGCCGACTTTCCGTCTAATTGGCTCGAGTGGTATATCTCGCCCTTGAAGTTCTCCTGGCCGGGCAGCGTGGGCATTTTGGGGTCGCCGCACGTTCCTATCGCGGCGATGACGCCGTCGAAGCGGCCGTACGATGGGTCGTTGATGATCCAACGCCCTAGCGGGTCTTTGTATACCTTGTCGACGCGCATGTTGAAGGTTGTTTTTGATTCGAGGCCGTAGCGGTGCCAGAGGTCGGTGATTTGGGAGACGATTTGTTGGCGGTCGGGATAGCCTTTCTTCCATTTTACGGAGGGATGGAAGCGGTACATAATGGAGTGGATTTGGAGCCCCGAGGTGTTGTTGACTTTCTGTAGACGAAGGTTAATTTGTAAGCGTGGATGCTAGAGGATAAAGGTGATCGCACGCTCCATATGCCGCCGAGGTGCTCTTTGGGTCCGGCTTCGAAGATGCGGCAGTCGAAGCCATGGCCGACGCAATGCGAGGCTGCGGAGACGCCGGTGAGACCAGCACCGATGATAGCGATCTTGGGACGCTTGAGGTCTGTGTGGAGAGGCGGAGGAGTGGGCGAGAGGAGACGATCAAGGACCCATTGAAAGATCTGGTAGAGGAAGAGGATCGGGTTGGTGACGAGTTGTTGGAGGAAGTGTTCGAGACCCATTGTTGCCAATTGAGCCTGCTATGGCATGAGGGGGCAAAGAGAAATGGATTGAAGGGAATTAGGAGGATTTATGGGGAGCCGGAGGTTTGCGGAGCAAGGAGCCGTGTCCTGCATGTGCGTTTCGCGGATTACCCACTCTGATGTCATGGTGTTGTAGTTTCAGGAACGCGAAGCTAGCGAACGTTAGCATGTGAAAGCCGCCCGGCCACCGTCCCTTGCCTTTTCGAACTGTTCAGCTGGCGCTGATACAAATACACGTCGCGTCCGATAAGATATTCATCGCCGCGTCGAATCCCGCCCGCGCCGAGTCTTATATAGAGGTAGTGTTCGTGCAGATTGTGCAGCTCGACTGGCTTTCAACGGGCTATGCCCGACTGGCGCCTATCATCGGGCATAAACAGCATCTGCAAGCTGCCCGCTATGGCAGGAAATGCATCGTATGACTGCTGTGACGGCATGTGAAAGAAGGAGCAGAAGTTGGGATTCCCGTGCGAGAATTGAAGCTGTCACGGGTGGAAGACGCGTCTCTGGGAACCCCTGTCAATCAAGCGAAGAAGCTTGGGCCATGCGCTAAACTTAGCTCCGACCTCCGCACTCCCGCTCGACACGACCTCCGACTCCACCATTCCACATCCTTCACCTTCGCTAGTTTCGACATGGCTCAGGGTCTGGAGGCGCAATTCTGTAATGAGGTCAATATAGCACTCCGCAACCGCGACGCGAATAAGCTGCACTCTATCCTGGTCCTGGAGCCGCCCTTTCAGCCAATCTATGTGCAACTCATCGCGTCACTTCGAGAGCACTTCCCAGCGGAGGCCGAGCAATCAGAGGAAAGACTGCAACATCTTGTACGAAGCACTGTGACGGAGACAGGCGACAGCGAAGATGAAGAAGGCCGGCCCGTGCAGAGCTGGGGTCCGATGGTGTTGTTTCTGGCTGGGTGGATGGCTTTCATCCGCGACCTAAATATCGAGAACCTGTTGACCACGTACGAGGGGCTGAGCGAGCTCCAACAGTAAGCATCCCACTCTGTGGATGAACCAGTGTCTTTTCTTTCATGCTCATAGAGGCACAGGAAAGCTAACGGAGCCCTCCAACATCCCACGAAAGGAATACTCGTCCTACCAACTCTCATCGGCTACGCCAAGGTCTTTGCGCGCGTAGCAATAGGCTTGGACAGGCGCCCCGAACTCATCCAGCATCTAACGGCTGCCACAGTCACCGACGAAGGTCGGCGCGAATCCCTTCCTGAGAAGGCTGCCAATGTCGTCAGGAATGGCTTTATCACGTGTCTCAACGACAGAAACACCGCGCCCGGCGGTATCAAGGATGGGAAACCCGATGGCAAAAAGGTTGGCGTCTACAAGATGGCTAATGTGTGCCTGAAGATACTCTTCCAAGCGGACAAGCTCGAGAGCTGCATGACCATTTTCCACAATATCATGAGCTACTCGCCACCTATCCACTACTACCCGGCTTCCGAACGCGTCACGTATCTGTACTATTTGGGTCGATTCTATTTCACTTCAACAGACTATTTCAAGGCTCAGCTTTGTCTACAGAAAGCCTACGACGACTGCGCAGTCGGTGCGAGTTGCGTGAAGCAACGTCGAATCATACTCATATATCTCGTTACTGCGAACCTGATGTTGGGCCGGTTTCCTACCCAGGAGATATACTCGCGGCCGGAAGCCAACGGACTGAAACGCATCTTCTTCCCGATTACGGAGGCTATCCGGAAAGGCGATCTGGAATCCTTCCGTCGGATAACAAATCTCGATCTATCACACCCAAGCGCCGCTTGGCTGTCCGATTACCGACTCTTCTATCAAATCGGAAACTACTGCGAGGTCCTCGTATGGCGCTCACTTTTCCGCAGAGTCTTCCTTCTCACTGGCCAGCAAGGCACATCGGAGAAATCAGCTCCAACGCTGGATTTGAATGACGTTCTCGCTGCGTTCCTCTACTTCGAGAAACGCTCATACATGACCCCAGCAATGGCGAAAGCAGATAGCGGTCCTGGCCGACGCCACATAACCTTTGTGTTGCAGGACTTCACACCAAGAGCGAGTTATGTCGACCCAGATTTCGACGGCACCGACCTACAGCCAACCCTCCTTCTGCCAGACATCGATGAGATTGAGTGCATTTGTGGGTCTCTTATTAGCCAAGGATTCTTGAACGGATATATAAGTCACAAGTCGAAGAGGTTCGCGATTCAAGGCACAAGAAGAGCTGGGAGTGCATTGAAAGCCGGCTTTCCGAATGTGTGGGAGGTCGTGAAGCAAAAGAACCTAGAGAATAATAAGGATAAGGTGCTCGGGTGGGTGACGGAGGCACAGAGCCAGAGTGGGGGACAGGTCGTTCGGCTTGCTGGCGCGAGACCTGCAGGGTCGTAAGAGGAGCTTATACCACGTACACGAGCTACCATATGACAATCTTTGCCTCGAACCACGGAGCAGTCGGGGGTTAGAGCAGGTCACAACTAATAATGAGTTTGGAAGTCCCGCGGATCCTATCGAGAATGGGGACGCTGATACAAAGATGCGAGATTCGTGGCGACAGCACGATGTATCCGTAGGGCGACTTTCTAATCCAAATTGAGAAGCCTTTCAGAGCACAAAAACAACGGTGCTATTTCGACTCCGTTTCCAACGCAGCCCAATGTTCCGATGTGGTCTCCGATCGTTGAGCTCCAAGTCTTGTCTAGGCCCTGATACCGCTCCATTAACACGGGAGACTCTAAGGCGGCACGAGTGCGATGTGACTGACCTCCAATAGGTGGTTCCGATGTGGTGAGGCGCGGTACTTGCGAATGCAATGTCTGAAGAAAGGGCCTATACATGGGACGATGACGACGACGATTACACCTAGGAGGCCGAACAGGGCTTCCTTCGACCAGGAACGATCGCGTATCGATAATCCCATATTGTCAGATGGAGTTATTGTACCTGAAAAGCGGCATATCAACTCGACGATTTGGAATAGTGGCGGCAAGCCGGTCATGGAAGGGCGTTCTCCATACCATTGAAGCTCTGTGGTGGCATGCTTGCTGGTGAGCAACCGATCGCCACTGGACTTTTTCGTGGCGCCCCTCGGAAAATGGATGGAAACTCTTGTGGTCTTCAGAGCACGCTAAGTAGCCGGGCATGCCTGAGAGATTGTCCGGGTATAAGTGAACAGTACCAGAAGTCTGCAAGCGAGGAATTGACCGAGATGCTGCCTGGACGCCTGGGCTTGAGGGAGGAGGTAAATATATATATGGTAAGAGCAATCATGTGGCGCTTGAGTGCTCGGACATTCTCGAAATCCATACATCTCTGTACACGGAAATGTAAGCGACACGGGGGACGCCTATGTGAATCAACGTTGGATATTAAGTAAGGTCACTTCTCTGCGCCACATGGTAACGACGGCCGCTTCCGAGCTGTCGGGAACCCCAGCGGGCCGAAGACAAATCAGATAACGAAACACCTTCACGTCGACCGGTGAGCATACCCCTGCGTGCGTGAGACTTACCTAGGTATCGAGCACCAGCCCGCGCCAAACCCAGCCTTCAAGCCCAGCCTATCATACATGGCTGCACGTCAAAATGACGCTAACGGGTGCCCCTGGGCTCGTTAAATATAACCTAACAGCCATTGCATTCCATAGGCTCGCGTGCCTGAGGTAGCATATCATCACCGCGGCGAGGAGCCATAGCTAGGTTAGTCGGAAGGGAAGACACGCCGCAGTCTTCTTTATTTCCGCTCGAACACCTGAAGATCTTTATAGGCACGCTGACTCGCGGCCGTGATTTAGGTCGCGACTGGCAAGAGGATGAAGGGGTTATTCGACATACAGTTTTATCCCTTGCATTTTCTATTTCATACCGCATTTCTACGTCTAATCCCTGCACTTCATTCGAGAAGATTCCAGGAAGAGTCAAACGTCGATTTTGGCTCTTTAGGCGCAAACAAGCCAAGAATACCGGAGGCTCGAGGACGGCATGGCGCAGAGGAGGGATCACTCTCTCAAGGAAATGCAACGAAGTCTAACAAGGTGTGTACACCTTGAATTGCTGCGAGGGTATCTTTCTTTACATTACATAGTTTCGGCTGCGGGTTTCAACCCACCAATACCACGGCCGTACTTCGACTTCGCTTCCTCTTTCGCCAAAGAACGACCCGAACGATTAGCGAGCTCTAAGTCGCCATGCCCTTCTATGCCCCAGCTATCTATTAGGGGGGATGGTGTAGGCAGTCCGTGAATACGGCTAGGGTATACTTACTATAGGCTTTGTTACTGTTACTATACGTTAGTTTAAATCTAGCTCTTCTTATGCTTTTATCTTTACGCTGTACAGTTTTAAAGCATTTTGAACAAAGGCAAGAGTATACTAGATTAATATAGTAAGCAATAGCAACTTCTATGTTTTTGTCTAGGTATAGTAATGAATTCAAGGATTAAAGGTAGTATGCACCCAAGCTGGGGCATTACATCCCGCTTGGCGTAGCGGGACTTTTGCTCTCCGTTGGTAAAGTGCCAACCAGAGCAACAATTGCGAGCCACTGACGAATCATATAGACGCTATTCCACACTGGGCGCTCGGAGGCCAGACCGGGTCCACCCTATCAGCGGTTCAGAAGTCGGTGATACGGACAGTGGCTCCTTAGAGCTCACAAAGAGATCCGAGCATCTTAAAACAGAAGTGCGCACCCGCACCAGACGGTGTCAGCTATTCCCCGTACAGGCTGACTGGTTGATTTTCTCTCTTTCTACGGTCACCAACCTATTCAGGTGTATAGGTTGATGGAGCTCCCAATGTTGAACCGTCATGTACGAAGTTCCTGAACCATCTCGCTTCCACGCCCCTTAATCCACGCGTACATTTCTGTCGTCGTTGAGAAATTCAGGACAGCTATCCCCGGCCTCGGAACCTTCGAATGACGTCGATCTGAAGCGCATAGATCTGCTGTTGTTGAAGCCTGACCGCCATCATGCACATACCATGAATCAATTGTATGGGCCCCGGTGGATAGTGGGAGAATAGGATCCTTATCCCCTGAGCGATTTCGGGCCCATCGTGCCCACCATCTTCAGCATACCTGACTTATCCAGACTCTTTTCAAGGTCACCGCGATGATCTGTATCGCGACCGCAACGAAGATGGCGACGAGGTTGAGTTTTGCCTCCTTCAACCAACCAGTATTAGGTGAAGATCGGAACTGACTAGACGTAACTACGGAGGGTCAATCTGGCTTCATGCATATGAGATTGCTCCTCACAGTCGGACAATCCAGATTCCATCCGCTGGACGATATGGTGGATCGGACACTTTAGCGGGTGTATTCGTTCGAAAAGTAACTTATCCTGTTCCGCCGCTGAGCAGTGCCTTAGTGAGGAATGGCCAGATTGCTGGACTGTAATCGCAGGACAGCAATTCAATTCGATGAGTATTGGCATACGCAAAGTCATATGGAGCACCGGTAAGGGGAGGTTCTTGTTTATGACCGTTGGGAACTTACCCTTGCTCTCTAACTGCGCTTCGAGTAGGTGCGAGGATGGCTGCAGCGTCAAGGTGTGAGCCAATCACAGTCAGCCGCCTTTGGCTCAGCCTGGTGCAGAGCCAGTAAGTCGGTAATTCTCCGCGTCCTTCATTCGCAAGGCCCATCCTTTCTATCAGTGCGCGACTTTTTCAAAAGACGCCCAGAAATTACCAGAAGGCGATGAATCGTAAAGTTTCGAGGCACAAATCCGTTTCATAGTTTGCTTGCATACTTTCTGTTCCCGTATCTGGGCTTCGGCAAGTGTAGTACGGCAGAAGCGATCGCGACGACCCTAAGAAGGAGTGGCGGTGGCGGAGTATAGGAACGCACAGGACATAACACTTACGATGTGTAGACTTCCGCCGCAATCCGTACTCCAAGTTTGCCCAACGCCCTCCTACGCCTTTAAACTTGCACCAAAAGGAAAGCGGCCTCTCATCTGCGGTCCGTGGACGTAGGTGGGCATGCATTGTCTGCGCCGATTCGCTTCATTGGAAGCGCGCATACTCTATGGATCTGTGGTGGACCGCAACATCAGCCGTTACGGCCTTCTATCATTTGCTGTTAGCGGATATATAAGGCGTCATAACTGAAAGAGCAGAAGGATTGGATCCTTTTGCTCCGGATATTTGTGTTGGCGTATCATCAAAGCTTGGGGTGGAAAATCGTCGCAAACCTGATTCATCCGCGGCATTCTTAGACCCATTCGTAGACTGGATAGTGCTTCTTGAAAGAGCGATTTGCGAGCGGCTGGCACAAGCTCTTTTTCGTCCGACAATAGGTAACCAGCCCACTAAGATCGAACCTTGAGCGGTTGACACACCAAGTAAACTGAATGTGTGAGGATTGTAGCATTGACAACCCTAAGATACGCTAGCCTGCTACCATAGAAGCACGAAAGGAATCTGTACCTAAGAGGAAGTGACCTTTCAACTGCTGCAGCAATAGCTTTTGGCCGCTGTTGTCTTGCCTAAAGTCTGGCGGATGCGCTCCGTAAAGTCGGGACCAAACATACCGAGCCGTGACCAGCTATACCTCTTCGCATGCCGCTTTTCACAAGGATGGCACAAAGTCCCTAAAATTGGACAGCAGATGCGTTGCTCAAAGCCCCCGGGCATGATATGTGCTCAGGCTGAATCGCTTGTCGGCTGGGAAATGCAACGGCGTGCCGCTCCGGAATCCTTGGGCTCCTGCACGGGATGAATGCGCCCAATCGCGGCGCCCCGCCCGCCCGACTCTGACCGGTCGTGATTAACTCAGCACCATAGGTCAATGGGCGCACGAGATCGCGCATATCACCATGCAGTGAAGGACGCCAGGCTGACGAACCACAATCGCGCTCCCACAAGGCTGAACCTTTGGTCCAACTGCCAGCTCATACGGCATGCATGCCCCGCATCATTGAATGGAGTGACAACTCACTGAAGTTGAGCCTCATCTTTTCGCGCGCCCACAAAGCGAGTTTAAATATGGGTGGGAGGGAAGCCGTAGTTGGAGGGAGTATCGCTTCCGTTCCTTCTTCCATTGAGCGGAATTGAGTCATGTCGGTCAGCGATAATACGACGCTTCCCGGGGCGAGGGACAATGAGGGTTCATATCAGCATCTAGATGGTCATGCTTATGGGAAAGGGGACCTACCTGTGAACTCATACGATAAGTCGTAGGCATCCCACGAACTCCCCTCCTAACCCTTCATCGCGCTCACCATAAATATAGGCCTTATACCGATAGCGAGATCATCTCGCTCGATGTCGGACCAACCCAGACCCGTTACCGCCTCCACCGCGCCATCCTCTCGCAGAGCCCCGAGCTCGATGCGAAGCCGGCTTTGAAGCTGTGGGGCGAGAAGACGAACGACACGATCTCGCTTCCAGAGCTCGACGAAACCACTGCACACACCCTCGTACACTACCTGTACACTGGGAGGTACCAGGCTCTACAGTCACATGGGCCAGGCGAAAAGGGTGCAGTCCCCAATTACAAGGATGGCGCGTGCGTGTACTGCGCGGCCATCCGCTACAAGCTGCCCGGATTGGCGGAGCTAGCAAAGGAAAAGATCACCTCGCTTGGCGAGGACCTGACTATCCTGGATATTCTCCGTGTGTCGCGCGAACATGCATTCCCACTTCTACCGGAGGACGAAGCGTGGTTCCCGGCATACCTCGAAGGCGCGATCCACGGAGCGGTAACCGAAGACCCTGAGCTTTTCACGAGAGACGAGTTCGTAGATCAGATCGAAGGCGACCGCAAGTTCCGCCAGGTTGTCATGAAGGCGATCTTGAAATCGCGGGCCCCAGCGGTGTCTAGTCCACCCTCGTCCGCCGTTCCCATGTCGGTGACGGCGGCGGTGGAGGAGGAGGTGAAACTTCCCATCCACGATGAGGCAAAGGAGTCAGACATATCAGGATCGGAGCCAATGCCTTCTGTTCGAGATGACCACCCACCAAATCCAACTGTGTCATCGGAAGAACCACCGCTCGTCAACGCAACCGTCCCCGCAGAGAGCGTGAAGCTAGAAGAGATTGAGCCCACCACTGAACCCGTAGAAGCACCCGAACCGTTCACTGACGAGCTCGGATTCGGCAACAGCAAGACGTACCAAAAGATGGGAAAGAAGGCCGACAATACAGTGCTAGAGAATAGTGTGGTCGCAGATGCTGCTACCAAGCCATCGGCATCTCCCTCCAACACCTTCGATGTAGCTATCAGGCCCGCCCATACGCGATCCGATTCCGTCATGCAAGTTGAGCAGACAGTTTCTGCTCCGGTCAAGGAGGAGAATATCATTGCTTCCCCTAGTACTATTACAGAAGGAGCGAATGCTGCTGCTGCTTCCGCTATCGCGGCCGAAGAAACAAAGACCGCCGCTTCTCCCGAGCCCGCCGATATCGATCCGGTTATTGTGGATGGCACATCTGGTAATGTGGCGGCGTCGAAGAAGAGCAGGAAGAAGAAGAAGAAAAGCGCCAGTGCCGGTGCTGCTAGCTGAATGATGGAACCTTGACGAAACTTACGATGGCGTTTACGGATCCGGAAAATTATATTGACGGTCGTTTCTATGGGAGAGAAGGCACAACTGGGTTGGCATGGGAAGGTATTGGTAGATATATAGGAATTATTTTATTCCCGTTGTGCATTTCGTCGTCTCCCGAGTGAACACTGAGTTGTGTCTCCCGTGAAAAAGTCGGCTTGATACACCCTTAGGAGTCCAATCCCAGATATCGCAGATCTCTCATCCTGATCCTGATATGGCTGAGATCACAAAGGCCGCACCAAACCAACATTTGACGGACTGGTGCGAAGCGTGATGCGTCTACGCCAACGTCCGCTGAGCCAGGTGCAATAGACAGGGGTAAGCGTTGAGACAGCGTGTCACGCTTTACCTTATCTAGTATAGTGCGGACCTGTTTCCTTGACTGGTCTCTGATTGACGAAACTCAAGCTCAACCCCAGCCTCCTGAGGTTTCTGCAAGCCTAGGAACAGCCAGTGGAAGATGGTTCATATCGAGGAAGACTCACCCTCGCTTGATGAGCACCTCACTCTTAGGACGATTCAAAGAGCGCAGCTGGCCACCGCCTTGCTCCGAACTGAACTCGAGGCCATCTACACTGTAACTAGCACATGTAGGTACATTGAAACTGCATGACCTCATTTCCAACGCTACATTTGGACCTAAACCATTCCGGCCTCTTCTCAAATGATAGCATGGCATCGAGCCCCTTGGCGCTTCTCCAAAGCCTAGCGCGGACGCCTTCCTCATGTCAAAATCGAGCTCGGCACGCCTGCAGAAGGGCGGAATATTGGATTCGCTGTTTCCGGCGAACTCTTTCGATAGCTGCAACGTCCCAACTAGTGAAGCCGTAAGAATGGGGTTGTGAGGGCGCATTTCGGAAGGCATCCGAATTCAAGTCTACATCGGGATCTGTATGAAGATCATTATCCGCTGACTGTAAATAAATCCGACGGGCATTATACCTTAAGTAACCTGCGGGCGACTCCGGTATTCCTCCCATAAGACGCTCATGATCGTATAGACAACCATCACGAGAACCTCCACGAGACTAGAGGTAGCTTCATATGACCAAGGTGATGAAGACTCTGAATCCATAAATGTAAGTTCCGATCTTCGTCACTAGGTAATTGAAACTCATACTCTTGCTTACCTGTCACCACTGCCGTCGAACTAAGACTGAACCTGATTTCTGCAGGTAATTACGAGATTGTGAATGACTACAAGACATCGGCCGAACCTCCGCTTGAGCAATGAGTTCTAGGTTCTAGAGTAGAGAACGAAGCATATTATATCCCGCAGTGGCGTTTTAAATGAGTTAGTACTAATAAGGTATCGATCTGGCAGCGGTTGACAGGCGTTCCTTCGACAGGGGCGGAATTTTTACAGGCTCTTCACATCCTCCTTACGCAATAGCGCGTTTGGTTGCGCTAATTGGCGGAGGTCTACTTATGCTTAGGTACGCCTACTCGGAAAGCTAGCCAAAGGAAGCGCGCTTCAGGGTTGAGGAGTGTCGATGAGGGAGACCGCTTCGCGCGGTGATATAATAGAGGGCATTCCCTTCAGATTCACGTATTTAGAGGAAAACACAGCTTAATGAAGCTAGGAAGAACAAATGTAGAAGAAACCTAAGACTCAGGAAGGATTACATCCTGATCTATTTGCAGAGAGTGGCTACCCGCGCAGTTCAGATACTGGGAAAATCCAACCAGGCACCTATCTTCAATCATAGAGGAAGAGATTCCAAGCGTAGTATGAGACTAAAGTGAGCGAGGGATGTGATGGGCTTCTAATTGCTCGAATACCCCGTGCTTACCGGCAAACGGGCTAACTCGAATCTCCGGATCGCGTTTCTAACACTGGCCGCCTAAAGGTCGTACAGTTCCAAGAAAGTCGATGTTCAATGTACGATCTTTTCCCCGAGTTGGAGCTGAGGAAATGTGGATGCGTCGTATATGCAAACCCCTCACCGGTTGAAGTAATTCTCGTAAATCCCAACCTGTCGGTAGCAACCAACCTTTACCCATCAATGACGTAGCATTCTTGCTAATACCTTTAAGCCAGTATTTATTCTTCTACTTTTTCGTTCCTGGCTAACGAAGCTTCATGTTCGATAAGAAATCATGAACTGGCGAATGCACTGGGACACAGCCCCCTCCAACATCAACACGAAACGAGTTATCCGATTGCTCTTTTGCTTCGCTCTTCTTGACCTCATTAATGCCTGCCTCATTAATTCGTATGGGAATCCTCTGGTCGCGGCATCTTCAACACTATATACTCGACAGTATAACGAGTCGTTAGAGGCTCGAGCCGAGGAAATCTTGAAGGATACTCCACTTATTGGTAGGGTACCTATGGCATACGCCCTCCACTGGCCTGCTAATCGTGGTTTACAGATGGGCACAGTAAGTTATCATTTATCGGACGACAGTAGTCTCCGTTTGAGTGACTGACATTGTTCTGCAGACGACCTTGCCTACTTCCTTAGATGGGCGCACAGCAACCACATTTACCTAGACAACTTCACCGTCCCGTGGGAAAGTGGCGAGCTGGGCGGCGAAGTCGACCTGTATCGGCTCCGCAAAGGCCGCGTGGGTGGTACGTTTTGGTCGATCTACGTCGACTGCCCGAAAGGCAACTACACGCCTGAGTACTTCGCGCAAGGCTAGTCCTTCCCTTCTTCTAGTAGAAATCCTTCACACTAACCGCCGATACAGCCTTGGACGAGACCGACGCCGCCATCGATGTAATCCAAAGAATCCAAGCAGCATATCCCACTGCTTTCGGTCGACCAGAGAGCAGCTCCGATGCGCTCTCCATCTTCCAATCCGGTCGCATCATTTCGCCCCTAGGCCTAGAAGGCCTCCACATGCTCGGCGACTCCTTTGCCAAACTACGCGACTACCATGCCCGGGGCGTGCGCTACGCAACACTGACGCACAACTGCCACAACATCTACGCAGACTCCGCCATGACCGACACGCCGAACGGCACAGTGCAAGCAACGCCTAAATGGGGAGGAGTCAGCGCGATAGGTCAAAAGCTCGTCCTTGAAATGAACAGGCTAGGGATTCTCGTCGACCTGAGCCATACGTCGGCAGATACGATGCGTAGCGTGCTGGGAGGGCAGTCTGATCGGAACGGTAACGTGACGAATGGGACGACACCGAGATGGGAGGGTAGTGTTGCGCCCCCGATTTTCAGCCACAGTAGTGCGTTTGGATTATGCCCGCATCCGCGTAATGTCCCAGACGATGTGCTGTACTTGGTAAAGGCCCGCGGCGGCATCGTTATGGTAACGTTTTGGGCGGATTTTATCAGCTGTCGGTGGCCGGATGGAGTGCCAGTGGAGGGCCAACTGCCGGAGAGCTACCCACCAAACGTGACGATTGCTCAGGTCGTTCGGCATATGCGGTATATTGGAGATCTCATCGGTTACGATCATGTGGGTATTGGAAGCGATTTTGACGGCACTCCATTTGCGTTGATGGGTTTGGACGACGTCTCAAAATTCCCTAACCTCGTCATGGAGATGTTGAGGCAGGGGATTGAGGATGACGACGTGAGGAAGATTGTGGGTGGGAACCTTTTGCGGGTTTGGAAGGTGGTGGATAGTGTTGCTACTGCGATGCAGGTTGACGGCACGCTTCCCGCGGAGGATGACTTGGTCTGGCTCCCGAATCCATGGGAGGGGTTCTAGGTATAAGGACGAGAAGTGGAAGGGGCATTGACAGACTCGAAATATGTCGATGTGACGTTATGCTATGTCAAATCTGCTACCTTTATCCATCAGGGTTCGGTCTGAAGTGGAGCTCCCGGTCGAAGTTGACATCGTGGCGTAGTTTGAGATCGATCACTATGCCGTGGGTTTCGAGTGCGAGCAGCGACTGTTTCGTTATTGGTGGAAATCGCGTACCGTGACGTTGACCGATCGTGGTAGAGTGAGGAGACGCAGTGAAGGTATGGGTCGATTCGTGTCCCTCCATTTTACACCCCAAAACACGTCAACGATATCCCGCTCGCCTCCTCAGACGTAGGAGAGACGTATATGCATCCTGCTGATGCTTCCGAGCCGCGCGTATGTCGACCCATTCGAGAGTGGCCGGAGAGAAGCGCGGAGATGATCCGAGTTCTACATCTACACCGGCATTAGCGTTTATGTCGTGTCTGACAATGAGCACAGCTTACCTAGTGTTTGCGCCTTAGCCCACCACCATCTCTTGGGATTCCATTGCAGCTTGTGTAGCCTGCAACATTTCCAAGCAAGACTGATGCTGGAAAAATTCACCATACAGAAGATGGCTAGTAGACTGAAGACTGCTTCTTTCGACCATGGAGAAGATGATAGGTGGGTACCATTCGAAGTACCTATCAGAATTAGCCTTCGTAGAGTTCTAGGGAATTTCAGGATGCATACCGGTGGTCGTCATCGGCAAGAATTAACGCAGGACAATTCCGTAATGAGCAGAAGGTGAACAAGAGTGGAAAAGAATAAAGAAGCGTGAGGTTGTTGGGCAGAACTTAAGGCTAAAAGCGTGTTGGGAAAAATGTAAGACAGATGTAGAAGTGAATTAAGAGGCAGTCAGGAGGCAATTGGGGAGCAGCCAGTAGGCCCGGGAGGTGCAGCTAGTAGGCCCCGACCGCGGCTTCGATAAGGCGGTCTACAGTAAGGGCCTGCGCCGTGTGTGGGGCCGTAAGCGAGTGGGCGGGAGTGGTTGATCAACGTCGACTCCCGCTTGGCGGAAGATTTAGCGGCCTGATGAGGTGATCCGAACGGTGGAACGTAGTGGAATGCTAGCTGGAACCGGTTTTGCCTTACTGGCAATTAACCCTCAAGAGAAACCGACCTGCAGCGTCCTGCTCTAACGGATCCAAGAGAGCTTGACGGCATCACAAACTCCCATTAGGAGGAGCTGCCTGTGCTGCCGCTCGAAACGTGAGCGACGTGGCCCTCGAACACACCTCATGCACATCACAGCTCGCGGTGCATGGCTGTTAATCACTTTGTTTTTCTTCCTTCTTTCGCCAGACAACTGCGGCCGATGTTCTAAAGGATGCAGACGTATGGTTACGTTGAATACAGAGGGCTTCTGGCTTGGATAATCAGACTAGACCAGCAGTTGCAGGTCTTGCTATACCTGTGCGATGAAAGATACCATGAAATAATCCGGATGCGCAATGCAAGATTGCTGCCCATCCGAATACTTTGATTTGCGTAGTTCGATGCGATCGTAGTGACAATGTGCAGGGTTGTGGCTGTGGACTGATTCTTCCAAAGCCCCGGCCACAGGATGTGACGTCTCGATAATCCGCCTTGTGCCTCGCCTGCGGGCTGCACCGCGCATCTAGCTGCATAGAAATGGCGGGAGCTGCAGCTGCAGCTCCATAGCTTCCGCGTGTTAACGCTCCGGGAAAGAATGCACGATTGGTCGGAGGTACGCGTAGCTGCTGAGACCCGCTCCTTTTGCTTTTCGTCAAGCCGGCTGCTTAGCAAGGGCCGCATGAGGATTCGCGTAACCTAGGGTGGCGGTTCTTTCCACCGGATCGTGGGCCTAGGCGAGTTGATGATCGCTCCAACAGGTGTCTTTCGCTCCGTAGGAAAACGGCCTTGACCTCGTAACGATCAGCTGAAGGCTCCGTTGCTGACCCATCAATATAATGTCCAGGATGCTCACAAAATATTGGAATACTGGCATCGACGCTCTTAAAGTTGCCATATTCGAGATTCTAGTGCACTGACGTCCGGACTTTGGGTCTTAGAGGTGCAATACCGGTGCGCCGGGGCTATGACAAATATCATCAATTGAACTACCTACAAACTTCGTTCAGCTCGACGGCTCCAAAGTGCCAAACATGACCATTGGAGGCGCGAGACCTAGGTACCCAGCCGACCCTCCCAGCGGACGGGTTGTGACGGAATGGTCCTGCATCCAAGAGCTAACAACCTTAAAACATTATCGACCTCTAAATAGCACCATATGTCCATCTCTTACGCCCCATGAAGGGAGAATCCCCGCTCGATAAGGATATAAGCGATGCCTGGTGTTGGGTATAAACATGAAGCGCTAAAAAAGTGACGGGCTGCATCCAAGACGGACAAACTCCGTAGTATGTTGTCGGAGCGAGCCCAAAAGCAGAAGTGAAGGATATAGGAGAATAAGGAGATTAACCCCGAATACCCGGCCACCGAAGGGAGGAAATATCACAAAGGAAAAATAGGCCATGACCATTCCTCATGAAAAAAAACATTACAATGCCTGGCCCGGAACTGGTTTCCTAGACGGCATTGGCATATTGACGTTGGGATTCATGCGGCTTGGGCCAGGCGGTGAAGCGCGGCGCGCCATGACCTGGCTCGCGGAGTTCGATCGCGGACGACCCATTTGCGGGGGAGGGGCCATTTGAGGGCCGCCTCCGTAGGGGCCCGGCGACATTGAGCGAGGAGGTCCGGCGTAGGGCGCGTTGCTATTCGATCGGGCACGTCCTTGAGGCGGAGACATTTGGCGCGGTCCGGGGCTCATAGAGCGGGGACCGGGAGACATGCGACCATTGGCGGGGGAAAGTGATGGCGGGTGAGGAGAGCTGCGGCCACTCGCTGGAGAGTGCGGACGTGGCTGAGGAACTCCTCCTGGGCCCATTTGGGGAGCCACTGGCGGTCCTCGCGCACGAGGTCCTGGTGGTCCTTGTCGAGGTGGTCCCTGGCGAGGCTTGACCGGGTGCTTGGAAAGGCAGGTTCGTGGGACAACACCTTGTTGCGATCGATCCATGCGGACGCAGAGAGCCCATCCGTCGTCGTATTCATGAAGCATGCGAACCAACTGCCCAGCGCGAAGCTCGAGCTCGTCTTGCATGGAAGGCTTGAAATCCAGTTGGACGCGGTGGACATTGTTAGGAGCAGGGGCTGGTCCGTTGGTGGGTCCGCCAGCGACAGCAACAGGAGGAGGTCCGGTAGGTGCAGGACCAGGAGAGGCAGGAATATCTTCAGTCCAAGCGGGGCTAGGCGGTACGCTGTCAAAGTTGGATTTGATGCTCGGTGGGGCAGGAAGGGGTGCAGAGTGTGGTGCGGCTTCAGCCGCCGCGATTGCTTTAGCAGGATTGGCGAAGTCTGTGCTGGGGGCTGAAGAATGGACGGCGATTGAAGGTGTAGCAGGAGCAGAAGCCTGGGGAGTTTCAATGGCAGCGCGGTTGGAGAAGGGGTCCTGTAGAGGGCGGTTTGAAGGCGGTTGCGGGTCGTTGAAAGGATTGGCAGTAGCACCAGCAGCATTAGCGGCTCCAGGTCGTTCCCAAGAGCTGCTTGGTCGATCAGGCGAAGGTGCGCGTTCTCCTGAACGAGCAGCAGGAGCGGCGGCGGCGGCAACACCGAGCAAGTTTCCACTGCTCTTGCGGTTCGGGAAGGACGGATCAAATTGCGTAACCGGGCGAAGGCTGAGACGAGGCGCGGTAGACATGGTGCGGGCTGTCCTAATGCTAGGAGCAGCTTCGACCTGTGGGGGCGGAGGCGGAGGAGCAGCATTGTGCATGGCGGCCTTCTCGTCGACCAATTTTTGCTGGGCGAGCTGCTTCTTCTTGCGGTGATAGATGAAGAGAACGGCACCAAGAAGTGCACCAATGGCGATCAGGATGCCGAATGCAAGACCAGCCTTGGCTCCACCGGACATGCCACTGCTTCCCGTGGCTTCAGCGGTTGCGCTAGGGGAGGAAGACACAGTGGCAGCTGCGAGGCCACCGACGACAGTGGAGCCTGCGAGGGGCGTGCTGATAACACGCGGCGATGAAGTCGCAATCATCAACGTGGACGCGGTGTGCTTGGGAGTTGATGTGGCTTTGGCAGTCTCCTCAGCTTCGTTTGATTTGGCCGTTGCAGACGGCTGCTTTGAGCTCGCTGCAGCTCGAGACGTCGGCTCTGGGTCATCTTCCGTCTGCGCCGGGGCGGTCGTCTTGACAGCTGGGGGTAACAGAGTCTTCGGGGCTTGCGTCACCCAAACTACGTCTCCAGTGTAGGTATTTGCCAGGGTAACGACAACGGTGGCCACCTGTTGCTGCTCCTCCTCTTCCTCCTGTTGGCGATGGCGCTGTCGGCGCACCAGGTGCGATAGCCCGTGCTGGTGAGCCATGACGCATAGATCGAGCGACTGAATGCGGCGCTGATCTCAAGCGGTCGAGGGAGCTCTGGAGTGCCTTCGTAGAGAATGCGACGGGACTTGAGCGGTGGTGCGATTAGGGTATTACTGCGTGATAGTTTACGACGGCAAGGCGGATATATACAGCGGCGATGACGATGGTCCAAGGGAGGTCGGGCTGCTGCGAGGAATGTGGCGGCGTTGGATCTGGCCTCGTTTCTGCGCGACTCTCTCGGAATGTGTGGATGTACGGTCGCAAGCTAAGCACTGAACATAAAGAGTGAATTAGGCGGGGGTGTGTAAAGAGTGAATTGCGAGGGCTGCGCTCGATGAACGAAGGGCGAACGACAGCCGGGTCGCGGGTGGGAAAGGCGAAGTGAAGCAGCTGGGGGGAGGGGGGAGGGCGGAGGGAAGAGGGCGGGTGGTGAGAGGGAAACGGAGGGTGTCCAGGTGGAGAGAGGAAACACGGCAGACGAGCAGCTGGGCCGTTTGGTTCGCGTGCCTGGCGGCCGAAGCGCCCACTGCAGGCCCGTGCGCCTGTTCATCATTTCGCCATTCACACTAGCTGCCGCTTGGCCTCAGGCACCGTCTCGTCGCCATTGGCTGTTTCATTTAATTTCCCGGCCTGCCAGATACGCCCTGCCTATTTTCAACCCGCGCATCTTGTTGCTGTCGACGAAGCCCTCATCGCGCTGCCCCTTATCGACGCTATCAGCCCGGCGACGCTGACGTCGGCCCTCCAGCGATCTGGAAAATAATGACACGACTTGTGCAAGCCACGGCTTCGACTGTTGATCTCGAGACGGGAGGAATTTACGAGTGGCTGATACGTGCTAGCTTTTCTTCATTCCACAGACCCGCCGCACAGCCGCATACGAGCTCGAGGCCGCGGGCAAATTGATTGCTGTCAGCGAGCCCGTGGACGGCTGCGTACCCTCAAACACACTAAAACTGCGAGCAATTCATAAGAAGAGCCGCCCGGGCTCATGTTGCCGGGCGGCCGAGTGGATTTGCTTTTGGCCCTGAAAGGGACCCCTAGCGCAGCTCGCAATCTCGAGCCTCGCTGTCATTTAAGAGCCGGCGGTGGCTGTGTTCTTTAATTCTTCTGTGCATCGACCCCACAGGAAGATCATATTGTTTTACCTACCATCTACAAGAGTGTTCGGGAACAAGTTGGTTCCAGTCCCTTGATGCCATGTACATTGACCAATCCGCATGCTGTGCTTCATAGAAATTTACGCTCCTGTGCTGTGGACACCGGAGAACATTACTTCTATAGACTGAAATGGAAAACGACCGTTGTGTTCCCTGCTGAGCACATCTGGCTTCCACGTAGAATATCTAATCGTGACGCTTATTACCATGTGTACCTGCACCGGCCCAAAACAACCCCCTCCCCACGATCTATCCCTATCCCGGCGCACACATTCCACACGCAAAAAAAGACGCAACTCATCACCACCACCGGCAAAAAGACATTGCCCACTATCAGAATCGAACTGATGACCTTATCATGGCTAAAGCAGCTACTAGTGATACGCTCTACCACTGAGCCAAGCGGGCCAGAGTGAAAAACTCCAGCTGCGGTGAAGCTATTGTTTGATTCACTTTCACCTCCCACAAATATATATACTTTTGTAAAAAGGGAAGGAGCGACCGGTGGCAAGGAAGGTGCGAAAGGTGGTGAATTTTTGGGATGTGCGGGGTAGGCGAGCCAATAGTGCGTGGTGCGCTGGCAGGCTAGTCGGAGCTGGTGCGCGAATACGAAGGTAGAGACAAAAGACTGTCTTGAAAATTAGACACCTAACGAACGACCCGCCAACACCATCTCTTGGGTAACCAGAGTAGTGTTTAACACGGGATGTCCTCCCACAGCGGATAATAGTTGCCGCTGGGATGTGAGATTGGGCTGGAAAGCATTCATCACGAAAGGATTCCTGTGCACGCTACTCTGCCCATACATGGATGCACCGTGATAGTACGTCTCTGTATAGTTCTTGAGCAAAGTCCAAACATTACGTTTAGGCGAGCTTCATCAAGGGCTCATGCTAAACACAACTTTATTTGACATAGAGTCAGGGGAAAGGAATCGCGGGCCTTTCCAACGCTCATATATCCTAAGTAAAACCCGGCACAGTGCCTTGCGCTTGCCTCCGCTCCCCGCCCCCTAGCAGACGTTCGCTGCTATCGCTCCTACCAACGACCCTCATTCCCTCTTCTAACTAGTCCGAACCGGTGTCTTCCCACAAGCTGGCACACCATCTATACACTTCGTCAATGATCAGCACATCATTCGACACCAGGCACCTCACCGTCACAGCTAGCATTAGTCCAATAGTCGCTGATCCAGCAGCTCCAACCCGGAACATAATACCACTTGGTATTCCCGTTGACGTTCTTGCCAGTCGACGAGCAGCGCACGCCGAAGTTGTCGGTGTAATAGACGGTGCGGACACGGTTCCCATTGAACTGGTCCGAGTCGCAGCCCTGTGGTCCGTTGACGTTGGGGTGGAACCAGCAGTACTTGTCGCGCGCCTCGAGGTGCTGGAGCGAGTGGGCCACCGGGTTAGGGGTAGTCATGGGATTGGCAAGAGCGAGGGGAAGGAGGGTATGTGCAAGGAGCTTCATGATGGGGTTTGCGTTCTGAACTCGGCTTAGTGGCTGGAAATCGAGCTTGAGGCCTGCGGAGAGAAACGACAGTGGCAATCGTCCTGCCTTTATAGTCGCTGTAGCGGCCCTTCTTGAGCCCTCTTTACCGACGATGAGCATCGTGTGGTATCGCCATGAGAAGTTCTGCTCAAAGCCAAGGAGAAATAAGCGCCGAAAAATATGTCGTCCAGACTCAATGCCCCCTGGGTGGAAGATTCTAAGCGTTGAAAACGAGGCCGAATACGAAGTGTGGAATCTGGAAGCGCTCTTGGACTTGGAGCCGGTAAGAGGCAGTGTTCCTAACCTGGACGGCACTCGAGGTGGTATTTTCGGTTCAGCATATTCCCTCTCCATATGACTTTGGTTTGTAGCATTGCTCAGGCCTTGTGCGTTAAGACGTGCTATGGCGGAGCAGAAGATCGTCAACCTAAGCTTTAGCTATACGTGGTTTCGATGACTTGATCTAAGCAAGAATGATGCTCGCTAGGTCACTCTTCGCTTGTAAATTGGCACTCTTAGCTTTGCTCTGAGCGATATAGTCCTGCCGTCCGGGGGCTCGCCGTCCGCTGTTGAAGTGGTGTTTGATAAACCAAGACGGAAGGCGGCATAAGTTGGTGGCGCGTCTACCAACGGGTATGGCGCAGAATACGCCTGGAGGGTCGTTCATTGTTGAGGGTATACAGTTCTAATATAAAAGGAAGCGCATCAAAAAGCCAACAGGGGCTGACAGAATATGAGTACCTGCAGGTAAGAAATCTTAGCTTTTACCTCATTCGGACGGGAGGGGACATCCCTCTACCTCTGAGTTGCACTCCTAGGCCGAACCGCAACCACTACGGCATCTCTTGGGAGAGGATGGCGCCCCCTATTTGGCTTTCGGTACTGCCATTGAGGAGGGAGCAGCGATACGCTGTGCTATGCGGGCCTTCAGACCGCGTGTTGGGCACACATGTGCTGTACAGGCGGCAGTCAAAGTGATCACGCGGGCTACAATTCGGAGTTGACTAGGGCCATTCAAACGCCCTGATGGAAAGAGATGATGTGGACGAACGAAGAAAAGAGAAAGATGCAGGCCGTCTGCTGTAGTCTCCGGTCTCCTTAGCAAGCCAGACGCAGGGTCCGATGAGCTCGGACCAACCATGACTCGTAGCTGCCAAAATTCCCGACCTCCACCAGCACAACAATTCCAGCACAATTCACACAAAAATGAACGACCCGGCATTCGCGATCGAAACCGACCTCCAAACGCAGAGCATCCTCCTTGCTGCCGCAAATCACGACATCGCCGCGCTACGCAACCTCCTCCGCAACTCCTCCGCCAACGTCCAAGACCCAGAGACTGGCTTCACACCCTTACACGCTGCAATTGCTGCCTGCGAGCCAGGTACGGAAGAAGCGAACCGAGTGAATGGGCATGAAAATGGCGACAGAAATGGGGTACGGGAAGGCGAGGACAGCGAGGAGAGGACGCAAGAGCTCGAAGGCGCCGTGAAGACGGTCAGGCTACTGTTCGAGAACGGTGCGATATGGAACGACCTGGACGGCAATGGCGAGACGCCCGGCTGCATAGCGCACAGATTGGGACTGAAAGAGCTGTATGAATTGTGCGTGGATGGTGGTGTGCGAGCCGAGCTGCTGCTGAGTCGACTAGACGAATACCAGCCGCTGGGTGATGCTGATTCCGACGAAGAGGAAGAGGATATTGAAGAGGTACTTAAGGGTACTCGAGAGACTCAAGATAGCCAGGAGGTACATTTAGATGACAGAGAGTTACATCCGGACGACTCGACGCGAAACCCCAACTATCTCGCCTCAACTCTGACCTTCGACCGCAACAAGATAGTAGATGAGACGACTAACGGCGTCATGATGGGGTGGGAAACCACCTTCATGAGACGATCTGCGGAGCTCCTCCTGCCTACCACCGGCCTTCGCGTGCTCAATATTGGGCACGGTATGGGGATCATTGACGGGTTCTTCCAAGAGAAAACTCCGAAGTCGCACCACATCATCGAAGCACATCCAGATGTGCTGAAACAGATGAAGGAAAAAGGCTGGCACGATAAACCTGGGATAGTCATTCATGAAGGCCGATGGCAAGACATCGTTCCCGGCCTAATGGAAAGGGGCGAGCTCTATGACGCGATATATTTCGATACTTTCGCCGAAGAGTACAAGGCACTACGCGAGTTCTTCACCGAGTGTGTCATCGGGTTGCTTGACCCCTCTCGAGGCGCAGATGGAGAGGGAGGAAAGTTCGGCTTCTTCAACGGCATGGGCGCGGACCGGCAAGTCTGCTACGACGTCTATAATAAGATCGTCGAGATGGATCTCTTCGAAGCAGGCTTCGACACTGAATGGGAAACGATACCGATCCCAGACCTTGACGCAGAAGGAGAATGGGATGGAGTGAAGAGGAAATATTGGGTTCCCGATAAATACAAACTACCCACGTGCAGCTTTATCGGCTGAGAGACCCCAGACGCCCACATTCGTACGCCAACGCTAAAACCAGATGCCACCTTCCTACAGAATATCCCAACCAAATATTTGTGGAGTGAAGGCATGCAGACTCCAAAATCCGAAAAGCTTTCGCCCGGGTTTGTTACGAGCTGTTTATCCCGTTCACACCGTTCAACCCGGACATGAGCCCATGCTCTTTCAGCAGGCTGTTGTACCTTTCTTGCTTAGGCTCCACCAGCTGTTTGGCAGCTTCTGCGCCTGCCACCGGCAATCGTTTGAGGCCATCCTTCCTGAGATTCTTCGGGACCGCTTTTGGATCTAAGAGACTAACCTGCAATAATACGGAAGCCTGATCCCAGTACATATGCTCTGATACCAGCTTGCCTCCCCGCACGGCGACGATGCTTACGACAGCGATTTCGACATGCTTGTCCGTTGGTGGTACGCCCGGCAGTATCCAGTCGACCTCATCCGAATGCGTGAACGATACCACCATCTCATCGACAACGCGTTCAACGCCCATGGTACGCGAAACCAACCGGATTTCGAAATCATCGACTAAGCTCGGGATGAAGAACTCGCGGTAGAATTCTTCTAGCTTCCTTCTTCCAACGCCACCTTCTAGTGTGGGGAGAAGGGTAACATGGGGACTGTTCTGCGTCATGTTCTTGACCACAGCCATGCTCCCTCGCTCTGGAACCTCGTCGTTATACTTCGCGTTCCACGCCTCTTGCACCACGGGTTCAAGATCGACCTCTCTCTTGAATCCTCGCCTTACACACCCCAGCGCCCTGCTCCACGACAGGTTCGCCTCAACCTCCGAGTATGTCTTCGCCGTTGGATCCGCAAACCCTGTCGCGCATCTATCATACCGGTACAATCGCCACTCGCACATCTCCGGCGGCGGACTAACCTGGCTCCTCCCGGCAACATGGACTTGCAACTGCAGCAGGGTTGGGAACTTCGTCTTGGGAGCGGGGAGCACAGGCGGGTAGAACGCGACAATGGCGCAACACTTGTTTAGCGGCTTCATGGCGACCTTGAGCACCACGCTCGCGGCATCGCCATAGCATAGGATGGCGTACGTTTCGCCGAGCTCGAGGTCGTCGTGCAGGTGCTTGAGCGTGCGGATGTAGCTCGCTTGGTCTGAGGGGTTGTAGGGAAGATAGCTAGTGTCGTAGCCTTCTTCCTTCCAGGCTAGGAGCGCTTTTTCGGGCGGATGCGGGGAGGTGGCGGTCAGCCAGATGCGCGGAGGGAGGGAGTTGAAGCTGAGGAAGCCGGTGCCGGACTGCGTCGGTGTGGTTATGGACATTTTCATTTCCAGTTGGGTTTCGCGTCGTTTGGATGTAGGTTCGAATCAGTCGTTGCTCATGGATGTGAGCTCCTCGCGCCTCAACGGGGACTCGAAGGAAATTCCGGTACTTGTAATCTTGACGCGCATGGCGGGGTCCTAGGCTGCGTTTAATCCTAGTTGCGGCTTTCCATCCCCAGCTTTGTTCCAAGTTTCGGATGGAAGCTTGCGCACAGACGCGTGGTGCGCATTGGAAGATTCGCAGGGTTAGTGACGTCATGGTGCATGCGACATTCACGGCCCGCTCGTGAAAGGATTTGTGCACGTCAAGACGCCCTTCACTATTTTCTTCAACACTTTAAACTATCATTCATTCCGTCCCATCACTATCCTTACAAGGATTAAATCTCCCCTTCCTCGGAAACTAGCCCGTAGCACATGTAGAGTCCAACTGAACGGGTGCTAATCGTCTTCGAATATGCGCATAGGGTGATATATGACTGTCGAAAAAGAAATTTCCTCCTCCATCTCGTTCTCTAATCAACGTCCAAATCTTACATACAAAGAAGAAAGCAAACGCACCTCCACTCTAGCTAAAGCCACGCCCAACTCCCTACCACCCACACCACAAACAACACCGCCTCAATCCCCAACACCAATCCACCCATTAACATCCCACTCCCCACTCTCTCCGCGCGGCTACGCGACTCAGGCAGCGCCCACGCGCTCTCACCCAAGAAGATCCATAGCAGGGGCGCTAGTACGCAGAGCACTAGCATCAGAGCTAATACGGATATAATGCGGATAGCGGAAAACGAGTGTACGAATTGGATCGTAGTGAGGGTATCCGGGAACGAGGTAGAGTGCGGATGTAGCGGTGACGGCGTTGCGGAGTCCTTGTCGTCGTACTCGTTGGCGTTGCCAGAGGGGAGCTGCGAGTCGGCATCGAGGCTTTTTGCTCGGTGACGCCGCGGACGGGGGTTGGAAGAGCGCATGGAGTAAGAGTGTGAGAGTGTGGAATTGGAGGCGGCGACGCGGCGTGCCCAGTGCACCCATGTGTACCGCGCTTTGCCTGTTTGAGGGCGCTGGTACAGATCCACGAGATTTTGCTCTGTGAAGGGACTTCGAGCATCGGGGTCCGTGTCTAGGCCGCCGCGTGCGGCTAGGAATCTGCTCGAGGGAGGCGGTTTGGCTGAGGGGGTGGAGGGAGAGCCGCTCCATACGCTGACTTGGCCGAGCTGGATGTACCTGAGTTTGCGAGCGGAAAGGACGCGCAAGATCCAGGGTCCAGTGAGATTTTTATAGCCTTCCCTTAGGCGATTGGCGAAGAACATGTCGTCGAAGTCAACTGTGACCGCCTTGCTATGCGCCTTTTCTGGACTCTTACTTCCCACCCGCCCCCTCTTTTTACCCTCCGGACTCCTCGTCGTCGTCAAACTACTCGGCACAACAACACTTTCCAACCTCCCTCTAACCCCGTACCCTCCCCTCCTGCTCCTTAAACTCAACCATACAACCCCTTCTCTCCCACCCCCCGTACTCTTCCTGCTCCCATTTCCCTCCCACACCCCCTTCTTCCTCCCCACCGCCTCACTCCGACTCCTCACCACCCCCTGCGCATCCTCATTCCTCTGCAGCCGACTCCTTAGATCAAACTCGCCATCGCTTGCCACAATGCCTAGCACATGCTTTCCTTTTCTTGCCTCATAATCCACATTTCCATTATGCGTCTGCCTTGGCCACGTCCTCGGCTTCGGGAACTCCTTCCTCGCGCTGAAGGGGTAGGGCGTTTTGATGAAGTGAGACGGGAGGTGTGCAGGGCGGTCTGGATCGTCGTTGGGAATGGAGATGGGGGAGAGCGTTATGTGGCGCTGCTCGGTGAGGGATGCGGGTCTAGGGAGGGGGGCGGAGTGCCCGTGCGAGAGGGAGCGTTGATGGAAGTGGGAGAAGGAAGCTGTTGAGGGGAGAGATTCAAGGGCGCGCATGGTGATTGCGTGGGCGTTGAGGATGGAGTCTGCGCGGATGCTTTCGCCTGTGTTTCGGCGGTGTCGGCCTGGGAAGGTTGCGCTTGGCATTGCGCCGATTTCGTCTTCTCCATGGCCCGCATTCATGTCGGGAAAGGGCTTTGGGAGATCATCTGAATCGTTGCTCATCATGGACTCGCGCGGTGTTCCCTGACCGGCGGATCCTGACCCGGCGTTATGTACGACGCGGACTTTGCCTAGACGTCGGACAGACAATTGTCGCGCTTTCCCGGTCCCTGTACGCTCGAGTGGAGAGGAGGAACCGTCATCCGCGGTCGCGGTGCCGGAGTCGTGCGCAGGGATCTGATTGAAAGAGGGAAGAGCTCTCAATAGACCATCATTTTGCGGTCGTGGTCGCCCTCTAACTTCCTCCTCCCCGTCATCATCTTCAAGAATGCCAGAGTTCCTGATTCCCAACCCTTCCACTTCCGAGAAGTTGCGTGTCTCATTATCGTCTTCCCATTCCGAATCATTATCTTCACCCGAAGAGTCTTCGAAGAAGTCCGCTCCCGGAGAGAGTCCCTGGTCCATGAACTCACTCATTTCGGGTCGAACGGAGCGTGTCCTCATAGGAGGAGATTCCACGACTAGGGGTGAAGATGCGGGACTGGATGACAAGCGCGCGGAAGGATGACTTAGGATGAGAGTCTGCGTAGGGGGGGTCGGAGGCGAAGATGGCAGTCTAGGGGACGGCACGGGATGTTGTTGGAGAGGCGAAGGGTATTTCGGTAGCGGCGAGGACTCCATCTTCCTTAGTTGCTTCCAGTCGAGCAGGGGGGAGAAGGATGCTTGATGGAGGTGGGCCGATAGGTTCGGCGACGGCGTCTTTTTGGTCAGTGGAGTCTACTTAATCCCCTCGGCTAGCAGCTGCGATCAACAGAACAAAGTGTATGCTGAAACGCAAGCGGCACAAAGAAACAGAAAGTTCTTGAAAGAGGATCGTCCGACGTGGTGGCAATGGTAGAGAGGCTCAAAGGGAAATTACCCTAAACAAAGAAGATATGTGTCTGAAATGATCGCCCGAGGTTCGGCAACTGGAAGATAGACCTAGTGGAATGCGGTCATAAGACGTTTTTGGCGAGCTGTTCGGCCCGTTTTATTCTTGGTGTTGTTGCATTCCTGAGGAGCCGTTTTAGGAAACGAGCCTACGCCTCCGCGCGACCGCATCGTTCGAATGTACCATGTCACCTGAGAAAGACATAATGAAAAGAGATGAGTAAATGAAGATGAAACCGGACGGGATGCTGGATAAAAATATTTGAATGGAGCCATATACAAATCCTCGTCTAGAGACCCCAGCGATCTATGCGCATTGACTCAGATATACAGCGACAGATGAAGAACGCCACAATGCTGTACCATGATAACTTCCCAAAACTATGAGAGAATGCGTAGACGTGACAAAAAGCGAAACGACTGTCTGAAGAAAAGACTTTTCCTGATCGCGTTCAGTCGTTCTCTAGAATTATTCGCCGTCGCCGTCGAACATCTTGCTCATGGCCTTCTGAGCAAGTTCAACACCCAAGAAAGTAGCCGCGTTCGCAGGAACGGCTCGTGCCATAGCGGGTCCCATGCCCGGGAAGAAGGCCCTCAGGCCGCCGCTCGCGTGGATGCCCTTGATTGTGCCACTGATGGTTGGTCGACCTTCGGCACTCTGTAACCGGGATTTGATGGTGTCGATGGGGAAGACTGGAATCCACATGGCCACGCCGGCAGCACCACCGGCCACCATGACAGCGGAAAGCGAGAGCTGCCCGGGCAGACCTGTCTCTGGGTCTCTCGGTGTGAGCTTCCTCTTGACGACCTCGTATGTCGCAAAGTAGCAGGCGGAGCCTGGGCCGTCTCGCGCAAGTGTCATCGCAGAGCCCCGAAACACGGAGCGTATGCCGCCTTCCTTGTACAGCTGCCGTACGACATCGATACCACCCGAATACTTGGGCTTCTCGCCCGGTGCGAGCTGCTTCTGGCCCTGGATCTGTAGGAGGACTTTGACGCGCTCGAAGGGCGCGGTGATGAGGGTCATGGGGATTGCGCTGAAGAAGCCGGCGGCGGAGACCTGGGCGACGGAGTATTGGCCGTTTTCTACGGTGGAGAAGCTCGACACGAGCTGCTTGCCGACGTCGTAGCCCCAGAAAGAGACGGCAACTGGTTGTTGTTAGCATCTCCAGTCGCCTGGGCTGAGTTGCGCTGAACACTTACACATGGGCGTTACGCCCACGAGCGGCGCCTGAACACCGGCATACAGCCCCTTGGCCATTCCCTCTCTTGCAATTGTCTTCCTCACCACGTCCATGGCTCCGCTGTATACACCCTTCTCTGCAGTCTGCAACCGCACCTTTACAAGGTCGAACGGGTGCCCTACGATGACTGCGCAGACACCGCCCACGCCGCCGGCGACCAGCGCACGCAGCGACTGGAGCGACGATTTCGTGGCCACCTTGACATCCTCTTTCAGCTCCGCCGGGGAGGGCAGGTTCTCCGCCTTGAGCGGGTTCTTCGTGGTCATGGCGAGGGCTGGGTATGACGCAGGGCGCGTCAAGCTTCCCGATTGCAATTGCGCGCTGTACAGAGGCGAGCCAGGCGCAAGAAGCGATGACAGGGGACGGGGAAGCAATGCGATCGCAAGCTGGAGTGGAGAAGGCCAAAATTCAGCGCGCAGGGTGAAAGAAAGCACAAAAGCCAATTCACATGTGTGGTGCTCCAGACGTCCGGGTCTTGGCTTTCGTCGGCCGTGGATCGGCTGCGCGGGACGAGTGCCTCGGCAAACGCTCCCTGCGAAAGCCGCCCAGGAGCGCTGCCGGATTGGCAAATATGTCTTCTGCCATTATTCGCGGGGCGAGTGGAACAGTGGATTGCGGTCCTGAGATGGGCGGGGTGGTGGGCATGTCGAGGTAAAGGTCACGTCGATACGAAGGATCTCCACGGCCATGGATGAGGGTTCATACACCGGAGTGCGTACCTCTGCCTCGGTGCAGCACCCTCCGGTGCAACGGCGCTGATGCACACACAGGGCTAGGGCCGACTGCGCGGGTACCTGCGACGCCCGGCTAAGGTTATGCTGCCGGTCGAGCCTTCGCCGGGACACCGAGACGGCTATTGACAGTCATATCTAATACATGGCTTTCAACATGTCACGCTACTCGAGCCTAGCGAGAGACACCGGAACATGAGCTGTCTTGGCTCAGTCTAGATACGCCCTATCCTACATGCGTCGACTACGCCTACTTGCCGACGTTCGTGAAGCGCAGATACGGCTTGACCTCCTTCACCTCGCCGAACTTCTTCCTCGCATCCTCTGTCGACACAGACGGCGGCACGATGACGTCCTGGCCCGCTGTCCAGTCGATTGGCGTGACGACTCCCTCCTTATCACCCGTCTGCAAGCTATCAATGACCCTCAGCACCTCGGCCGTATTCCTCCCCGTGCTGGCGGGATACAGCATTGTCAGCCTAATCTTCTTGTCCGGATCTATCACGTAGACGGAGCGAATCGTGAAGGCAATCCCTCCCTCCTTGGCCAATTTGTCCAGGTCGTCTTGCGAGATCATGTCGTAGAGCCAGGCGACTTTGCGGTCGGCGTCGGCGATGATGGGGAACTGCACGTTCGTGCTGCACACCTCGTTGATATCAGAGATCCACTGGTCGTGCGAGCCAAGCTCATTGGCGCTCTGTGATGGCGGGTTAGGGGTGCTTTCAGCGCAATGGTGGCATGGCAACGTACGAGGCCAATCATCTTCACTCCGCGCTTGTCGAATTCATCCTTGAGCTTCGCGAACGCGCCGAGCTCCGTCGTGCAAACCGGCGTGAAGTCGGCAGGATGTGAGAAGAGGATAGCCCACGATCCATTTAGCCATTTGTGGAAGTCGATGTCGCCATGGGTGGTCTTTGCCTGGAAGTTCGGAGCTACAATGACAATTAGCGTTTGGAATACGAACCATGGAGTAATTGAACGTACCGATCGAGCCCAGACGAAGGCGGGGGAGAATTGAAGCCATTATCGTGCTTGTGGATGCTCAATTGGTCCAAGAGACAGCATGCGCGCCCTTATTTAGCTTTCTTCAATTCTCGGGGATTACTAAAGGAGCCTCGAAATTATCATGCCATTGCGTCATGCCGAATGCCAAAGGGCGCTCGGTCGATCGGCCGAGCGCCGACCTCCACCCTCCTCTATCCCCTATCGTCGTCCCTGCAGAAGCCTTACTAGACTACTCTGTCCTCCTTCTGCCCAACCATCATGCATCGCCACGCGCCCGTTCATTTGTGCGAACACCTTCCAATCAACCTCCCCCAGAATGGGCCCAGATACACTTGCAGTTTATCCGAATCCTCCCCGGGCTTTGTTCTCGGCTCGAGCTATCCAGTCGAGGAAATCTGCCGTTTGCTTCTAACGCACATTGCAGCAGAGCCTTGTCTCTGCGTCTGTTCCTCCTTAGGGTATGTTTCATCAACTTGCCGCAGTTCGTGCTTGGATGCGTGGGGTGATTGAGCGTAGCTATCATTGGTGGCTCCCATGACCTGTGCCGCATCCGTGCAGAAACGCCGTCAGAGACGAGGTGGGCGCCTACAGTGAGCGCCTGCTGCCTTGTGCATGCGATATGTCTCGAACCATAGCCCATTCAGACCGGACAAGCGCTTTTAAACGTTTGATGTGCAGTTAAATTCCCTCACCGACTACATTCTTCACCACTTCCAAAGAGAAGGGTCACCAAGGTAAGAAACATTTGAAGACCCATGTCGAGTATTATCTCTGGACTGATCTTGAGCCGCAGCATGTCGAGTTGAGTGCTGGCCCACATTCCGAAAGCCCCGCCATGTCGAATCGAACGACCAGTGCATCTGGGAGTCCAAACTCTAGCCCCTCCCGGTCCATTCCCTCATCTTCGCCATTCGCCTTTACGCCGTCATCGACGGTATTTGTGTTCGGGGAGCACCATACTTCCACTCCCCGTCCCACATCCGCAAGTAGTACAGCATCAGGGACCCCACTGTTCAGCTTCACACCGTCATCGACACCTTTTGCATTCAGCGAAGCGCATGCATCCCCTCCGACCTTCTCATTCGGAAACACGCCTACAAGCGCAAGTAGCCCAGTATTCACACCATCATCCACGCCATTCACGCTCGGAGCCCAACATGCATCTCCAGGTACAACTTCAGCTGCAAATAGTACGACATCAGGGACACCCCGCTTCACGCCGGCATCGACACCCTTCATGACGGAGCTCGGAAATGCATCTGCTAGTTCGCCGCCAGCTGCTAGCAGTACGACGTCGGGATCACTACGGTTCACACCATCGTCGACACCATCGGCATTCGGCGATGGTCCTGACCCAGACCAGCCTTTGCCGTCCATAGAGAGAGATATCTCATCTGCAGGCAGCCGACAAAATACCCCTAGCACAACTGTATACACGCCATCAGCTTCAACCGAGAGAGCTTCGACTCATCACAGCCTGGAGCATGATAACTTACACCAACACCTTCATAACTTGACGTTGGCATCGCCTGAAGTACAAGTGAGATCGCCTTTGCAGAGGGATACACCTACTCCTTCTATCCATGTTACCCCAGCACCTTCTGTGGACGGCCGCAGTCAACCCCGAGCCAGTAGGGCCGACAGACTCCTTACTGAGCTGAATGCCCTTCACATGGGATCCTCCCCCGGTTCAGGTTCTCCGGGTGGTCCCGGAACGGGCCAGAGCCGCTCTCCATCTCCATCACGCCGTCGCCGCTCTGGCTCTGGAGTCAATAGAGTGATCCACCGTATCGAGGATGAAAATCCGCCAGACGCTGTATTCCACGTGAGGGAGGTCCAAGAAGCTCTCGTCAGCGCAAAGAGCGTACCATCAAATATGCTCAATGTTCTGTCTGCGTCCGATCTGCACCGAGAACCGGGATCAGTAATTGAAAGCCTCCGTCAACAGGCCATGAGGCTGAGCGCATTTCAATTGCCATCGTCCCGTATTGTCGGACTCGTCGGCGACTCGGGTGTAGGAAAAAGCAGTCTAATTAATTCCTTACTTGACAAAAGGGACTTGGCCAGAGCGGTAAGTGACCCGCACTAAGCTTTCCGTATATTCAGCTGACCTTGAGATGACAGAGCAACAGCGGAGCAGCGTGCACCTGTGTCGTTACGGAGTACCACTACCATGACAGAGACGATTTTGTTGTACTTATTGACTACTTCACACTGGAAGAGCTGAGGAGACAGTACGGCGAATTGTTACGGGCTTACCGTGATAACGAATCGCCTCCAACAGATGCTACTCGAGAAGACCGCGAAAGCTTACGGCGTAGAGCTGATCTCGCCAGAGACACGTTCAGAGCAAGCTTCAGAGAGAGGCTAGAGCAAACACCGACAGTTCTTCTTTCCATGCCCTTCGATCATGCCGTGAATACGATGGTCGAATGGGCATCACAACTACTGGGATCCCGGGGGAGAGCCGATGGCCCAGCGGAGACGCAGGAAACAATCAATACGGCTGAAGGGTGCTCTTCACGGCTGAGAGAACTAACGTCAGAATTAGATAATCCCGACCCCAACAGAGCCGCTCGAGCATGCCTTTGGCCGTTCGTCCGGAAACTGAGGTAAGTACCGATCCCGCAAATCTATCATGGGGTGGCTCTCGTTGCCAGACGACCCCTTCAAGGCAACATCAATTTCATCTTCTCGAGATTCCTCATAAAATGACGCAATCGACTAATCAACCAAAACTCCAGGGTCTACCTGAAGGCTTACATTTTGAGCAAAGGGCTCGTCATTGCCGATCTTCCAGGTAAGGTAGTATTTCACCCAACAGCTCAATGAAATCTTACTGAGGAAAATAGGACTGCGTGACCTCAACTCCGCTCGCCAGAATGTTACTGAGCGGTATGTTCGGCAGTGTCATCAGATACTTGTTGTTGCGAGGATCGATCGAGCTATCACAGACCAAAGCATCAAAGACGTATTCGATTTGGCCCGTCGTGCTAGATTGTCTAATGTCGGTATCGTCTGTACGAGGTCTGATGTGCGTCACGCGCTCTAGCAGCTCAGACCCACACCTGCTGATGGAAGACAGGATATCCAAAAGAGGGAGGCAAGGGCGGACTGGCCGGCTGAAAGAACAAGAATCGACGCGATGCAAAGAAAAATCGACGCGATGCAAAGAAAAATCGACGCTAATACACGCGAAATCGAATCTCTCAAGGAAGAAATTGATGACTTCGGTGAAGACGTTATGGATCTTTCTGAAGAGGACGCCCGTGAATATGCGAGACTACTGGATGATTGCCGAAAGGCTGAGTAAGTCTTCCTGTTGATGAATGAGCATGTTCATTAACGCTATCAACCTTTTAGAAAATCCAGAGAGAACAACGAGTTCGAGTAGGTTCGCAACTTCACACAGGCGAGGTCGACAGGCTAACCTGGATAGGTTACGCCGCCATATTATTACTGTACGGAACGACAAAGTCTCCCGCAGTGTACAGGACAAATACAGGAGCCATCCAATTGCAGCAAACCCGAAAACATTCTGTGTGAGTAATAGAATATACTGGAGCCAACGTGAGAAGCCTGTCAGTAGCGCTCTCCCCTACCTACAGTTGAGCGGGATTCTGGACCTGCGCCGCCATTGCATTGGGATTGTTGCCGAGAGCCATCTCCGCGCAACTACGGAGTATATCAAAGACGAGATCCCGGCATTTCTTGGTTCTGTTGCACTATGGGTTGAGGCAGGGTTCGGCAATGCAAGCACAGAAAGAAAGCAACAGATTCTCGAGGCTGTGTCTACGATTCAACGCGAACTCGAAGAGGTATTTTATATAACCTTTCCTTTGATTCCACAACCGGATGTTATCGGTGTTCTAGGAGTATTTCATTAAACTGAGCAGACTCCGCTGTATCGTATTGGCGAACTACTGGATTGGTACCACCGTTGGCTATAGTTGAAGGACGGGCACACTGCTCTCAGATAGCGCTGCTGATTATTGCTCTAGTTAACATCTCCAGTCTCTCAACTCGGTGGCATTTCGCGCGCTCTATGTACCGAATTCGATACCCAAGTCTACCTGCATTTGAGTACGTCTGACATTGACCGCGGCAAATTTCTGACTGACTAAACTCAGGGCAAGATGTTCCGCAATGGAGCGCTGATGCTAGACGAGCGAGCTTGTGCTGGCAATCTGTATGTATCCACGGGTGTATCTTTCGGGCTAAGACGCTTTCGCTAACCACTAGCGAAGTGGCATCATTCGTCATATGCAGCCTTCTGCCGCAATTATGGGACGCATCAAACGAAAACCATGGGGTACCATTGCTGGAATGAAGAAGCGATCGCAGGTATGAATGGGAATATGTCCGATGTTTGGGATATCTTCACCCGCAATTTAGAAACCCATCTTGATCAGATCAAGAATGCCATAGATCAACCATTAGGCACTGTCTTCGGTGTGGCATCGTGTACAGGTACGTATCCGCCTCGCTTGTTTCCTATTAGAAATACGCATCATGCCGTAACCCTCAACGTGGACATCAAACGCTTCTGTCACATACCGCAGGCTCATAAGTGTCCTTCTCCCTTGGCGGGCGGGCCAAGGGGGATACTCAGACGCCCTGAAGGTGCATAATCATGTTTTATCTAACTCTTCATTTAGGCCATGCACATAACAATACACGATCTGCTCTGCGAACCCTCACTGGAACGCTCCGCCATCGCAAAGACCTGATACTTTACGGCGTCGAGAACGCGGCCGAGCACTTCCACTCTGAGCTATCATCTCTCCGTACCGATGCATTCTCATCCATCCGGACGGCTTTCGTAGGCCAACTCATGGAGGATACTTACCATGCGGCAAATATGGAGTACGGTGAGTAGGAGTTTCTCTCCGAATTCTGAGCGAATGGCCTCGCATCTTGCTCACACATGTTTCAATGGGTCCTCCAACATTTTCCGCAATGCAACGGGACATGGTCCATTGCGGAAGCAATGCGGCAGGGCTGCGCAGGTCTTCCTCGACCTGTTGACACGCAATCAGACCTAAGCACCATTGCGCACAATACTGACAAGCGGAAAATCAGGTTCGGGCAGCGACCGGCGTCGCAAAGATCTCATCACGAATCGATTCGGCTCTCGATCTCTTTTCGATTCGCATCGACGTTTCTTCAAAGACCGCTTTAGAGGCATCGCGAACGAGCTGGAAGCTCAAGTGAAAGAGAGCGTGGATCAACAAGTCGCCCTCATCGAGACCGATTTGCAGATGCTGAGAGATGAGAACGTCGTTTTAGAGAGTGAGAGGAACCCAGAGTTTAGGAGTAGAGTGGCGGCGGAGGTGGATAGAGCGAGGGCGCAGTTGGACCGGATTGGCAGAGCAGTCGAGGACGTTGTGAATGCTGCGAGAGGGGATGCGGATATGACAGGTTGATGAATTTGAGTGGACTGGCTCGCAGCAGCTAGCAGACAAGCGTCATCGGAGCTTTTCTATCGGCGCGAGCGGTGAGGCTTCCAGGCTGCAGCAGGTTCAGCCGCACAACCCATCAACATTCCCATGTGCTTCGCCACACTCTGCACCACCGTAAGCCCTAACTATGCAACGGCCACACCGACTTTGCTTAAGGGAAATGCCTTGCCCGCCATCGCATCGCATCATCGGCCACCCGATGATGCACGTAGTACTATATGCTGACGGCGCACGAAGAAGGCGTCCAGAGGGCAAAAGGCCATCTACTTCATAAAGCCCCGGTTATTGCAGCGCACCACGCTGTGAGCTCTACCCCAATGCCCATCTAATCTTCCTCTCTGCCGATGGCATTGACAACGCGTCAAGTCGCCGTAATAGCCGTGGGCGGAGTCTGCGTGCTCATATCTACGCTCGCCGTCCTCTGTCGAGCATTAGGTCGCAGGATCACACGCACACAATGGCAACTCAACGACTATCTCATGCTACTTGCATATGCACGTTCCACTCCACTCCTACCCCGAGAAGTCCACGCGAAAACTAACTCCCAGCAGTTCTTCGCCCTAGGATTCGTCGGCACTTCTATCGCTATGACGACGGATAACTACGTCGGCGCTCACGTCGCTGACATTCCATCCACCGATCTCGCAGAAGTCATGGTGCACAATAGACAAGTATGCTTCTTCTCCATCCCGTCTGCTCACCCTCCCTCTAACTCCACCAGAACATCATCATAGCCTGCCTCCTCTTCACCCCCTGCACCGTCCTTGTCAACCTCTCCATCACGCACTTCTACACGCGCATCTTCCCGCAGGCCTGGCTCGTCCGCACCTGCAAGCTGCTTATGGTGTTCTACGTCTTCTACGAGCTCGCAGCCATCACGACGTGCTTTCTGCTCTGCCGCCCGCTGGCTGGGCTCTGGGACCCTGCTATCACGCACGCGAAATGTCTCGATATACGCATGTTTTGGACGGTGGGGAGTGCGGGGTGCTTGGGGTTTGATCTGACGACGTTGGCGCTGCCGATGCCGGTGCTGTGGGGGCTGAGGATGCCGGATTGGAGGAAGAAGGTGAGGCTGACGGTGTTGTTTGGGTTGGGGGTTGTGTAAGTGTGTTTTCTGTCGCTTCTTCTTCTTCTTCTTCTTCTTCTCGGGTATGGGATGGGGGTCATGAGGGCGAACTACCTGCTAACGTCGACGCGACTTTATAGCATCTGCGGCATCACCGCAACGCGCATATACTACTACAGCATCATCGACTTCGACGACATTACCTGGGGCACCGCACCCGTGCTGGTATGCTGTCTCTTGGAACTAGCGCTGGCTATTCTTGCTGGATCTTTGCCTATCATGACGCCTTGCTTGACGGCCGTGGGCAAGGGTTTCCAATCGGCGTTTTCGTGCTTGAGAGGGTGCGGCGTGGCGCGCTCGAGGCGCATTTCGCTTTGTGGAATAGCGCTGCCGGCGGAAGAAGAGAGGGCGGGATTCAAGCGCTTGGGGAGCGATGTGTATCCGCTGGAGGATGTCGTGGTTGGCGGAAATGGTGGCGGGACTGGCCTGCTGGAGGATGGACATGGACGTGGAATGGACCGGGTTGACAGTCATGAAACGTTGGAGACGATAGAGTCTACGCGCGGGATGCTTCGCTTTGATAGCGAAGACAGAATAATGAGTCACGAGATATAGATGATCGGTATACATAAAAAAGTACTTACCCACCCAAGACCAGACCAAATGAAGGCAAAAAAAGCTATGACCTTTTGCCCGATCTCCTCACAGCAAACTCCTGAGTAAGCATGTGAAGCTCATATCATTTCCTGCTTTTCCAGGATCTTCATCTACGCCGCTGAACTTCTTCATTCTCCTCGCCTCCCTGGCCCTCACGGCTTGCTCCTGCCTCTTCATCCTCTTTAGCTTCCTCGCCATTTGTTGCCTCTTCAGAATCAAGTCAATGGAGTCAGAATCACTTGCTTGCACAGAAGGGGCTGGCGTTCGAGTCTTCTGGGTAGACTCTGATGAGGATAGTGCAGGTGCAAGCTACCCATGATACCAATGGCCGGCGACCTGGCACCAGCCTTTTTGTCTCGGCATTTGGCGGCGTTGAACGTCCTGAAGGCCCTCAGGGTGGGCATTCCATAGAATGCTGCGGGACTTCATTCAAAGCGTTGTCGACCAGCTTGCTAGAATCGGAACACACAGCGCCTATTACTCTATTTGTAGCGGATGAGTATGGTCAAATCGAATGGGACAGAATAAGAGTAAAGTTAAGAATGCAATTCGCAGACGGGACGGAACACTAACGCGAAGCTGTGGCTTGGGGAAGTGTGCGTGTTGAGTGAAGGAAAAAGTGTCGGTGAGAGAAGAACTGAACGATCGAGACATGAGAGGCAAGCTACATGGCCTAGATTTCAGTGAGCAATCGAAGCATGTACAATTGATATGCGATGAAAAATTGGTGTGCACTCTCCAGCTCAAGTCTGATAGGAAGAGAGAATGAAGTGTGGAAGAGGAATTGCTTAGTCAGACTTGCAGGAGGTATGACTCGCGTAGCAAGCGCCCTCCACCCGTTCATATCAACCTTCTCAACCACCAACCTGCATAACACTCCACCCTCAAACCCACCATGGCCGAACCCTCAGTCGCACCCCGCTCTTGCACGCCCCCAAACACCGAAACCACGCTCGCCGTTCGCTCGACGCCGAAACCGGAACCCGCCGCTGATGCCTCCGCGTCATCCGCACTAAACACCATCTTCCGCTTCATGGACCTCCCCGCCGAACTACGTCTGCACATTTACGAAACCCTCCTCGTAGACACGCACTCCTACATCGTGCCCATTGCCAATCTCCCGCCAGCCCGGCCCCACGTCTCCAAATCCCTGCAGCCGGTCATCCTCCGCCTCTCGCGCCAAATCCACAAAGAAGCGCTCCCCGTCCTCTACAGCAGCAATACCTTCCTCATCCGCACATACCCGCTCAAGCGCTGCGTGCCCGAGTTGACGCTATACTTTGGCCAGGAGAATGCAGGCTTGATTAGAAGGGTGTTCACGGTCGCGGACAACGATTGGAAGGAGGAGCTGGTGGAGGTGCAGAAGAGGTATAAGGCGATGGGAATTTCGTGGGAGCAGCTACAGCTTTGGGGCGTGAGGATCCGTCCAGCGAACCCCGAGGATGCGCAGGAGGCGGAGGATGCGGAGGGAGAGGCGAGGAGATGGACGGAAGGGAGTGAAGGGCTGGTGGAAGCTGATGAGCGGGAGATGGAGAGGCTAGGGGTTAAAGCGGCTTGGTGGGAGTTCTCAGAAAGCGCGGGTGGGCGTTGGGTGGTGAAAAAGGGGAGCTTGGCAAGAGGCGGTGGGGTGGGTGGTTGATGCATCATTACCGAACCCGTGCATATCGACATAGAGCACGCAAGGCTACCAAGGTTGTGGTGGAACGCTCATAGTATTGAATACGAATGCCTTCGTGAGAAGAGATGTCTACACAAGATCCATCCAGCACCAACTCCACCCTGCTCTCCGTTCTCAACCTTATGTCCTACACTATCAAATACAAGCTCGTAATCAAACTTGGCCCAATGAACAAACCAAACCAAAAGATCACGTTCCCCAGCGTATCCTTCCCGCGCATCAACTTCGTCCGGCTCATCGCCGCCAACGGAATTTGACTCAACTGGAGCGCAAACAGATAGCCCCTAACCTTTTTGAACAGGCAGAACATGAGCACCTCATGCACGATCGCGCTGAGCAGGAAAGTCCCAAACGTTGCCTGCATCTTAGTGAGGTGGAACGCGGAGATGGACGAGTGATACACGTGGCGCAGGAGGAAGCTATGCACGGGGCGATTCCAGTCCCGTGCGTACTGGTCCCAGCTAACGCTATTCCACCAGTCCCCGTAGAAGCCGCGGTCGGCAAACTTTGTCACTTCGGCGAGCACGTTGAGCAGGCATTCCCAGATGACGTACCACGCCAGCAGCTGCTCGAGCAGGAGCGGGAATAGCATGTCGAAGACGGCCCAGGGGAACTCTCTCCAACGCTGCTCGAGCGACATGCCGGCTTCCTTTTGGTGCACGATCTCGATGACGACGGGGTAGAGGTACGCTTGCGAGATGATGATCATGATCCAGATTACCCCCAGGGTAGCGGCCGACTTCTCGGCGACATACCACCAGTTTATGCGCTCGAGGCGGGGGTACTCAAGCTCGTAGACGAGCGTGGGGAGGCAGGTCCATTCTGCGAAGTTGTAGAAGGTGAGGTTCTTCGGGTAGCACTTCCCGGTGGTTGTGCATTTGCCGCGCAATTCCTCTTCCAGAATTGTTATCTCGGTAGTGAGGACGCGGTGGAAAGCTTCGATTTGCTCCGCGTCGAGGGGCTCGCCTGCTTCAATTGCCTTCGCCATTGATGCGATTTCCGAATGTTCTTTGTGAAGATTGGTGGAGTATTTGGGTCCAAAGCTTCGCCGACGATGAGTAAGGCCTTCGTGACCCAGTTCGACTAGGTTGGCTGTTGACGTTGTTTGTCCCACTGGTGATGTCGGCACAGAGCTGTCCTGGGCTTTCAGGTCTTCAAGTTGCTCTAGCTTTTGTTGCAGGAGTTTTCGACGGCGCGATACGCGAGACACTGGTTGAAGTCAGTTGGGTATGGACTTGTCCCATGATGGAATAGCTTACAGTAGCCATTGTAGAAGGCGTATGAATGCTGCTTCATCAGCAGCACGAAGTCGTGCATGACAATGAACACGGTGTGCGTCCACGACCATTCGCGATAGAAGCTGACCCAGATGACGGTGACGGTGAAAAAGATCTCCCAAAGCGATTGAATGATCCACCCAGACCGGTCCCAGTTGAGATATTCCTTTGCGATGACCTTTTGGAGATACAGGCACAGCACGGTGGACAGGCACATCAACCCATCAGTTGCAAGCATCACAACAAGGTCCCTATCCACCATCAAGTGCAGAATTTCGGCTCTGCCAAACACGGATCCAAAGCTCTTGTAGTTTTGCGCGGCAATCTTGACGACTGACAGGGCCATTGCCAGCCAGAACAGGGTGAAGAAGCCATGGAAGGGCGACTGGGAGCCACGCGGATTCTGGCGGTCGAAGGTAGTGAACTGACGCGTGAAGACCAGGTCGCGTATCCGGTTCCGACTCTTTCCGCTGAGCTTCTCCGCCTCCCGTTCGATGCCCGACTTTATTATCTCACGGAACTCTGGGTCGTCCGCCGTCAGAATGTAGCGTCCTTTCTTCCCTGACTTCTCAATGACGACCTGCACGCTCTTCCGCCTGGCATTGTTCTTTTCGAACGCGCCCGCGTATGCGACATCGATGCTGCCTCCGTCTGAGGACACGGCGGTTGTGCTTCGACTCTTGTCTGTGTGCGCGCCCGTCCCCTCTGGTTTCAATGCGCTGGCATGGTCGTCTTCAGACACGGTCGAAGATGCCTCTGGCGTCCACGAGTCTTCGCTGCCCATCCGGGGCCGTTGGTCGGAAAGGCCGTGGAGCGCGTAGGTCATGGCCGATTTGCCGTTCAGGAACGAGAGGTCGAGCTTCGGGCTAGCCGGGGCCTGCTGCGGCGGGGGGTCGTCCTTCGCCATGATGGGATGACGCTGCGGTCGTGCTAGGGCTGTCGATGGTGATGGGTAGGGTGACTTCATGTGGGTTCCTGGGTTGGAACAGGCCCGGTCGAGGGGACTGGCGCGGGGCCGTCAGACGCCGCCATTGAATTTATACTGCTCTTGAAGGCTGCGGAAGCGCTGGAACGCAGTGGCCAGACAGAGAAGGCGCACGACTCTCTGGCTCCGAGGCATCCGCTGACGGTGAGACGAGAGGCGCCGACTTCTTTGAGGCTGATCGGAGCCCTCGGTTGTGCCGGCGCGACGTATGATGAAATGCGAAGCTTGCACCGCCGCTCACCAGCCACCATCACGTGGTGCAGCCCCGTCTCCTCCCGCCCGAAAGCTCGCGATACTCGGGAGGTCCAGGCGCCAGGCGTGCCGGCCATGTCAAACACACCTTCTCCTCATCCGGCAGCGTGCGCGACCAAAGAGCCAATGACCTCGCGCAGCGACCGCCATCGTACTTCGCATTCGACCCTCCAAATTGGCACCACCCCAGGGGTTCCCCAAGTCACACCCACCACACCACAAGCAACGGCCAGACAGCGTGGCGGCAGCCCTCGGCTTCCCGATAGGCTTACCTTCAGCCTCGCCTCTCTTGGCAGCAGAGTGTGGGCTCGGGAGCCACTCAGCGCGCTGCAATATGCCCCCTGGAACGCTTGGCGAAGTCTTAGGCTCCAAGCGAATCTATCGTGATTCGATGGGCAGCTGAGGATACGAGCGAGGACAGCGGTCACCGACCGCAGCATAAAAATAGGCAAACAATATACGAGGATATAAGGCGGGCGAGGCTGCTGTTCACCGGCAGTGGCTTTTGTGCGCACGACCTCTGCGACGACCGCATTCGATTCACGTCACCCTCGAACGCCCACGCTTCCTCATCCGGACTTCCTCGCGAACCGCCCAAGACATCAGCTAGAAGATTCAAAATCCAGACTAGAACGCGATTGCAATGGCCCCGAGGCGCGGTGGTAGTAGCTCAGGGAGCGGCAGCGGCGGCAGCAGCATCTCCATTGGTTCGTGTCCGAATGCATTTTCCGACATCGTCCTCTACGAAAGCGAAAACTACATCTACTTTTCTACCGACGTGGTTTACTTCGCCAGTTACTGCGTTTTCTTCGTTCTCACCCTCATAGTCCTCATCAGCATGTGCTGCGTCCGGAAGAGGCACCCAACAGCAAAGAAGCTTACCGGGGCCGTCTATCTGCTCTCCCTGCTCTGCATGCTCCTGTAGGCCTCCTACTTCAACTTGCCCCAAATAAGACATACTAACTTTCACAGTTCCTACACCCTCCGTATCATTGGTACTATGCTCCGAGAGTGCGAGAAGCAAATACCCCCTCACCTCAACGAATGGGGAGTTGCATACCTGCTCTTCTATTATCTTGGCCTGTACCTCTTGCTCGTTGTTGTGGTATGGGGCGTAAACAACCAGCTGCGTGAGCGCCTCGGCTCCTATCCGACATTCTTCAAAGTCATCTACGGCATCATTCTTGGCTTTATGGGCCTTCTTACTTGTGCGTGGATCGGCCTCAATTGCTACAATCAGTGGGCATTAACCCCGGCTGGTTTGGACTCAAATGCGGATCCCAAGACTATGGAGATGCTGAGGCTCGGGGTCGCATACTACGTTTTCTACATTGTGTCTGTGATTGCTTCAGGGGCACTTTCGATAATGACGCTCGTTTCGATGCGCTCTAGAGGCTTCCCCTATGGCGTAAGCGCTCCCCCGCATTCGACCGCACTCCACCACTGACCTATTCACAGGATCTCCTTGGCTGGGTGATCGTTCTCATCTTCTGTATGTTCATCTGGGTTCTCTTCACCATCATCGAATATGGCTCCTATCTGGATTACAACAACTACCTCTCCGCGGACACCTACCGAGCCTTCCAATACATCGAGAACTTCTTCCAGACCTTCTCCTGGATTGTCCTCCTATTCCTCGCGAAGTCTCGCGCGTGGGACAACACCGCGGTGAACAACCCAAACCCGCAGGTATACAACAACTACCCACAACAGCCGGTGCAATACGGACAGGTGCCGCCTCCGCAACAGCAATACGCATACAACACTGCCCCGGGGCAACAGTACTATTACCAGCAGCAACCGGTCTACAACGGCACGCCTTCGCCGGTGAACGGCAACCCGCATGTAGTGCAGGTCAAGTGAAGCAGCTGAGCTTCATATTTCGCGTTTCGGGCTGGAATCTTGTTTCAAGGTCGTTTGGCATTTTGGAAATCGGTGAACATGCAATCGCGTCGCATCGAATCTCGCCGGTTTCAGTTTACGAGGACGCTTCAGGCGGCATCACGTCGAACAGCGATGACCGAGATTTTGAACCTAATCACAGAGCGGATCAATTTCGCACATGACGAAAACTATTTTCTTTGGACACGGTTTTGTTTAGTTGGATACCCAATGTTGAAAAAATGTATGCATTTAATCGTCGCTCACGCTCGTTTTCGTTTCCCCATTCTTCTCATTGACATCGCCCTTGGAGTCTCTCACCAGCGTTTCCTTTCCTGCCAAACGACTCCATATCAGTTTCATGCCCCAGACGCCGTGACATGCTGGCCTGTCCATTTCCTTCGAACATTTCCATGAACTTATACTTTCTCAGCGCGGGCTAATCCATGTCGTCAACAGGGATGTTCCAACTCTCGGATTGGATGACGATGTTAACCATGGCTGCCAACGTTGTGTTGACCTCAAGCATGCTATCGTTAGCTCCAAAGCCTTTAAGCCCCAACATAGATAAGTCAGGCCAAGCGCCATTGCGCTGGCGCATAACGTGCTAGACACCGTCGTGTCGGCAGACGAGGAACCAGTAATAGGCAAGAACGGAGTCAGCTTCATAGCAGACGTCTTCAAAGCTTCTGCGAACTTCCTAGAGATTTGGGTCCGCCTATGGCGAGGTGCTAGATCAGGGAGGTGGGTAGGGCAAAGAGACGGTTGGTGTAGAGCAGTCCGTAGAGACAGTCTAGGCCGATCTCGGGCCGGACGAAGTGCATAATTTTGCTGGCGAGTGGAGGAGACGTGCGTAGCAAGACCTTTATAAGATAGAGAAGGGAAATCGTCTTCATGTGTAAGGGTTGAGGGCTTAGAGAATGGATCTGAGGGAGCGATGGAATGAAGTCTTCATCGTATCGGGTTCGTACCTTAAACGGAATCTATGGTAAACAACAACGGTCAACGAGATAACGTGTCTGGACGGGAGAGCGCATATACCGCCTCAGTGCAGAGCAAGCAAACGCTCAACGCCCCACCGGTAATCTTAGAACCTCTGCCACCGATGGGAAGGAGGACTTCTCAGCGCACTTTGAACCTAATGTTCTAGAATGCTTCAAAGTAGCAAAGGAACATAGAGTCGCCTCGGCCTTTGGCACTTCCATTACATTCAAGTGCGGTATTGTATATGAGGGCCCCCCCCCCAAAAAAAAAGCGCGGCGCCGCAAGTGGGGACTGTCACCGCCGCCATCTTGTTTTCTTCCGGTATGAATAGATAGGGATAGGGTGGAGGTTTTCTTTTTTTGAAGTTGTGTGTATTCTAGCGGTCCGAATTCAGCGTACTTCTTGTGAGTGGAAGGGGGCGTCGTGCGTCTGCCCCGCACGCGCTTTTCTTTGCCAGCACGGAGAGACAAACAACCAAACATTCGTTTTCACCTTTACGACCTAAGCGAATGAACTAAATATAAAAGGTCTTTTTCATGCTAATTGTACACTGTCCTCGTGTCCAGCAATTCCATTAAGCCTCCTTCCTCCACTTTTCGTAGCCGTAATTTGTAGGAACTCCACCAAGGCGCTCTACGTATATTTGACAATTCGGGCAGGGTCCGCTCAAGAGCGTCTGCACGTCGGTGGATTCATATATGTCGCATTTAGAAATACCACCCAAGCAGACCAGTGTCCTACCATATACATAGGGTTTCATAGAAGGATGGGCTCTACAAGTGTTGTAAGCATCGTGCATCCTGCGAACTCATCGCGGGTCAAGAGCATTGGGATGACTTACGTGGCCAGGAGGTGAAAAGGATATGTCTCAGCGCAGACGCCCCAATCGTAAAAACCGCGCTCATTTGGATTTGCGAGATTGGGTGCGATTGCATCCCCGTAGTCCCATATCGAGCGCATCACAACCTCTTTCCTGAATTGCCAGCATCTCTTTCTGAAGGACTCTTCGTTGTTCGGCCCTTCCGGATTTCCCGCCATACAACTTCCCAGCACTATCTTCTGGATCTGACCGTGGCCTGTCCAGAGCCAACTGATGGCAACTTTACTAGGGACCTGACAGGCGGTTCCCAGGTTTGCGAATTCTTGGCAGATAGTCGTACACCATTTGCCATACATCGCTAGCAGAGGGTAACAGCACTGTTCGGGTGACTCTACAGAAATTATGGACGTCTCTGTGAGTATAAACGCAACCGCTGCTAGGAACTCGCAGATAGGGATCTGTCTCTGTTCGCTGTTTGGGCCCGGCCCGGTCCAGAGGATGGTTGCAGGTGGCCGGTTGATGGATAAACCCCCTAAAATGGCCCCATCCCCGAACCCAAGACGATTGCTTCCCATTTGGTCAGATATTATTTCTTGGACATGAGCTCTTAGGGCCCTACCGCACCCGCCTCATTAGGTATCCACATACACCATCGAGATTTTTCTTTGGATTTCGTTTCTGATCATCCCAGGCAACAGTCAACAGGTAATTCAAGATCTACGCAAAGTTAGATTAGCGCACGATGAGTAGAGCGTCTACTTACCCTATTACAGTCCCATTTGAAGGCCTTCTCGAAGTCTGCTCTGCAGCTTAAGATCGCTACAGGCTCAGGTTGTGGTTCCGCCATCTGTTCTAGGGGTGGAACAGATCAGTCGGTGGTTCACCGTTCAAATGGATTGGGGGAGGTTGAAGAAGAACGTATTCAGCGGGAGAAAGTCATATTCACCATATCACTTCTTGAAGAGGTCATGAGCACCCGCAAATGCCGCAACCTTGGAGATCATCGGCAGCAGACGTCTCCCTCGAACCATCCCAGTAGTCATGCTACCATGAAAGCGTTGAACCGCTCGTGTTGGAGCTATTATGAGGTGAGCAGGTTCGTTTTAGGTTTTCATGGTGAGGTGATGGGAAGCCAGCGAATCGCTTCAATACATGACTGCATGCATATCGCTTGCATGCAGCATCATCCGACAGCCTGGTTTCGACATCCGCTCGCTGCAATGCTGCGCACTCACGAGACCTTCAATAAATTGTCCACATGCTGATGGACTAGGATCTACCACCCCGAACCCATTATGATATGCTCGCATCGTGAAGCTCTTACCTTCTGGAGAGTCTCTTCGTGTCCTCTACTTGAGGTGTTATCTTGATCGCGCTTTCAGATTCGACGCAGAGAAATATACATATAGGTTTGCTTCGCTTACATCTAATAAACTAGCGAGTCCTAATCCTGTCAGTCTATCGCACCAGACATGTCGGAATCGCCAGCCACAGAACAGCCTACATCGTCTCCCCGCAAAGCTGTAGACGACCCCAAATATTGGACCTCGAAAGGGGATTCACTCCAGTCCAAATCAATGTGGGATATAAAAAGGCCTGGCTCGCTATCGCATACACTCCGAGTGGCATACGGAATCGACCAACCATGTCCTCTTCTAGTGAGCGAACTCGAAGACGATACATTCCTACTCAAAGGGAACCTCATGGCACGAAATGGACAAGGAACTGTTGTTATACCCGGGACCACGCCTGATGGTTTCTTCTTCTTCAGCGCGACAGCTGGGCAAGTCCAACGGATTATGGAGCCGGCGAGCCAGGAGGGGATTTGGGCGAAGTTGAATGAGAAGCCAATGGATGTAAAGGCGGAAGAGATTCAGCCTTTATGTTTCGAGGTTGAGCAAGGGAAATCTTTGAGTGGACAAGTGGATAGGCTCGCTTTGGGGGAGGTTGAAGATTCTGAAGACTAGTAATTTGGCAAACTCTACACGCTGCACCGTGATGAAGCGAAGCTGTAGCAAATCAGATGTGTGGCCTTTTTTGCCAATGTCGCGACGGGAAACCGGCACTGTAGTGGCACCAACATCAAAAAAATGTGGTAGAAAACCATGGGATGCTTTCTCTATCACATGAGGTGCGATAAATCCAATGTAGTGGTGGTGCATGAATGGTCACGCGCAGGCTACTTCCAGACCGGTCTTCTGCTTGTATGCAAGGGACTGGCACCCAATTGTTCAGCCGCGTTCTGCAATTGAAGTATTAAGTCCACTTATTTGCCAGGTCAATGACCGCCTCAGCGACGGATGATCTGACTGCTCTAGTGACCGACGAACTCGTGTTCGTTGAGCTGCTGGAGCTCGACTGGTCAGCCGGCATCCCCGAGAGCCCTTGGAGCATATTGGGTTATTGTAGGAATCAGGATACGGCCTAAAGCAAAGCGGTGCTGCCAATTTAAGCAATCATCTACACTTGTTGCTGCTGGCATGCATGATAAATGAGCCTAGCGTAATTTGTATACTTCAATTTGGAAATACATCTACTAAGTCTCACTCAAGAGAAGGGAACGATTACTAGAGAACTACTAAGACTGCCAATGAACCCCTCAGCGTAGCACCAAAAGCGTGGCATCAGGTATCACCACTTTTTTTTTTTTTTTGCGCAAATACGGATCACTTCGTGGAGTGGAGAATCCGAGATCCACTATATCAAGCTAGAGGTGAAAAGACCGTACAGGAGATGACCGTCCAATTCGCCGCATCAGTCCATCAACCCACTGCTTCTCCCATTATCTTACGTTTCTTAACGTGAAGTCGAAGAACAGTGTCATCCGACCTATTGGGTGCGTCCGCGGAGCTCCGTCCAAGGGACAGATATATCCTCACCGGACACTTCGTCGTCTCTCATGAGCCCACCATTAGACCCCGCATAGTCCCATCATCCTATTCATTCAGTGAATTCTCAAGCTTTGGTTCGAAGAAAACAACATGGCGACCAAGTATCGCCTCACTGTCTACATTGAGGAGAGCCTCCTCCCCTCATACAACAACAAAACCGAGCCGTACACGCTCTGCATCGCCAAAAAGGTCGGTGAAGACTACAACGTCGTCTTCCAGTGCAGAAGTAAGTTCCTCCGTCCAGAAATCCGATGCAAGCATCCACTAATCCGAGTATAGGACCACTGATGGAGAATGTCTTCACCTGGACGGAGGAGTACCAAATCTACGTTACCACCGACCCCTTCGAAGCCGGTGCCCCTGTCGTACGCTCCGATGCCGCCATCGCCATCCACGAGCAGCAGCTTTTCACTCTCACGGAGTACGGGACGCGCCAAGTCACAGACCCGAAGGGTGAGTGCCGTCTTCTCCAAAGCTTGAGGAATGTCGTGCCTAAGGTAATGTCTAGGTGTCAAACCCGGCCAATTCCGCTTCCGCAATAACTTCGACGAGGTCTATGCTGTGATCACCTGCGCGACTGCCGGCGGAATCTACAAGCCCATCTACCGGCAGCCGACTCCGACGCCTACGCATGGCACTGCACGCTTCACGCCGAAGAACTACTATAAGGTCTGGCTGCAGCAAGAAATCGATGAGGCTTACATGTGAGCTTTCCCTTTCCGACCGCCGTTTTCATGCACTGTATACTGACTCAGTCAAAGGCTTGCCGAAATCGATAGTACTTCGTGCGTGGTCAAATATGATCCTGGACTGTACTCACAGACCGTCAGTCTGGACAACACAGAGGAGTGGGTCGGCGATAAGATCTGGAGTGATAGTCAGCCTGACAGTCTGCCGGAATCCGTATGAGAAGAATTTCCCTGCTGAACTCGTGCTGCCTTAAGGCATTCTTATAATTATGCACTATTTGAGAACCTGTGTTATGAAGGTAGTGCTGAGCCTTAGTTATGATCTTACAACTGTTCTTCATTCAATCAGGACTCATGGTTAGGTATTCTTCGAGTTAACGTTGCACCGTTTGCCTCGTCTCTAAGTGAATCCTATGACTTGATGGAATGGTGGTGACGTTGCTAGTGAGGGGATAGGAAGTTAAGAACGGGAGGCGTACCTTAAGCACGTCCCCGTATATGACTTAGGGCGTCTATTCTTGCATGTCTGTTCTGAAGGACCGAGGCCCCTACTCTAAGATGGCGGATCGCATATAGGCCGGGCTGGAGGACTTTACACGGTGAAACTTCGCTGCCCGTTTTTCCTTAGCCTCCCGCCGTATGTTCTCTGCGAAGTGATGCCGGATGGTATATATAAGAGCGACACAATGGGGGGACGGACGTAGCACCAACCTCGGAAAAGATCCTGCAAAGGTATTTTCATGCCTTGAAGCGTTTTGTAACTTTTCCACGCATTCATACTCTGCCCAAGACCTAAGCGGTTAAGAAATAATGCACGAGGAAAGAAGTATACACAAGAATGAAAGACGTATCCAAACCCAGAAATCCAAACGTGCCATGCCGCTAAAACGGTCGAACCATGCGCTCATCATGCCATCTAGCATCATTATTTCGCCACCAGTGATGTGTCCATCCACCTCAACTGAACTTAGGCCCACTAAGCGCAGACATTAGCGTAACCGTAGATAAGAGAATCTACGTAGTATCTGAAATTCCACTTCCGAAGGCCTCCAACAAGCATCGCCTTATAGGACTACTAGGATAGCAGCTGCCAGTGCCACAACGAAGCTCAAGGTCGCGCTTCCCGTCAACTTCCCTCCAGCGCCATGGATGCCCAGTACCTCATCCTGGCGACTGAAAGTGACGTTCTGCGGAATCGATTGGTTCAAGCATTGACCGTTGACAATGTCAAGGCCTTGGAGATCGTCCGGAACATGGAAGAACATGTAGCTTCGGTTGTTCAATCCCTTGAAGCCAGAGGTATCGTAAGGGAAGAAGTCCTCTGGATCGGTCGCTGAGGTGTTACGGAGGAAGATGCACTGGACTTGGTTCGGGTAGTCGTGTGCTAATTGCGGGTAATCCTTCATGACGTCGGAATTGGAGGTATCAGCTACGAGGACAAACTTTCGTGTGGGGAAGGTCTGGAAAATCTTCGTGAGAAGATATTGCCGAATGGACAGGGTGTTGGGGACGTCGGAGAAATTGAGAGGCCGTGTATCGAAAGAGCCTCCCGGGTACGTCTTGTAGATAAAGTCCATGTAGAGTCGGGTACCCTGCTCGGGGGTGGTGGTCAGATAATGAAAATGGGTGTCGTTTGGCAAGGTCCGTGACCAGTTAGCATAAATGTCCGGCATGTTCATCCAGGGGGTGAAAGGACGAGCAAAGGAGTTCAGGAGGCCTTCCTTTGGATTATAGATCTTGGTTACCCTCAAGATATCATCGATATCCGATATGAACGTTATCCCCTGAGGCGGAACTAGGAAGGCAGTAGCGTTCCCAGTAAGCGTACCGTCCGTGTAAACATTGAGTCGCTGGACATTGTTCGTCTCGTTGCCAGCGAGCAAGCCGCCACCAGAAACGTTCTTGATGGGTACAAACGCGTCGAAATCCCCCTCAACCGTTGTTTCGTAGGGGAATGTGATATTCTGCGATCCTCCAGGCGGGGTGATCGCGTTGCCTCCGCCTGGCTCGCCATCAGCACCCTGCATCGGCGCCGGCTCCAAGTAGAATGAGACATTCTCGTGACCCTGTTGGACGATGAAGATAGATTGGGTCAGATTCCGGGCCTGTGCTTGCTGATCGGGCGGCAGATCTTCGATATCAGTATCGATGAGGAACACATTTGCGAGGTCGTTCAGCTTCGACTCGGAGATGTTAGGCACTTTGTAGACATTGCCATGGAACCGGACGTTCCAGCCTTGGTCAGTCCAGTTGGCGTACGGAGGAATATTAAGCACCTCAGTGGGCCTCGCATCGAGGTCGTCATCGTTTATACCGAGGCTGGACATTACTTGACTGCCAGTGGGCAAGTCCTGCCACCACGCGGGTATGCCTAAGCTTCGTCAGCGTATGCTCGACGTTTTGCACAAACGGTACAATGCCCAAGCCGAGACTTACCATCCGTGAAAAAGCTGGGCAGATCTGTTCCAAGCACACTTCCCCACGACTGAGCAATGCCGTCGACACCGCTCAGGATGTCCGAGAGAATGTTCCTCTTGTCGAGCACATAACTGCGGTCGCCTTCGAACCGGATCGCTGCGGGGGTAACAAGGGGCGCTCGAGCTTCGACTTTCGCGGGCACTGGTGTAGGATCTGGAAGCGCGATCGCGTTTGCGAGCTGGAGGGTTGCGCCGAGCAGCAGCGCGTGGCTTGCGGTATTGGTGTGCATGGTATCTGTCGTCAAGGGTCAGTACAGCGCTTTCCTTAGCAGGCAAACGACGGCTAGACTCTCTAGGGGACTTCAGAGGATAATGTTCGGCCACCTCGATCAGCGTACGCATAGCCAGAGCCATAGTTAGAGGCGGAGTGGCGCTTACAGGTCTTTGTATAGGAGCTGTGCCGCGCCGGGACCACGCGACTCCCGTTGATTGAGGGAAGGGCTTGCGACCCGTTAACGCCAAAGAAGAAGGGAGTGAGCAAGGACGAAGAAAATGGAAGAATATGGGGAGGCTGTGGAAGGTAAAGGAAACGCGAAGGTGATCACTCGCAGGAGGATTGTCGTGTTTCCCGGTTTCATATGGATTGCTCGAGCCGGAAGGTCGGAAGCTGCAGGTACGGGCCGGGGTGATGTCATCCAAGACTTCGGTAATGGGCCTGCGCTAGCCGCATACGGCTAGCAGGATCTTCACCACGTCAAGCTTCGCCGAGCAGATCATTTTGCGAGACCCAAGCTTTCGCGCCCCGGGCACTACCGCGGTACACAACTCGTGGCGGAGATTGAGAAGCTCAAGCACGTCAAGCGTGGACTCTCCCATGAGTCACACGTGAGCATTATTCAACTTCTCTCAGATGGACGCAATCCTCATTGGTACACCCTGGAAGCCTTTCCCAACGATGTATATCTTTACGAGCTCCTCGGATCAGCAGCGAGACGGAAGACCCCCATCCCCTCGCACTTGATCTACCACTTCTTTCTTCAACTCCATTCGGCCATTTCCATCCTCTTGGGCAAATGCAAAGTGTCCCTCCCTTTTCTGAATGAAACCGACATTATGCTCCGCTTCCCCGGAAAGGGGCACGAGTGGCTACCAGACGCCGTCATAGTCAACTTCGCAGATGGATGCATGCAAAACTCGACTTGTATGCAATTCAAAACGATCAGCAACTTCCGAGAGATCATGCTCAAATGCATGCGGGCTGGACGGGTATGCAACCCTTCCCAGGACCAACCTCCGCCTGATCAAGGAAAAAAGGAGCATGACCCTGCGTGGTTGCGGCTCCTAGGCGTACTAAAGAGCGAAAATGAGGGCTTGGATGGGTTCACGAACATCGTCGGGATACTACAGGACGCCCGGAGTGACGGTCTGAGAGATCCGATTGCTTGTGTGAAGCGGGTGGACCTCCTCATTGGTGTCAACTATACGGGATTTGGGCAATTCCAGATGGTTAGGGGTGTCAGTCAGGCTATTTCTATTCTGTAGGTAACTGAACCATTACCTGGGGAAGACATTCTACCAATGTATTGGCGTTTAGAACACGCCGATTTCTTACCAACATCTGGCTCACTCACGCAGTTCTAAGCTTCCGTGACCTCTTATTCTTTTATCATGCATTCCATATGACTTCATTTAATCATTGTATTTGTGTCATAGCCTTTCATTTCTGAAGTGAGTCGGTCACACTGTGGGATACCAAATGCTGCGATTGCCCTGTCTGCTATTAGTTTATGACATTGATCCATTCTTCTTTTTCGTATCGTACTGCTTAGCAGTAGTCCCGGACAGCTTGTGCAGCGAGGAGAGATTTAAGATCGATCCTTCGTAAACTCTCATACGGCAACGTTCGAGTTTGCGGGTGTAATGATTTAGAGTATCCAAGAGAATGTGACTGCGTACTGTTTCAAGAGAGATAGACTCAACCTCAAACGGCGACCAATCCAGGACGACGACTCTCGAACCTATAATATAAATTCCGCCGACGAATGCACCTCACTATTGTTCTCTTCATTTCAAAACTCCATACTTCCTCATTAGAAACCCCCTGGATCATCGACTTGTGAAGGCATTCACACTATTCAAAGACTCTACTTTAGCCCCTGCGTCGAAGATGAATTACCACAGAACCAGTGACGAAGTCCGCGAACGCTTAAACCAAGACGTAGTCACCATCTGCCGTGCCGGCGGAGGCAGCTATGCGATGTATGGTACTGCCTCACCCGGCGAGACGTCGCGCAAGCCAAAGAAGAAATCGAGAAAACAGGAAAGAAACCGGATTTTAAAGCTCTCCGCCAGAAAGTCATCGCGGTGAAGTCGTCTCACAGGACCGCACTAGCGAGAAACCTAATGACGGTCGAAATCAACACGATGAACGAGATCCAGCGGCTGCTGCAGACCGCCGACCGCCACAAGCCCAGCCTAGTGCATAACTTCGTTCCGCTAATAAAGGCGTACAAGACAAAGGAATTCGACTGCATCTCCTACAGCATGGGCGCCGTTATGAGCGGCTTGATGCTCAGGGACCTCCGCCAGTACGCGCAAGCTTTTGAGCAGCCAGTGTCGGACACGCTGGCGCACCACTTCTTAACCCAGCTCGTGGACATCTTCGACTTCCTTCAAGATACGTGCGCGCTTGTACACAGCGATGCAACGCTCTCTAACATCCTCGTCGAGTATCCTAGAAAGCAACACGCCCCGTTGCCTGACCTCGTCCTCATCGACTTTGCCGAAGTGAAATGTCCCGGGAAGATGGAACTAGAAGAGAGAGATTACGAGAGCGTCTATTGGGGAGAAGTGGTTCGCGTGTATGGACTGTTTCTTGAAGTAATCGGAGCCGGATACAAGTGCGGAACTGATCACCAAATGAAGGCGTGTACGGATTCAAGACATAGCGAGGATTGGCAGAAGCTTCAGAGGCGTGTGGTTGAAGAGATTACGAATTTGCAGGACATGCAGAAGGAATTCACGACTAAAGCGGACGACTACAGGAGAATGGTGTGCGACGAGGGCAATGAGTCGGGCGAGAAATTTCTCGAGGAAGTTATGGAAAATGTTAAAGGTGGGCTGCAGAACGACGAGCCTTTCATTAGCCTGCTTAAGGATATAGAACAAGGAGAGGTCTGATATATGACTAAGGCGAGCGGTTGGATAGGGAAGTGAGGCTTACACTGTAAACATGTCCTTGTTGGACAATTTCGATTCTGACAATGATGGTTATGATGCACTTTATGCACCATTTATGAAATAAGTTCATACACACAGCACGTGGTCAGATGCCCGATCCATACAATGACATACTCATATCGGTGGTGGTTTCGGTGGCTATCGCTCTCCCCATCCACCCCTCCGCTTTCTATCTAGAGCAGCCAGGCGTCTCGCGCGCAAGCTCGCCGGATCATGAGAATCTTCTTCTTCCTCGTCCGCTTCATCGCCACCTCCACCGCTCACCTGCGACGGTGCCCGAGTCGGCACCTGAGAAGCAGACTGCGATGGCGTCACAGAGCAATTGTCATCCTCCTCCTCCCTTTGAATACCTCGCCGACTCCAAATCGCCTCGAGCTCGTTGGACGCTTCTTCCTTTTTGGGTGGCGGCTTTGGTGCTGCGCGCTTGGAACCGACTATGGAGCGTAATCGACTCTGGTGGTCACCAGACTGCATTTGGAAGCCTGCCGGCGGTGGAGAGGTCGGGGTCATGGGGCCGGCGAGGCGGACGGTAGGAGCTGGGGCTCGCGGAACATCCGGACTTGTGGGGGTCCCTGGGGTGTCGGGGATTTCTTGGGATGGGTGAATGGGCTGGGAACGGGGACCAATCTTGAAGCGACCGTAGTTTTGGTCCTTGGGTGGTTGCGAGTAGTCGACAGGCGGGTAAGCCGGCGCAGGGGACCGAGGTGGTGGAGTAGGAGGAGCGGTAGCCGAAGCTCTTATGGCGCGTGCGTGGATTGCGGCCTCGAGGTGAAGAGAGTGGGATGAATCTCGGGAATGCATAGACCCTGGGGGAGGAGGTGGTGGTGGCGGTGGCGGTGGAGGAGGAGCAATAGCAGCAGTAGTGGTGGATGAGCTTGCTTCAGTGTGCTTATGAATTGATGTTCTTGAGTGCTCGGAGCGGGTTGCGGTTCTGGAATGCATAGATGCTGGAGGAAGCGGTGGTGGTGGTGGAGGCGGAGGAGGAAAAGGAGCAGCAGCGGATGTGCTTGCAGCGGTGCTCTCGCGAGCGGAGGTTTCTGAGCGCGCCGTATGTCTCGACGTCCTGGAATACGTTGACGTCGGGGGAAGAGGTGGTGGTGGTGGTGGTGGATCAAGCGAAGGCGTTGGTATAGCCGCAGAGGATGAGCTTTCGGCATATGAATGGAAGGACTTGGACTGTGCGTGGAAGGAAGCCTCAGCGTAGAAAGATCTAGAAGCAAGCGACGATGGAGATTGTGTGTGCTGGTGCGTCTCTTCGACATGTCGATGTTCTTTCGCCATGCTGAACTGTGATTCCATCTTCCTCTGCAGCTCATCCATGGTATTGCCGAACCCCGGACCCTGAGCATGCGGATGGGAATGCGAATGTCGATCTTTGGCTTCGCCAGCGGCAGGGCCCCATTTCGGGTGATGCCAATCCATTCTAGACTTGCGGAGAATGGCTTCCATCTGCATGCTGTCGTCTTCCACCACATCCCCAAACTCGCTCTTTTGACTTTCGAAGAATTCTGCCCGCGAAGCCTCCATAACGCTGCTGAGAATCGACGCTTCTTGTGCCGCCAACTGGCGTTGGACTTGCTCTGCGCTCTCCTTCATCGCACGCTCCGTTTCGCTCTTCTCCCTCTCCTTCATCCGCCTCCACTCCTCGAGGGATTCTTCCTGCACCTTTGCTAGATGAGCCTCGTGAGCCTCCCTTTTTCTCCTCTGCTCTTCTGCATCCAGTAGCCTGGCCCTTTCCATATCCTTCTGCAATGCCTCTTCTTCTATGAGAGTTTGCTCAGATTTAAGACAATTTGGGCAAATGCCATTCTGGTGCCGGCTCGCAATAGTACAACTCTTGCGCCTGACCTCTGGATCATCTACGTTGCAATGCAAAGTCAGACCTTCCTTGGGTCTCCAGCATTCGCGCATGTCAATATCGTCGTTAATCTTATGGCCGCATTCGTACCAAGTATAGGTAAATTTGCACATATCGGGAGGTTCGGGAGACGCCTCAGGGCTTTCGCAAATATAGAAAATAGCAGTGTTGATAGAGAGATTTGGAACGTCCATGGCTGCTGGGGAAGCCGGCACTTATACTCTAACTGTGCGGGTAGTGACTGGAACGCCGTGAAGCCGCGGTTTAGCGCGGAGAAGGTTTGCTGGCACAAGAGTGCGAGACACTCTTAATTGTAAAAGATAGACGAAGGGTGAAGACGGGAAAAGCGGCGAGGCTAGGTTGGTATAAGTGTCGGTCTTCCCAACGTAAGTGAAGGGGACTAGGTATGTGAAGCAGAGACGGTCGCACGAGCCCTTGAAGAATGCACTAGTAATTCGACGTAGCAAAACGAGACAAACGGTGATGCGTATGCGTGATGACTTTGGTCGATCATGGCACTGGCCTTCTGTATGCTCGTGATCAGTGGAGAAACGGCCACGGCGTGCAAACATCCACCTCCGATTCGATATACCCGCCTTGGACACTGTGTCCGTATTCGCATAGGAACATGGCTAACGAATGATTGTGTGAATCGCCCGTTCGACAGAGCCAAGAGCGCGGCAGAATAGGTCATGAGCGTGGAAGATCACGCGGTGATTGCAGATAGAAGTACTCTGAGTATTTGTGAAGAGAGATAGCGGGGTTTTATTTTAGGCGGATATTAAACAGATGGAGTAGCCAGGAGGGCCTTCTTATAGGTGCGAGGTCATAAGAGAGTAGGCGCTTGGAGAGGAGAAAAGCTGCTTACATGACCGCTCACGCTGATTGGCCGCTTTGCCGAAGCTTCTCCGACAGCTCCATCGTGGACATCCTCGAACGACGCCATCACCACCACCCGCAGCTACACCCGCAATGGCCTCCAAGCTGACCCCGTTTGTGTTCCGGAGCGGCCCTCGGGCCTTGCGACAGCTCCAAAGGACTCAATGGCGGGCCTTTAGCGTCACAGCGCCCTCGCGAAGCGACTCCCTCATGGTGGTGGGTATCTCCGCCCTTACCCCCAATTACACCGCTGATGGAAAGTGTAGCACCGGAATACGCCAGAGAATAATCCGTCGATACCGTTCAAATTCACGCCGCAGAATGAGCAGCTCATCCAGGAGATCCTCGCTCGATACCCCTCACAGTACAAGAAGGCGGCTGTGATGCCGCTTCTCGACCTTGGGCAGCGACAGCACGGTTTCACAAGCATCAGCGTCATGAACGAGGTGGCTCGGATACTGGAGATGCCTCCAATGCGCGTCTACGAGGTGGCGACCTTCTACACCATGTACAATCGGAACCCGGTGGGCCGATTCCACGTCCAGGTCTGCACAACGGTGAGTGGGATTGCCTATTAGGAAGGAGGCGCCTATTAATACGCTGTAGACACCGTGCATGTTGCGCGACAGTGATGCGGTAATGAAGGCCTGTGAGGATTTTCTCGGCATCCACCACGGTCAGACAACCAAAGACGGCCTTTTCACATTTACCGAAGTAGAATGCCTCGGCGCCTGCGCGAATGCACCCATGGTGCAGATCAACGATGACTACTACGAAGACCTCACATACGATACCACTGTGTCGCTTCTCAAGGCTCTTCAACACGCTGCGGAGGCCACTGGCGCAAAGCCAGGAGAGACCGGCCTTGCTGGCGAAGCTGGCAAAGGCGCCATCACTGGCGAGGACCGCAACGTTAAAAGCGGAAATGAAATCAACGAGCAGGGACGCGCATATGAGGCTAGCGGTGTCAAGGTGCCAACACCAGGCCCTCTGAGCGGAAGGAAGAGCTGCGAGCCGGCTAGCGGCTTGACCTCGCTCACCAGCGAACCGCCCACAGGTCCCGAGATGCTGAGAAAAGATGGTGCTCTATGAGACCTGTATATATGAGTAGGTTGTATTCCCCCGGCTGTAGCTCAGGCTGTAGAAAGATCTAACGAGCTGTAGCACTGTGTAGAACACCCGCAATACCATTTTCTTTGAATCATTCGACCGTTCAGCTCCAATATTTGGCGTTAAGAATTCAACGTGTTCTCGAAGCATAAGTGTAGCCTCTCGTTTGATTGCACTTCTCGCCTTCCCAGAATTACATGATCCACAGGTAGGTCCTAGGAATTGGCACTCAGCACACTAACTGTTTGAAACCAGCTCGTGCTCTTCGGAGGTATCTATGACTAAAATTCTGGCGCTGTCTGTTCGCTGGCCAATGCTCCGGGAAGGGTCGTGTGCCGCTATCCCAGACCGCTACACCGAGCCCCACGAATCCGTTTGTCAAGGCGCATATATAAGGTCGGCCTCGAGCACTATGTACATTCAACCTCCTTCTCCACGATCACATACCTTAGGCTCTCCCTCTCTACCCTGATACCTCAAGCGACCCCATTTTTGGCGGCGAAGATAAATCCAGTCCAGCATGAAGACCCTCATCCTCCTACTTGCGCTCGCGCTCGCCACTATGTTCACGGTCTACGCCACTCCAGTTCAGCCGTCACACGGTGAGGGTCCATTACGCCAGAAACATCTTTCTTGAAAGGCATGAGGATGCTACGTGTCCATGCGTCCTGTGGTCCAGCCACAATTGATGGACATGCTGACTACCGTTAGATGCGCCACCAAACTTGCTTCGTGATGTCGAAATCCCAAGGAAGTGCGTCGTCTGCTGGCGCTTCATCGCCAAATGCACGAAAGTGAGGCATCCGACGTGCAAACCATGCACATCGACTTGTGCTGACAAGTCAATAGAACACGGGTCACAACCAGAAGGTCTGCATGAGGGAGATGTGTGACAGGTGGAACAAGACGTGCAGCAATTGTCGGGGTATTGATTGCCGCGAGAAGTAGCTCTGCTCACTTCCTGTGGGGTTGGATCTGCATGCTGCTACGGTATCCGGTTCATGAGGTGGTAGGCCGCTATTGGTGGTTTATGGTCGATAGATTAATTATGTGAATTAAATCCACTTGTTGATCCTAACCGTCTATGGAGATTTTAGTGCGCCTGAGCACGGCACGTACCAAGGTGCCCAGGTGAAGATATAGGCACGTGATATTTCTTGGCATACACTGGGTCGTTTGCCTCGGTCCTCATTCGCCGACACCGTTCATGTGCAACAGCTCCCCAACCCTCCAACACCAACGCTATCGACGATGGCGGCAACAGAGGATAACAGTCCGGAGCCCGCCATCCGCTTCAAGCGGCGCAAGATTGCTCACCCAAAACGAGTCCGCCTTGGTGACGATGCTCCTACTATTTCCACCTCTCAATCCCCAGAAGTCCCGATCGGCGGGGCATCGCCGCTACAGACGCCTCACGAAGACGACGAGTCAGCGCCCAACTTGAAGGAGATCCTACGTAACCGCAGGCGACCGCGCGACCGACTCCGAGAAACCGCGCGCAAAGCTGAGATCACGAAATCACAGGCGCTTGCGCAAGCGGATGCGCCGAAGCAAGATGTCTACTCGAACAGGTTTGTTGCGCAGACCGGCCAGGTCGTGGATCGGGATGATAAGCAGATGTGAGTTGGCCAGCTCTTTCTTATTGCTCTTGTTGCTGTGTCTCCCATATCTCTCTCATTCATCATTATGTGATTGGAGGCTAATGTGGCAGGACCGAATATATAGAAGCTCGCATGGCTGAAAAGAACTATCGCTTGTACGGTTGGCCCATTCCAAGGCATCTCGAAGCTTCCGTTGCGGCTCTTGCCCCTGATCTCGAACCCGCCGCATTCACATCGGCCGCGCAGAGGAAGAATGTAACACCCATCATCGAAGGGGGCGAGGAGAAGGGTGCGAGTGTGGGTGCCGAGCAGAGCAGCCGGCTGGCTGCCGGCATGGGCAAGCTGCAAGAGGTTGACCTCGGCCCGGATGCGACTACACGAAACGTCCAGCGAACAGAGGCCGCGTGGAAGCGAATTGAAGGTGGACAACTGGAGGCGGAGCCCCCTGGGAAAGTGCGATTGGGCAGAGACGGCAAGCCGCGACGACCCCCGAAGCGGAGGAATAGTGAAGACATCCGGCGAGACCAGATGGTAGAGGCGGTACTTCGCGAGGCTAAATGTCAGTCCAACCTCTACCACATCCTTACTGTGTATACTAACCCTCGCAGTGGACTACTTCGAAGAAGATAAGCCCTCAGATTCTCCAATACCTGGCGAGGCAAACAACGACGATGCCATGGTTGAGAGGTTCCGCCTGGAGTTCCTCGAATCCGTCGAATCGTCGCGCCAACAGCGGAAACCGCCCCAACCACCGGGCATCAAAGGCGCAAAAGAAGCACCAAAAGGACCGAAACTTGGCGGATCGAAAAGCGCGAGAGCAAAAATGCGCTTGCAAGAAGAGCAGGCGGCGAAGAACAAGAGGTAAATTCTGTTGCATGGATTTCGCGTTGTGGATTTCTGTTTCGTTGTTTGCGCGGCGCCGCGGCAAGTGGCTCGCTTCTGCCATGTTGAATTTTACGGGGTGACGATTAATACTTTGTAAAGATATAGGATTAACGACGGGAGACTGCTCGAGCCGGGTGACTGGCGAGCTATGTCGGTCAAGAAGTCGGCATGGTACGCGAACCCGAAGAAGGCTTAGATGGTGCAAATGGGATAATCTGGATCATGCCCTTCCGCAATGATGATGGATGAGGCGATGCTGGGTTGGAAAGGTCTGCAAACCTACTGCCGCAACATTCATATTCACTCTCCCGTTAGAACATCCAGCAAGACGGCCTTGGACGGAAGCCAGGCGCATATACAACTTCCGCCTAAGTCTTTCATTTTCTGCGCTTCCTCTCGTTCTTCCTCGTTTCTGCTTGGAATATACCTCTCAAATTCCTTTCTGCCAAGGCGCATGTTCAAGGCGCTCCGAGTTCATCGGCCCTTCATTCTAAAGACTGTTCTTGTCCCGTGTCCTTACGATTTTAATTCCTCAAATTCACCTCCTTTTTCTATATACGATGTGAGCTGCCGATTCCGATCCTGCCAAGTCTGCCAAGTCGCTCCGCCATGCTCGTCCTTCTTGTCCTTTGTCCAAGCCCGCCGTCTCCACCCCCGCAGAGGAAAGCTTGGTCCTTCTTGGCTGACGTTATGAGTACGCCTTGTCCCTCCGACAAGTCTTAACGCGCTGGCTGCTGCTGCTTGTCCGCGTTCAAGATCGCGACACTCTACTGCCAGCCCTCGCTTCTTGCCAATTTTTGCGAACTTCACATCAGCGGCTACACCGAATTTCAAAATGGATTCCATAAAGCGGCACATCATATTGCCTCGCTCCGGCGGTGGCGGGTCTTCCTCGATCCCTTATCATCCTCCTCCATCCATCGGCCACGAAATCGGCGTCATGTTTGGGGGCATTGGCGCTATGGTTGTCGGTATGCTGACTATTACTATTACTACCTAATTCTGTGGTGTCGATGTGCTGACTCTTGCTAGGGGCATTGCTCTTCTACGTCTGGTGGCACTTCAGTCTCGCGAGGGAGCTTAAGAAGGAAGAGGATCGTGTGAGGGGCTTGCGGGAGAGGGGTTTATTTGACGATGCGACGAGGAATAGCGCGATTGAGGAGCGAGAGAAGAGGGGAAGTGGGATGGAGATATGAAGGCTGATAGGGCATAGGCTGGCGAGGTAGAAGAGGCTCGCATGGTTGCGTATGATGCAGCTCATAGAGCCAGGGAGGGGTCGGGATTGTCTAGAAGAGCATTGAGGCAAAGGGTGAGGTTGGTTCCTGAATTAATTCCGTTACCGTTGATGATGGGGCACTCGCTAGAAGTTTTATCAACAACTTGAAGATTTTGCTTCGTCATATTCTTACAGCCCAAATAACCCAGACGGCAATTATTGTTCTCACTGAGCCAAAGAGAAAGACAAAGGAGATCCTAAACGTGCGACATGCAAATTGCCAACATCAATCCGAGAGATCGCGTCAAAACAGTAACTAACGCCAAAGAGATGTCAACCATAAGTTGATATAATTCCTTACTTTTCCTTTCAGTGTTTCTGGCGCCAACCCAACTCAACTCATCTAAGAACCTTGCCGAGCCTTCTCCGAACAGATCAAGGCAATAATCCTAGACAGCTCAGCGCTCTGATTGAACTGCTCCTGCTTCACACTCTCATCCACATCCTCGCTCGCGGCGATATCATTGCTAACCCTCAGCATGCGATTCTGGAGCGTCAGCAGCTTTGAGAGCGTGTTGTCGAGGAACGGAGCCGAGAAGGTGATGTTGGTGGGTGATTGGCCGTTGTTCGGGAGCCGCATTTCGAGCTTTCGCGGCGGCTTGCGGGCCTTGGAGGAGGCGGGAGTCTCAGGCTGCTGCTGTGACTGCTGCTGCTGCCTATATATACGTTAGTTGACAGTTCGATGAGGGACTGTACATAGTAAGGGTGCAGTGACGTACGTTGCGCGCTCGACGAAGGTGATGTTCTCTGCCATCTCTGCAACGCGGTTTGCGAGCCGCGAGGCCATGATTTGGTATGCAGAGGGGGGCTGGGCTCCGTTTACGGCGCCGTTCATGGACTTGGGAGCTTTTGAGCCACCGACCGGCTTCTTTGACCGCGAGACGGGGGCTTTGTTGGCTGTGCGGTGTACTGGTGCTGATGCGACGGAGGCGGGCATCTTGACAGGGTTTTGGTGAACTGAGATATACAAAGTAATCGAGTCTGAGATTTATGGTTAGCTTGCAGACTCCGCCATGATATATACTGCGTAAGATGGGGAGCTCGCGTGCAGCTCTCGGCATACGTCGAGTTTCGCGTGGGGATGACAGGGGTAGAGAAACAGTGAATACTAACCTTTCAGATCAACTATAGAGTGAGAAAAAGTAATAGGGTTTGGGAGTCGTTAAGAGATTGGAGTAAATGTCAAAGAAGAGGGGCTTGGAAAAGCAGAGGGCCTTCAACTTGATGAGCTGGTGCCACAGGAAAGTTGGTCGTAAGCGCCACACGCTACGTCATCGCATCGCATCACGATGGCAGGGGTGCACCAAGATCGGCGGACCCAGACGCTCCAGCCATCCCATATCCAACGCCAACTCTACCAGAAACTTGATGACATCCATCATCTCTTCTCCTCGGAAAACTATGCTTGCTTGAGTTTTGGACGACGAAGTGCAATATGTCGCCCGCTTTGAAGAAGAAGGGCAGAGAGGACTTGGGCGCAGGCCTGCGCGTCTCAAAGCAGAATATCGAAGAGCATCCGGCCGGGCCGCCAAAGTATGGCGAATTATCGCAGGCCGAGAGGGCTTTTACGCTCGCGTCAACGTTCTTGTCTGGAGTTCTGGCGTACGAAAGGATCCAACCTTTAGCGAAATTGTAGCAGCTTCGCTGACTTCTAGCATAGAATCAGCGCATCACAATTCCTGGGAGCGCCTTTGAAGCTTATTGACCCGGTGTTCTACGAAGGCTACATGGCATACACCAAAGAATGCTTTGCCATCCTCATTACTTGTCTAACTCAATGGTGGGCGCCGACGACCGTCAGAGTGAGCGGTGACTCCAGCATGCTCGGGCAGCTTATCAAGAAAAAGGACGGGAGCCTGCAATGCAATTTTGCAGACCGCATGGTACTCATGGCGAATCACCAGCTCTACACTGATTGGCTCTATCTCTGGTGGATTGCTTATACGAACAACATGCATGGATTCGTCTACATCATTCTGAAAGAGTCACTGAAGAATATCCCCATTATTGGGTGGGGAGCGCAGTTCTACAGCTTTATCTTTCTAGCTCGGAATTGGGAGGAAGATCAGCGCACCTTCAAGAAGCATCTGGCGCAGCTGAACAAGCCGAAGGACCCGATGTGGCTCATCATCTTCCCCGAAGGAACGAACCTTTCGTCGAGCACGCGAGAGAAGAGCAAGAAGTGGGCTGAAAAGAATGGACTCCAAGACATGAAACACCAGCTTCTGCCACGAAGCACTGGCCTCCGATTCTGCTTGAATGAGCTGAAGGAGACGACCGAATGGCTGTACGACTGCACTATTGCGTATGAAGGCGTACCTCCCGGCCAATTTGGTCAAGACATCTTCACCCTTCGCTCGTCGTTCTTTGAAGGTCGCCCACCCAAATCGGTTAACATGCACTGGCGTCGCTTCCACATTGATTCAATCCCTATCCACAACACCAAAGCTTTCGAAGTCTGGCTGCGAAACCGCTGGCGCGAGAAGGACTACATGCTCGAGTACTTCAACAGACACACCCGCTTCCCTGCCGAAGAATTCTGGAAGAACCAGCTCGACATAGGTGACCGCAGCTCGCAAAGCCAGAGCATCCGAAGCGTTCCTCGACCCGCAGTGATCATTGAGACTCAAGTCAAGTCTGGTAGTTGGAATGAGTTTGTCAAGATCTTTGCGCCAATCACTAGCGTCATGATGGCTCTTTCGGTAGCTTATGGAGCGTCGCCGACCGACCTCATCCCTGGAGGAACGGAGTTCTTCGAGCAGCATATGAAGGCGCTACTAAGCGGAGGCGACATGAAAGGACTCCCTAGCCCCGAGGATTTGGAGAAGCTGATTGAAGGAGCCGCAGGAATGGGTGCAGCACAAGCGGCCAGCCCCCAGAACATGGGCCAGGTGCAGAAGCTCACCCAAGAGAACTTGGCCAAACTAGTCAAGGAGACGGCGATCAAGAACGGAATGGTAATGCCAGGTGGTATGAGGCGAGCGAGCACAGCATTACCTGCCCCTCCGACTAAGACTATGGTCACTCCTTCGATCCCTACAGCGACTAAGGCCAAGAGCGCAGTCAATATACCAAGTGCGGCGAGGAAACCCCAGACTAGACCGGCTGCGAAGTCTACCACTACCATCCCAGCCGCCGCAAAACCAAAGCCGAAGCAATCACCCTACACAGGCCCAACGCAAGAAGTGATGACCGCATCCGGCGTCATGATCAAGATCCCAAAAACGGAGGTTGACGAAGCCAAGAAGACAGGTACTATCACGCTAAAGAACGGGACGGTCATCAAAGTGGGCAAGAAAGAACTCGAAGAGGCACATGCGAAGAAAGGCAGTACTATAATGACGTCATCGGGTATACCCATCAAAGTTACACCGAGTGGAGCTATCACCGTGGGACAGAAGCCACCCGCACAACAGCAGCCGACGAAAGCGGCTCCCGCAAACAATCCTAAGAAACCTGCACCTTCGATATCAAAACCGGGGCCTAAGCAGAGCGCGCCGACTTCAAAGACAAAGACAGCACCCAAAGCCACAGTTGCGCAATCAGCACCGAAGAAGATATCGACGGCGGCGAATGGTGCGCCAAAGAAACCCACGGCAGCGCCTAAACTCCAGGCCTCGAAGCCAGCACCCAAAAAATTGGCAGCGTGAGGACGATGAGTCGTCTTTGGGATTCCCTTTGGATGTTACAACCATGAGACTTCTATCCCTCCAGTGCGCTTCAAGTCCACGTCCGTAATTTTAGACGCACTTAGCGGCGTTCCCAGCACGCTTCTCCCAGCCAAAGCGCTGACTACACTGAGCTCACCGGAAAAGGACTATGTGGACGCGACCGCTGTCTCAGTCACAGCTGGCTGGGCTACGAGATTGAGTCGAAGAGCAAGGCATCGCCTCTCAGCTATGTGATCTGGAAGGAGATACACACAGTGATGCATCGACCGTGAGTACGCAGAGTTATATACCACGTTGGAAGTTTCTTTAGTTTTTGTGGCGGAACTCTGCATGTATTGGAATGGGTTTTTGAGAGTTCCGAGCTGGCTCAAATCTTCAACTTCCACCGTCCATCAGCCCAGTAAACCGGGCTCGATTGTACCAGCGTACTTTCCCCCTGGACATTCATTCTCCTATATGCTCAAAATGGGCTTGTATTTCCCTAGCGAAGATTATACCTAGTGAATCCATTCCTCATAAACTGAACTCCAGACCATAGCAAATAAGTATTCATTAGCGCATCAAGCTCCCGATCCTCCGATGCCCCTTCGCATTGTTACACCCCGCAGATCGTCGCAGATCCTTACGTCGTGCCCAGGTGGGTCCAGATCGCCATGCCCCTGCCCACGCTACCGTGCCACAACCTACGTCATATGGTGGCGTTCTACGCAGCTCGCATCCTATCCCTTACGAAACAGGATCTCCGGGAATTCGTGATGCAACATCATCTCATCCATCAGCTATCGAACAATAATAGTCAAAGAATAATCGAGCCTCCTCACCGTCCGGTTCGGTTCGATTACAATTGCTTGATTGATTGATTGAGAAAAGAAAGCATGGCTTCGTTTGTACAGAACATCCTATGGAACTCGGTCGAAGGCTTCGTGGAGGCAGGGAAGAGAACCGCGGGCGGATATGCAGGCGATGCTTTGATCAAGGCGGGCGATTTGGTTGAGAATTCAGGGCGGAATATCGGAGATGGTGCGTCTTTCCCCCTTGCCTCCCAAAGTCTCTTCTCTTTCGAAACCGCGCTCGACGAAAGCAAATCAAATCACTAACAGCGACGATATAGGCCTCGAACGCCGCGCCTCAAACTACAGCACCGCCATCTCAGGCCAAACCTACCAACCCTCAGCGAAAGCACTCCCTTCCACCGCGCGCAAACCATCAGCAGTCAAGCGCTCGAACTCGAGTCCAGCGAGCACGAAGGCCGTAGGACCGAGCAGCAGAACGCCGCTTGGCGCGAACAAGTACCCCGGCGGGAAACAAGTCGGAAGCGCCGCGAAGAAGCAGATCACATCGGGAGCCACGGGCGCGAAGAGCGCAGTAGGCGGCGGTGCGAAATCCGCAGCAGCAACAGCAAAGAGCAGCCTGCCAAAAGCATACCCCAACAACGTACCGTACGGCACCAAAATCACTCCTACTTCATCCAGCTCCAGTTCCTACAAACCATTATACGGCGGCGGGGGCAACTCAGGCCCCTCTGCGCCTGAGAAGAAAACGGCTGTTAAGCCAGGCCAGCCGAAGCCGTTTAATGCTGGCGGGCAGAAAGACGAGAAGAAACAGACGACGTATCCGGGGACGAATACGCTGCCGGGGCAGGGAGGGAAGGCGCCGGTCACGGCGAAGAAGTATAAGCCGATGGAGAGGATGGCGCCTCCGGCGGAGAGGGGGAAGATGCAGCATATTGCTGTCTGAGCGGGGCGGAGTGGAAAACGGGGGTGAGGTGAGGTAGTTGGGAGAAGTTGGGAGTGCTGGATGCATGGCGTTTTAGGGAGGCGGGTTCGCATAATCGGTCCGTATGCACAGTACATTAAAAGTATGAGATGCTGAAAGTTCATGGGGTTTCGGAGATATGTGCAGCATTATCCATCTGCTTAGGGCGCAATAGAACAATTCTTCGCAATGAGAAAGAGTAGCACTCAGCTCAGCGCTGCAATATTGCTCGAAAAGCATCCGAGTTACCATTTCCTTCTACCCCCTGCTTTTCATCATGCCCGATTTCCAGCCTAGCTGGTGGGATATCTTTGTCGCGATATCTCCGAACCGGGCTACAACGTCATCACCTCCTGGTCTCCAAAACTACCCCGCATATTGCATCCCCGACTAACCTCCAACAAGCAGGTCGACCCGCTAATCCGCACGCCTCGTGCAGCCGGGTGTTGAGCACGGGTCCAAGCTTTTGCCAATCAGGGTGCGGCGTCCTTGGGAAGCTTAAATGTGTGCGCGTCGCCCCCATGCCGTTTTGTAGTTTCAACTGCTTTTGCTTACGCTGCTACGTCTGGGTTTCTCTTGATGGTAACCGCGTGCGGGAAATGAAAATGAGGTTCTTTTCTAGAAATAAAGAGCCGGCGCCAGCGGAGGAACAGCAAAGGAGAGAACAAAATCGCGAGAAAGAGATTGTGCCGGCGCAGATTGAGAATCGGGATGCGGAGGCGGCGGTTCCTGCGGTGGTCGCGGAGATTGATCCAGTGCTTGAGAAGAGGGTGAGGAGGAAGATGGACATGCGAATCGTCCCGTTGGTTTCGGCATTGTATTTGCTTTCTTTCCTCGATAGGTCGAATATTGGGTGAGTATTTCGTTAGATTATCTCGTGCGTGGAGTGCAGTTGAACTGACACCATGCAGCAACGCGCGCATCGCGGGAATGACAGAAGACCTTGATCTTACAGGCGATCGGTACGACTGGCTGCTCACGATCTTCTACATCTCGTACATCATCTTCGAGTTCCAGGCCATCATGTGGAAGATTGTGTCGCCGCATCGGTGGGCTGCTTTCGTCGTCTTCGGCTGGGGTCTCATTTCGACGGTGCAAGCTGGCATACACACCTGGGCCGCTGAGATGGCGCTGCGGTTCATGATGGGCTTGACGGAGGCTGGGTATGGACCCGGCATTCCATATTTGCTTTCGTTTTTCTACCTGCGGCACGAACTAGGCTTGAGAATTGGCGTGTTCCTGTCTGCGGCGCCGCTGGCGAATACTTTTGCGGGCGCACTGGCGTATGGGATTACGAGTGGCAGTCCCGGGATTGCGAAGTGGAGGGTTTTGTTCCTGGTGGAAGGACTGCCGACTATTGTCATGGCGGTGGTGGCGTGGTTCTTCTTGCCCGACAGCCCGGAGAAGGCGAGGTTTCTGAATGAGGAGGAGAAGGCCGTAGCGAAGTCCAGAGGTGTGAGGCAGGCGGGTGCGGCCACGAGAGTGGGGCATGCCAACTGGAAGGAGATGGGGCAGGGGTTGGCGGATCCGAAGGGTTGGATTCTCGGGGTGAGTGTTTCTGTCGTAGGCTTTGAAAGAGCGGCAGACGCTAACTTATAGTGATTAGTTGATGTACTTCTCCTGCAATGTCTCCTTCTCCTCGCTGCCCGTCTTCCTTCCGACGATCCTGAAGGAGATGGGTTTCTCGGCCATCAACGCGCAGGGACTGACGGCGCCTCCTTTCTTCTTGTCCTTCCTGATCACCATCATAACGCCCTATATCGCGGACCGAACGCAGCAGCGCGGTATCATGCTCGTCATTCTTACCATTATCGGTGGAATCGGATACGTGATCCTGGCCGCGGCCAAAGGCGTAGGAGCGAGATACTTCGGCGTTTTCATGGCAGCAGCGGGCATCTTCCCGGCTATTGCGAACATCCTTCCGTGGGTGCTGAACAACCAAGGCTCCGATACCCGACGCGGCGCTGGTATTATCATCCTGAATCTCATCGGACAATGCGGTCCGCTTCTGGGAACTCGTCTCTACCCCTCGCACGAAGGACCTTTTTACGTCAAAGGCCAGTCTGTCTGCGCTGCGTTCATGTTCTTTACGACAATTCTGGTGATTATTCTGCGGACGATCTTGGTATGGGAGAATAAGCGGCTGGACAAAAAGTACGGGACGATTGCACAGCAGAAGCAGGCAATGCAGGAGGCGCAAGTCGGAGGGGAAAGGAAGGCAGAGGTTGCGGTGGAGAACTATGGGCCGCTGTTCAGATATGCTGTGTAGATGATGAGACGGCCAAACAGAGAAGAGTAGTGTGAATAAGGAATTGAAAGTCGTCGCGCCCTCTTATAGGAGCGGAAGAATGGTTGACCCAAAGTCTGGCTTATGGTGAAACCGCCCACGGCGAATTTGCTAAGCCAAAAGAAAGTGGACAGTAGCACCCTATTCACCTCCGAGACATCAGACGGGTCATATCGGATGATGGAGGGTGTCAAGCTTCGGATGGTGTCGATCGCACTTGTGCCTGGCGGACGCCGAAATAGGCTACAGGGCACGTGCCGCACTTCTCGTCTTCTCTCGCACCCCAAGGGCCCCAGACTGCGGCATCCCATAGAGAAGGTAAAGAGCTGGATCGTAGGGTGCCAACGTGCAATTTCGAGAAGTTTTGGAGATATCTGAAGGAGTCGACGGCTTGGCGATGATGAAGCGTTCATCCGCGGCAGTGGAAAGGCTAGCCCTTTACGGATGGAGACGCACTGGCCATTCACGTCACTGACGCAGTGCTGCAGAGCCCTCCACTCCCAACATCGGCTTTCTATTTCTTCACACCACCCAATCCCCCCGTCTGCCCACAACTGCGTCGCCGAGCGGACCCCTCGCTGACACCCTCGTATCCGACTCCCCGCCCAGCGTTTAACCTCGAGCAAGGCCCACAATGGCGGCCAATACTCGACGAGTCGGCGGGGAACCGTCCAACGCCCAGAATCCAGGCTCTGCCTCATACGCATCAATTGCTGCTTCGAACACGCAGAACACAGCGCAAGATCCCTCGGGGGGCTCTCCTTCTCCGGCGAAGAAGCGCAAGCATCGTGGCGGCAAGAAGCGACGAAATCGGCGGCAGTCGTTCGCCGCGACCGCAGAGACAATGGACGCGGGAGACATTCCGGACACGCCGCGTCCCAGCTTGGTCGACGTCGGCCAGTCGTCGTCGCGGGGGAGCTCCAGCTTCTACCGCCTGCACTCGAATCGCAGCGGTGACAGCCTGGACAGCGAGGCGCTGTTGGACCATCGCGACCAGCCGCCCACGCTACAGACGCGCCGCCAGAGCGTCCAGATGTCGTCTATACTCGGCGCACGCCCAAGCCAGCCCTTCGCCAACTCTCCCCAGCGCCGTGCCGCCCAGTACCCCTTCGGCCGCTCGAACTTGTCCCAGCAGCAGCGGGCGCAGGATAGCGAGCCCGAGGACGACGATGCCGACGACCAGACGCCTCTGATGAGCTCCTCTCAGCGAGATATCAGGACTGGCACAAGTTATGGCGGCGCCAGCGGGCACTCGGGCGGGGGCCGGCTGCGCAGGGGCAGCAGGTCGTCCGCGTCGAGCGGGAAGCGGGCACCGCAGCTCGCGGCCGCCATGCAACACCACTCGCAGACCAACCTCGGCGACTACAGCGTGAACAACCCGCCCTCTGTACCGGCCAGTCCGGTCCTGGGGCCCGATACCGCATACGACGATGTCATGCTTCCTCCCGACCTAGATAATGGGGGTTCGTCGACTAGCAGAAACAGGTCCCGCGATATGCTCATCGACATAGACGAGGAACCCACCCCCCAGCCGGGCTTCGAGTCGACACCCACTTCACCTCCGGGCGGCGAGTTCCGCCGTCGCATGACCCTGCAAGCCGCCGAAGATGTGTGCTTTCCACAGGACATGTCGGAAATTGGCCATGAAGACTACATGCATCGCCCAGAAAGCGGCGATGTACGAGGTCGCCGCCGACGCCGTCGCTGGCCCGATCTGGGTGTGCTGGAAGACTGGTCTCATGAAGAAAAGGAACAGCGGACCATGGAAGGCATGCGCATGCGCAAAGTCAGCGAGCCGCTCATGGTGGAGGGCCGGCTGCGCCCGCAGAAACGCGCGTGGCACAGGGACGCAGACGACGCCCCTTACCGCTTCACCTATTTTAACGAGGAGTTTGAGAATACCATTCACAGCCAGACTATCAGTGAGCTTGTCCAGCCGGGTCAGACGTTCAGGACCCTCTTCATCCCCGATCCTCCTGTCGTTGAAGATACCTCGGACTCAGAGACGGACGAGGACGACGACATCACTCCGATGACCAGAGAAACCACACTGGACCGTGCGACCGCCAACGGACATTCTCGAACAAGCACCCAGACCACTAACAAATTGGATCCCAAGCAGTCATCTTCCGGTGAGCAGACGCGCTCAAACACCCCAGGCCACACTCCCACACCAAAGCCGGACCAGGAGAAGCCAAAGCGATACGGCCCGCGGCCAGCATTCTGGCTAGACGTCATGTCGCCTACCGATGCCGAGATGAGAGTCATTTCGAAAGCGTTCGGGATCCATCCCTTGACGGCTGAGGACATTCTGATGCAGGAGCAGCGTGAGAAAGTCGAGCTCTTCAAGCATTACTACTTTATCAATTATCGCACCTTTGAACAAGACGAGAACAGCGAAGACTATCTCGAACCCGTCAATCTGTACGTGGTAGTCTTCCGCGAGGGCGTCATTAGCTTCCACTTCTCCATGACCCCGCATCCTGCCAATGTCCGCCGCCGTATCCGCCAATTGAAGGACTACCTCATCCTCTCACCGGACTGGATCTCCTACGGCATCATCGACGACATTACGGACGCCTACGCGCCCCTCATCCAGCGCATCGAAGAAGAAGTCGACGACATTGACGAGGCCATCCTGCGTTCGTATTCGATGGAGGAAGAGCAGGAGGCCGAGAAGCGCGAATCGTCCTCCTACAACAACCCACATTATGAAAAGGAGCCGGATGGCACACGTGTGACTCGGGAAGGCGGACGGGACATGCTGCGACGAGTCGGCGAGTGCAGAAAGAAGGTCATGAGCTTGTATCGCTTGTTGAGCACCAAAGCGGATGTCATCAAGGGCTTTGCGAAACGCTGCAACGAGCAGTGGGAGGTTGCCCCACGCAGTGAGATCGGGTTATACTTGGGAGATATCCAAGATCACATTGTCACCATGACTGGGAATTTGACTCACTACGAAAAGTAAGCCATTATATTCATGACCGGTGAAGACGGTTCGCTAACGGCTTTGGTAGCCTACTGTCTCGCTCGCATAGCAACTACCTCGCCCATATTAACATCCGTATGAATGAGCGCCAAGAGAAGACTTCCGATATCCTGGGCAAGCTTACTGTTCTCGGTACCATCGTCCTGCCAATGAACGTTATCACGGGTATCTGGGGAATGAACTGTGAGTGCCATATATTCGCTAACCTCTACCCGTTGCAATGACTAACCTTGTTCAGGTCTTGTGCCAGGCCAAGACATCGAGAACTTGAACTGGTTCTGGTGCATCACCTCTGGATTGGTGATGTTCGGTCTGCTCTGTTTCCTCATTGCTAAGAGGGTGTACGGCATTATGTGAATGGATTAGAAGTGCGGGAAAAAGTTTGTAGCAGAGTTGAGTACATTGGCATACGCAGCCGGAGTTCTGGGCTTGATTTCGCATCGCCGGCTTTGACGCCACTTGCATTAGATTGATCTGCGTTTACATGCATCTCGTGCGCTGTAGAGTACTATACATGTCTCCTTGCTTACCGCATTGCTCATATCGCAGAAGATCCATGTCTCCGTCGCGGTTGTTTGTTCGATTAGAAATGTACACTACTGTAGAATGAGGGGTTTTGTTCCTAAACGAATTCCGCCACGTGTCTGCCTGGCGAGTCCATGAACTACATTGCACCAGCGAGAGCAGTTCATTCGTATTCTCTTCGACGCTTCTTCGTCTACCTTATATAACTTCGTATACCATGACTTCCTTATATTCCAGTAACGGGGCCACGAAACGCACGAGAATAGAGGCTTGGGCTTGAGTTTGGAGCGCATGAACAAACGTGCCGCCCTCCCACCGAGGATGGAGGCGTGAGCTTTGTGGAGGGGGGGAGGTGTTGGAAGCGCTGTTGCTGATACATCGACATTTGCGGAGAGTGGTGCCACTGTTGGAGTTGAGGATCTGAGGGGTCGATGAGATACTGGTAGGCAGTTGTCGTTTGTTGGGAGATTTGAGTCTCGCTTTACGGAAGAGTAGAGTGACCTTACGCCTCATTATTTTTTCCCGCCAGGACAGTTTGGGACGCTCTGTCGGTGATTGCTTTTGTCCTGCACGAGGCTTTTAAGCACGTCCCACAGGGAAAGAAAGAGTCAGGCAATCTGTTCTACCTTTTAGGGCTTCGGATGCATATATGTCCACTAAGCTCTTGCTTTAAGAAATAGATGCTCGTTAGTTCACGTACGAAACGTTGATTCTTCGCGATATGCAGCTAAGGGCATCGCGGAATATTACTGCTTTTCTATTCCCGTTCAGATTCCGCGCGCGAGGGGACCGACTTCACTCTCATACCAACATCCTCAAAGAGAGCACTCGCCGCAGCGGAGATACGGCGAGCGTGTCTGCTGGCCTCGCGCCTCCACAACTCAGATCCCCTTCTCATGCCTATCGTACAAGCATGTTGTTGCTCGAAGCCACATAGCTTCCAGAAGACCCCAAAGGATCCACAAAGGGAACACCTTCGCCTCACACACATTCCTTCAACGCAAATTCCACTTTCCCCAAATGGCGCTTGCGACTATTTCGAGGCTAGGGCCTGGGGTCACCTTCTTCCCCCACAACCCAAGCGATCAATCCCTCATCGCGCCCGAATCCGCACCGGAAACCCATCCACCGGATGCGCACTCCCCAACTGAATCTGATACGCCCTCTCGCCATCCACCCTCTTCACGCCGCTCGGCCTGTTCACCCGATCCCACTCCTCATACGCCTCCTGCAGCTCGAAATCCCTCGCCGTCAACGCCAACACGATCTTGAGCTCCGTCAGCGCCAGCTCCGTCCCAATGCACGCGCGCGGCCCGAACTCAAACGGGCGCCACGCGTTCTTCAGCGGGCGCAGCGCGTCGTCGTCGCCGAGGAAGCGCTCGGGCAGGAACTCGGAGACGCGTGGCCACCACAGTGGGTTGTGGTGCAGCCCGTGGTGGACGGCCCAGACGAGGCAGTGTGCGGTGGGGAAGCGGTGGCCCGCGGCGTCGGTGAGAGTGTAGTCTGGCTGGCCGCCTCGCGGGGAGGAGACGACGGGGAAGACGCGCAGGGTTTCTTTGATGACGGCGAGGGTGTAGGGGAGGCGGTTGAGGAGGGCGGGGTTGGAGGTGAGGGCTTCGGCGGCTTTGGTTTTGTCCGGGCCGAGGACGGCGTCGTGCTCTGCGCGGAGTTTGGCCATTGCTTGCGGGTTGCGCGAGAGGAGCAGCCAGGCGTAGCAGATGGTCGTTGAGGTTGTGTCGTGGCCCGCGAAGATGAAGACTTTCATCTGGCTAAGGGCGTATTTGCGGAACTCGGGATTGAGCTGGCCTTTATCGGCGCTTGTTGAAGACTTCTCAGACTTGTATCCGCTCAGTGCGAGATCGATGATGGTCTTGCTCTTGGCTGTGTCGCCGTGCGTCGTGTTGTACCGCTCATCGAGCTCGCGGTTGATATACTTATCCATGATCCTGCGGTTGTTCCACATATGGAAGTACCGCATCGGATTCAGTAGCGTCGAAAGACCCATTTCCAGCCCAAAGGCCGCCCACTTCCGCTGCGCCAGCAAAGCCGATATCCACGGATTCGGCTCGCGCTGCGTATTAAGCTTCGCATCCCTATTGCGCAAAAAGTCAGCCCAGCCACACAGAACCCTCTCCCCACCACACAATCAAACAGCTCAGATATAAAAAAAAAAAGAACCACCTACAAAGCCACCCTCCCAATAACATCAACCGCCAACCCCAACGCCAGATCCTCAAACCCAAACATCCGGCCCGCCTCAGCCCTCCTCCTCAACTCCCCCCTAAAAACCTCCACCTCCTCCACCATAACCGGCACCAAGCTCAACACATGCCCCGCGCTGAACCCAGGGTTAAACAGCTTCCGCCAGAAGCGCCACGTCTCGCCGTCCAAACAGTTCAAGTCGTACCCGCCCGTAATCGGATACATGAACTTCTTCACCCCCGGGTGTTTCGGCAGCAAGCTGTCGGGCGCGCAGAACGAGCCAATAACCTCCGGGTCCGTCACAATGAGCATGGGGTCCGAGAACGGCCACAGGTCGAGGTAGAAGGTCGGTCCCAGGTCCGGGAACCGCTGCCGGATCTGGTCCGCGAGGTAGTGGCCGTGCGCGTCGCTGGGCAGGCTGCTGGTTATCGACGCCGCGAGGCCCAGGTGGCCCAGGAAAATGTTGTGAGGCGGCATCGGCTGCGGGTTTGCTAGTCAGTCGCTGCTTCGCTGCTCATCTGGCTTTTTCTCGCGGCTTGCTGCTGCTTTCGTCGACGGGTGGGGGCGGGCTGGCGTACCAAGCCTTGCTTCTGCAGGCGCCTCATGTATTGCCGAGCGCGCCATGCTTTGGTCACGAAGCTGGAAAGTAGGATGGCGACTAGTGCCGCGAGAATTGTGGAGGTGGTGAGGTGGAGGTTAGAGGAGGACGACGGCCCGGTGGGGGAGGCCATGACGTATGCGGCATTGACAGCGAGGTGCAGCGGAGAGGGTTGCCCGAGTTGTTCGTCGTCGCTTGAGTGTTGTTGACGTGGGCTGAGTGAGATCTTTAAACACGGCTTGCAAGGCGGAATGGTGAGACGTTCGCTAGAGGGGTTTGGGGCCAGCCTTGTTTGAGCGTTACGCTGTCTATTTACAGCTGCTGGTCAGGGGCGGAGTGCATGTTAGTGCCAGGATGTGCGCACTCAGGATGTGGTTTACGCATATCCCTGCAACATTGCACAGCAGCTGGCCGGCCCCAATCATTTGGCTGTCGGAAACTCTAAGTGGACGTATCGACGAAGAAGATGGTGTGCTGAAATCTTGGGAATCTATCTGTGCAACTACTAAAATGTGACATAGAAAAGTACACTAGATGTACTTGGGGTATCCTTCAAATGCAACGAAAACCAACAGCAAGGAAAGCTAACAAGCGGCCTGACCGCACGAAGAAAAGAAACCCTCTTGTGCAGGAGACATAGGAAACCTTTCCCCCCCTCCTACAAGTACGCCGAGCAGTTCATACCTTAAACCGCAGCGATCCAACCCTAGGATCCCGCCTCCGCTCAAACCGCACCCTCACATCCTCCTTCGGCGGCAGCACTGTAGTCGTCATCGTGCTCTCCAACACCCGAGGGCAGACCCACTCCCCCCTCTCCGGCACAACATCAAAACCCAAAACCACCAGCGCCGTGATGCTCAATATCTGCATCGTGGCAAAATGGCGTCCAGGACAGAGCGTCGAGCCCCCACCAAAAGGACGAAAAGCAGCCTGGGATTTCGCCGCCATGCCTTCCTTCAGGAGATTTCCTGGGAGGAACCGCGATGCGTCGAAGGATTCGGTCCCCGGGCCGAAGTACGCGGGATCAGAGTGCAGACAGGCGCTTGGCATGTGCACGACGGCGTTCTTTTTGAGGAGGATGTCGGAGCCGATGGAGGTATCTTCGAGGACTATGCGGGTGGAGAGACTGGAGGCGTGGGCGCGGAGGACTTCTTTGAAAGTGGATTGGAAGAGGGGCGAATCGCTGACGACTTTTTCGATGTCGAGGATTTTTGCGGTGGAGTCTTCGATGTTGTCGGGTTGCAGGCATGCGATCAACTCTATTCGGAGCTTCTCGAGGAGATCGGGGTCGGAGAAGATGTGGTATATCATCCAGAACAGCGTTGGCGGCGTGTTCACCAGCAGTCCGATGCAGTGTACGACTTCGAATCCAGCTTGGTCCTCTTCGGATATGCCACGCTTCCTGTTCGCCTCATTGCAAGCTCGCACAAAGCCCGATGCCTTCTCACTTCCACCATTACGGAAGTAATTGGTAAAAGCCTGCCTAAGCGCCTTCTTCGCAAAGTGTCCCTTCCGCGCCGTCAAGCTAGGAAGGAAGTTCAGAAGCAGCAACGAGAGATCGGCATCATAGTTCCTGACGAACCGCTGTTAGCGTACTGTGCCAACACTCATGAATAATCGCCGAGCATGTTGGGCTTACCAAAAAGCGTCTTCGAGGCCCGTGTCTACGCGGAAAGGATTCTGCGGCCCGTACACTGCATCTGTGCTCGCGAGACAGACCGTATGCCGGACCCACTGGAAGAGGTCGCCCGCGGACGTATGCTCTAGCTCGCCCGATACGATGTCGAGAATCTTTCCAACCATTTCGGAGAGATTCGTCTGGGATCTGAAAGCGGAGTGCGTCAGGATGTGCGATTCGTTCATGAGGCTGCTGCGCGTCTTCTTTCCGTCTTTCATCTCGTTGCGCATCGTTTGGAGCATCGCGGGACTCGCACCACATAGCCTTTCCGCCGCAAGGAGGACAAACGGGTCGAAGGAGATTGTTGGATGGCGTTGGATTTTGGAAATCAGATTCGCGTCTGTGACTACGTATATTGTTTGCGTGAGGAGGCGCAACCCGAAGATGGGTAACCGCGTTCTATCGCTGCAGGAGCGCGTTAGTCAAACGTCCAAACCGCAAGAATCAGCTTAGTGTATACGGTACCTAATGCTCTTGTAGTACACCGCGCCATGTCGTGCAATGCCCAGCGCATGGGATACGAAAGGAATTTTCTCTGGAATGAAAGACGGCTGAGGCGCGCCTCCTCTTCTCGAAAGACGTCGATAAACCAAAAGTAGAATAGCAAGAACGACTGCGAAGCATGCAAACATCGCCATGTTGCACGGTTGGCGAAACGACCGGAGAGTACAATAGCACAAAGAAAAAAGTTCCACCACGAGAGCCAGCGCAGATCCAGCAGCACCGGCCGGCGTTGTCATACCTTTAGCCTCCCATCTCTCCACGAGACATGGCGTCACCCAGGGGCCATAGCTCTCCATCAGCCCCAGCCGCAAACTGGTCCGCCTCCCTCCAGCCGCCGGTGCAAATAAAACGGCAGAAATGAAACGCCTCGGATGAGGCGTTGATAGATGCGCCATCGCCAGTGGGCCCTAACTTCGTCGGTGTCCGACAAAGCTTCAAGCGAAATGTGGCTTGCCGTCACATAATGATATATAATTTTAGATAAACATGGCGCCGTCGTGGTGACCACCGTGGCGCTATACTAGTGCGGCGGGATGTTGCCTGCTTGGGTTAGCGCTGCGAGACGCAGCGACCCCCAAGGTCAGTGACACCCTAGGACGAGCTAGAATGGCTAATGGGCCATGCAATAGGTGTAATGGGTTACAGTGTCAGGCTTACTCACGATGCCAGGAAAGGATTGATATCTCGTTCTGAGTGCACTCGCAACCCAGTTTCGAGGGACTATTCGACCACTTGCGAGCTTCTTCACTTTCGTTTGTTTGCCTTTCAGAACAAGTCTCAAGATGGATGCGCCGATTGTTTACTGGCTTCTGTTTCGCGCTGCCTCTTCGCTCTTTGCATATTCTCTTATCGTCTTCCTTCTCCATCTGCGGAATCGTCAAGCCAAATCAACACCGCGTCCCAAGAAGCCAGTGGAAGCTCCCAACGGACTCCCAGTGCTAGGCCATGCGGTCGCATTCTCGAAAGACCAGGCAGGCTTCGCCATGGCCTTGAAGTACGTCCGCGACGAAGACTAGCGTAACAGGAACTAACAAGGCACAGGAAGCGTTTCAACGGGATCCCCCTACGTCTCCGGCTCATGGTCATGGACATCGTCTTCCTCACTGACCCTGACCATATCGGCTCTCTCTTCCGACGCTCCACGGAACTCACCAATGGGCCCTATCGAAAGTTCGTCAGCTCCACGTTCGGCGTGCCAAGGGACTTCCAGAAGTTCTTCGCGGCTGATAACTCCGGGCTGTCTCGCACTCCTCTCCCAGGTTCGAATGTCAAACCGGAACATCGTGTCGACTATCTCATGCACGCGTTCATCGTCCAGTTCATGACCGGAAAGAGCTTGAAGTTCCTCGCCTCTCGCTTCACGGAGAACATGGAGGAGAGACTCTGCAACTTGGACTGCTCCCACGAATTCGAAGGCCACGGGAGCCTGTACGACTTCGTGAAGAAGAACATGTTCCACTCCTCAGTCCGAGCCATGTTCGGGACCCATCTCTTCGAAGTAGACCCGCGCTTTTGCGAGCACTTCTGGGAGTTCGAAGAAGGCATGCCCGAGCTAGCAAAGGGGCTCCCTCGCTGGATGTACTCGAAGCAGTACAGAGCGCGAGACCGATGTATCCTGACTGTTCGGCAATGGCAGAAGAGCCTCGGGGCGCGCCGAAACGACGAGCCAGAAACCGCGGAAGAGCTAGCCAAACAGGAGTACGATGACTTCTTTGGCTCTGCGATCGTCAAGAAGCGGCACTCAGCTTTCAGCAAGATGGAACCGCACATGGGCCCGGACGCCCGGGCGTCGGAAGACCTGGCTCTCCTATGGGGGTGAGTTTCCCCCTTGCATTACTGCTGTCATGCAGCATCAGCGACGTGGCAATGCTGACATTTCCTCCTGCAGCGCGAATTCCAATGCCACGCACGCGGCCTTCTGGCTGATCTACTCCGTTCTACGCGACCCGGCGACCGAGGCACGCTTTCTGTCTGAGATAAGAGCCGCGGAGATTCCAGATCAAGCCGGTGATAGCTTCGTCCGGTACGACATCGACGCCCTCTGCACAAACCCTTTCCTTCAGTCTCTCTACGCCGAAACGCTCCGCCTGTACGTCGCAAACATTGTACTGCGCAGCCCGCGAAACACAGATCTCGCGGTTGGCGACTACAGCATCAAACGCGGCGAGATTATCGCGACCATGAGCTACCCCATGCACCAAGACGAAACAAGGTACAATACCGGGACGCCTGAGGAACCCCGGCCCCTCTCCGACTTTTGGGCCGAGCGTTTCCTGGTGCCAAACGATGCGCCGAATGAGGAGCAAGAGCCAGACCAGGCACGCCCGGCTGAGAAGTTCTCGCTTAAAGGCACCGAAGGGGCTTGGATTCCCTATGGTGGGGGCGCAAACATGTGTCCAGGGCGCTATTTTGCGAAGCAAGAGATGACATTAATGGCGGCGCTGCTCATAGGAAATTTCGAGGTCCAGCTCGTCGGCGACTCAGCAGAGATAGATTGGCGGTATTTCGGTTCGGGGGTGCTGGGTGTGGGCGGGAACAGCAAATTCCTCATTCGGAGACGGAGTGTGAAGGGTTCGGCGTAACGTTTGCATCTTCTTACTACCCCTTTTCTTTTGTCTCGCAGCCGTAGTTCGATATACCCAGCCGATGTTCCTTTTGCCATAGATGCTTCGATATAGAACGCGCAAGTTCCTCTCGCCGAGTCGATCTTATCCATTGCAGCGGTGTGATTTGAAATTCGGCCCGCGTCCTCGGCTTGGAGAAGATTATTGGATGACCGCAGACGTCAGCACGAAATGCCCTAAACCACCAGCCGCAGCTATTGCAGGACAATAGCTTACCTGCCTTCCAAGGAATCAAGTTTGAGGATCGCAGCGCCGTAACGGTGCGGTGAACCCGGACGCCAAAGAGGACCCGAGCCGTCGCCAAAGGGCCCGCAGTGCGCCTTGCGCGAGCCTTGTTTCGAGAAACGATCGCCGCGCCGGCTCGGGGAATATCAGTGTAATGTTAATTGTGGCTGCAGTGACAGGTGGGTACAACGTGCCCCGCCTTTCCAAAAATGCATCGCGCTCCAAAAGTGCACGCGCGACGTGTAGAGTGCAGGGCTGGGCCATAGCCACCTCAGCAGCAAGGAAGCGTAGGGTGCGGGACAGTACCCAAGTAAGCAGCAACCCTGTGCGAGCAGGGCTCTGGATTCAAGGCTGCTTATGGTCATAAGCATCAATTGTCCGGTCGAAGGATTCCCACGAGCGCTGTCTTTCCCACCGACTTTGCATTCTTTCTGTTCGGTCTCGAAGTCGTTGTGTGTGCTCATCAGCCTTCCTCCGTCATGGCTCTCTACGACAACGCAGGAAGGATCCCACGACGGGCTGCAGATGTGAGTTGGACCTTCAGCATCTTGTGGTAGCAGCTCGGTAATAACACATGTCCAGGGCTCCTTGGTGGCGCTCTTCGTTCTCGCGATTCTCTCAGCATCATGCCGCTTCTTGGTGCGATTGCACTACCAAAGGCGTCTCTTCTGGGACGATGCCATGCTGGCATTCGCGATTCTCCTCCTCATTACGTGTGTCGGCCTCTGGTTCAGCTATGTCGATGATATGTATCTGGCGGAGTCGGTCATGCTAGGCCAGTTCACTGCCGATATGGACATGACGACCATCATTCCGCGAGCAATTCGCCTGCACAAACTGAGCGACGTTTCCCTCGTTCTGACCTGGACATGCCTCAATTCCGTCAAGCTCAGCTTTGTGCTGTTCTTCGGCACCTTGACCACTCGAGCGAGTAGACTGAGGTGGTATTGGTGGGGTGTTCTTATCTTCACCATTGTCACCTGGGCCGGAGGTCTTCCTCTGGAAATTGTAGCTTGCCCGTATTTCGACGAGCGATCCCGTGAGTAGCTCCGCATGTGCTGAGATTTCCTGGCGCTGATTGCAAGTAGTCACTTGCGCCGCCGGAAGCAGTTACAATAAGACCATCGGAATTGCTGCGACCTTGGTTGCGCTCAACATCTGCTCGGACCTTCTCAGTAAGTCGTCGCAACAGCATGAAAGTAGTTGATGCGTTTGGCTAACTCTCATTCAGTCTTCAGCATCCCGTGCCTCATTTTGCACAGAATCACAGTTCCTCTTCGCACCAAGATCTACCTTGGCCTCTCTCTGTGCCTCTCGGTGATGACCATCAGCATCACCATTGTCCGAGTGTCGGGCCTGAAGGTCCCCGGTCTGCGAGCTGTGGATGTTGTCTGGCAAGTCTACTGGCAGTACGTCGAGGTCTGCATCGGCATCATGGTCGTCTCCGCGACCGCATTCAGGACCTTCTTCGTCCAGCGCGCCGCACGATCTTCAGCAAAGCGATCGACACCACGCGACTACGTCTTCTCGCAGCGTTTCCGCCAGAAGTTTATGCGCAGGTCCGGCGAGCCCAAGGAAGACTTCAACGGTCTTCCGTCGCACTTCCCTGGAGCAACGATGACCGGAATGAGGACTTATATTGATGAAAACGGCGAGCCGAAGAACGTCAGTACCCTAGCGAGCAGCGTTTCGCGGGAGAGCGAGGAGGAGCCTTTGCAGCCTCCTGAGATGGTTCACTCCAGGGTGTAGATGGAGTTCGCCCTGGAAGGCCGACGAACGACGCTCACAAAACTCTCGGACTGGCGCATATCGGCGTCTGCGGCACGGCTCGAATACCTTTCGTTATCATGGCATCGCTCTCTACGAGCACCTGATGGAGTGGCGCAATTTGGGAAGCATCTCCTGTCTCTAGAGTCAATGAGAATCCTCTTGTGAATGACCACTTCCACCTGGCCTGAAGCATAGCCATCGTGATCCAGCTGGGAACGCAGTGAGCTAGCATGCGCTGGACTGCACGTGGCTGGGAGACTTCTCGCCATTCGCTCCATGCTCCTGGCTAGTGCTAATCCCATTTCCACGGAGGAACGAGAGCCCCCTACATCAGCGGTTCGCAGCTGTCGGAAGGCTGAAAGCTCGAGGCCCGCAATTCCGTGCGGGGAGCGAAACGCGTTCGCTGAAGCCCACCCAGAGCGAGCAGCTTTGCCTTGAAGCAGTTACCGTCGGGATTCGAATCTTGCACCAGCAGTTAGCGCATGCCTAGTCAAGATAAGCAATTGCCAAGCTTTAGGATTGCGGCTGAGGCGCGACCAGGTGGATGGGCTGGCCTAACGGCATCCTGGCATAAGGAGCCCAGCGGAAAAGCTTGCGCTGTAACACAACATACTGTTACCCTCGTGTCGGGAAAATGGTCGTCGTTCGCGAAGTCGCAACTTCTTTGATCCTGAAGAGCCGAATCTGTGACCGCATACATACAGTGAGCAATAGTGCGCCAGGCACGTAGTCTCACCTCAGCGGAAGCGCAAACCCATGGCAGCTGCGTCGTTAGTTTATCCGAGTCCTGGCGCCGTTTATGCGGCGAAGGACCCGTCTCCGATCGCGCAGGCTTCTCCGATGAAAGCCACTCAAGGCTCCACATGGTGGGTTTTCCACCAAGTCTAAAAATATCCATCTTCCAGAAGTGCTGGGCCCAGCCCCTTCAATTTCAACACCATGAACTGCCAGGGCCTCTCGACGATGCGCCTTGCTTGTTTCATCAAATGGCTACGCTTCATCGACAAGGTACTTCTGGTCCAGCTATCCTTTCTTGGTGGCCTGGTCCCACAGGGTGCGCGAAGAATATTGGGGGCCATTCATCCACGCGCTCGCTTGCAGGGTTTCTCGGTGACCGAGAGAAATGAAGCTCACGCCAGCACCACGTGAATGTACCCTTGTTGATACCAATTGGACGAATGCTTGAAACCTGATTCACGGCCCGTCCGAGTGGTAGTGATCGCCTCTGCAAGGCGCATTCCTGGAGGAACAACTGAATGTGGTCGATGCTCGCGCGCAGCCCCCACACGCTCAATAGACAGTTCGACGCCGGAGCATTTTGGCGCGGTAAGATTTGTGTAACATTGCTCGCTGATCATGCCATTGTGGGCTGTGCCTGAATGAGGTCTTCTCGACTTCAGTCCACCATCCGACACGGCAACCCGAGGTTCGAGCTTGCGACGCGTTCTGTCGATGTCGTGTTCGAAAAGCTTCGCGACGGCGGACGAGTGTGAAGCGGCGGTTCCGCACGATGAAGAGATTCCAGTGCGATCGATAGGTGTCTCGTTCCGATCCGTCAATGCCTTCGCTTTCGCAACACCAACCGACTACCAGAGGACTTTTGGCAACTTCCCGCTCGCACTCGCGAAGCAAGCCGCCACTTACGTCGGATATGGGAGGGACAAGCGACGAGTGAACATCCTGCGAAACTGCGAGGGCGTGGTGAAAAGCGGAGAGATGCTGCTTGTGCTGGGGAGGCCTGGAGCAGGATGCTCAACGTTGTTGCGAACGATTGCCGGCGAGACGAAGGGATTCCAGGTGGAAGATAATGCGGCTTTCAATTACCAAGGAATCAAGGCCTCCCACATGCACTCGCGCGCACGAGGAGAGTGCAGCTATCAGGCCGAACTCGACGTCCACTTCCCGACGCTCACAACATGCGAGACAGTCATGGTTCCTGTCCAGGCGCGGAGCACGGGAGTTTCTGGCCCCCGGCGCGTCGTCCGAAAGAAGATCGAGATGGCGAGAGCGATGCGGATACTTAAAGACCTTGGGTTGTCGCACACGGCGGACACAAAAGTCGGCAATGAAGAGATACCAGGCATTAGCGGCGGAGAGCGGAAGAGGTTGAGCATCGCAGAAGTGCTCGCATCCAGTACCGCGCTCCAGTGCTGGGACAATAGCACTCGCGGGCTGGACAGCGCGAACTCGCTCCAGTTCATTCGAACAATCAGGGATCGGAGCAATCGCTTGGGAACCACCGCGTTGGTGAGCCTGTACCAAGCGTCCGATGACATTTATAAGGTTCGTTTTCTCCCCACTTCGTCTTTGGAAACTTGCTGACCGATGCACCAGATGTTCGATAAAGTATGTGTGCTGTGTGAAGGTCACCTGGTTTACTTCGGCCCCACGTGGATGGCACGCGAATACTTCGAACGGCTTGGATTTGTCTCCTCCGAAGCCGATACGGACGCGGAATTCCTCACATCAGTGACGAACCCAGCTCGCAGGCGTATCCAGTCTGAAAACGGGAATATTGTTCCGCGGACACCAGCCGAAATGGCGGCGAGGTGGCGGTGTTCCCTTGAGCGCGCCGAGCTGCTCAGGGACATTGCCCTCTTCGAAGAGATGCACCCGTTCACGTCGACGGGTATACCTTCAGAGCCGTACCGCGTCTCGATGGTCCGCCAGGCCAAACTATGCATCACGCGCGGATTCATCCGATTGAAGAACGATCTGGCACCTCCGATATCCAATCTCGTGGGCAACTGCATTCTAGGCGTAGTCCTCGGCACAGTGTTTCTCAACCTTCCGGACGACACGAGCAGCTTCTTTGCTCGCTCCGCACTGCTCTTTTTCGCGACCCTACTCAATGCCTTCGTTAGCGGCTTCGAGCCAGGCATGATCTGGGACTCCCGGCCTATCGTCGAGAAGCACTATCGGTACGCGCTTTACCGGCCAATCTCGGATGCTATCGCCTCGATGATATGCGACTTGCCGAACAAGATTGTCTTTTCCATCACGTTCAATGCGCCCATCTACTTCCTGCCGAATCTGCGAAGGACTGGTTCGGCATTCTGCACTTTCTGGCTCTTTTCCTTTACGTGTTTGCTTGCGATGTCGATGATATTTCGTGCGATTGGATCATGGTGTACAACACTAGCTGGCTCGATGGCGCCTGCCGCTCTTTTCATGCTGCTTCTTATGATTTACTCGGGATTCCCATTGCCGGTCCCATATATGCGGCCGTGGCTGCGGTGGTTCAACTACGTGAATCCTGTCGGATACACGTTCGAGAGTTTGATGATAAACGAGGTATGTGCACTAGTTGGACCGGTTTCGCCGTCTGGGCTAATGGGCGTGTGCAGTTCTCTGGCCGTGAGTTCCCATGCCAGCAGTTCATTCCCCAGGGTCCTGGATACGGTGACAATGTGTCGGCCAGCCAAACATGTAATGTCGTCGGTGCCATGCCCGGACAAGGAGTCGTTCGAGGAGATGATCATATTCGTATGAGCTATGGATACTCTCCTGATCACCTGTGGAGGTATGTCTGTTGTCTTCTTGTTTCGTACCAATTCTGAATTTATTGCACAGGAACTTCGGAATTCTGATCGGTATCATGGCTTTCGCATGCGTGCTCCACCTCTTAGGCGCAACCTACGCCACAGTGAAGCGAAGCCGAGGCGAAGTCCTCTTATTCAAGGAACGTGGCGCCGCAATAACTGAATCTGTTCAAGAAAAGCCCCTTCGAACCGATTCGGGTATTGCTGAGACGTTGACCGATAAGCCAAAATCGGTTAGCAATCATGGAGAAGTGGCGCTCTGCTGGGATAAGGTGACGTTTGACGTCAAGGCCGGAAAAGCATACAAACGACTCTTGAACGAGATAGATGGCTGGATCGAGCATGGGACCCTGACTGCTCTAATGGTGAGGCCCTGAGCTCCTTCGTCCCCCTTAGTCCTTCGAGACTAACTCCTAACAGGGTGAATCCGGAGCCGGCAAAACCACACTGCTCAACGTCCTCGCCGGCCGTGAATCTGTCGGTATAGTCCGCGGCGACATGCTTATCGACCCTTCGTTTGCTTCGGAAGGGTATGCTAGGAAGATCGGATACGCCCAACAACAGGATATCCATCTGCCCACAGCAACGGTGCGAGAAGCATTACAGTTCAGCGCCCTGCTTCGGCAGCCGAAATCGTATTCCAAGGAGGAGCGCTTGGCCTATGTTGAAGAAGTCATTGTTTCCTTGCAGATGGAAGCATTTGCCGATGCAATCGTCGGCGTGGCTGGAGAGGGTCTCAATGTCGAACAGCGCAAGAGGCTCACCATCGGAGTTGAGCTTGCGGCACGACCGGAGCTGCTCCTGTTTCTCGATGAACCAACTTCCGGTCTGGACAGCGACACCGCGTGGGCAATATGTTCGCTCCTGCGCAGGTTGGCGGACCAGGGCCAGGCCATCCTCTGCACCATCCATCAGCCGTCGGAGTCCTTGTTTAGCATGTTTGACCGACTGCTTCTTCTCCGACAAGGCCGATGCATCTATTTCGGAGACATCGGTCCCAAGGCTGATGCCATGATTCGGTACTTCGAGGAGCGAGGCGCAGATCCGTGCGAAGAAAGGCAGAACCCTGCTGAGTGGCTACTGGATGTGACGAATCACCCCACTGGTCTCATCGACTGGACGGCCGAATGGCAGAAGTCTGCCGAGAACCAGCAAGTTCGCGATAAGATTGAGACTCTCCGAGAGAAGCTGCTCAAGACCGAGGAGTACGAGATGAGTAAGCTGCAATTCGCAACATCGTTCCCGACCCAACTGCGGCTCACTACGTCGCGGCTGTTCACCCACTTCTGGCGGACGCCGACGTATCTGTACTCAAAAGCAGCCCTGTGCCTCGGGTCGGCATTGGTCATCGGCATCTCGTTCTGGCTCTCGCCGAACACGCTCCAAGGCGTTCAAAACGAAATATTCGCCGTCTTCCTCCTCATGACCATCTTCACAAACCTCGACCAACAGATCATCCCGCAGTTTACTGCATACCGCAGCATCTACCAAATCCGAGAAGGGCCTTCGAAGATGTACTCCTGGGTCGTGTTCCTCTTGGCCAACTTCATTGTGGAGATTGCGTGGCAGACTGTCATGTCAGTGATTCTCTTCGCCTGCTGGTACTATCCCATCGGCATGCAGCGAAATGGGAACCCCACACACGACGTCAGTGAGAGATCCGGCATCGTCTTCCTCTTTATCTGGTCGTTTATGCAGTTCACTCTCTCGCTCTCCTATCTCGTCGTAGCGGGGATGGCGTCCGGTCCCACCGCCGTCAATATCGCGCAGCTCTTGTACTCTCTTTCTTTGATCTTTTGCGGCGTCCTCGCGAAACCGTCCGTACTTCCTCGTTTCTGGAAGTTTATGTATCGCGTTACGCCGCTCACGTACTACATCGGAGGCTTGCTTTCGGCCACGCTGGGCGAAGTACCAGTCCGCTGCTCGCTTTCGGAAGTCGTTCATATTCCGCTTCCTTCAGAGTACACGGCTGGATCGCTGCTGGAGTCGTGCCAGAGTTATCTGGCTGTGTTTATGTCCAACAACGGCGGAGCGCTGGCGGAGAGCACATCGCCCGGTATGTGCTCTTACTGTCTTGTCACTAACACGACGGCAGTTCTGGATACTCTGGAGATACACGGAGGGCGGTGGTGGCGACTCGGAGTCTCACTCGGATATGTGGTGTTCAATATTGCGGGCACGTTCGTAATTTACTGGGCTGTATGGGTCAGGGCTAGAAGCAAACGGGGATAGCTGTGAATCTCCTAGTGTAGCCCATTCTGTCTAATGAATCCAACCAGTGATCACTAAATCGGCCGTTTTCTTCATACCTGTGGCATGGAAACTTGTCGAGGGGGTTGACGCTCCAATCGCACCGGGGAGGTTCGTACGTTGACGGATGGCCAGGCGTGCAAGCTCTATGGCATGACTCAGACAAAGAAGAATAATCACGAAGATGGGAAATGAAGCGGAAGCGCGAATCCTGTGATAGCTACATGAGGGGGCCGCAAGTGTCGACGAAGGTTGGAGAGAGCTATGCCGACTCGGGCACTAGCGCGGGGCGGAAGCGGAATCCTTCCGGGAGATCGCTCTAAACAAACCTCGTTGCTACATCGCAGGTTCCATGGCCAGTACAGTCTTCCTTCAACGAAGGATTACGTCTCTTCTCTGTGAGGCGCTAGAGTTATTGGACGCTTTGCCGGTGTCTGCACATGGTTTGCCTGATTCCTGCCGGCGACCGCTTTCTTCACCGTCGCTCGATGCATTCCCATCCCGTCTGCTAGATCCTTCACAGGACTGGATGGAACGTTCTACCAATATCGCGTTATCTCACACATGAGATCATGTGTGAGTGAAGATCGGCGCGGTGTAACTCCCAGTTACGTTATGGCCTCATCGAGATCTTGACGCATCAGGGGAAGCCTGAGGTAGTTCGCGGACCAGATTCTGCGCCAATGGTGGCCAAGCTTCTCCCCTTTCAGCAAATTACATGTCTAAGGCATTGACCCGAATGAGCTTTTCTAGGTACTTGGAAGAGCTATGAAATGGCATGGCTTTCGAATTGCCCATGTTCTTGCTACGATAAGCTACACAATAGGCGACACGAGACCGGGTGGCCTGAGCTGTAAAGGACTGTCGCCAATTAGCGCTTACGCATTCAGCCCGTATTTATATATTGCGGTCTGATCCGCTGACTACAACCGGCTATACGAACGCCCTCATCACATAAACGCGACCGCGTTATCTTCTGCAACCGCGCCGCCCAACCGCGCTAGCTCACGTCCCCGTCGACCTCCTAGGACTTTCTCAACCACAACGGATATCCTACACAATGTCCAAATCAACGCGCAAAGTGCCCGTCGAGGTCCTGCACCTCTCCATGCCGCGAACAGGCTCGGTATCCATGATGGCAGCGTACAATATCCTTGGCTTGACCACCTACCACGGATTTGACTACATCGCGCGACCGCACGACCATATCGAGTGGGAGAAGGCCATCGACGCCAAGTTCTTCGGGAAAGGCAAGAAGTTCACGAGAGAAGACTTTGATCGAGAAGATTTTCTGGGGACGTTCCAGGTGTTGAGCGACTTTCCAGTGCAGGGCTTCGCGGAGGAGTTTCTAGAGATGTATCCCGAGGTACATCTTCAATCGCACTTTGTATCCGACATATCGTTAATTAGAATAGGCCAAGGTCGTGTTGGTGGAGCGCGACATGGACAAATGGTACCACAGCTTCGACACCCAAGTCATCCCTGCCCTCTACACCTGGAAAACACAGACCCTGATCAACTTCTTGGAACCCTACTTCATGAAAGCCCATCCTGCGACGACCATGATGAAGCTGCAGTACTCCTTGTTCAACTGCCACGATCAGGCAAGCTTCAGTGCGAATACGCGGGAGACGTACCGGAGGCATTACGACATGGTCAAGAGCAAGGTCCCGAAGGAACGACTGCTGGTATACGAGCTCGGCAGCGGATGGGAGCCGCTGTGCAAGTTCCTTGGCAAGCCTATTCCGGATGAGCCCTTTCCCTTCAAGAATGAGAGCAAGGAATTCGAAATCTGGATGCGCAAAATCCAAACCAAAGTTCTTCTGAGTGGGATCAGGGAAGCAGCGAGGTTCATGGTAATTCCGGCGGGCATCGCGCTGGCGGCATGGGGATTACAAAAGTCAGGATGGTTGGCCTGACAGCGGAGCAAGAATACGGAGGTGGGCACCCAGCAGCACTCCGCAAAATCTACCCAAATTATGTGAGGCGTGCGTGACGCTTCTATGCTCCAGTGTCTGCCGCGCTGAGGACAATTAGTGGTGTGAAGCATCGTGAGATGCAAAAAGCTGACCTTCAGCAAGTCGCCCCTATATTATAAGACGAGACACATTAACAAATAGCCAGACGTCTACACTCTTTCTACATATTAGCTAATAGAGCATATATTCTCTAAAGTTCGCGCCAAGAAAGTAGAAGCATTCGTTGCCCACATTAGCCTAATCGCCGTACGCCGTGCCTTGCGGCTACCCTTCCTAATTCGTTGCTTACATCGCATAACCTCCTCACTACTTCCTTTTCCGACCCAACATCTCAAGGAAGACCTCTGCAAGTCTGCTGACAGTGCATTTAGATCTCACTTCGACCACCAATCAATGGCATCTTGGTCAGATAATCGTTCGGTTTTCAGTACACCACAAACGTTCCTGGCAATGTGGAGGCAGCAGCGAGTGGCACGAGACGGGCTTGTCCTTCCATTAATGAGGAATTATCTCTACCTTTACCACCCGAATTCCGCTTTCCCTTCCCCGCAACGGGGCGTTATAACTACCGGCAGCCCCGCGACCATTCAATGCACCCCAGTGCAGCTTCCCGTGGTCTCGGAATCCGGGGTAGATCGGCAGCATGAAGTTCCACACTCCTGCTTCACTTCTTCTCTCCGCCTCCGTGACGCTTACTCTCGCCGCTGATATCTCGGAATATGTGACGGCGCCAGAAGCCATCGAGCCGCTCTTCGATGTCGAGGCGCTCCCTCGGATTGTCAACAGACGACAGAATGCGACAGAGTTCTGCAGGACCTCTCCAGGAGATGCGGACTGGCCTTCGGATGCGGACTGGGAGGCTTTCAATGAGACCGTGAAAGGCGCGCTCATCAAGCCTGTGCCCAGGGCTGCCGTGTGCCATAAGAGCTGGCCGGAATACTACGACGAGGAGAAGTGCAAACATGTCGTGGCGAACTGGAATAATCACGAGGAGCGGTAAGCTGCCTCTTCATTGACACAATAGGACGGCTGCTAATTATATCAAGTGTGGCGAATCCTACAGATCTGATATATAACTACTTCCAAGGCGAATCTTGCTACCCCTCCCTGGACCCCTCCACGCCCTGCACCACCGGCGGCGATCCTGCATATGTCGTGAATGTCACTACGCCCGAGCAAATCGCCTCGACGATCAAGTTTGCAAAAGAAAAGAACATCCGGCTCATCATTAAGAACACAGGCCACGATGTCAGCGGAAAGAGCACGGGCGCAGGGTCGCTTAGCATATGGACGCACAATATGAAGTCCATTGAGTGGCTTCTAGACTACAAAACTGCTTTCTACTCTGGCCCGGCGATTCGGGCTGCTGCCGGTGTTTCAGTGGGCGAATTCTATCAGGTGGCTGAAGACCATGGCGTCACTGTTGTCGGGGGCGAGTGCTCGGTGCGTATCTACACCCTTTCAGTCCCTTATACAACTAACACTTTTGAGCACAGACCGTAGGTGTAGCGGGCGGCTATCTCTCAGGCGGCGGTCACTCGCCCGTAGGCGGCTTATTCGGCATGGGCGCCGACAACGTCGTCGAGCTGACAGCCGTTCTCCCCAACGGGACCCACGCATACATTACCTCGACCACCACCCCTGATCTCTTCTGGGCCTTCCGCGGCGGCGGCGGCTCCACCTTCGGCATCGTAACTTCCGTGACCGTCAAAACGCATCCCAAAATCCACACCACCGTCTCGCAATGGGGTTTCGCCACCGGCGTCTCCGGCAACACCACCGTCTCAAATGAGACCTTCTGGCAGGGCGTGCGCGCCTACCTCGAGCACGTCCCCGCAATCGCCGACTCAGGCTCGCAAGCCTTCGCCTCCGTCGCGCCCTCCACCAGCGGCTACACATTCAAAATCTCCTCCTTCGTCGCGCCCAACCACACCGTCGCCGACTACGACACCCTCATGGCGCCCTTCTTCCGCAAGCTAACCAACCTAGGCATCAGCGTCGCGCAAAACACCACCTTCCACCCCTCCTACTTCGGCGCCTGGCAGCGCGCCTTCCCCAAGATCAGCACGCCCTACGATCCGAACAAGCCCCTCCTCTCCACAGGAAGCCGCCTCTTCCCGCGCCAAAACTTCGAGGACGCAGCGCTCTTTGGAGACACGCTCGCCACGCTGAAGCGCATCAACGATATGGGCTACAGCTTTATCTTCTACGCGCAGGACAACCATCTGCGCGCGGGCGTCGACAACGCCATTAATCCAGCCTACCGCGCCTCCGTCGTTTTCCTCATGGTCTCAGCCAAGTACCCTGCGCGCGCATCGCCGGCCGTGGTGAACAGCGCGCGCGACACGGTGACGAAGGTGCTAGTGCCAATGCTGAAGAAGCTGACGCCTGGAGGTGGGACGTACATGAACGAGGCGGATGTGCGGGAGGAGGGGTGGCAGCAGAGTTTCTTTGGCGGCAATTATGCGCGGCTGTTGGAGCTGAAGAATTTGGTGGATCCGGAGAGGCTGTTTTGGGCGAAGACGGCGGTGGGGAGTGAGGAGTGGTATGTGCAGGATGATCGGGGGTTGCCGGAGGTGCAGACGGGGAGGTTGTGTAGGAGGGCGTGATTGGGTGTGGTGGGCAGAGGGTAGGCAGGCCGGTGGGTGATGGAGGAGAATTGTGGTATGTGTACAAATGTACTTGAGCTAGCTAGTACCACAGATGATGAGATTACGCCCGCCAATGCAGCGGATACCGTGCGTAGCTTTCCAGATATCCAAGCCACTCCACCTACACTGAGCAATACCTCTAACCGCATCCCGTTCAGTCAAAAGCAACTACCCTTACCCCACAGACCCCTCGTCCAGGATAGTAGACCCTTCATTTTCGCTCTACACGGACCTATTTTCCCCTTCGGAATGTGCAGATGGTTCCTCTTCATGCGCGGACATCTCATCACGGCTTCTCAACCCTCGCTTTGCCTCCTCTGCTTCGTCACATCTTCTGGTATAGTCTACTGCACGCGGCTTTTTGCGCTGCACGATCTTCTTCGGGATCGTTCCGTCGTTGTTACTTCCCAGTAGGAGGTCGGAAGGGAAAAGGTGGATTGTGCGACACGTGCGTGGAAGGCGAAGCGATGGAAAGAAGACTGCGCAAGAGAATCGAAAGAGCAGAAGATAGTTCGAGAGGAAGAAGATTCCACGCGAGCAGCAATGCCACATCACGTACTGCGAGGTACAGTAGGCACTCCGAACTCGCTTTGCTGCGCCACATGAACCACTCAACATGAGCACGTGGCGCAACATCCGACCACTAACCAGGCCATGAGCCACACCGCATACTCGTGCGAAAGGATCTCGAGGCCGATTTCTTAAACTCTGTTGATATGCGGAATCAGCCTAACAGAACAGCCTTACGCAGGATGAATAACTCCGGTATCTGTGGGATTCGGACGTAAGTGTACGCAATCGGGGCGATTTGGCACTGGTATGGATGAGCGGTAGTATGAGTGTTCCACACAAGAGCTTGGTCCAAAGCGTTTCTTGTCATAACTTCGTTGCTCGGTATGAGGGTGTTGCAGGGGTTCAAAGGTGGATAAAGAACGCCGCTCAGAAGACCAAGTCTTCGCCAACCCCCTAATTTCGTTTGGCTCTCAAGTGTTCGTCGCCAAGCTTGGATAGTAGAAGAATGCTCCCCCTTATCGACAAGTCAGCCAATATCCATCCACCACCGAGCAGTTCCCAATCCGTCGTACGTCGAGTACCAAGGGATGCCCCAGGGCTTGGAAAGCGATGTGCGAGGCGTGGTATTCGAGCTCGTTCCGCACATGTTGCCCCATCTCGTCGTGCCGCGCGCGGAGAAAAAGTTCGAAAGCGGTCTCTGTTCGAGACAGGTGGCTGCGGGTTTGGCTCTCACATTGTCAACCACGAATCGGCTGAGCGCCGGACTGCGTCAAAAAGCTTCACGCATTCCACCACATTATTCGCCGAGAGTAGTATCTTATATTTCACTTTCTCTTCACGGTCCTCACCCTCTTCCTCACCCTCTTCCTCACCATCTTCCTCACCCTCTTCCTCACCATCTTCCTCACCCTCTTCCCAAGCTACGGGCCCTTTGTCTCTTCTCACGGTTTCCAGGTCCTTCACCGGCGTCCACGTTCCCCATTCATAGCGCAACAACTTGTCCGCCTCCAGCTCAGTCCTGACCGCCTTCCCCATGTCGTTAGGACCATCAGGAATGATAAAGGTGATGGTAAAAGACTGATCTGTTTTCGATGTCTGCTTAGGGGACAGTACAGCGTGCGGACTTAATACGAACCAATTTCCGCGATACTCTCCACGAACGCAGAGAAGTATGTCGTGGCGCGTTGTGAATCCGACCTTGCTGTCGCAGTACTTGCACCTAAACTTCTTTCTACTGCACAGCCAGAATGCTCTAGGATATTTTGGGAACGAAATTTGAGCCACCAGCAGCGAAGCTTCTACTGGGCTCTGGCCATTCACAAACTCTGCTAACGCCGTGGAATGCAATTCTAGGGCCGACCATATTATGCCCATGTAGCGAACATTCCAAGCGTCAAAATGCCTGCAGGCTCTCCAAAACAGCGAAGTGGCATCTTCGTCGTAGTTTACTGCGAAGGAAGAACCACCACTTGCAAGAGCGAGAAGCCCGTAGATCCGATCGCGGGCATCAGAGCATTGTGAGTTCGTGCGCCGGCGCAGAATGGACGAGAGCGGCCGGGGAACACCGAGCTTTCGTTCGACGAAGGAGAGTACCATAGCAGGGGTCTCCTCAAGCGCCGCTTTCCGTGACCATTCCATTTCTAGAACCGAGGTAGCGTTAATAGCCGAACCGATACGGCGCCAATTAATCTCGTCGTATGCGTGTAAGACACGAACTGATTGCCCAAGCAGCACTTCTTGCGTAATCCAAGTACGATTCCAGTATGGATGTGTACATAGCTCTTTAAGGCCATCACGCACGTCTTCGGGAAGAGAGTCCCTCTCCGCATTGATCCAGGAGAAGGCTTTGCTCAAGGCGTAAGTGTTGCCCAGCCAGGCGAGTACTTCGCTCGCGCCACGATAGATGTCGCCCATGCGTTGGATCTGATGCCCTCTTTCGGCGTTGTCGGACTGATTGATACACAGCGCATCGATCCAAAGTTTCTCGTTGGGGAAGCGTACTCGCGCCATCTCCAAGAAGTCGTGCAGGTTCTTCCTGATGGGGGACGTAGACCCGTTCATCAGAACTTCATGTGATTCCGTCGCGTCGCCCCACATGTAGGAGAGACATTTGTATGTCGTGGGCATCTTGTCGTGTCGTATCCGGAGTTGAATTCGTCCATCGGCCTTTTCTGGAAGGATCTCCAGCAGGCGGAAGGAATTAGGCGTATCATCCAGCGGCTGATACACGAAGGGTTTCCTTGAGGTGATAGACGAGGACGGGAGTGCGCCGTCTTCTTCCATTGGGATTCACGTCCACGCGTGGCAACCAGGCAGGCAGCAAGGCTAATGGCTGCCGCCAAGAATGAAGGATTTCGATGAAGGCGAAGGAGGAAGATGTGAGAATTGCCAGCTAAACTACCCCAGGAGACCGCGATGGAAAGAAGGAAGAAAACGTCAGGAAGAGGACGAGCGGGAAAGCTGTTGCCTGAGCTCAGCCACGTTCAGCCTTGCCTAAGGCGCATGGCATGATAAGAGCAGGCTGAGCAGCCGTTAGCCTGCAGATCGTCGAGCTCGTATTCTGAGAGGAATAAACGCGCCAGGCATGAAGAGATGCGACTGTGAGCGCTGTAGGATGTTCGCAGTCGTAAGTTGAGACGGTTCGAGCTGCGCGGGCAAGGAAAAGACGGGCGACGCAAAATCCTCTAACCTGAAACGTCTTAGCACGCTACTCAATCTCACCACGAGGTCAACAAGCAGACCACTCCTACGCACGATTACAACTGCAGCTTCATCTCCCCGCCGCCCAAGCAAGTATATCCAGGCATCAATCTCATGCGTTCACGCTCAAATCCCCACCTCCCCTCCCGAGTCGCCAAACCACGAAAGAGGGGCTTAGACCATGCCTGAAAATGCAGCCCTGGAGGATTCCAGCCCCTACCCTGAAACCCTTGCCGAGGAATCCTCCACCCTCATCGGTATCTCAGCCTCTGGGGCGTTGCATATTCATGGCTATGCGCCTGCTTGGCGGGCGGAGAATATATGTTGTTGTGTTGCTCAGGATGCAGCGCAGCGCTTGATTGACTTGCTATTTCTTCCTGGCTGGCAATAACTACCTTATCTGAACTTGGACGCGACGGGACGAGACTACAACTACACGAAGACTATCGACACCGACATCGACACCGGCACTTTTGATACCGCGAAGAATCAGACTTCAATCCCGTTCGATCCCAACCTTTGTCTACCACGAAGAACCAGACTCCAATCCCACCCTCCTCCTCCCTCCTCCAAACCCCCAAATGCCACCCCTCATCCACCGCGCCCTACCCTCCACCCTGTAAGCCCCACTACTTCCTCCCCCTCCCCGTCTCCCTTCACTCCTCCTTCTCCCCCTTCCAATCCCTACTAACTCCCACCAGCCCTCCCTCCTCCCTGCTCGAACTCTTCCGGCGCAAAATCGGCGGCGGCCGCGGAGGCGGAGGAGGCGGTAGCATCGGCGGCGGCGGCGGCGGTGGTGGAGGCGACGGAAGCGGACTCTCAGAAGGCGCCATCATTGCGCTGGTCGTTGGGCTGACGGTGGGGACGGCGGTGCTGGCGCTGCTGTTTTATTGGTGTTATAAGCGGGAGACGGATGTGGAGAAGAAGAGGAGGTCGTATATTTAATTGGGATTGAGTTGAGGGATTGAGGGTGGGATGCAGGTGGGGAGGGGGCTGGTGGAAGGAGGGCGGGTGTGTTGGTTGATGATTGATGATAGATACCCTTTTTCTTATTTCTGGACGGAAAGACTTGATTTATAACCTACAGTATGCTTCTCTTAAGTCTACTAATTGAGCCAAAAAAACGAACGCTTACCCACTGCAACAATCTCCTTCCTCACCCTCAAGCTTACATCCAACCACCACCACCCCTCCCCCCTATCCCCTATCCCCTATCCCCTATCCTCGCACCCCCTTCTCCCCCTCCCCCACCCCGTCCAGCACCTCCTCCGCCCTAACCCCCGCGGTCTCATTCCCCGTCCCCTTCCTCTCCGCCGTAGCATCCGCATCGTAAAACTGATACAGCGGCTCCGCAGCCGGCACATCCCTGCGCAGAATCTTCTTCTGCACATACCACGGCAGCTTATCCGTATAATACCGCGCGTGGGCGCGATTCCCAACATTGAAGACGGTGTCCAGCTCCTCGAGCGTGAGATTTTTGGTTTCGGGGAGGAGGAAGTAACAGTATCTGTTTGTGCGGTGAGCGAGGCGTTAGATGTAGAACCTGGTGGGGGGAAGAAAGAAAGATGGATGGATGGATAGATGAGTGGACAGAGGAACGTAGGGAATGCAGGAAAACTTACACCCAACCAAAAAAGTTCCACGCGGCATACCACCCAAACGCGCCCTGCGGACTAAACGCCCGCACAAGCGGCGGCCACGTCAAGCTCAGCAAAAAATTAAACCCCCAACATGTCGCCGTCGCAAAGCTCATGCCCACATCCCTAATATACAGCGGGAACGCCTCCGCGGAATATGTAAACGGCACGGGCCCCTCCCCGGGCGAATACACAGCCATAAAGGTAAAGATCGCCGCGGCGATGCTGCCGATGCGCGCCTGCGACGGCGTGCCGTCCGCGTTCTCGGGGAGGAAGAAGGACATGCCGCACCAGAGCAGGCAGAGGCCCATGAGCGGGAAGGTGGTGAGGAGTAGGTTGCGGCGGCCGAAGGTGTCGATTGTGTAGATGGCGGGGATGGCGAAGAGCCAGTTTGTGGCGCCGGTGCCGAAGGAGACGAGGAGCGCGTTGGAGCGCGAGAAGCCGGCTTGTTCGAAGATGGAGGAGCCTGGGAGGGGTGTTGTTGTTAGCGGGGCTCGAGGGCGGAAGGGAGGGAGAGGGGAGACAGACTGTAGTACGCAATAACGTTAACGCCGCAGAACTATCATCCTGATTAGCCTCCTTCTATCACACATGACAGACACTCGGGTATAATCAGAACCAGCCGGGGACTCAGACAGACATACCTGCTGCATGAACATAACGAAAAACGAGCTCTGCGCCGCCCTGCGATTCCTCCTCACCATAAAGAACTCCTTAAAAAGGTTCTTCCCCTCGCGCTCCGCCTGCTCCACCTCCAGCAGCTTATACGCGTAGTACATGTCGCGGGCGGCCTGAATCTTGTGCCTGCGAAGCCGACACAGCGCGCCGAATGCTTTGTCGTATTTGCCTTTCTCCATGTACCTGATCGGTCATTCATCAGCTCAGCGCCTATGGAGGCCGCAATGAGGGCAGCAAGAGGAACTCAACTCACCATCTCGGCGACTCAGGACACAGATAAACCTGTATCATAACGAGGAAAGGCGGAATCGACGTACTCGCCAGCATCCAGCGCCACTGGGAGAACTCGCCGAGGAAATCGCAGTCCTCAAACGCGACAGACACAACAAAGCCAATCATAATCCCAAACGCCGTCCACATCTGCCACATCATGGTGAGCGCGCCGCGGATCGTCTTGGGCGCCGACTCCGCGGCGTAGACAGGCGTGGTGCTCGACTTGGCGCCGACGGCGAAGCCCAGGGCGAAGCGGGCGATCAGGAGATTGTACCATCTGCACGCATCGCGACGCGTTAGTATACGGGGTGGGAGAGTAAGTCAGGGGTATGGGTGGGCTTACGACTCGGCGGCAGCCATCCAGAAGCCAGTCGCGAAGGAAATAAAGCACGAGACGAAGATGGTGCCGCGGCGGCCGATGTAGTAGTTCAGCGGCGCGTTGGTCCAGCAGCCGATGAGGGCGGAGCAGAGGTACGGCGCGCCGTTGAGGAGGCCTTGCTGCCATTCGTTTGTGATGTTGAATTCGTCGAAGTAGTAGAGCTGCAGGTAGGCTTAGCATCCATCCATCCATCATCACTCCACGCCAAACAAAGAGGGGAACGGGAAGGGAAGGAAGTACCTGAGCACCGTTGACAGCCGTCTGATCCATGCCCTGCACGATGGCACTGCCCGCGCAAAGCACAACCAAAAAGTACAGCATAAACGGATGATCCCAGCGATGCGTGATCTCGTGCCTCAAAAGCCCCTTCTCCTCCTCGTTAAGCTGGCCCACGTACTCAAAGCCGTCTTCTCGCTGCCCGACGCGTGCGATCAGCGCACCTTTTCGGAAGACCTCCTGGTACTCCGCGAGTCCTTTCTCAACGACCCAGGCATCGACGTCGCGGATGACCTCCTCCTCGCTCATGCCGGCCAGCGGGTTGCGGAGGAGGGCGGCGACGGAAGCCTTCCTGGCCGTGCTAGCGCGTCGCGAGCCTGCATTCTCGGTGAATTGCGTGTCGTTGATGGAGGGCTTGCTGCTGTTTGGAGACGAGATGTTTGGCTCTGTGGCCTCGATGTCAGGCCGAAGAGGAGGCATGGTGTATCGTGCTATGCGTGGACTCCAAGCTAGACCAAGGTTTCTCTGGGCTCCGAATATGCTCGAAAGAAGAAAAAGCGTCTCAAAAGAAGCACATCAAGCCCCGTTAAATACTCATTCCCTAGTGCTCGCTCCCCACCCCATAGCAAAGGACAAAAGGCCGCCATCGCTCTTCCTTCCCTATCCCCACCCCATCCAACACATTGGCAGACGCAATCTTACCTCCCGCTCAGAAACCCAAGACCCTCCTCCAAGAAAGGTACTCTACACTTCATACGCAACACCAGTTCTGTGCCGACGTCATGGTGGAGTAGTTCAAGAACGGACAAGAGAAGTGTCTCCCTTGGCGAGGGTTGGCGGGAGCGGAAGGCGGGAGGCGGGGTGGCGCTATGTCTGCTAGCCAAGGTCCGCACGTGCGGGCGGCCTTGAGGCGGAATTGTTTGGGGCCAATGGAACATGCTTCCTCGTTAGGATCATCAAGCCCGAAGGATGGTGTTGAGGTGGTGTTTCGCGGGAGGAGTCTTGATCTTAGCCTTGGCGCGGATCATGCCTCATGCGGTAAGCCGAATCTCACACCGGCATTACGCTGCCGTGTTCCGCCTGCGGAATCTTGGATTCTCGTTAGGATCTTATTTTTTGGCATTCATAGTGCATCGATCGATGGAGTGGCACAGCAGTTTGCCTGAGAATCCAATCCATTGTATACCCATTGTTGCGGCAGGAGGGTGGCCTAACCCATGACAAGCCCAGTGTACCTATCTACAGATATCCCCCGTGTCGAAAATATACAACGGAATTGAATATACAGTAATAATATGGCCGGAATCGTATGCGCCAAATAAGTATGCGCTAAAGAAATATTCGCACGAAGTACTAACAATAGAAAAGCAAGATGGAGATAAACAAAAACCGCCGAAACATCGGCCCCGAAAACAGCGGTAACAACCCCCTTGAACAGACAAAAGAAACGACGGTAAAATAAGAACGTTCCGTGTTATAATCAGTAAAATGTACATGATGACCCGGAAGGCGACACAAGCCAGCCACATCGAATCGGAAGTGAAAGAAGAAAGAGAGGTGACCACCATTCTCAAAACCGCGTAACGCAGGGCAACACGTCGTAAAAACACAGAAGTGATCTTACACAAAGAAATATGGGATGAGAAAGTATAAGAGCAGAAGACATTACATCCAAAGAAAAGGCAAAGTAAATAGTGAAACGACAGGAACGGGATAACCATAAAACATGGGAAAAATTTCTAGTCAAAGCCGGCCACCCTCCCGTCCGCAAAATTCCGTGCTCTTTACCCATATGCCTCCTTCAATCCCATTAGAAACGCCGTTGCTCCCGAATCATTGTGGTACGATCCTCGTCCGTATCGCTCGTGTGCTCGTGGGCCCGTAGTCGTCGTTGAACTCCGATAACGCCGTCGTGAACTGCCGTCAGTCCGTGTCCATGTCACGTACATACCCTGTCGTAAGCTGGGAAGGGGAAGTCCAGTAAGGGTAGTCCAGATAACGCCGTAAAGCCGTGCCAGAAAGTCGAAGTGGGGCCGGAGAAGCCGTGGCCGAAAACCAGAAGTCAGGTGGAAACGCCGGGTAACGGGTATAGTACAGAACGTATGGTCCCAACCGAAAAGTGTCAAAGTCGTTGGAACATAAGGCTGGTCCATGTCGAGTGGGCACATGGGTCCTTAGGTTGGTCAATATATCCATCCGGATCGGGAAGGTATCAGAAGCTTTCCGCGAGGGAATAGCCCTGATCACTGTTGTTCCTCTCGTGGACGTTTCTTTCGTGCTCGTCTCTCTTGTCTTTTCGAGTCCCAAAGCTACGACCCTTTCCACCCGTTTCTGCGTGGCTGCGAGGGCACCCGGCGTAACTGCAAAAGTATTGGACTCGGTTGCGGGCGTGTTGCTGCTCGTGGTGTCGACGCAGGTCGGCGAGACGACCAAAAGTCAAGTCATTGCAGCTTGAATCGGCGCACTTGAATTTCTTCTTGTTCATCAGGACGTGGCCGATCACGTCTTCGTCGCGGGTACGGGATTGGCGTGCAGCGGGGCGGCGGCGACGAGGCGTTGGGGCTGACGGAGAAACAGCGGGCGGGGAGAGAAGGGGAGTTTGGATTGTGGCGGACATCTGGGGTGCCGAGTATTGCGGACTGTGCAAAGTTAGAGGAGACCTCGCGAGAGTGGTTGGTAGCACTTACGTAGAGAGGTGGATATGGGCTGCTGCCTGGTGACCAATCGAGCCGGTCGAAAGACGGGGGTTTGTGGTTCGAAAGTTGACCAAACTATTGGGGTAACAGTCAGACACTGTTTGGAGAGCGCGCACCAAATTGAAGTCCAATGCGGTTTGGCTTAAAACATCGGCTGCTCGAAGGGTCGATCTGTATACATGGGAGAAATTCTTGCGGCTTCTGCATGGAACAGAAGCTCACGGGCAACGGGAAGTGGCTGTCCGTGCCGAAGCGCCTTTGCTATGGTACATGGGCCTTCGGGAGCATATTTGATCGTAAAATGCAAAGAGGGATGATCGAGAATGGGGTCTTTGAATGGCACGGACACGGCTGTTCCCGACCACATCAACTCCACCACGGGTGATGATGAACAATGAGTGGCACTTCAGGTAATTTGTCGACTGCTTCCAGTAAGTTGGGCGGAGGTTGATCTGTTTGCAGGGACACCACGAAGGCACTCGTACCGAGAACGGGGTCGAAAACAATGAAGGGTCACTCCAAGCAAGATTCGAACAGAGCTCCACGTGCACGGAAGGTTTCCGGCGTTCGCAGGTCTCCACAGAGCCGATTTGTCCGTGGTCGCGTAATAGTTTATTCTTGTCTCGGAGATGTTCAAGGCGGACCATCGACTATGGACTTCCAATCCGATCTTCTGTTGGGACAAACTGCAAGCGAAGTTGAGAGAAAGAAGTGGACGTACCCACCTTTGGTCGAGTTCTGGAGGCAGAAGCTCGAACAGTACTGTACCTGTCCGGTAAGGACAAACCCCCTCCAAATCCGGAAATAACCGCTGTCCAGGCCTGTGGCATTCGATCCCTGGCAAAGGGGCGAGGGGTCCGCAGGGGGGAGGGGAGGGGGACTTACAAGTATCATGCGGCCACCAAATGTTAATGTCCACGCTGCGTGGCAATGCTGGGGACGTCGAATAAGGGCTAAGGGCCGGGCATCAAGGGAACAGAAGGGGTCGGACGATGTCGTGCGAGTGATGTCGATCGAGGCATGAAGGTTGATGAGTATGGGGCGGATCACTATCTGAGGCAAATATCGGGGGAACCCAGGGAGGACGCCCAGCTTTCCGGCTCATGAGGGAGGGCACAGGTGGTCCACATTCTGGAATGGAGGGCTCCTTGAATGGGAATGGCAGCTGGCCAACCTTCCGGTCTGGATATTCCTGGGGCGGAGACCTGGGGCTTCCTGGAAAACTATCTAGCTCCGCCGGACTCGCGTGGTCGCATCATTCGATGGGAGAGACGGCTTTCCAAGCGCGGTATGCGCTCGGTGTTCCATGAGGGAAAAGAGGAAGGCAACAAAATGGTCCTTGTACCAGGCTCGCGGAAATAGGGCATTGGGACCGGCACCGGCACCGGCACATCCAGCAAGGGAAATTCAGTGGCAAAGGCAGATATCCAGGCATTGGGAAGACTCCTCCAGGCATGCGATACTCCTGGTTCGAAGTACTCAGGAAGAGCCCAGTCCTCATCCAGGTTGAGTCCAATCCAAGCGGCAAAGGCTATCCTGACCTAATCCATGGCGATGGCGCTGATTTCCTTTACTTCATCTCAAGTCATGTGACGCTAGGAAGAGCACTTACTCAGCATGCCCATTGTTTCCAGCTCTCACCCCGCTATTGCCATTCTGCACCACCGCATTGCCAAAATCCATGTCGATGCCGAATGGGACACCGGAGTCCGGCGCCCCAGGGGCCGCATGACTGAATTGAGGGGTAACCGGTGAGCCTGTTGTGTGCGGCATCGTGATTGGCGCCGAGTGGAAGTAGCCGTTAGGCTGCAGTTGTGTTGCGAAAGGCTGAGGCGACGCCAGCTGCTGCGTGGTTGGAGGGGTCGGCGAGCCTGAGTAGCTTGACGAGCCGTAAGGCTCCGGCTCGCCCGGCTCGAGCTGCTGGCTGATGTCTTGCTGGACGTGGAGTTCGAGGAGGTTGGCGTTGAGGTCGTAGCTCGGTCGTTGGAGGCGAAAGCCACGTCCGCCCGGGAATTGGTTGTTGTAAGTGGCGGCCATGGATGCCGAAAGCAATGACGACAGAGAACTTTAAGATAAAGAAGGGGCAACTGAAGAATGATGAAGGTGCGAAGTTTGTCTGGCTTCGGGGAGTGAGGGGGCGGGAGTTGTCGCAGCGGGGAGTGAGGCAGCCTATGTACCTTCCAATCGAGCTGGAGGACCTCTTCTTGGCCAGCAAGCCACAGCCTGCTTGCGCGATTATTCGACGAGGCAGACGAGCAGGCAACCGGCTGGCGCGCACCGCATCGTAGATTAGGACGGAATATGCAGCCAAAAGGCAGGCCTTCACAAGCCATGCGGGCGGGTTACACTGCTGGGTGCTCTACGCGAACGCTACCAGCTCTGTGAGTGGTCGCCTCACATTTCGAGGTCCCGCGGAACAGCTCCTCGCGCTGAAACTATATGTAGTCCATGGCCACGAGACTGATGACTGCGAGGGCACGTATGAGCAGCCTCAGCCTATCCGATTTCACCCGTTCAGCCTCCCATCTTCCAGACCTTCACGCTCGAGTCCCCGCCCGCGGAGAGTACCTTACCAGCCTTCTCCCACGCGACACCTGAGACGCCGTCTTTGTGCGCGTTCATCGCCTTGGTCCGTTTCCCCGGGTCCTCCACGCTCCACACCATAACGTTGGTGTCGAGCGAACCACTTGCCGCGAACTTTTCGCTCTCATCCCACGCCAGGCACGTGATGCGGGCCGTGTGGGCGCTCCACCTGTCGGTGATGAGCGTCCAGTCCCCGGTGGCTTCGAATGCGTATATCTTCCCGTTATTCGCACCCGCAGCGAGCTTGTCTCCAGAACCCGAAAAAGCAAGCGCAGAGATAGGGGCTGTCGCGCGACGAAGTTCTATCCCTGTCTCTTTCAACTCCGCCCCCGAGAGTGTGTAGATATGCACCAGCTTGTCATCTCCGCCCACGGCGACATTTGGTCCATGTGCAGCTATGCACGTAGGGGTATATTTGACAGAGAGCGAGCCAGCCTTGTCCCCCTTAGAGTAGATTGATATCGAATCGGACGACGGGACCAGGGCTACACCTGACGACGTCGCGACGCCCTTTGGCTGAAAGCTGAGTTGAGTCGCGGCCCCTGTGAAGATCTTGTTCGAAACGGAAATCGATCGCAGAGTGTCATCCCAGCCGACGCTGTAAACTTCAGCTTCACCCTTAGAATCTAAGGCAGCAAAGCCTGCCACGTAGTTTGAGTGGGAGTCGCCCTCAACCTTCTCGGCGATCCCTGCAGAGATATCCCAAGCAAGGACGCGGCCGTCGTAGCTGCCAGTGCAGAATGTTGATCCAGAGATGGCGGCAGCGGTGATGTTCTTTTGGTGACCGCGGACGACGCGACTGGGGTTTGGGTTGCCATCTCTAAGGTAGTTTAGATTCCCCTCGAGGTCAACGCTAATAATGAGGCCGTCGCTACGGCCGGTGGGCCAAACAACGCCAACCTGCTGGTCTGGAACACTGGGGACGCCCTCCTCTCCCATTCTCCAGGTCTGGACGGCCTTGCCCGCTTCTGGGTCCCATACTCGGACGGTTTGGTCGGCGCTGGCTGTCACGAATTTCTTCGAATCCTTTGCCCAGGAGATGCCAAAGATGCTCCCTGTATGCACGCCCTCCCCAATTTGTCCCTTTGCTTCTCCTGTCCTCCCATCATATAACCATATCCGCTTGTCCGCGCCAACGCTGGCGAATACGGAGCCGTCCGGGGCAAAGGCTGTGCCGAAAACGAAGCGGTTGTGTTGCCCTCTGAGGCTAGTATTGAACTTGAATGGTGCGCCGTGGTAGAAGACGAGGCTTGTGTCGTCAGAACCCGTTGCCGCACGCAGGGGGCGCTGTTGGCGTATGGAGACGCTGTTGATCTGCGACGAGTGCCCTGAGATTTCGCCAACGCTGTTGCCGCTGTCGGCAGTGATGCAATGGCCGAAACGCTCCTTTCCGTCACCGACAGCAATGATGCGCTGCGAGTCCCCATCCCACGCGAGATCGTTTATGCGGCCGGCGATGATGTGGTATTCTCCTACACAGTAGATGGCATTGTCAGCCTCACTTTCTGGACGGCCCGCAGTCCCTCTGTCAGCACAGCCCGGCAGCCCCGAAGCCCCTCTTTCGTTGAGCACCATACTGTCGCCTGCATACACAGACCTGCAGGAGCAGCGTGTGTTGCCCTCGGGGCTTCACGGGCTGCTTTCAGCTGCAGCCTTGCAGCAGCTATCATGGCCGTCGGCGTGGGCTTTACGTACCCTTTGTAGCGCCCTCGCCCGCGCAATCCCACACCCGCACTGTGCCTGAGACATCTCCACTGGCGACGTAGAAGCCCGAGGGCGCGAAGCGGGCGACGGTGGTCTGGGTCGTGTGTTGTGTGTATTGTTTACTGATAGCGGGGTTGTCTATAGACCGCAGGAATATCGACTTGCCGGCCTACGTCATGAATGAGCTCGCGGGCGCCCCATGGCCAATATAGCATGCGTTCTTACTGCATAGGCTATGCGCTCGCCCTTGGGGTCCGAGGAGAGAGGTGTGGGTTGCCCGCGTTGCGTCGTGGGCGATGCAGCCCAGATTGCCTCTGTTCGCCGGGGTAAGTTCTCTCACTGCTCGAAGCAGGTATCAGGGCCAATTACCGGAGATAAGAGACATTTCGAAGGATCGCTTCGCCCAATGCTATGGTACTGTACGAAGGTAGAGGAGGGTGGGTGGAATAGGGAAAGAGATCTTGTTGAGGTGCCTGTTGGCGGCTTCGTCAGACTTCGGGTTCAGGTTTCGGGTTCCCCAGCCTCAAACGCGGGGGGTGGCTCGTGCAACAACGTACCAATGGAACTACGACGTCGTCCCTGACTTTGAAGAGACAGAATTAAATTAGCACCCGCGGACAGCGTAAAGGAGAAAGGTTGTATGTTGAGCTATTGCGAAAAAAAAATTTTTAAGTAGACGAAGGTGGTGACCTCGTACCTTCCCGATCTTCACACAGCACAACCATGTCATTCACAGCCCTCCATCCCCAAAGTCCGCTTCACAACAGCTTCCAACAACACCCCCGACCCCGGCACCATCACCCGCGGCCTCCAAGTCCCCGCAAGCGCAAACCCACAACTCTCCAGCAGCTTCCTAAACTGCGCCACCGTCCGCTCAAGCGAAGAGTAACTCCCCATCATATTCAAGTCCATCTTGCATTGATACAACGACACATCGCTTTCCGGCAGCACACTCTCATTGATCAACAGCACCGAGTCTTCAGACATCGCATCGCGGATGTGGCCCAAGATGACGGCAGCCTGCTTATCGGGCCAGTCGTGCAGCACGGTACGGAGGTAGTACGCCTTCGCGTTCTGGAACTGGGTCGGCTGCGGCTTGAAGAAGTCGTGCGCGATAGCTTCGATGGCGGAGGGGAGCTCGGCTTGCTGAAGGACTGCTGGCGCGTCTTGCAGGACGAGGCGACCCGGCAGGTCCGGGAAGGCGGCGCAGAATTTGGCGATGTCGTGGCCGATGCCGCCGCCTATGTCGACGAGTAGAATGTCCGAAGGCGACGTGACACGTAGTCGCTCGCGGACGGGGTAGAACTCGAACCACTGCTCTCCGCGCTGGATCGGGGCTAGACTCATCGTGGCGTTGAAGGCTTGCTGCAGGTGGGGTTTGGTGGAGAGCCAGTTGAAGTAGTGTTTGTCGGTAGCGTGGGCATACTGGAAGGGCCCGTTGAAAGCGTCGTTGGGATTGTGGTATCCGTTCTCGGCGAAGTAGTCGGGCAGGAAAGCGATAGTTGGGAGCTTTGAGGAGCTGTATGTTCAGCGGCGGATGATTATTGTCGGTTCCATAGCTTACAGATGGATAACCGCCTCGCGCAGCGGAGAACCACTGACGTATGCGCGCGCATGAGGCTTTGGGACAAAGCCTGCTTGAGCCTCCTCGAAGAAGCTCATAGCAACTAGCATCCTCATGAGGCGCTGCACGAGGATGATGTCCGCTCCAGACTGTTCTGCTAATGCTTGTGCAGTCACCGGCGCTTGAGCAGACACTGCGGTATCGATAAGTTTCATGTCAACCGCAAGGCGCAATACTACCCCTTCATATCCCTCAAGCACATCAGCATCCTGCATGGACAGAGTGGGAGGTGAAGCCTACTCCTAACATGAGCCGCCCAGTAGTCTCCAAAGGGGTTTCGAGCTGCTCTTTGATCCTGTCACAGGCCCCTACAATTCTTTGACGTTGCTGGTCATCTAATTGGCGGGGGAGAGCATCTGCAAATGCTGCGAGGACATTCTCAAACTCTGAGGCGTCCATGACCGAATCGAACGAACCTAGAAGAGAACGCATTGGGAAAGGACGAAAGAGAAAGAAAAACCAAGATAAGTATTGAATTAGAGAGAGGATGTGATAACGCGCGAAATGATATTGCGGCACAGCTACGGCAACTCACCCGGACGCGCTGCGGCGTAGCCGACATTTGCAAGGTCTTTAAAGGAACCGAATTGCTATAACTGACAAACGAAATCAAGAATCCTTCGGCTTACATGCATAAAGCTCAATGAATGGGTGCTTTTTTGCTAGCCGTGTGCAGAGCCGGAAAATGCCTTCGTAACTCTGCGGAGCCTCCACTATACGTGTGCCACGTCCAAGCCATCCATTAGTCGCCGCCCTGCCTCCGTTGATTCTTCATCCTTTGCTTGCTCTCCTCAATCTCTTCCGCCTTTTGATTCCGGTCGTAGTGATTTGTGTCTGGCGGAGGCGGTGGCTCCCATCCGGTTGGCGATAGCGGGGGAGAAGCAGCCATTCCAAAAGGGATATACCCGGTCGATTCAGCGCAATGTTCTTCGACCGTGGGATCCTTTCGAAGGAAGTGGGAATGCCGAGATGGGCTGGATTGAGGATAACCACGAAGTAGCTCCGGTAGAGACTGTTGATCTTCGTCGACGGGATTGACCAGAGGCGGATGAAGATGGTAATAGTATGCGTTTGCGATTTGTCTCTCGAAAGTCATCGAAGTTGGTGGAGAGAATCCGTCAAGCTGGTCGAGGGTCTGGTTCGTTGCATCTCGCTGCATCTTCTTGAGTTTGAGACGCTTCTTCGGCGTCGGGTCGTCGTTTGCGGACCTGGATGATGAATCCGACATTGTAGGCTCGCTTTCCGAGTACTCTCTCGAATAATGAAGGGAGGTCTGGAATAGGAAAGCTAATGGCTGGGTGTACTTATTTTATAGGGTTGAGGGCGCTGTAGGTGGTTAAGCCGGCTATGTCGCCAGGCTGATACGTTGAAGACATATTCCAGTGCTTCAAGACAACTGAGAGCCGGCTTGCAGGAGACAGCTACCTAGCATGGACCTGACTCTGCTGGAGCAAGACATGTCGAGGGAGCATGGTCTACCTGCGAAGACAACGTCGCAACGAGGGAACGGGGTGAGCGCGAAAACGGCACATTGCGAACCCCAGCGTTCTGCGAGAGGCAGGATTTTGGGGAGGAGCTCACGATGTGACGAAGGCTTGCGGTCTAGTCAAACTTGGGACGAAGACTGCGGGAACGGAAGGACCATCCGCCAAGGCGCTACTCATTTAGTGCATCACGTGAACGCGCACTAGCGCGTCTAGATTGCATCCAGCGGCTCCAAGTTTCAGTGCTCGCGTCTCCTTCCGCCTTAACTCACTCAAACAACACCGCCATGGATGACGAAAACACAGAGCGGGAGTTTCACCACCCGTACCAGCCTTATGACATTCAGAAGCAGTTTATGAACGCTGTCTACGACTGTCTGGAAGGCGGCAAAGTCGGCATTCTCGAGTCGCCGACAGGGACCGGGAAATCGCTGAGCCTGATCTGTGGCTCGCTCACATGGCTACGCGATCACAAGAGACGGACGTTTGAGGAAGGGTTTGATTTGGGCTCGGCGGATACTGACGAGCCTGCCTGGCTAATCGAGCACACACGAAAGCAGAAGAGGCGCGAAGCGCTCAGTCGAAGAGAAGATCTTAACACTCGCATCGCAAAGATTAAAGCGAAGGAAAAGCGCGTGAAGGAACGCTACCAAAACGGCGAGTCTCATACGAAGCGACAGAAGATTGCCTCCAGCGCAGATGCAGATGATGCAGACGAGACGCGTTTTATTCTCGATGACTACGAAAGCGACGAGGATGCCGCTCAGAAACGGAAGGCGACAGCCTTCGACGACTCTGGGCTTTCTGCTGAAACTCAGGCTTTGATGGAAAAGCTAGGAATGACTTTGAAGAAGAAGGAGCAGACCGAGGAAGTCCTCGATGAGACCAAGATCTTCTTCTGCTCCAGAACCCACTCCCAGCTCGCCCAATTTTCGGGCGAATTGAATCGCGTGAAGATGCCACCAGCCATCACGCCGGAAGCGTCCCTAGAGGGTGGCGATGAAGACTCCCTCGTTGAGGATGTGAAGCATCTGACTTTAGGTTCAAGAAAGAACCTGTGTATCAACCCGAAAGTCAGTAAACTCGGCAGTGCCACAGCTATCAACGAGCGATGCCTTGAGTTTCAGCAACCCGGGACCTCCGCAGAGCATAAGTGTCCCTTCATGCCGACAAAAGAGAACGAGGCCCTAGTCAATGAGTTTCGCGACCACGCGCTTGCGAAGATTCGGGACATCGAGGACCTAGGGTCGCTGGGCAAAAAGCTTGGTATATGTCCATACTATGCTTCACGCCCAGCTACCAAATATTGTGAGGTGAGTAGGTGCTTTACCCCGAGGAGCTAGTACTTACTTCAAAAGATTGTCACTTTGCCATACCCTTTGCTCCTTCAGAAGTCTGCTCGTGAGGCGCTTGATCTCTCGCTCAAAGATCACATCGTCATCGTGGATGAAGCGCACAACTTAATGGACGCAATAGCTGGGATTTACTCAGTCTCCGTAACTCTCGATCAAGTGCAGCAAGCTCGGGCGCAACTTACTGTTTACCTACAAAGGTTTCGCAACAAGTTGAAAGGAAAGAATCGCGTCTACGTCGCACAAACTGTCCGTCTGCTTGATTCCCTTATCGCGTATCTTCAATCAAAGAATGCCGATCCCAAGTCCGCTGATGGCTTGGTCGACGTTGGAGCGCTTATGTCCGGAAAAGGCGTTGATCAGATCAATATCTACAAGCTACATGCATATCTCCAAGAGAGCCGACTGGCTCGCAAAGTTGACGGCTATACGACTTACGCCGAACAGCTGCAACAAGACGGCTCTAAAGTCAATCGGGAAAGGGCCACTGAACGAGGACCGCGGCAAACTGTCCCCGTACTCACGCATGTCCAAGCATTCCTGCTTTCTCTGATGAACCCATCGGCGGAAGGGCGATTTTTCTATGCGAGGGAAGAGGCGGCCAATATGACAATGCGATATCTCCTACTTGATCCGACGTTTCACTTCAAAGACATTGTCGAGGACGCAAGGGCAGTAGTGCTCGCAGGTGGCACAATGTCCCCGGTATGCCTAACTCAAAAACTTGGTCAGCTCCTGCCTGATACTGATTACCTTAGATGAGTGATTATGAGCAGCATTTATTGTCCTATCTACCACCCTCGAAGATTATGACCTTGTCTTGCGGACATGTGATACCGCCGTCAAACCTGCTTGCTGTTCCGGTTGTACAGACTTTAAGCGGCGAGGAATTTAACTTTACGTTCGAAAAGCGCAACTCGGAGAATATGGTAAGTCGCCCATTATCCTAGATAGTGCGTTTCTAATGACGTGCCTAGGTGATCGACCTCGGCCATGCTCTTTTCAGGGTTGCACAACATGTACCTGATGGTGTCGTCGTTTTCTTCCCTAGCTACTCTTATCTCGACACCTGCGTTGCCGCTTGGAAGCGCCTCCGTCTCTCTGCGTCGCCCGCTTCGTCGACATTCTGGGATTCTCTTCACAGCATCAAACCCGTGTTTCTGGAGCAACGCAGCCAGCCGCAGGCTTCGGAGAATAATTTGACGAAAGAGGCAGCCGTAGATTCGGTGCTAACCGCCTATAGCACCGCTATCGCTCCGAGTAATGGCCGCGGCGCCCTTATGTTCGCCGTCATAGGCGGCACGCTTTCCGAAGGGATCAACTTCAGCGACTCCCTAGGGCGCGGGGTTGTCGTGGTGGGCCTACCGTTTCCTAATCCGCATTCAGCAGAGTGGAAAGCGAAGATGCAATATATCTCGGCCAAAGCCGCCACTAACGGTCAGGATGGCAAAGCAGCAGCACGCGACTTTTGTGAGAACGCATGTATGCGTGCAGTCAATCAATGTGTCGGACGCGCCATACGACATCAAGGAGACTACGCCGCTATTCTCATGCTAGATAGGCGTTATGGCACACCACGGATTCAGGCTAAGCTACCTGGATGGATTCGGGAGAGTTTGGCGAAGGGTGCAGGGGTACGAGAGGTTGAGAAGCGCTTGGATGAATTCTTTGCGGGGAAGCATAATTAGGTACGTTATTGCTGCGATCGGCGCGCCGAGGAGCACACTGACGATCTGGAGAATTTTTGTCGTAATATGAAGATCGAGGTCGACGGAATATACGAGGTGCGGGCACCACGGGTGTGGCTTGCGGACCTAGCACTCTTCTCGTATTCAACGGCGCTACCATCACTTCAACTCCTGTACGGATCAAAGCGGTGTGGGGATGTCCGCGCGTATCGGATCTCCATAGCCGATATGTGCAATATGTATGGTCAACGCTCCGTGCAATTCGACAACGCATATGCAGGTCGGCCCTATCCATGCCCATGTTTCGTAGGACAAGGAAACAACACAACAATATTCGCCACTGTCGGAAAGCTCTCCTCATATTACACCTAGTGCTACCTTTGATCGGTAATTGCTCTGGTGTCATTAAGCTTTGAAGCTAACCGCTTGAGCTGCGTAAGTCGGGGTCAATGTGGCGACGCAGCTCTCCGATGTCTTCCCAACTGAGCGATATAATCGCCCCTATCTGCGAAGATATATACCTTCCCTGCGGAGGATTCTTTTCTTCCGTGCTTTATCTCTCTTGGACAATTCTGCAGGGACCTCATACAGGAGGTATTTTATACCTTGCTTCTGACCGGACCCACTTACGCAAGGGACCTCGTTAGATCAGGCATATCAACTCCTCATAGAGACGCCCTCTTCGCACGTTAGGTATGATTTCTCCTTCTAGCAGAAACTCATCATGGAGCATTCAAAAGATAACCACGGCTTCCCCTCAGTCCCGGCCTCTTTCCGCGATCAACCGCATAAGTCAACACATCTCTTCAACCTACCTCAACCTTCACTGGCTACACCAGCCGCCGATCCCGGAACTCCGATTTTCAACGCAGCGTCTGTCGCCTATCCGAGCACTCTCATGACGGCTACTTCCTCGCGGTGGATAGCGTCGGTGCTGCCCTCGTCGCGAATTTTACCTTCGACGCATACACCCACTCTTGCCTCACCATCACTCCCTTCCGCTACCGGCGACGCGAATCACGCATCAGATACGGCGCCTACAGCGCAGGGTGGTGGAACTGGCCTCAGCAATGGAGTAAAGATTGGTGTCATCGTGGGCATCACAGTGGTTGTTATTCTGGCGATCATCGCATGCGGATTGGGAACGGTAGACTGCCGAAAGCGCTGGAAGAGACGGCAAACGCGAGACACAAGTCGCACTGAGGAACTATCCGCGCTGGAAGCCGAGCTGAGGATTGGACGAACTGCGCAGAGACGTGAACGAGAGAGCGGGTTATGGGCCGACCTTAAAGTCCGACGAGAAAGTGCAGAAGAGGGCGTGACGGCAAAGAAGGACACGAAAGAAAGTCGTGAGCGCTCATCCGTGGGGCTATGGGAGAGGGTTGGTGCGATGAGGGATCGGGAGCTGGGCATCTCGAGCAGCAAGGATAGCGCATCGAACGCAGAGACTCTGGAGAGGGAGCCAGAGTGGTTGCCAGCCTACATGCCGAGGGAGAGAGCCAGCCCCTTCTCTTCAGCGGGGAGCCTGGCGCATCCAATGACTGGCAAGCCGGTCATGCCGAGAACCCTTTTTGACGGCGATCATAGGAGGTGAAGGCTGCGGGTGGAGACTCCCCTGTATGTGAGGATTAGCGGTAGAAAAGAAGCTCACTACATTCGTTGACATCCTTGATACCCTCTACTCTACCGAACTTCTATCTGGACTCTGTTTGTGCAACAATCCTCAACGTACGAAGACGCCCCTTCTGTGCGTGCGCCACGATGTGGCTAGTGAACTGTGGCGTGGTGGCCCATGCGTATTGAGTCTCACCTTCAAACTTATCTTTGTAGCATCGTGTCTTTAACGCAACGACATCAACTCTCAGTGGCAACCATCGCGGACTTCTGGCAAAGCGCAAGAACGATAATTAAATCTATTTGGTCCGTCGGAAGTCGATATTGGCCTTCAAGAGACGGAAGCGCTGAATGGCCAGCTGAGCAATCTTCGGCAACGATCGCAGATAATGTCAAGAGCTTCGGGAACAGTGCGCTACCAGAGGTAGCAGTAAGATATAGCTTTTTTGCGCTTTTTGTGGTCGGTCAACAGAATGCCTTCCGCATGGCGGTCGGCGAAGAGGGAGGAAAGAGGCGCGTACACGTCCGTTGCGCAGACCGAGGATGCCAGCGCGGAATTAACGGCGCATGGGAAGGAAGTTGAAAATGGGTCCTCGTAGGTGGTGTCTCTTATTTTCCACCCTATTGTGATTCGCTAGCAATGAATGTTACCATTCGCCGACGATCCAAGGTTCCGAAGATAACATGGCCAAGTATCACGAGTTGGCATCTCATTTCGTCTCATGAATGCTTCAAGCTTCAATAGCTGCATACAAAATACGCAAACTCACTTCACGCACAGAGCCGACATGCCAGACAATCACGAAGACCGCAAATCCCTGGATGGACCAGAAAGTCCGACATCAGACGGGCAAACCCCCACCCCACACGACCTCTCCACGCTCCCCCGCGTCTCGGACACCCTCCCCTGGGGCGCCTTCCTCGTCGCCATCGTCGAGCTCTGCGAGCGCTTCGCCTATTACGGGCTCTCGGGCCCCTTCCAAAACTACATGTCCAACTCGTACCACGACCCGAACGGCCTTCCTGGCGCGCTCGGCCTCGCGCAGTCGGGCGCTACCGCTCTGTCTAACTTCTTCCAGTTCTGGTGCTATGTGACGCCCATTCTGGGCGCCGTTGTCGCAGACGGGTATCTGGGCAAGTACACGACGATCAAGTATTTCAGCGTTGTGTATATGATGGGCATTTTTATTCTGTTTGTGACGAGCTTGCCGTGGAGCATTGAGCGCGGGGGCGCGTTTCCAGGCTTGATTGCGGCGATGGTTATTATCGGGTTGGGGACGGGCGGGATCAAGTCGAACGTGAGTCCGTTGATTGCGGAGCAGGTACGGTCGACGAGGCCGTTTGTGAAGGTTTTGTCGAATGGCAAAAGGGTGGTTGTGGATCCGGAGGTTACGGTGCAGAGGGTCTACATGATCTTCTACATGTGCATCAACATCGGCTCCATCTCCGCGATCGCTACTACGACACTGGAACTGCACGTTGGGTTCTGGAGCGCGTATCTGCTACCGCTGATCATGTTTTGCGTCGGATTCTTCGTCCTGGTCTCCGGGAAGAAGAGATACGTGATCAAGCCGCCCCAGGGAGGCGTCATCGGAAACTGCTTCAAAGCGCTCTGGATCGCCGCGCGGAACCGCTTCGATCTCGACAAAGCGAAACCCTCATTCCAACAACTAGGAAGGAGAAGGTACAAAATCTCCTGGGACGACAAATTCATCGACGAGCTGCGCACCGCCCTCGTAGCCTGCAAAGTCTTCCTCTTCTTCCCCATCTACTGGGTCACTTACTCGCAAATGATGAATAACTTCGTCTCTCAAGGTAAATTTCCCTTTCCTCTACCTCCCCACTCTCCATCTTTGAGCGACGAATCTAACGTCGCCCCCAGCTGGCCAAATGCAACTGCACGGCCTCCCCAACGACATCCTCCCCAACATCGACCCCATAACCATCATCCTGCTCATCCCACTGCTCGACCGCCTCATCTACCCCTTCATCCGCACGCGCCTGCGCCTCGCCTTCACGCCCACAACCCGCATAACATGGGGCTTCCTCATCGCCGCCCTCGCCATGGCCTACGCCGCCATCCTGCAATCCCGCATCTACGCCGCGCCACCCTGCTTTTCGCACCCGTCCGCCTGCCCCGCCGGCCTAATCAGCGCGAATAAGTACAAGCCGAACGAGATACACGTCGCGTGGCAAGCGCCGGCGTATATTCTCATCGCGCTGAGCGAGATCCTGGCGAGCATTACGGGGCTGGAGTTGGCGTATGCGAAGGCGCCCCAGGATATGAAGAGCTTTATTATGAGTTTGTTTTTGCTGACGAGCGCCGGGGGGAGTGCGTTGGGCATTTTGATTGCGCCGAGCGCGAGGGATCCGCATTTGGTGTGGTTGTATGCCGGGCTGGCGTGTGCGGCTGCGGTGGCGGGTGGGGTATTTCATTGGGTGTTTAGGGGGATGGAGGAGGCAGAGGCTCCGAGGAGGGTGGAGAGTGCGGAGGAAGAGGGAATTGAGTTGGTGGGAAGGGGGAGGGGAAGGGGGAGGAAGAGTGACGAGGAGGTGGGCGGGAGTAGAGAGGTATAAGGTCTTGAGAGATTTGCTCTAGAGATCTTTGATGAGCCTAGTGTGTATCCTCGCATCGCATCGCATCGCATCCCACTTACCACTGTCATGATCAACACTTCAGTGCTCGCAAAAGGAAAAGGTATCCTGCCACCCATTAGCAGCACACTCTCACGCGAAAGACAGAATGTTACAACTCACCTCCTCCATCCTCCTCTCAATCCCATCATTCACCCTACCCCTCTCCCCCATCAACCTCTCCCTAACCTGCACCGCCTCATCCCAACTCATCGGAAACTCCTGCACCGCAGCCATAATCATCTCAAACAGCTCTTCGGGGAGGCCCGCAAAGCACTCAATCCGCCTGACCTCCTCGGCCCACCAGTCCTTCCGCTGCAGCGGCACATGGGCAGTAGATAAGATGGGTATATGCGGATCGATTAGGAACATGGCGAGGATCTTGCGGTGCCCCGGTTTGCTGCGGTCGCGGAGAGAGAACGGCTGCACTTGGTGCTGGAGGATGTTGGGGAAAGCGAGCAGGCGGTCGGGACGCGTGAGGATGTGGCCGAGGGAGAGGATGGAGGAGCCTTCTTGCTGGATGCCGTAGTATGCTAGGGCGGAGTCGTATTCGCTCTACGCCCCTTGTGTATCAGCTGCTGCTGCGTGCTTCCAAGAGCCAAGTGAGGGGAAGGGAGAACATACCTGCGCCGGCTTCATAATCATCTTCTCCGTATCATAGCTCTGGCGAAACGCCAGCCTGCTATCCGTCACATTCTCGCTGTCATAGTAGTACAGCGCTGTAGCGCAGATATGCTCATTCAAGCTGCCTTCGACATGCCAGGAGCCGCCGTCGTACGTTGGCTTGTCTGGCGTGAGATAGATACTCGCCAGCTTGAAGATAATCTGCAGTCCGCCCCGCGCAAAATCCTTCTTCAGATCGATCGGCCTAGCGCCCGGCATATCCCGCATATCGGCTTGGGGAGTGTACGTCGGCTCCGGCTGGACAAGGATCCTATGCTGCCCCCTCCACTCGTAGTACGCTTCTTCGCAGCCGTACACACTTGCCCATTCTTCGTCGTCCATTTCCTCCTCGTCTAGCTTGTCAGAGTCATCAGAGTCGGGCTCATAATACTCTTCTTTCATTTTCTCGCGCCACTCGTCGCGCGGGAACTTGAGGCCTTCGGGGAGCGTGTAGTCCTCGTTGCCGGTGGTGTCGATAGGGATGCGGAGACGGGAGTGGTACCAGGAGAGGCATTCATTCCAGAGGGGAATCGCTGCGTCGACGAAGCGCTCTAGAAGAGGGTATAACGCAGCATGTTTCCGTGGATGCAGATTGTTGATGTAGCTGGAGATTTTGGGGTCTCCGGCGGATGTGAATGTGATGTGGGAGGGCAGCCACTGAAAACTGCCCCATCCTTTTTCCACGACGTTGGTCTCGCCCCAGGCTACCTTCCTTGTGAAGACTTCGGCGCCGAATTCTGCTGTTGTTTCGCCTTTGCCGGTGTAGCTGATGCAGTCGTCTAGTGGCACGGTGCCGGTGGGTAGTACTTTCGTCAGGCCGTACACGACGGGAAACAGCGAAGGATGAACAAGATCCAGCACCTTCTCATCAGACCCTGGATGCCAGTCCCTCAGCCGCTCCGGCACATCTTCCAGCGGCCGAACAGCCGACCTCAGCTTATCGCGCAGCTCGGCGGAAACAGCGCAATCGCTCTTCACAATCGTAGCCTCCGCATCCAAAACAGCCACCAAACCCTTCTCTTCGTACACCTTCGCCTTCTCGCGCAGCTCTTGCATACACACCTCAAACATCGTTTCGCTCAGCCACCAGTCCCCGATCTCCGGGAGTCTCTCGTCCCATCGTACACCCTCCTCTTTCCACTTCGCCACAATTTCTTCATCGCAGACTTTCCGCGTCCAGTCAGGTTTGTCCGTAACCTGGTTCATAAATTCCAGCATGCGCCGCTCCCGCAGGGTGATCCCGCTGCTGCCAAACCAGTCCGCAATCGCATGCGGGAGCCGCTTCTGTTCGCCGTGGCGGGTCCAGACCGACATTTGGGTGACGGGGCGGCCGAACCCCGGGAGCGAGAGACGTTCCGCATCGACTTCCATAGCCATGGTGGAATTCGACTGAAGGGCAAGAAGGATGTTGAAGAGTGTGAGCGGGTATTGGGAGGATGCGGCGGCATAGGTATTTAAGTTTTCGAATACGATGTCTTTCCTTATGCCGCTCAGCTATAAGCGGCTAGGCTCGTTTAGGCATCAAATAACTCTAGGCGCGACGCGGCGACGCGAAAGCACGTGCGGAGCCATTCACGCATTGGACGGTCGTGTAACGCCATTGCCAGGCAGATATGGCTGCCTTGAATACTGGCATATCGAAGGTCGATGGATTCTGCGATTGTATATGCAATGGCTGCTAGTCGCGACTGCAGCATTAGGCTGCAAGTCTGGTTCACATTGGGTTGGAACAGTCGCTGCTGCTACCACGGTAGAGAATGTAATATAGAGGGCAGCGCATAAGATTCGCAGCGTACTTTGCAGCATCCGCGCGCATATGCGGGCACTGCAAGACTCTCACTGAGCCCACTCCCTCGCTCCCTCCAAGAGCAGCTCGTCAAGCTCCTTAGCGACAGTCGCATTATCTGTCTTCAACCGCAAATAGTGTTGATTCGTACGCCCGGCATCTTCAACCCAGACATTGGAGCCGTTGGGAAACACATGGTTATACCCATCAGTATTTCCATACTCAAACCAGCTCCCCAGTCCCTGGACTGCGTACGCGACCGTCAACGGGTCCCAAGAGAACCTCGTGGTGTTATACCCGACATACCACTCGTATGCAGCCTTGACTGGATCATTCGCCGGGCCCTCCACAGTGAGACGCGCGCCCGTCGAAACCTGCTCGCCGATCTCGGTACCCAAGAAGGTGATGGGTACAGCTGGTGGCCACGTATTCACTACATGTGCGGTGAGTGAGGGATCGTCGCCGAAGAAGTTGAACTCGTGGCCTGCTGGGTATCCGCCGCCCATAACGGCGAGCTCTTTGACCTTTGCTTCAACGAGCTGGTATCCGTTTAGGTCCGAGTACCCGTCCGTAGTCGAATTCAACAGCGCAGACAGATTCTCGAAGAATCCAATGGATGCAATTGTCACACTGCTATTTTCTGCCTCCGCCAGCGTTTTCCGATATAACTCAACCGGGCCCCAAGTATTCTCAGCTTGAAACCACGGCGCACTGCCGCCAGACCAGTGGAATGCGACTTTCGACGCGTATTCGCCTAGCTCGTACGCCCATGTATCGAAGAAGCTCGAGTTGACGTGCGGAGACCGGAGGCCGATGGGTACGCTGGGATGCCCGTAGTGGTTTACGATCGCGGACGCGGCGAGCGCGGAGTACGTGGAGTTGACATTCACGTTTACGGCGAGGAGGTTGGCTTGTGGGAGGATGCAGGCTAGGAGGAGGGCTGCTGCGTCGCTGGAGGAGGGTCAGAAATCGCGGGGGATTGAGCCCGAAGCACAGCGTACTCGACATCAGAGAATAAGTCAGTGTCGACAATGAGTTTCTTGGTGGCTTCCCTTTGCGCAAATGACGCTGGGAAGGCAAGATATCCGAAGGCATATTTCACCAGACGTCGCGGCGCAAAGGTAGCGTTGAGGATGGTCAGGAGGTTCTCCATGACAAGGCTGATCTAAGGCGGCCACAGAGACAGGAGAGACAGGAATAACACAGGATGAACGGTGTAGGCGGAAATCACGGAACTCATGTCCGTTTAGTGGGGTAACAGTAATCGAATTTGTGGGGAAGTGGTGGTGTTGATGATCGCGAATTGAACGATGACGGAAAACCTCCGGAGTTAGCCCTTGCCGGAGCTGATTGGCCAAGAGTGGGGGCATGCGGGTGTTTCTCATCCCACTTTGGCATCTACAATAAGATTGTCAAGACCGGCGGTATTTTGTTGCTTGGCGATTGACTTGTGTTGTTTCCAGATGGAATGATGTGAAGACTTTGGTGGTTGTATATTCAGAAGCAGGCGATTCCAGCGTTCAAGAGGGCTAGAGCCAGCACCGCGAAGCACTGCCTCGAGTATCCACTAACGCCTCAAATCGTACTCGTACGACGGTGGTATTACTACTCAGGCATATTAGGGGTAGCCACAAAGGCAGGCTTAGAGCTATCCGCTCGCACGTTGCCTTTCAACGCTCGGTTAACGCCCAGGCAGGGATCGAGGAACTGCATGGAACACATTAGCGAAACCCCGTTGTTTCCGGGTATCTGAATCGCGATGATAGCGCGACCAAAGGCGGACGCATATGCAATCAATGAGCAATGGGACCTTATTTTCGAGCTCATTGAAGGTGACATCGCACTGTCCGGTTGTGGGTGGATGGACACACGCAGCAGGCTCCGGAGTTGAATTGTCGTAGACATTGCCCATGAGACAGTAAGAATAGAAGCGCTTGTGCATAGCATGGTCGTGCCTTACACACGACTCATGGCCCGGTGAAGATGGGTCTAAGAGGAGTCGTCGTTCACCGAGATGATTATGTGGTCTCAGTCAGGGCCGCGAAGCTCCTACAAACATGCCGTTAAAGTGCTGAGAAGCAAGCGGAAGCCATGCGGCAGCCACGGGCTCGAGAGTGATCGATGCAAGTGTGTCGGTTGCTTATATACAGTAGATAGTCAATGGCATGATTCAAGCCTTTCGAAGTGGGGTCGAGCAATCCTGGTGTACCCACGCAACGTCGTCTTCGAGGAGATACTGCGGACAATTGCAGAGTCTACGGGACGACGGCATAGATTGAAGCCGGGGGTTCGGTAGTACTCTTCGCGCAGGCGATGCCAGTGAAGCTGGGCAGTCTCAATATTCCAAGTTTTGGTCAAAAAGCGCAAGCAGCAATTCGCTTGCTTGTATCCGCTTGCTCGTGCACTCTGGGGCCATGTAAGGCCTCCGGCAGACGGCGACCTCGTGTTGTTGAAACAAGGTTTAGGCTCGAAGGGAGCCAATGTAGTGGAGGAATATGGGATTCCCGTCGCCCCACTTCTTAAATGGCATACTGAGACATCGGGTCAGTGGCTTCCGTGAAGTTCAATTACCAGCTCGGCAAGCATTATAGAAGTGCGATGACGAAGTTCGTACAGCTAAGGCTTGCTGCAGCATTGGAACTGCAAGGCTCGCGTGCGTGGGGCATACCCGTTTTCTAAAGCGTATTAGCCGGCAAGGCCATGCACCAAGTGGGTGGGCGTTGCCCTAATGGGGCCTAGAGAATAGAAGCATAGAATATTGGCCCACTGGAACTAGTATTCGACGCAGAGCGGCATGCAAACGAAGCCAGATTAGAGGCGGGAAGTAACTCTTACGCTGACATACGTAGCGACGGGCTATCGGCAGTAGTATAGAGGGCCTTGAAACCCCGTATCAGAGACACAAGGCCAATCAACGACAGCCAATAGGTAGGCGACTGACAGAGGTAAGCATCCCCTGAGTGTTCCGTATGCCAACGTGCGGGAGACGAACCGCAGTAAGCGACAAGACGGATTTCCGAGCCTTTCGTTGGAGATACTTGCGAAGCTAGGCCCTTCCCGCGCTTTGGGGGTTGTTTGGTAGGCGTCTATGGTGAGATGCGGCGTGCATAGTGCATAATTTCACGTGGAGACTTGGCGACGGGGTATTGATTGGTCTCAAACGACCTGCAACGGGCCGGTACTCGATCACACTCCTTAGACAGCGAGGACGTGCTTCAGTGAGAAGTACCCACTGACACGGAAGACCGAAGGATAGCCGGGGATAAAGGAGCAACAGGCTATGGCCCGTGTGCTTAGAGTTGGACGTATTTTTAGCATGTGACTACCGCGACGGTGGGCCGCGCTAGAGGATCGAGAGATGCTTGTTTTGAGAGCGGGGCAGGTATTGACGGCCCCGAAACAGTTGACCTTAATATTGCCTCGAGTTAGTCATGATACTGAAGGTAAACCATATTCGGGCGACGCGCAAGACATTCTCCCATTATTGACTGAGTCGGTCAAAGGTGAGGCATGGATGCAAGAGACCAAGGACTGTGACGGACTGTGACGAAAACGATCCGCGAGGATGGTCATAAGGCTGGACGTTGAAGCGGCAGTGCTGATCTGGGTGGCGACTGGGGACTTGCGGCCGTTGGACTGGAAACACCACAGTGTTACAGTCGCTTTGCGGGGCGAGCGACTAATGCCAGAAGCCATTCCATGGAGCGGAGGATAGATGGAACCGATGAGGCGTCAAGTTGAACCATTGTGCACAGGTAAAGAGAGACGGACAGGGCGCGGGGCTGCCGTCGACCAGGATAGAGAGATACCGCTTCTGCCAGGTGTATGGCCAGAAGTAGAAGCGGCAATATGAGATCAAATTGCAGAAGCACCCAATATGAGTAACCGGCGCGAGAGAGGCTGTGTCTCGCGGACCAGGGCGCGTGGCGATCTTGCGCGGTGAATGTGCGGTCGCGTTCAGCTGGTGCGCTGGGTGCGATTTGGAAAATGACATGGACGAGGGGGCACAGGGTCCTCAAGTAGAAATAGAAAGAGTGGCGGAGCATCCGAGAGCCGATCGCCTGGGGGATGGGACGAAGCGTGGTGGGTGGATTGGCCGGTCGTGGTGCCCAGGTGGTGAGGCTGAGGGGTAACTCAGCCCTAGCCCCCTTAGTCAGCTAGCGGCTCGCGAGAACCTGCACGCAACAGGTCTTCCTCCTTGCTTCTTCTCCTCCCCAACTCGCACTTCCGCAGCGGCCAAGCACACGCTGTTCACTGCTGCAGGCTGATCCAGTCCCATCCTCTGGCGCGATGACGTCCGGCACGGCCATCTTCTAGCGTGCACCCAAAGCACGACCGCGTCCGTTAGGTAAGTGCTGCCGGCAGCGCCAATGCGTTAAGCGTTAAGCCTAATGCGACGTGACAGTCTCATCCGAATCGGGAACCATTCTGCGAGCACGTGACCCGAGCAAGGCACCCTCCACCGCTTGATCCCAGATGCCAGGGACCGTCCGATCCAAGTCGGCCCCGTCTGCCCTGCCGCTGCTCGAGCTTGGATGTTCGTCCGGGAAGCGTAATTTAGAATGGCAATCCTGCCTCTGTGAACCACTTATCACCATACAAAAACCCCACGGCCTTCGCTGGTTTCGCTCTATATTCCTGCTTTGGTGTGACCGAAATCTCTCCCCGCCCGATTCCGACTTTTCTCCTCGCCGTTTACCTGGTCTAGAACCATCTCTTCGTTGCTCTAAATCACGAATACATACCCAACATGGTTGGCGTACCCAAGAGTACGGGGTGCTTTATATGTCGGAAGAGAAAAATTAAGGTATGGCTTGCATCGTATCCTCGTGCCGGAGAGGGGCTGACCTATGAAAAGTGCGACGAGACCTGGCCGACGTGCCTCAACTGCCGGAAGAACGGGAAGTGCTGTCCTGGCCCACCTGCGCGACACACCTTCAAAGACCTGGGACCAAGATTGAATAACAACACTGCCTCAGTCGTTGCGGAAGACGTTCCTGGAATTGTCGGTTCGTGGCCCTATCCGATGTCGTATCAGCCCAACTGACAACGCCAAGATCAACGGTGTAAACGCTTGACGCAACTTAACGAGAAGTGGTCGGAGAATGGCGCAGTGATCCACAAGTTCAGAATATCCAACAAGGCACCAGATGCCCCGAGGAAGCCATCGCGGAGCCCGCGACTGAGCTCATCCAGCACCAGTCCGCCACGTTCGCCTTTTTGGAGACAACCATCGCCTTCGCAGCATCAGGAACTTGCACGTGCCTTAGTGGAAGCCTTAGGAACTGGCAGTGTCGGGCATCGCATGTCAGCGTTCGGACCATTCATTCGCGAGGTGCCTGGAAGGATAGGTCACAACCCGGCCTTGGATGCCGCAGTGGCCTGCCTCGTCAACGCGCACTCGTCCATGGTCCATAAGAAAAACGCAAACGAAATTGCGAACCCACAACTGTACCTACGGGCAGTCCAGACGCTTCAGATGTGCTTAGAAGATCCCCAGCAAGGCATGTCTTCCAACACTCTCTGCGCCTCTGTTCTTTTAGGCTTAGTCGAGGTACGTGGCCCTAAGCCCTATGTACGGCGCATCAACTCACAAACTCAGGCGTTAGCGGGACCGAGGGTAGGGAATCGATACCTAGCTCACGTTGGAGGTGCGGGACGTCTTATGTACCTCCAGGGGCCTGGGAAGTGCCAGGATCCTTTCGCAAAGGAAATACTAAGGTTCAACAGAGGTGGAATAGTAAGTGGCCATCCTTAAAATCCCTCCTTTTGATTGCCGCAAGAGTTCGAATGCGACTAGGGGTCCTATGTGGCGCTTGAGACGCTCCCGAGTTGCGGGAAGCACATTCTCCTTTCCCAGATTCTGCAGTAGGTCTACCACCAGAATCATTACTAACTTTCCGCAGATTATCACATCCATCTACGAGCGGAAACCCTGCTTCCTTACGACGCCTGAGTGGCAGAACATTGCATTCGACAAGACCGGACTGAGCTTCGACGACTGTCTTTATACCGAAATCCTTCACCGCATGGCCGAATTCCCAGACCTGTTGAGAGAACTGAAAGAACTCGAGCAACTCGCCATACCGCCTGTGGACGATGTTCTAGGCTACAACTTTGATTTTTCCGAAGATATAATCGACCCGTTTTCTTCTGATACCCATTCCCCCTGGTCAACTGACACCAACTTCGAGCCCAACCTCGAATTTCTAAACGACCCTTTCCCAATCGACCCCGCTACTCTCTACCCCGGCGCGCGGACCAGCCTCCTCAACAAAGTCCATCACTTAAAGGACGCCCTCTGTGCGCTTGGCACGCACCTCACTGCGAAACTATCGGACGGCTCTGCAGCCATCGAGCTCCCCGCCATTGAAGACGGCAGCCCCATATTGACAGCCTTTCACTTCACCAACTGGCGCGTCACAGTTGCATATAACTGCTACTGGGCTCTTCTCATCCTCACTAACAAAATCATCATGAAGCTCCTCCCGCCTTACGACCCGACCTATTACGCGCTAGAAGCCGAATGCCGCACCGTCGCGGTCGAGATATGCAAGACATGGGAAGACGCTTGGGCGAGCAAGCCCATTGGCGCGTTCCACACTGGCTTGAGCTTCGTCATGGCGTACGAGTTCTGCACGCCAGACGTCCAGGAATGGATACTGAAGGGCTTGAATGCACTGCTCGACCATCAGCTTGTGGAGAGCTTCCGCTGGTCGGAAGAAATGATCCAGATGATGAGCGGGAAGTTAGCAGGCGAGGGACCGGACCTGGTCTTTTCGAGCGTCAAATAGGTGCTGGCACATTGTGACGGCGCATCCGGAGCGCACCATTCTCGGCTTCTCTCCTCTTTAGATTTCTATTGTACTGTTTAAGCATCGGTCCTTTCTGCATAGCGATCGGGACTGGGACTTAGCATTATTGAACATGGCGGCACGATTTGGATGACTGACGACGCACTGCTCCACGAAATGTTCGGATAGAAGCGGACAATCTTTCAAGACTAGCCTTAGGATTGGACGAGCATTGTCTTTGTATTTGTTAATAGGAGGAGATGGCGCACTACTTACTGTGGACGCTAGAAGTGCGAAACAACTTGCACCTCGTTTCCATCAGTCTTCTGCTTCTGCTTCTGCTTCGCACTGGCTCCCTAGAATCCTCCATACCACCAGCACACCACTAGTCCGGACTCACCCATGTATCTAGACAAAACGTGCATAGCCGGCGAATTCACTAAGCAGCATCTTCCGCGCTTGACAACGCATCTGCTGACCCATTCACCACGTGAAACCCGTTCTCGTACGCGGGGCCAAGACAAGGCACACACACCACCAGCTGCAGCTTACACCGCTCGCCGAACGGATCTCCGAAACCCCAACGCGAGCTAATGCACTCGATGAGATGCTTATCCGTAGCGCGCTACACGCCTGCCTGCGGCCTGTTCTGCGTACTCCGTTTGCCCACACACGCGTTCCGTCGGATGCGAGAGATTTGGAACTACAGCTGCACTATTTCAATATTGGACTTATTCAGTAATGTCTCCCTCACAGTGTGCCGAGAAACACGCCGTGGCGAGATGAGTGGACTGTTCAAGCGCAGAAAGTCTCTCCTTGTTGGTTTATGAATTTATAGTCCATAAACAACTATTCTCTAACTATTTCCTCTCTAATGCCGTCTGCTTTTAAGCAAATCACGGCGTTCCTGGTCATGCTGTCGATCATCCCGTTCGCATCCTGGCAAGCCGTTCCAACGGTTCTCCAGTGCTCTAGCACGACTCGCTCCGTATCTTCAAGTTTCGGCGCCCTAACATGATAGCCCTGCCTAGAGATAATATTGCTCAAAGATTTAACAGCACTCAATCATCAAATACATGCATTCCGGGAGTTTCGCCGCGGGACGACAGCTTCGCCCACAATTCGGCTTGTGCTAGCGCAATTTCACGATGCTGTATTGTATTTAACGCTTTTCCATATATAGACTAGCTGTGGCGCAGACATTTCGAATCTTCTCCAGTGGAAGTGTCCATGACCGCCGGCTAGATATAGAATTCGCCAACTCACAACGCTATGGCAGGAGTGGGTCGGCCAACAATGAGCTTAGTCATTACTTTTAGTGACTGCGATTAGCTATACAATAGTAAATGTTTTAGGGCTATATGTCCTGGGGTTTCCCAAACTACTCTTCCCGTTTGCATTCTCAATAGATATGTGATTATAATGGTGACCTGCAACATGTGCGATGCTGACCATAGAAAATGCGTCGTCTTTCTTTCGAAGTATGAACGGGATATTAATCCCAAAGAGGCCTCCTTGAGCGACGGCCCCAATACATCGCCCGATTCGCCGAGTTCCAGTAATGAAGAAGGTGTTATCGAGGCAAAACGGTAACGCTATCCCCTCAACCTCTCCTAAATCTTTGAGCAGAGACTTCATATGTACATCTGCAGTATTAGTAAACATTTTCCCTTTCCTAGCGAAATTGAACAATCGCTTGAAGGCAGAGAGGGCCGTATCCCAATGATCATAGCGGCCAGAGTGAGGCCGATGTAAGGACTCCAGAATGCTTTCAAGCGGAATGCGTCGCCCACGAACCATCCATACGATTTGAGAGAACCAGCGTTCCCACCTCTCGAGCCCCATGACGGAGTCTAAGCTTTGTGGCAGAGAGAACGAAGCCTTAACAGAACTAAACTCAACTCCGTAGGTATAGAGAATCTGGAAATCATCAGAGAATCTAACAATAGGAGTCGCGTGTGAAGCTCGCGCGATTGCAGCATTAACGATCTCAGATCTCTTCGGGACAAGGTCATTGGGACGAACCCAGGTCTCCAGATGATTTGACTGTGCCGCGAAATTCGCCACCCAAGTTGGTAAATTTTGTGTTTCCACGGGTTCAATAGTGTCGAAGCTTAAGGAGGGATATCCCGACCCAAAGTCGTTTAAGATAATGTGGGCCATTGCCTCTGAGTACACTCTCGTTACTGACTTTGAGTAGTCAGGCGTGATGGAGTCGGATTCAAACACACACATGCCTAGTAAGCCGAATACCTTGTCACGCTGATCCGTCACCTGGAGGTGTAATGTCCGGAGTAATTGGGTTGGGAAGGATGCTGAAGGACCCTCCGCACGCATGGCTCGTATCTTGGAAAATCCCATCGTTCCATCAAGGAAAAACTTCAAGGCTTCTCTCATTCTTTGATCGGTGCTGCGAGAGTTCGTGTCCCCTAGAAATAGTTTCCATGTATCCAAATCGTCGATGCTTTTCGCATATACGCTTGGAAACAAGCCATCTTCAGACACTGGAACTCTTTGACTGAAACGCTGATACAGCGTATCCAAATGCTGACCGAACTGCGACCAAGAAACACTTCTTCGCCCGCAAAAAAGCCGCGGCTCATATCTCGAAAGAACGACTTCTTGCACGGTCCAGGTTCGCTCAAACCAATGTCGATGGCAGAATTCGGCAATTGAGCATAGCAATCGTGGTATATCAGCATGCATGACCATGCCTCTGCTCATGCAGTGAAACATGAAATTGCTGCTATCTGTCGGAAGGCCCAACCAAACGAGAACCTCATATGCGCTGGCATAGATTCGACTCATGAGCTGTACTTGACGGTTTCTTTCCGCGAGATCACCTTGGTTAATGCACACCTGGTCGATCCAGATGACAAGCGGTTGTGTGGCGTTTCGAAGACAATTGAGGGCGGTAGCAAGGCTCTTGGTGATATGTAAGGCATGGGCGTTACATACCAAAAGAGCATCGAATATCGGAGCTCCCCAGCAGTATGATAGCGCAGAGAAGATTGGTTCATCCGACAGTCGAACCTCCAGCAGTCGTGCTTCAAGTGTATCTCCTGATAGCCCAGGTAGAAGCTCAAGCACTCGGATGCTATCATCGGTAGAGAGAGGGTTGTGTGTGTATCGATCCATGGCGACCTTTGAAGAGATAGTTGATGCTACCTTCGTTCCTCAAGGCGTTCTTGGGCAGCCCACATGTCCTTCGCTGAGCGTATCCTCCAGCAAGAATGACTTCAATTCTTGTCCGACATCAACAACGAAGCCAAAAGTTGCCGGTCGGCCAGGTTTGTTGTATTGGGGAAGGAGGACGTCGAGGAAGAGACCCGTTGGTCTGTTCTCGGTCTTTTGGCAGACTTGTAGCTCGGGTTCACAGCCCGTTTACTGTACGATGAGGAGTTAGTTTTCGTCAACTCTTTCGCGCAATGGAAGCGAAATTACCTCCTAGCGGTCTTGCCAACTCCTTGATGGCTCTGTCGTCATGAAGAGCCGAAGAGCTGGTGCCTAAAGTTGCGAGCTTCAGAAAAGCCCCTCCGATCGCCAAGGCGGAGTTTCTCCGGCCTCAGACCTGAGGCTGGAGTGTGGCTGTGCATTGTGACATAAAATTCATTACCGTGCCAACGATTGGATGTACATACTGGCGTGCCGACGCGCATGAATATGCGCCCCCCTGGCAGCCACGAGGCTGCCGATGACTTCCCACCTGTCCTGTAGGACTCTGAGGCTCGGATAGACTTCGTTGGTGACCTCGGTCAGTGGTACAAGCTCGATGGCTTGAAAGGAGGCGCTGTGCGAATCCGGTCGGAATGCGACGCCGCCAACGTAGTTTTCAATGTTGCCGGGCTCGGGAGTGTTTGGGAGTACGCAGAGGACAGAACTGAGTGCAAGGCTTGAGATTCTTCGAACTTTGCGATGAGTTTGAATTGCTTGAAGTTGAGGTACCTATTAATTTTCTCCTCACGCAGTGAGGGACGTTAGCTTGTTTCTAACCCGCACCCGGATACGGGATCAGGTAGCGTAGTGTTGCTGCGCATCGATGGTGATAGTCTGTCTTTGGTATGGAATAGGATTTCGCATGTAGAAATGCTGTTCTGGGTAATACAATCGTCCGTTGTACTGCCTATCGCGGACAACGTCTTACACAACGACTAAACAAAGAAAGGAGTTGAAAAATGTACATACATGTGTGGTAAGCCTTGCATTTTCGTACACTCGAGTAAAGACCGCGGTGCGGATGTAATATTGCGTTGAGGATGTTACTACCGACTTTCTATTGATTTACCTGTTTATGGACGCAAGATGACGAGTAGCTCGACAAGTCCACGCATTGTGGACGTCCTACACCCTCCGGCTCCTGGCCCGTGCCTCTTTCTGCTCCTTCTCCCGCTTCGTCCAGCAGTCCACGCATAGGTCAATTGAGGGCTCGACGGCGTCGCTAATGCTGGAGCACGGTGTTAGTGGAACTCGGCAAGCGTTTGGACAAATTGTGAAGGGTTGTATGTTGTTGAGTAGGATGTGTCCGCATGTGTAGAAGATACCGTTGCGTTTGCACATGTTGGAGTATGAAGTGAGCCTGAACGATGCAGATCAGTGGTGTGTTGAGAGGTAGCAACTGCAGGAAGCATAGATAAATATGTGCAGACTGTTTGACTGAAAAGGGGTGCGGATGTACAATGCAGTGTGGAGGTACAAAGAGCGATTCAAAGAGCGTCAAAGAGCGTATGCTGCTTTGTTCGGCGGGTAGCGATGACTGGAGCCGGAAGTCGAACCCATGGTGACGGTAACCACCGGCCCCGGCTTTTCATCGTTCGATAGATGTCTTTCAGAGTCAAGAATACCCTTGCTCTTCCCCCTCACAGCATTCCTCAGCTGAAAACCGAACGTCTTCCAGATCCACTCCCCATCATCGTTATAGCCCATATCCGCTACGAGAGCGCCGACGAACACAAGAGCCACCAGTGGGATGCTGACGGCGAAGAAGACCCAGAAGTCTGCGCCGCCCGGATTGTACTTATCGTTCATGCTGAACAGCGCGCAGGTAAAAGCTAGCGGGACGAAGACCATGGCGACAAAGGTCAGTGCCTTCATATTCTTGGCCTCGCGCACAGAGCGTTTGGCTTCGACCAGCGAGCGTCGGGCTTCCTGGTGGGCCTGGGCATTGCCCACGATGCCGGTCAAACCGGTGAATGCATTGTTTAGGTCTGCCGTTCTCGATTTGATGGCTTTTGCTCTTCGGAGAATGAACTGGAAGTCGAGTTTTGCATCCCACCAGTAGGTGCTGGCGGAAGGTATGGGCTCTTCGAATGGAATGCCCAGGGTGATGAATAGAGATTCAAGGTTATCGACGTATTCGTTGCATCGCATCATGACTTCTTGAATCTCACTCCAGCGTGCTTCAGCCCAGGATATTTCCAGGTCTGCTAGGGATTCGCGCCGAATGAGAGGCCATTCCTTGTGGATGAGATGCGAGGTCGTGAAATTCATCAGCTGCATGTAGTGTGATGCTATAATCTTCTGGAGAAAGATGAGTGGTATCCAATAGCCGTGCTGCGGAACTTTAGATGATGGGAGCGTGTCCATGCGGTTGAGGAGGTAGTAGCAGAGATCTTCGTGGAGTGAGTTTTTGAAAGGACCCAGGGGAATTTCCGACAGTGCTTCGTTTCTGGGTATGAAGTCGCAATACCCGTCCTGGAAGGGCTTGTCATTCTCGACATTTATCTTAAGGGAGTGCCACTGTCTGTCTAATCGCGCGGGATCTTCGGGTCGCCATACATGGACTTGGCGAAGTGGTGGGTCGCATAGTATCACCACTGTCGCTTATCAGCAATCTACATCATAACACGTGCTGCTTAACTGTACGTACCATCCCACCCGTCTCCGACAGTCCGATACCAGAAGCCACACCTCCTGTCAACTATGGAAGGACTCACAAAGCGGCCCTTTCGCTTCATCCTGTGGATAAATCTCCCCGTATCGGCGCAGGACAAGTTATAAGAGTCCAAATATGGGCCGAAGTCCCTCAAGTCGCAGTATTTGAGAATGCGGTGCCGCTGATTTGCTACTGTAGAAGGCAAGCTTGGAACAAGATTGGGCTCCTCCTGCCACCTGCGCCACTTGGAGCTGCGCTCGTACTGAAGAAAGAAGTCTGGGTCGGTCTTGAAGTGCTCCCCGAGAAGCGCAACTGTGTCGCAGTTGATATTGGTGACGAGCCAGACGTTTTTTGAACCGACTCTGGTCTGAAGTTGGTCGGCCAGAAGGTTGAGATCCTGCGGTATGACCATGTCAAAAGCGCGGTGATAATTGCGGTCCTCGTCGACGGTCAGCAGCGTGGCCCTTACCTCCCTAGAAGCGACTGGTGCTGAGCCACTATAGGGATCTGCCTTCTTCAATCCAGGGCTCCAGCTACATAGACTAGCAATATAGTCTTGATAGGGACCCCCGGTGCATAACCATCCATCCTTCTGTAGCTTGCGATTAGTAGGAAAAGCGTTCTCGGCAATGGTCGGCATTATGAGCAAAAATGTGAGCGACAGTTAGAGAAAATGAAGGCCGGTGAGCCATGGATACGAGGTTAAAAGAAAGGGGAGGCTGTAGGTTTGCCAAGAATGAAAAAGCATCTAGATCCTCAGCCGCAACATCATGCGTTGTCAATCACCCAATTTCCAACCTCCATCTGCTTGGAATCGCATTGTGTTTCGGCCTTGCAGCAGCTTTATGGAAGCTCAAGGAACTCATCTAGCTAGAATAATGGTGGGAATTCGGACGAAAGACGAAGAGCGCGGTGTTGCGTGGTGTGGAAAAGCGGAAGCGATCATGCACTGCCCAGGTAACAACTTACGCTAAGCCTTGAAGGAACTAGCGCTACACGTGTTCTGCACTTCGCCCAGCTGGACTAGCTTCCTTAGGTAGGCTAAGAAGAAGCGATGTGTTCGCCCATAGGGGCCTTAGAGATGAATTCGTTATAACGCCAAAATACTCGAAAGAGGTGTCACATATAGAGGGTTCAAGATGAGACAATCTAGCACAAGAGCTACGAGGGGAGATGAGCTATCTGGCCTCCGCACAGGAAGTAGACTTCGGACGTCGTATGTTTCGAAAAAGTCAGAAGCTGGACCAAAGGCAATAAGATGTGCCTTTTTCGAGAAGTCCGAGTGCGCGCAGCTCATACACGACAACCCGATCGCCAACACGTCTACTCAACCTCAATTTGTCTCTTCTTCCCTTTGTCTTTCTTCCTGACAACAGTCTCCGGCACACTTCCCACACTCTCAACACTCTGGTCGAGTGTTCCATACCCCTGGCTACTCCCGGATGGTCCACCAGCCTCCGCTGTGCTTTCATCCGGCGTGACCAACAAGGGCTCGTCAGCCGTTGCTTCCGCAGCTTCGTTCTCGATATCCCTCTCCTCATCCTTGTATGGACCAGCATTGGGCCCTCTTGCCCACTTCGGAAGTGTGATATTTCCCTTGCCGAAGTGTCCCAAGAACGATGGTCCTGCTAATCCGACTTCACCATGCGCTGGTGCAGTTGCCGCGGCTGATTGAGATGCTTCTGTCGCGGCATGGTTGACGTGACCGCAGCCCTCACAGGGCCTCGCCTCGGCGTCCCGTTGCCACGCAGCCCTCTTCCTCGCAAGCAGTTCTTTCCAGAAGGCGATGGCGTGCTCGATACTAGCCGCAAAGTTCGCCAAGTTCGCGTACGCTTCGATCGTCTCGGAGCCGGAGCGATAATATCGGTGGTAGCCACTGACGATCGCAAAGAAAGCCACCCAAAATAGCCATTGAAGGAGAATAGCTAGAACAAGGTCGGTGATGACCAGGCGCTTCGATGGCCACTCCGGGTCTTCCGCAGGGCGAGGCTGTAATTGCGGTTCCGGGGCACTTTTACTGCCATGGGCTTGGGCTGGGCCGTTCGAGGCTCTGGAGGCGGCATAGGTGTTCAAATCGTGTAGGACGAATGTGAGGGAAATGAAGAGGAGCACGAAGCTAAACAAAAAGTAGGGGATTCTGTCAGAATCGTTGTAAATAAGACCCAATATGGCAAAGATATTGAGGAAGGAGCCCACAACTGCCGTGATCAATGTCGCAATCCGCAGTTTGTACAACGGGTGGGATTTATACGGGAGGGCTCGTGTTGAGAAATTCATGTTATCGTAAAGATGGAGGAGATGAAAGAACATGCGACCAGCAATCTTGGAATGAAAGAAAGATCGCTTCGAGAGGGCTGCGTGAAAGTGACCTGTGACCTGCGGCCTTGGGCCCCGAGATATGAAAGAATGCTGCCTAGCTGTGCGGCGAGGCGTGCAATCCTGAAGGCTAAGCCTCGGCTTGGCCTTTCCGTAGCTGACCACCAATTGGTCGAATGTGAAACACTGCGAGGAACGAGGTGATGATGAAAATCATGCAATTGGGTGCCTGAACACGACCCCGCATTTCTCATGAAGGTTGGAGATGCCATCTGTCCTTCTGCTGTGCAAGATCCAGACCCGCCATTCGATGCGGCGCCGAGAAATCGTTGTCAATGACAATGGCAATGGCTTTCGAATGTACCCTCGTTAAGAGACGTAAGCTACATAGTCCCAGCGGGCGCTTCGAGGCAAAGATAAATGAGGGTAGGGTTCTCTTGGCACGTTGGAGCCTTCCCGATCCTGCTCCGAGACCTGAAAGATCTAACATTAGTGAGTAACGCATGGAAACGAAGTAGCCCGCGAACGTTTTGATGCAGAGATCCAGTTGAAGTCCTAGCTCATGGCTGTAGTGGCGCTATTGAGGGAGCATAGCTTCTGTTGGAGCGCGTCGGTGAGACGTCTCGACCTGGGCCAACCTGAGAAACGCTAGTGAAGTACTCAGTAGAAGAGCGTCTTTCCGAAGTTGAGGGCTTTAATGAAGGGGCATATCTAGGATAGGCGTGATATGGAGTGGGTGCGAAGTGGGAGCTTTATCGTCACGGAAACTGCACACTGTGGCAGGTTGAAACCCGATTACATAAGGCACTATTCCTTTTCGGGACAGGCGTCACGATAGTTGCCACTAGGTTCAGCTCGAAACATCTCGACTTATCAACTTCACCCCCCCAAATGCCGCTTTCATCAAATGCGACCGTAATTCATCTCGGAACCCCCTTCCCGGGGGCAAAAGGCCAATATGTGTTACGAAGAGTAGTCTTGCCGTTAACTACACCTCGCCATCATGCCGAGGTGGGCTCACCTGAGGCAGTATTTCTCAATGCGGGCTTATGAGAAGGTTTGCGGGCTTCACTTGAATTATACTGAAGTATAAAAACAGAGCAGCCCATCGCGTGGGCTCGTTCATCTCTCCATTTCTACGTTATCACCCTTACTGTTTTACGTTCCATCTCCTCCTGCACAGACGATACCGCCAGCTGCCGACCCTATCCACCTCCCCAACCAGAAAGGACAGTCGAAAAATATACATGATGCGCGATAGTATCTCCTTATAGTACACAACCCCGTTCCCACATCTGCAAGCTCCGCGGAAGCATGAGACCTCTTTTGGTATTCGAGGTCCAACTGCCGCCAGCAATCCTCGCCTCCTCAATTCGAGCTGCCTGTCTCCCTGCTCAATGGTCAGCTCTACTCGGAGTCGGCTAGGTGGTAGGTCCGGAGTCCCCTTGCAGACTTCAGGCTAACATGCCGCGTGGTTCCGCAAAGCTGCGCATTGTACTCGTCGCCGATTTCCCGTTCTTCGAAAAGCCCCATGACCCACACTCCTGTTGGAGTTCCTGCATCTTGAGCTTCCACATTCGACATGGAATACGAGAGGTGGCGTAGGTTTCAGGCAACGCTTAGCCAACCCAAAGCCCGCCATCGACGCTAACATCGACTACACGCGAGCGCAGCCACTCCACGGAAGTTCGGGCCTTCGAGCCCCCGAAAGCGCCGCTGAGAGTGACTGAGTGGCACGCTGGGCCCATGTGGGAACTCTCGATGCCCCTCCCGTTCCCGCATTTGCTCTCGTCCCGGCCTACGACAAGAATTTGAACGTGAAAGAGAATGGGGCACCTGGCCAATCCGGATCCCCCTATGTGGTATGAGGGTTCTAATGGCACTATGCCCACTGCGCACTGCTATCTCAGCATGAGCCTGAAGTCACCTGCAGATGCGATGTCCTTTTGCCCAACCTGTCCCCATCTTTCGGCTGTCGCCAACACGAGAACTCAGGCAGCAGCAAAAGCACCTTTTAGGGGGAAAAACACATCTGCACCATGTTCGAATCGGAGTTGCAGCGCCTATGTTCTCTACCCGGTTGGGGCCAGATGCACTACAAGCCTCTTTCCTCATCCGAATTCGAAGGAGTGTTCCTGCGCATGGGGCGCGCGGCTTAGGAGGCACCTCACTCGTGCCTGTGTTGCAACCCATGTCTAGCTTCTAGTAAGTACCTGAGTCTGCCTTGCGTAATAATCGCTGACGGGACTTGTTCAGCTCGCGCTACCGCTGCGGGCCTAACGCCCTATGCTAATGAGTGCAACTGCCGAGTCACTGCTTGCATTTGGATGAGCCCGTGCAGTCAATGTTGCGATACCGTAGGCCCGGGAATTGGTCTGCGTATGCTCCAGGATTCGATTATTTGTAGCGGCGGATTCTAGAGGAGCCGAAAGATCACTAACCGCGCGAGGCTCGTCCCGGTACCGCAGTCATTCCCGTATGGGACTATCGAAAAGGGGCCCCGCGGAGTACTAGTTCCGGACAAAGATCAGCAGTCATTCGGCGTACAAACGAGCTCGGCGTGCAGCAACCCAACTCTAATCCTCCGCCGCAGGTCCACTCAGACTGCAGGCGAGGTGTGCTCCATTGATCCAGGAATTCGGGATAGCCCGTCGGTTGACGGTAAGATAAGACATTTGAGAAGGAGACCTTGCACCGTATTGGGACCGTATCGGGTGACGTGCGGAAGGTTACGAGAAGGACAAGGAGTGGCGACTGTGGTAAGTGGGGTCCAGGGGTCGGTACCACCAAAGCTGATGTGAACGCAGTACTTCCATCTCACTAAGTCCCCGATCTGATATATCTCCCGTGATACTGTGGAGCAGCACATCAAAGCCACACGACGATCGTACGATCGCCCTGCCTACGAAGCCTTAGGCTAGAGCAGGCATTTTCTAGCTTTGCCGCCTCGTGGATGCGTCGGTTCCACGGCGGATCACCTCGCTGTAGCCACCCTCGTGGACATTGCAAGGTTTGAATCTGTGTGGCTGAAAGAGGCGTCCTAGGCGCATGTTCGTGGGTAGTTCGACGATCACGCTCCGGGCCGCATTCGATTAGAGTGATCCTTCGGTGACGAATCGCGCTAGTACATATTTGGTCCGCGACCCTCTCCGACTTTCAGCTGAACCCCGGACCCATGATTTTCGGCGCCTATGCAATGCCTTTTACTCTTACCTCGCACCACCGATTAATGTAAGTGGTTGAGAATCTTAGAAAATGGCCACATTGGCCACCTTTTGGGGGTTGCTGCGAACAGCGCAAGGACGACTGGGTCCTGAACCTCGAAGTACTACGCACGTACTGAATGCATTTACATGAAACTCCACGCCTGCTCGTGTTCCGCACGGACAAAGTGGCTCCGAAGATGCACTGGGGACTGCGCACCACCGTCCAGGTTATAGTAACCTGCTGTGCTACTATCAACTCTGCCTATATCACACCCTTTTATTGCAGAATGGAAGGTTTTCTAACTCGATCAGGATACTTTCGGCAGCCTGACCTAGAGACCAGGGCGCCAGCTCGGACATGGAACGAATTTAGCAACACGTGGCATCGGGTTGACGTGATGCTTCGAGAGGTCGTCAACTAGGTCTGAGAGTTTGAGGCCTTCTGCAGCCGCCATTAGCACACGGAATTTCCCATCCGCATTGGGGTAGGTCCTCGAATCACAGCGTTTTTGCCTTATCGCACCCTCCGCTCCAACAGTGTGAGGTGCGTCGAGTTGACCTAATGCTGTGTATAGGATCTCCGGAGAATGCGGAGGCTGCGACGCGGCGGCTCAGTAGCCGAACGTGGATGACAGACGCAGGTACAGCGCAACCTCGCACGGCGGCATGCTTCTCTCCTGTAGAGGTACGGCAAGAACGATATTCAGGGACCATAGCCACATTTGGCCAATGGATGAGCGGCATGACCTCCTTCGACTTACCCATTACTCGTCATCATGGCATTTGCGCACTGTCACACCAACCGTTCGGATCTATCTTTACACGAAATATGCCGGTGCTCCATCTCCCAGGTCCGGTTTCCTGGCTGCGCTTGATACCTCCGCTATTATCTCCGACCTTCTACAAGTTAGCCACGGCTCTTCACCCATGTCCACCTGACTATCGGCACGGTTCGCCACGCGGTTACCCGGTACGGCCGTTGCCGCATTTGACGACCCCTTAGCTCAATGAGCGTCACGCAGCTGAAGCGACGCTGTTCCCAGGTTCATGGCTTGAAGTCAATACCCCACTATCCCGTCAACCTGGTCCTGGTCACACGCAGTTCCAGGCGCTTCAACCTCCGGTGTGACTGCCCTGACAGGTCCGTGACAGTTCCGTCGACTAAGCCTCGCTCGAGCAAGCGGCAGCGGGTCATTTGCCAGTGGCAGACCAGTCGCGGCAACTGCAAGATACGCCTTCTGGCGCCTATCAGATACTGCAGATAGGTCTGTAAGCTTATATTTAGGAACTTTTCTGACCTAGGGATCCATGGACTTGGCATCGCAGTTACTAGTGACCCACTCGCTATGAGAATGCGAAGGCGAAGAGTAATCCACCGCCGAACCGTCCGAAGACGTCCGGATCTAAGCTCCCACACCAGAAACTGCGCCGGATAGAATGTAATGGCCAGTCAAAGAAGCTCGCCGCCCCTCCTAATAGCCCTCCCTGACCCAGGAGTCAAGTCGGCTCTGCTCATCTGCATGCAGAGACCGCATTCAATAGCGCAAAACGGTACACTACTGCAAGCCTTCTCCCTGACCCTTCTACTTTCTCACACCTCAAGCCATCCCATGATCCTCAAATCTCCACCGGGTGGCTCTGCTAGGAACAGACACTCGTATTTACAGCCGAATCGAAACCAGGAGTCCTCAGCGGCAAAGAAGCGGCACGAAGGCGCCCCTCTAGCTCTGCCGCAGCATGTAGCAGGGTGAATCCCTCTGGGGGACCACCGGAGTTCTTCCTGAAGTAGATGTTTAGCCTGTCAGGAGCGAATATAAAAGGCTGCTATCATCCATCTTCAGGTCTCCAGAGTGGCTTTCCAGCATCGACCGAAGTCCAGCAGTCTCCTCTCCTTTCAATCTCTCGTCTATCCTTACTTCTAGTATCTTTTACTACCTTCATTTCTACTATGAAGTCTTTCCTTGCCTTTGGTGTCACCCTCCTTGGGCTTTCCGCTCCCCTCGTCAGTGGAGCAGCCCTCAAAGCCGAGCCCTTGGGTATCACTCCCGCTGATGCCCTCGAAAAGCGCCAGTCGTGCGTCAATGGTCCGACGAGCCGTAACTGCTGGCTCCCCGGCTTCGACGCCAACACCGACATGTATTCGAAATGGCCTAATACCGGCCGTACCGTCGTATACGACTTCAGCATCACCAACACTACCTGCAACCCGGATGGCAATGGCGCACGCGTCTGCATGCTCATCAATGGCAAGATGCCTGGACCGACTATTATCGCCAACTGGGGTGAGTGTTCTGAAGTTATATTGAGGTGTTCTCTCCCTGACGTAGTATAAGGCGACACTATTAGGGTGACTATTCGCAACATGCTGCAACACAACGGCACTTCTATCCACTGGCATGGAGTCCGCATGTTGAACTCCAACATCCAGGACGGCGTAAGTAACCTTCTGCTACATCTTGGTCTTGCCTTGGGCCCATCGTGTTCCCTTTTACAGACCATATAGTTGGCTTGTGGAGAGTTTCATTGAGCTAAAATCAGGCTTCGTTGCGTATTCACCCACGAATGATACCGCTAACTTATCCCAAGGTCAACGGTATCACTGAATGCGCTCTCGCTCCCGGCGATGCAAAGAGCTATCAATTCAAGGCCACCGAATACGGCACCTCCGTAGGCTCCCTTCCCTTGCACTTGCAACATCCCAGCTAACCAAGCTAGTGGTATCACTCTCACTTCAGTGCTCAGTACGGTGACGGTGTCATCGGTACGATCATGTGAGTGCAGTTCAGATCCTCTAGAAGCCTTATCACTAATGCTCGGCTAGCATCAATGGCCCAGCTACGGCAAACTACGACATCGACCTCGGCACGTATACGCTCCAGGACTGGTACTACATCACTTCCTACCAGGCTGCTGCTCGCGCCTTCAATTTTGGCCTAGGTGGAGCACCACCCACTAGCGACAACATTCTCATCAACGGCACAAACAAGAACGCCCAGGGCACCACCGGCTCTTACAACAAGGTGACTCTGAAGAAAGGCAAGACCCACCGTCTCCGCCTTGTTAACACAGCTCTTGATGCCGCCCTCCGCGTCTCCCTCGACGGCCACCCATTCACCGTCATCGCTAATGACTTCGTCCCTATCGTTCCGTTCACGACCAACTATCTCATCGTGGGCATTGGTTCGTCACCCTTTACCTCTCCCACATCACCTTCATGACTGATATCTTTCAGGCCAGCGCTACGACATCATCATCAATGCCAACCAGACCTCCGGCAACTACTGGTTCCGCGCAACCGCTGAACCAAACTGCCAGAGTACCAGCAACGGCCAGGGGAAAGCAATCTTCACCTACGAGGGCACCACTGTCGCGGACCCAACCACCAACGCTTGGCCGAACCCTCCGGCGAGCTGCAGCGATCCCGTCTCGACACCCAAAATCGCGAAGAATGTGCCTAGTAACACATTTGCTACCCAGGCTCAGGATCTGCCTATCGGATTCGGACCGGTGCAGTCAAATAACCAAAGCTTGATTCTGTGGACTATCAATGGGACTTCGATGATGTATGTACTGGCCAATTCTCTTACATACCCACGGCAAGGACTGACCTTTGCGCAGCATCGACCCGGCAAAACCCACCGTGCAGTACGTCGCGGAGAAAAACACCAGCTACCCGGCCTCCTACAACGTCGTGGAAGTCGCTCCTAACGCAGCGGTAAGCTATTGCGCGCCCATCCACCCCCCGAGGCCCCACCAAACACACGCACAACCTCCTCCAGCCTCAATACTAACCACCAACAGTGGACCTACTGGGTAATCCAACAAGCCGCGGGTGCCCCACCCATCGCGCACCCAATCCACCTGCACGGCCACGACATGTACCTGCTCGGCAGCGGCAGCGGGCAATTCGACGTCGACGCCAACCTCGCCCAACTGCAATTTACGAACCCGCCGCGCCGCGACGTCACGCACATCCGCGGCGGCGGCTGGCTCGTCATCGCGTACCCGACGGACAATCCGGGCGCCTGGCTCATGCACTGCCACATCGCGTTCCACGTCGCCATGGGCCTCAGCGTGCAGTTCCTGGAGAGGAAGAGCGAGATTGCGCTCCCGCAGCGCAATAGCGAGTGGTACAACACGTGCCAGAACTGGAAGAACTATCAGCAAAATAAGCCTGTGTATCCGCAGGATGATTCGGGGTTGAAGAAGAGGTGGCCGCCGGTTGTTGGGGGACTTGGAGCGGAGATCTAAAGGAGTGCAAAGCAAGTGGGCTAGCCGACGGGTAAGTATACCAGACTTGAGCTTTTATCGCCGGATGGCTGTTCGTGGTGCTGCGATGGTGGCGAATACGCGAGTGTACGATGGGGTGAGGCTTCTGTCGGTATATAATTGGATTCTTTCTTTTGTTTCGGTCATTCCTTTCGCTCCTAGTCACTCTCTCAGCTTCGCTTTGACTGTCGATAGTTAAACATGTTTCCCTCGTTTCCTTTGGTTTTAATCAAGCACCTGTATTATGTATACACCAGCCGCTTCACCACCCCAGTAATTTTGGATGCTCTTTAGTCTATACAATCCTTATTTGTCCTTAGTAATGCACTAGCGATCTGATTGTTCAGATGTTTAATGCAGGGCCCTCGGATGCTAGGGAGCGATTCATAGCCGCTTGTCAAATGCATGGAAGCCTCCCCACAGGGTGTCACGTGACCCTTAGTCCAGGGTCATACAAGCCGATCAGAATATATTAAAACAAAGAAGACCATCATGTCTGCATACAGCTTCCTGGCGACACACAGAGACTCGTTAACCGCTGAGAGCGCTAGGGCATCATGTCAGGTTGTTCGACCCTCTGCAGTCAATACAGTGACTATTTCAGCAATACATGCTTCTACGATAGAGGTCAGCAACCGCCCCACTGCACGTGCAACCGCATCCGCAGAAATCCACGGCTTACCCTCCGCATTCGAGTGCGGGCGTCAGAATACGGTGTGCACATGCACACGCGCAACCAATCAGCGCGCGTGCCTGAATTGCCGACATCGCGTTTGTCCTGGGCGTTCGAGCGGGGAACTCACACCTCCACCGCACCACCTCACCTGCGACCACCCTGGATTCGGTTCTGTGCAGAGTCACTCCTGCGGCAGGACGAGTCTTGCCTAGAGCGCTCTGTTCCCTGAAGGGCGAATGCGACAAGGCTGTTGCGTGTGCAGCCAATACATCCGACCATTCAGACGGGACGGGAGGTGATTGGGCGTTCATGGCGGGTGTTCGCGAGCGAATGGGAGGGATTGCCATGGCGGTGGATGGAGGATGCGGGGGTCGACGAGGATTAGAGGTCGTGGATATAGCTCAGACGAGCTTACTGCGTACTACCCCGCTGCTTGGAGGATTCTGGACTGCAGCTGGGGCCGCCTGTTGGAGAAGTATAAGGTGAGGGCTCCCCTGGGGCGTAGATGCAGCTGCAATCTCTTGCTGCGTTGTTGCTCCCGACTACGACTTACAGCAGAGGAAACTTGAATAACCGGACTGCACGGACTGCACGGACTCGGAACTGCGACTATCCGTGCCTTGGTGGAGAGAGCGTGCGTGATTGCGAAATCTTACTGCCGGCTTCTGTTCTTGGATTGGGCTGTACGGTGTACGCGAAATGGCGACTGCAACGGTTGATCCGGAGCCCTCGACGATTCGGGAGGTGAATGGAAGTGGACCGGATCACATCGCGAAGCAGCCCGGGCTCGCGCATACGACGACGAATATTTCGATGACGCCGGAGCTCTTCGAGAAGTTGTATCTGGCGCCGAAGATCCCGCATGCGGTTGATCATGCTGCGAGGTTTGCGAATGCGACGCCGCTCGGCTTCCTTGGGTACGATTGACCGGCCGCTATTCAGTGGAGTGATACTGATCATCAGGTAGCTTCGTGATCTCGACGTTTACATTCAGCATGGTTATGATGGGATGGGGAGGTGCTTCGGGGTTGCCGGCTGTCGTGTGAGTGTCCCGCCAAATTCAGGGTCTTTCTTGCTGAACCATCGACAGCGGCATATTCTTCTTCACCGGCCCTGTCCTCCTGCTTCTCAGCACCATATTCCTATGGATTCAGTCGCAATTCTTTCCAATGATGGTGTGCGGTCTCTTCTGCGTCTTCTGGCTCTCGTTCGGCATGCTCCAGCTGCCCTCCCTTGGGCTTGCGACTGCATATGAAGGCGGCGCCATGGGGAAGGAAATGAACGCCGTTATTGCGCTGTATCTGCTCGTGTGGGGCTTCGCGTTGGGTACATTCTGGGTGTTTACGTTGAGGATAAACGCGGTCTTCGCTGGGATCTTCGGATTCGTGACGATTGGGGCGTGGGTATTGAGTGGAGCTTACTGGAAGCTGAGCACGGGTAATGTCAAGGAAGCACAGAGACTTCAGAAGGTACGTACACTCTCTCATTGACGAAAGGTCGCGGTTGGAGAGGGGCTAACGACTTCGACAGGGTGGCGGCGCTTTGCTGTTTATAGTGGCAGTCTTAGGGTGGTACATGATCTTCGTCCAGATGGCTGCGGAAATGCGCTGGTCTGTCAACCTGCCGGTCGGGGATCTTAGTCATTACTGGAGGAGGACGGATGTCGAGCTGGCGGCTATGGAGAACGAGAAGAAGGACTAGAGGTGACTGACTAATTGTAAGGCGGATATAAGGCACAGACTTGCCGATGGCTAGCCGCGGAGTCGCCGAAGGAGTCGAGACATCGTAAAATAAGGAGCAGTGGTGATAATCAATACACTTCGTTTCCTAGCCGGGTCACCGGCATGTTGGCAAGCGTGCGGAAACGTGGACCAGGCTTTCGGAATCGGTGATCCATGGAGCGGGATTTGAAGTTTTGGATGCGAGCCGCCAGTCCGAATATCCGCCCAACTCGTTTAATCTAATGGCTCTACTGCAGCTTCCTCTTGGTCTTTTATAAGCGGTTTGTCTTGGTATTGATCCAACAGCGACCCTATCCAGGAATCCGCTATCTAAGTAGCAGAAGAGCGTTCGGAAGTGGCGCAGGCTCTCGCGGTACGAATTCTCCGGATACAGCGACCCGAGTAACAGCCACCCTGGAGGCCTTCGCAGGTGCATACCATATGACGTTTAGTGAACTGTGCAGTGAGCTCTTCAAAGAACTCCCTACCGCAAGATAGGGTCGGTCATGTCGAGGCAACCTTTTGCCAACACTGCGATCAGTAGGGTTTCAAGTCCGTTCAGAAAGAGCGACTAGGTGCTCGATTTGGAGTGTTACTTTACGTTGTGTGAGAAGGTGCCTGCTGTGGATGTGTCGATTGATCATCACCAGGACTTCGGTTTTAGTAGCAGGTAGTAGGCGACTGAAGATTAGGCGCCCTACCTTAGGGTTGTATATAGTGGTGCTGGCTTTAGGCCTAGGGAGAGGCCTGGAGACGCCCAAGGATACTCGAGATTATGCGGACTCCACGACGGGACAAGTAATGACAGCCCAAGCTGAGAGAAATGTTGCCAAACATTGCCGGTTTTTGTTTCTCGGCGGGTGATCTGGCTTGAGATAGATTCTGATGAAAGTGAGGAATAGGTTGAGGCCTTAGCATTGTAGTAGTGCGGAAATGCATCTTCCGCCTCGCTGCAGGAATGAGATCGCGACATTCCATCACCAAAATTCCACGTGCCACGTTTTCATCCCGAAATCTGTTCCAGCCATCTAACGGTGATCATCCAGGAATGGAAATCCCGCGGCCATGGTAACGGATTACGTGCAGCTGCCACGTTCTTCCACGATGCTGCGCTTGAACTGTGAATTGCTGTACGCCGGCATCCGCAGTTGGCTGCTAGATTTCAGCCCTCTCGGCGTCTCCTTCGCCATTCCCAAGCCTCTGAAAGGAGCTTGTTAGATGGCCGGACCTTTTGATGGATAGAAGGTCGACAACCCATCCGCGGTGGTGCAACCTGTGCGGTTCTCATTTTCCGCATCCAAGCACCTCGCCAAGACGCCATGCACCCTTCACAGCTAGCCCCCGCACCGCTCCACAATACGCTATACCTCAAGCAGCAACCCAGCGCACATCTCCAGCCTTGAGCCCGGCTCCGAGCATACGCGAACCCCTCGTTTGCAGGATAGCGCATCCCGTCTTGTGTAGTCGAGATGGAGGACCTCGGGGAGCCCGGGGTTGGGACCAGACAGCTGGAATACTTATAGGATCATGATCCCACGACTTGAGCACCAGGTGTCCTCTTGTCGGCTTCTGTCTGGATCATTTCCTCGTATCTTTCAATATGGCCAACATGGACAACGATAAGACCTCCATATCGCATGTCGACGCGATCGAAAGTGCGCCGGAGTCCGATCACAGTGTCCATTTGAAACATGTCGACAGCGCGAATGAAGAGATAGTTCAGCATCTTCAGACCACTGGAGAAGAAGTCGGAATGACGTGGAGGAGTACCATGGCTGGTAAGCGCCCCGTGGCCGACGCAGTCACGAATTGCTACTAATGTAGAATGAAGCTATTTCCATGGGCATGTGCTACAATGCATATCTGTTCACGCTCTTGATTCCACCCGCAATCCTTAGCTATATCAACGCCGACCTTGGTCCCGACCCTAGGTATACATGGATTACCATCTCGTGGAATTTGGGCGGAGCCATGTTCGTCACGATCGGCGGCCGGTTGTCCGACATCTTCGGTCGCCGGTATTTCTTCCTTGCGGGTGCTTCTACCTTGATCATCGGGAGCATTATCTCGGCAACAGGACAGAGCATCGAACAAATGATTGCAGGTGGGGCCATCTTCGGTGCGGGATCCGGTTTCCTTGAGATGTCCTTTGGTGCTGTTCAGGTAAGTAGCATGCACCTCTTGCGGCAGAGAATTCTCCGGATTGAAGAGCTCGCGGTACATGCTTGTAAAGGTAACTTTACGTACCATTGTAAGCATCTGCGGATGCCTCCAAGGTGGCCGTTACGCAACCTCGTCACAACCGGAGAATTCGACACTTAAGAGTGCACCTCCAAGGTGGCCAGCTGCTAACTCATACAAGGAAATCGTGCCCAACCGGTACAGGCATGTCACCATCGGCCTTTTCGACGCTTCATCCGTTATTGCTCAGATCATGCCTCTGGTCACCTGGGTGATCATCAAATACACGTTTAACTGGCGCATTGCCTATTACTGCATGATCGGCTTCCAGGCCATCAACCTGATCCTTCTCTGGTTCTTCTACAACCCGCCTTCCTTCAGGGAGAAGCAGGCGGAACACGGAAAATCGAGAAGCCAATTGCTGCGAGAGTTTGACTGGGTTGGCCTGTTCCTCTTCGTCGCTGGGTGCACGCTTTTTATTGTGGGCGTCAGCTGGGGCGGCAGCCTCTACCCCTGGACTAGCGCGACTACACTTGGTCCTCTTATTGTTGGTTTCATGACGCTGGTTGGACTGGGCTTGTAAGTCAGATCCGCCCCCCTTTCCTTCCGCCCCGAAAGGATCCCGCACTGATGTTCTCTAGCTACGAGAGATATGCACCGCTTAAGGAACCTCTCTTCCCGCCTCGTCTGTTTAGGGCCACGCGACAGTGAGTAACTTAAACCTTTAAGAACACGTCATATGCTGATCATTACAGCTTCACTGTTCCAATGTTCGTCATGGCTATCGGCGGAATGCAGTACTACTCCAATGCAACGCTCTGGAATCGACTTAGCCAGCTCCTCTACGCCACTGACGAGATCTCCAAAGGTCTCTATGCCGAAGTCTTGCCCTTGGGCTCCGTCAGTACGTCCAACCCTAACCCCCTATCTTTTCCGCATAACTAATCGCGCCTAGTTGGTGGTTTCGTTGTCGCCTTTTCCAAAAAGATCGGGCACCAGCGCTGGCAGGTCACTGGGGCTGTGGCTCTTCAAACTGCCTGCGTCGGCGCCTTGGCTACGGCCACCATAGACAACCCCGTCAAGTCCATCATTCTCACCTTTCTAGTGTCGCTAACAACCTCCATAAACCTACTAAATGGCATGGTGCTGGTTGGATTTGGGATTGTCTACCAAGAGGACATAGGCACGGCTGCAGGCCTAGCGGGAACTTCTCGACTTCTCGCCGGCGCCGTCGCAACCGCCATTTTTAGCAACGTAACGAACAACAAGTACGCGCAAGCCCTGCCCGCAGCCGTCCGCGCCAACGTCGAGACCTTCAATCTCCCCGCCGCTACCCTCGCAAAACTCACCGCCGCAGCCAAAGCCGGTACCGCGGCAGCATACAAAGCCGTACCAGGCATTACTCCCGCGATTCAAGCCGCTGCCGCTCTGGGGAACAAGCAGGCCTACCTAACCGGCGCACATCTCGCGTACCAAGTCGCGCTGGCATTCGGCTTGTGCGGTGTTATTGCAGCGTTCTTCATTCCATCTGTTGACTCGAGGAAGTATACGAAGAGGACGGTTGCAGTGCAGCAGCAGGATCGCAAGGCGCTCGAGGAGAAGAAGATGGCTGGCGCTGCTTGATTTGGGGGATTGTGCTTCGTATAGACCTGAAGAATTCATGTTAGCAAATGTAGTCAAAGGCGGTTGAGGGCCGCCAGGACGGGGTTTACAGAGTCAAATCGACGTGAGCTTCACATGTTGAAGGCCTCTAAGAGTGGCTTTACGTACTATGACGGAATGAATCATCGAAGAATCGTGACTCCAAGACACTTGCCAAGGAAGTGAGACAGATTACAGAGACTGTTCTTAAAATGCGTTGCTGACTCCTGATACTACGAGTCCAGTGTTCATGCCTTCGCCTCTTGGCTCATGGAGCCGAGTCGCATTTAACACTCGGCGCCAACGAAGATCTAGCAACATCGCATACCAGATATTGGATGCCTTTCCGTCGATATTACCCAACACCCGCTACCAGGTACTGTACAGTAGTGCTCACCTCGTACACTTGCACCCATGCCACCACGTGGCCCCCAAGCGCGCCACGCGCACCCCAACCCGTATCACCAAATTTCGACATCGCCTACACGATTCAACCACACCACCGCATTACCGCTCCCCTTCGCGGACTTCGTTCCTCGCACGCAGTTGTCGCGATGCATCTACCTCGGCCTAAGCCCTGCCCCGCACCCGCAGCCCTATTCCCCACATCACAGTCAGCACCAACGCGATCGACCAGGTAGCTTGCGCGGTGTGCTAGCTTGCTTTGGCTTAGGCGAACGCTCGGCTGGGACGCCGTACGCTTGGGCTTGATTGTAAACTGGGAAGGGTTGCGCGGATGGAGCTAAGCGAGCCCTGCATAGCTCCGGAGAGGTATGGTATATATCGAGAGTCGAGGCCCCGGTGTGGATGATGCAATGAAGGGAGGGATTGTCTTGTCTGTTGGTGGCTGAGACGGAAACGACGGCTTGATATAACGGACTTCGTCCCTTGCGTCTGGTCTGTTCTGGTTCGTTGGCATCTGCGCTTTCTTTGTATCGTTGTTTGCGTTCTCTCTCTTGATTCTACTCGTCGCCCAAGCCGCGTAGTATCAGACGGCGACGACGCCTAGTTGTTGAGGCCTACAGAATACCAGCATGGCTTCTATACCAGTCCCCAAGACCGACGTAAACGGCACCACAGCAGAAGGCCACCCGGTCCAAGAATACGACGTCATCATCATAGGCGCCGGTTTCTCAGGGATAGCGAATCTGCATCGGCTGCGCGAGGATGGACTGAAATGCCATGTCTTCGAAGCGGGTCTGTCTTTCCTTCAAACCCCCCTGTCTTCCTTCAACCCTCTTCGCCTTTCGACTGCTTTTTCCCCAACATCGGCTCCCCTTTCCCAAATCCCATCGCCAGATACAGCCATGCTGATACTAAACCGCAGCGTCTGACTTCGGCGGCGTCTGGTACTGGAACCGCTACCCCGGCGCGCGCGTCGACTCAGAAACGCCCTTCTACCAGCTCAACATCCCCGCCGTGTACTCGACCTTCAACTTCTCGCAGCGCTTCCCCGACCACCGCGAGCTACGGCGCTACATGGCGCACGCAGACCGCGTGCTCGGGCTGCGCAAAGACGTGTCGTTCAACGCCAAAGTGAACAGCTGCGAATGGAACGAGAAGAAAAGCCAGTGGGAAGTCAGCACGGAGAACGGGCTGCGAGCGCGAGCCAGATGGCTGGTCCTGTGCACGGGGCTACTGCATCGGACGCATTTGCCGGAGTGGGAGGGGCTGGAGAAGTACAGGGGGTTGGTGTGTCATTCGGGGGCGTGGGAGGAGGGGACGAGCGTGAGGGGGAAGAGGGTCGCTCTGATCGGGGCTGGTGCGACGTCCGTACAAATCGTCCAGGAATTGGGGAAGGAGGCGGAGCATCTCACCGTCCTGCTTCGCCGGCCGTCGTACTGCCTGCCCATGGGCCAGCGAGCCTGGACAGCAGAAGAACAGGACCACTTCCGCGCCTATTACCCAGCCTTGTTCGCCGCTGGCCGTAATTCAGCGGTCGGATTCCCCGCGCCGCGGCTCGACAAGAGTGTTCTCTCTGCTTCGCCCTCCGAGCGCGAGGCCTATCTCAATTCCATCTGGAAGGCCGGGGGCTTTCAATTCCTGCTCCGCAACTACAACGACGTGCTGCTGGACCGCGAGTCCAACAAAATCATCTACGACTTCTGGAAAACCAAGGTCCGACAACGCCTAACGGATGCCGAGAAACAGAAACTCATTGCTCCAGACGCCATGCCGTATTTCTTCGGCACCAAGCGCTGCCCGCTCGAGCACGACTACTACGACGTGCTGAACCAGGCCAACATCTCCGTCGTCGACATCAACGCCTCCGCGCACCCCATCGAGCGCTTCACCGAGCGCGGGATCAAGCTCGGGAACGAGGCGCAAGACCGGCCCTTCGACGTGATAATCTGCGCGACAGGCTTCGATTCGTTCACCGGGTCGCTGACGCACATGGGGCTGAAGAACAAAGACGGCGTGGATATCAAGGAGGTGTGGAGGGACGGCGTGAAGACGTATCTGGGGATGATGATGCACGGGTTCCCGAATGCGTGGATGGTGTATTCGCCGCAGGCGCCGACGGCGCTGTCGAACGGGCCCACGATTCTGGAGTGCCAGACCTCCCTCGTCTGCGACATGATACAGTCTCTGCGCGCGCAGGGCGCGAAATCCATCGAGCCGACGCGTGATGCCGAGCTGGAGTGGAAAACGGCGATAAATGCTATGGTTGAGTAAGTCCGACATCTTCCTGCACTTCTCTTTCCCCCTCTGGAGCACGAGGTTCTAATACGGAAAAGGAATACACTGTACCCTTATACAAACAGCTGGTGGCAAACAGCAAACGTTCCGGGCAAGAAAGCTGAGAACCAGAACTACATTGGCGGGATCAACGCGTACGAGGCGGAGTGTCGGGAAAAGATGGTGGGGTGGAAGGGGTGGGAGGTTGTTGCCGACGATGAGGCGGCGGGGCAGGTGAGGGCTATGCTTTGAGCAGGGGGAGAGGTAGATTTTGTAGACAAGTATGTAGAAGGAATAAACGTAAGATGTGGATCTTCCGTAAAGGCTAGATTCTGATCCCTGAATCAGTTTCAGTCGCAGAAATTCTTACTAGCTATGCAGCTAGAGGGATTTGGTACCACGCTGATGTCGATGCTGATGCCGATGCTATATCCCATAATGATATGCATGCCCAAAACCTGAATGGATAAATACCGCCTGAACCATATTCTCGCTTGTAGATGAAAAAGCCACGCCAGATGGCCCATGGAAAACAGGGCAATCGATGTATCCGCGAGCGCGCTGGAGCCGAGAAAGAGCGCTTCTTAGTCGGCTGCCAATGCCTGCCCCGAACGCACGACCGTCTCGATATCCGTCCAGATAAGCTCAGCTATTCGTACATCCGCCCATTTTGTCGTCCACCCGACCCGCCACTACTCCTCGGCGTCCTCCTCGGCCTCATCCTCACTCTCAACCTTCATCTTCTTGCCCCGCTTCTTCTTGGGCGTAGAGTCCTTCTCCGCCTTCCGCTTGACCTGATCACCAATACGTTTGCGCTCGCTCGCGCCCTCCGCGGCCAGGTCCGTCTCCCATTTCTTGAACTCCTGGCTCTTCACGTCCATACCAACAAGCTTCTCTAGCATCTTGATCTCGCGCGCCCATATTGACTTGTCCTCGACCTTCTTGCCGTTCTCGTCAGTGACATCAATCGGCGTCTCGAGCACCATGGGCAGCCCGTGCAGGCGCTCGTCGTTGACGATGTTGTGGAAGGCGCGCAGCCCGAGGTAGCCGGTGCCGATACGGGCGTGGAGGTCGCGGTAGGAGGCGAGGGGGGCTTTGCTGTCGTTGATGTGGAAGGCTTTGAGGTACTCTAGGCCGATGATTTCGTCGAACTTTTTCATTGTCTCAGCGTAGGCCTTAGGAGTTCGCAGGTCGTAGCCTGCTGCGAAGATGTGGCAAGTGTCTAGGCATACGCCGACGCGGTCCTTGTTCTCGACGAGCTCGATGATGTCGGCAATGTCCTTGAAGGTGCCGCCGATGGTGTTGCCGAGCGAGGCCATAGTCTCTAGCAGAGTGATGACCTCGCCGGTCTCCGGATCCTTGTGGGCCTTGTTGATGGCTTCAGCGATGAGCTTGATACCGCCTTCACGGGTGGTGGCGTTCGCATTGCCCGGGTGGAAGTTGTATAGCTTGATGCCGAGCTTGTGGCAGCGCGTCAGGTCGTCGTAGAAGGAGTCGTATGCTTGTTTCTTCCTATCCTCGTCCGGATGAGCAAGATTGACCAAGTATGACCCGTGCGGAACACAGCATTCGCCAGGGTGGATGCCATGCTTTTGACATCCGTCAATGAAGAGCGTCGCATGGTCAGGGTCGAGGACTGGATTGTCCCACTTGCGTTGATTCTTCAGGAAGAGTGCGAAAGCGTTTGCGCTATACCAAATTAGCAGGGCTTGGATGGAGCGTACGAGATACTGAGGGAGCAGCTTAACACTCAATTAGAGCGTAACAGTGATCATGGTCTCCTGGAACGGTCGTACGCCTCCATGCTGCAATCAAATCAGAGAAGTCGACCTACCCAATATGCAAGAAATTGGCGATCGAGTTGTGCACGCCTAGTTTACGCCCGGCCGTTCCGCGTTAGCCATTGTCTTTCCTAGGTGGGCGTGGGGTACGGGGACATGGGAATCACGAACCTCCAGCGATGCTAACATGTGCACCAACACGCAGCTTGCTGTCAGCCGTGCGTTCCTCCAGCGGCGGTATATCCTCCACTTTCTTCTTTCGCTGCCGCTTCTGCTTGACTTTGGCCTCCGCCCCGTCCTCACCTTCGGCAATCTTGACCTCTTCCTCGACGGAGTCCTCCTCGACCTTCATCTTTTTGCGGGGTCGCTTGGGGCGCTTACCCTCCTCAGCGCCAGCTTCGGCATCGGAATTGCCATTGGCATGCTCCTCGACAGTGGCCTTCCGTGCTCGCTTAGTGGCCTTGACTGTGGTCTCGGCCTTGCGTTTCTTTCCATTGGCGACGATCTTGACGGAAAGATCGGTCTTGGTCTCAGCTGCTACTGCGGGCGCCATGAGGTCGTCAGGAGGAGGTGATAGCGACGAATCCGACAAAGCCTCGGTAAGGTTTCGCGCCATTATGGCTATCGCTGGAGTGAGGGTGGGAGAAGAAGCGAGGAGGGTGTACGGTCGAGCGTGGAAGGAGAGAAGAGTGTATACGTGCGCAGGTAACGAGAGGGGAGGACCTGCTGCAGGTGAGTGAGATTACATAAGTTAGGGTGAAGGTAGGTTGTACCTTTACCACTGGGGTTTTGCAATTGGAGGGGCGCTGCAGGCTTCAAGGATGGGCGAAGTGGTAGTGGACGTGGCGTCGGGCTAACAAGGTCGCCGGGGGCTCTGTCCTGCTTGGTGAAGCCGTACGAGGAAGTCCAAAAGTAATTGAGTTCGTCGGCACGACAGCAGTGAAGCGCCCGAAGACGCGCTTTCGATGACGATTGCGCGGGACTGCAAAGCGCGGGAGAGGAGTTGCGGCTCGAAACCAATTGCAGACCAGGGAAAGAACGAGAAGAGCCGATTAATGCAAAAGAAATCAAGCTCCTAGAGCGCTTCATCCAGTGTAGTATCGCATAAGTTCTTGAGCTGTGCAAGATGTCGAAGCCCTCTCGCTACGCGTCAGACGCTGACGCCGACTCACGTGCGCCCGCTAGCCCATCCCCGAGATTGATCCGATCTTATCTTATCTGAGCCCCACAATAATTTTCCAGCGCCAAGAGTTCCATCCCGCTTCCACTTCAAACGTTCCTGAGGACCACGCCGCAAACCACGCCTTGCTCGTTCTCCCCGACGCAGAATTTGAATCTGAATCGCACAATCGCATCCTCCACGGCTTAGAGCGCATACCTCCTTCGCATCATCATCCGAGCCCCGAGCTCTCCCACCCTACCGTCACAATGCCGAAAGAGAAGAGGAAACGGCATGGTGCTGCCGATTCCAGTCCGTACACGAAGCCCTCGGGAAAGACTGCTACAGCGAATGGGGCGTCTTCCGCCGCGACCAACATATTTCGAATGAATAAAGGCGAGCATATTGGGTGATGTGCTTAGGGCATCCGCTGAGAGTTGCACAGATCTCGGTCAGCACGTTCTCAAAAACCCAGGGATTGCAAGTGCAATTGTAAGTTATATCAGTCATGGCTAAAACTATTTATTGACGTTTGTAGGTTGAGAAGGCGAAACTCAAGCAATCGGACCAAGTGCTCGAAGTCGGTCCCGGTACCGGTAACCTTACAGGCAAGTCTCCGAATGCCCATCCGTATCTTGACGAGCTATGCTGACTTTCTGCCCCTAGTTTTAATCCTCCGAAAAGCCAAATCAGTTACAGCAGTCGAGATGGATCCGAGAATGGCCGCCGAACTCACAAAGCGCGTACAAGGCACACCGGAAGGAAAGCGGCTGAAAGTCATGCTCGGAGATGTCATAAAAACGGAGCTTCCGTACTTCGACGTCTGCATCAGCAACACCCCTTACCAGATCAGCTCGCCGCTCGTCTTCAAACTGCTTTCTCTACCTACACCGCCGCGGACATGCATACTCATGTTCCAGCGCGAATTCGGTTCGTCATTTCCCTCCCATCCACAACGCTCTCGCTGTGCTAACATACGCTCTCACAGCAATGCGCCTCTTCGCCAAACCGGGCGACAAACTATACTCGCGCCTCTCCGTCAACGTTCAATTCTGGGCCAAAGTCTCGCATATCATGAAGGTCGGCAAGAACAACTTCAACCCGCCTCCCCAGGTCGAGTCCAACGTCGTCCGCATAGAACCAAAGCATCCACGTCCGCAGATCGCATACGAGGAGTGGGACGGCCTGTTAAGGATATGTTTTGTCCGCAAGAACAAGACACTACGAGCGAGCTTTTTGGGCACCACCGCTGTCGTGGATATGCTAGCCGGCAATTACAAGTTATGGTGTGCGCAGAATGATATCCCGGTTGATGATTCGCCACTGGACGGAGCGGAGGCGGACGGTATGGACCTGGACATGTCTGTAGATCAGAAAGACGAAGAGGACGAGTGGAACGGTTTCAGCGACCCTGAAGACCCAGACGACGAAGTACCCGATTTCTTCAAGCAGGCGACGAAACGGACAAAGGGCGCGGGGAAGAAGAACAGGGGGAGAGTTACGCAGCTGGTCAAAGAGAAGATAAGGAAGGTTCTCGAGGACGATACGCAGCTGGCGGATAAACGTGCGCGGTTGTGCGACGAAAACGACTTTTTGAGCCTGTTGGCTGCGTTCAACAGCGCGGGTTTGCATTTCAGCTGAAGCAAGAGGCGAGGAACAGGATGGGAGCATTTCACGGAGTTGGTGGCGTCTAACGAGCAGCATGCATGGGTAGACAGATACCAAAAAGCATCTAACACGGCGTTCTACGGGATATCAAGATTATGCTAGAATCGAGCTTTCACGAGGTCTTTTATATGGCCTCTTCGAATTGTCGCACCAGCTGTCCCTTCTCTTGTAGATACTCCTTAACCTGTTTGACCGTGTACTCTCCTCTGTGGAACTGCGACAGCCCGTTAGTAACATATTCTTTTACACAGTCGGACGGTGTACACTCACCATGCCAGCCCCCAACGCGGCATCCGTCCTCGTCTGCGCAAACACTTCATTAAAATGCCCCGGATTCCCCGCGCCACTACTCGCGATAACCGGGATCTTAATCGCTTCCTTCACATCGTTGATAAGCTCGAGATCAAATCCGCTATTCGTCCCATCCTTGTCTATGCAGTTCAGCAAGATCTCTCCCGCGCCCATGGCCTCCACGGCTGTGACCAGCTGCCTTACATCAAAGTCACGGCCCTCGCGCCCGCCTTTGATAGTGCATTGGTACCAGCAGTATTCTTCGCCGTTGGGGCCTGGGGTTTTGGTACGGATAGTATGGTGTGGCGTGGAGGAAGGTGAATGGACGTAGACGCGGCGGGGGTCGACGCTGATGACCACCGCTTGGTTGCCATAGGCGGCGGAGATAGTTTCGATAGCAGTGGCCCCGGTGAGTTTCTTGCCTCTCGCGTAGTATTCCTCCGCAGCGGTGACAGCATCAGAGCCAATGGATACCTTGTCGGCGCCAGACTTGAAGTACATAGTCGCAATATCCAGTGCTGAGATCTTAGTCCCGTCCGTGTCTACAGTGTCTCTTATTCCACCGCCTATTGTCAGGGGCACGAAGACGGTTTCGCTTGTTCGACGGAGGATCTCGAGCATAGGCGTGTCGGCGACGGGGCAGTTGCGGAAGGAGGTTATGTTGAGGAAAGTGACTTCGTCGGCGCCTTGCTCGTAGTACTTTTTCGCCATGTCGACGGGTTTGCCTAGATTGCGGACTGCACCGCCGGTGCTGACGCCGTCTTTTTCTCGCACGTCGTATTGGTCGCCTTTTGTTACTACGAGATCTCCTTGATCGTTTGTGCGGACGTCGAGGCAGGCGATGACTCTGCGCGTCAAGCCTTCTTTCGTTGCCGACGCGGGTGGCTTCTCTGGTAGCTTTTGTGACTTCGTGCCATCGAGGAATGCTTTTATGACTCTGAGGCCTGCAGCGCCGCTCTTCTCGGGGTGGAATTGGGTTGCGAAGACGTTGTCTCGCGCCACAGCTCCAACGAACTCTTCATTCCCGTACCGCGCAGTAGCAACTGTCCAGCCAGCCTTCTCTAATTCACCATCTGTGTACGGTGCCGCATAGGAGTGCACGTAGTAGTATTTCGAGCTCGGTCGTAGTCCGTAGAGCGATTCATCCGTGACCTCGCCGGTCCGCGACGTATTGGCGTTATTCCACCCAATATGCGGCACACTCTTATCTTCGTCCTGGAACTTCTTCAGCCGTGCGGGAATCAGGCCCAGTCCCTTGACCTCTGGATCCTCTTCCGAGCCCTCAAACAGCGCCTGCAGACCGACGCATATTCCCATAAATGGCTTCCCGGCTTCGATGTGCGCTCGTATCGGCTCGATGTAGCCAGCTTTGTCGAGTTGCGTTAAGCAGTGGCCGAAGTGGCCGACGCCGGGAATGATGAGCTTCTAGGGGCGCGGCTGTATCAGCGCATGTCAATTGATGTGTATACGTGACGGGCATGGAACTCGTACTTCTGCGGAGGGCACGTCGGCGGGTAACTTGACCCATTCGACGGTGTAGCCGACTTTCTCGATGGCATTGACAAGCGAGCGGACGTTGCCCGCCACGTAGTCGAGGAGGTGAACGGTCGGCATGACAGGAAGTGCAATCGCCAGGAGCTCAGAGAGGGATGATTGACGGCATGACGACTGAGTCAAAATAACTTTTGGTTCGGAGCTGCCCCGCGATCGGAGGGGCCATGGCGCTAACTAATAGGGGTTTAGTGTTGCCGAGATATCGAAAAGTTCGGGCAGAACATCGAAATGAGCGTTCACGCCTCCGCAACATCGCTCCTCTAGCCCCAAAAGCGATTTGTTCTCTCTGACCGCTAGGATGGTGAGAAAACTCAAACAGTACGTACTCTCCGAGCGTATGGACGTTGTCGTGAGCGGTCTCCTCCCACCGTTCCTCCCCAAGCCAATGCTCGCCTTCATACTGACAGCATTAGCCATGAGCAGAAGCTCTTGAAGAAAGTCGATCTTGTAAGTTCCATTCGTGCACCAGTTTTCAAGTAAGTAGCTAATGAAGTAGTACACCTGGAAATCAGACAACGACCACCGCGACGCAGCCATCGTCCGGCGCTATGCGATCCAAAAGCCAGACGACTACAACAAGTACAGTCGGTTATGCGGCTCGTTGAGGCAGCTCGCGCACCGCCTCGCGGCTCTCGACCCCTCCGACGCGTTCCGCCGAAAACACGAAGACCTCTTGCTCGAGAAGCTCTTTTCGATGGGCATACTGGGAACTGGCGGCGGTGGAAGGGGCAAGCTGTCTGACGTAGAACATAAGGTTACCGTATCTGCGTTCTGCAGACGGAGATTGCCAGTCGTCATGACGAAGCTACGTATGGCCGATCATGTCCAGGCGGCGGTTAAATTCGTCGAACAAGGGCATGTGAGGGTTGGAACGGATGTACGTACATCGCGATGCACATACCAGAGTCGTCTCAGTCACAAGCTAGCCGGGGTGCTCCTAGACAGCCACTCTAAGGCGCGTAAGAGACACTTTGGTATCGTTTCTGCTTCCTCTCCTTGCATTCTCCTGTTTAAACCCATAAAACGTATACTAATGTATGCCATCAACTGTTTAGGTTATTACCGATCCAGCATACTTGGTGACGCGGTCGATGGAGGACTACGTTACCTGGGTCGACTCCTCGAAGATTAAGAGGAACATCATGAAATACCGCGACAAGCTCGACGATTTCGAACTGGACATGATCTAGAAGAGGAGGTACAATTTTGCATCGGCTGGCGTTCATAGGAGGCATTTCATGGCGTTGGGATTGCAACTCTGCCCGACGATATCCGACATAGAGCAACATATCACACATCTTTCGGCGGTAGATGCATATTGCAGCTGCTGCCTTACCATCTCAGCTTTCTTTTCGCTCCTCGTTTCTATCGTAGCTCACTGTCAGCTCTCCTCTCCCCACGCGCTCACGGTTGGACACCGCTCACCGCCTTTCCTCCGCAACTTCCTTCCCGTTCTGGGATATCAAAGAGGCTGAGTCGCTGCATCTTCATTAAGAGGGTGTTGTTGGCAGTTGGACCGCGTGCAATCGCCGACACACTGTAGCACCGCCACGATACCCGCCACACGTATACGGACTGCAAACGCTTCGCGTGACTGTGGCACCATTGCGTTACGAAAACGGTATCGAATACGAACTACGAGGCTGCAGCAAAATGTGGCCCGCGTCGGTTGATTGGCCTTGGAAGAGCATCGCCAAGAGCGTCATTCAGAGCATGATTCGCTTGCCCAACGATGCCGCATACAACCCATGTTCCTTTTTCTTCAACTCCAGACGTGGCTGCAGAGGGGTAGAAGGGGCTGAGTGCCACCCCGCATCGACTACCGGTGAGTACTGGAGCTCCTGAAGGCAACATCTTTCTTTGTGTTTAAAGGTGCTTGACTTTTCGTGACTCAATGCATCACCACTTCCTGTACCTTCCTGTCCGCCCCTAGTATTCGCCGCTAGGAAGCAGAAAAGCATGTCAGTCCACAGATATGGCCTGACGGAGCTGCACTCCGGTATTGGCATCAACGGAGAACCGCCGAGAGCAAAGTAAGACGTTGTCCTTCAAACAGCATAGGTCTCTAATCCTAACAGCATTGTCTTCGTGCACGGCTTGAACGGTCATCCTCAAGAGACTTGGAGCGCCAAATATGCCTCGGCCAGCAGCGAGCCCGCAGACAGACGTACCTCTGATTCCGAGGCCTCGGTACACTCCCCAGCTCGCAAAGGCTCCGTGTTTAATAAGTTCCTTAAACGTACCAAGACTGGGCATCCGATTGGCCTCGGTGATCGCACTCTGTCCATCGCACCCTCTGCATACTCAATGGACGACACATCCGATTCTATATCCCCTCGCCCTTCCCCCGGCGCGTCGCCTGGCGAGTCCAACGTCGATCCTCTCACTATGACCGCCGAACCGGATGCGATGACCGTTCTTAGCCCGACTGCGTCCAACATCGCCAATCTCAGTGCTCCTCCCGTCCACAAGAAGAAGGTGTTCTGGCCAAGGGATCTGCTCCCCAAGGACCTACCTAATGCGCGCATCCTTACGTTTGGCTATGATGCAGATTTGGTCAAGATGAGCAGCACGGGGAAAAGCGCGAAATTGAACTTCACGCAACACGCCCATGACCTCTGCATCACACTCAACAGGGAGCTGCAAGACGATATACCAGCTATTCTCTGCTGTCACAGCCTGGGAGGTGTATTGGCGAAGCGTGTAAGTCGTCGACTCTCCACATGGCTAATGCTGGTCTAAACGGCGTAGGCTCTCTGGGAATCTAAAACGGACAACAACCCGCTTCAGCAACGTCTCTGCAAGAATACTAAGGTCGTTATATTCTTCGGATCGCCTCACCGTGGGAGCTCCACAGCAGGTTGGGGTGAAATAGGCGAGACTCATAAAGCGCATATTGCAAGGGATTTAGCTGACTCGAATTGACAGGCACGAAGATAGTCTCGATGGTGAAATTGGATGCTGCGCAACATCTTGTCAGCAGCTTGAGGTTAGATAGCGAAATTCTAGACAACATTCACAGCGACTTCATGAAGTTATTGGTGGAGGGAAGGTTCTGGATTCATACTTTCCAGGAGGGAAAGCCAATCAACAACGTGCTCGGCAAGGTCAGTTGCTTCTGAGATGGCATTGTATGCACCTGCGAAGGCCACCAGGGTGGCCGTTACGCACTTCGTCATAGCCGGAGAGCGTGTGCATTAGCAGCTGACACCCTTTCTTTCAGGTGGTTGAAGACTTTAGCTCGAAGATCGACGAGACGACGCCGATGCAAACACACGAAAACATCGCCGCCAATCATCGAAATATGATTCGCTATCCGACAGCACAAGATCCTGGCTACCGCAAGGTGATCGGCGCGCTTCGTCAGTATATGAACATGCTCGACAAAAAGCACGATATCGAGCGAATGTGTGAGTACACTTCGTACAACTTTCTGTGCCTCTCCGCATACGAAGGATTCGCGCCCTAACAGTTCGGCATAGCCATTGCCAGTAGTTATTCCGCGAAGGAGATGCCTTTGAGGACATATTTTAGCGTGCCTTACGAACGTAATGAGAATTTTGTGGGCCGGGAGGAGACCCTTGAAGCGATCAACAGGGTCCTCTCCACTGGTCCAAAGTATACGCCATTCATTGCGCTTCATGGCTTGGGTGGCATCGGGTATGGCACTCACTCGACCATTCCTCTGTGTCAAAAGCTAACGATGCTACAGAAAGACGCAAGTCGCTATCGAACTCGCCTACCGCTGGCAATCATTTTTTCCCAACCACAACATTTTCTGGCTGAATGCAGGAGCGGTAGACCGCCTCGGCGAAAGCTTGCAATCAGTCCTGGACACGCTCGAGATCCCGCACTCGGCTGAGACTAATGTCCGGAACGTAGTCGAAGAGTGGCTGCGCAATAGGTCGAACGGCCGTTGGCTCTTGATTGTCGATAATGTCGACAACGAAGCGGTGCTTGACGAGAACAACGGCAAAGGCGCTTTCAAGATGCTATCCTGTATTCCCAAGACAGATCACGGCCATGTTCTTTTCACCAGCCGATACAAGAAAGTGGCCATGAAGCTGGCGCCCGACACGGTTCGCATCGACAACATGCCGAAATCCGAGGCCCTTGAGCTACTGAAAGTCTCCCTCCGCGAGCAGTATGACAAAGACCAAAACGCAGATGCGGAAAGGCTTCTCGAAGAGCTCTCATACATTCCACTTGCGATTGCACAAGCTGCGGCTTACATCAGGGAGAACGAGAACACCATCGCAGACTACTTGGAGCTGTACACGGAAAGCGAAGACAACAAGATGGAGCTCCTGGAGCAGTCCATCGCGGAACTGGGTACATCCGACCCGGATGAGTCTGACGACCGTAAAATGGTTCTGAAGACCTCTTGGATGTCTTTCGATCGGCTGAAGTCTGACGGCGCAGCAGGTCCGCTAGCGACGGAGCTTCTTAGCGTGCTCGCATTCCTCGACCGCCAGGAGGTCCCTATTTCGCTCCTCAAGAACTTCCGGCCCAAGGCTGGTAACCTAAAGCTGAATAATGCCTTGGGTATGCTGAAAGCTTATTCGCTGGTTACGGAGAACACGAAGACGAAGAATTTGGCTATTCATCGCTTGGTGCAGCTGTCGATGCGGAAGTGGCTCGAGCGGGAGAATCAAGTTGAGAAATACCGGGAGGGGGCACTCATCCTGCTGAGCGAGAATTTCCCAGACGGCTCGTTCAAGACGTGGAACGAGTGCAAGGCGCTCATCGTCCACGCCGACGCGATCCTGGAGCACACCCACGATTCTGAGAATCGTTCCGCGCGCGCGAAGCTCCTGCAAAACTGCGCCAACTTCCAAAACGGAAGAGGCCAGTATGCTGCAGCAGAAACTAAGTTCGCGGAAGTCGTGAAGTTACGAACTGAGTTGGTCGGCGCCGACAACACAGAGACTTTACGAGCCCAAGATCAGCTTGCGTGGACGCTGAGAAACCAGGCGAGGAAGGAAGAGGCCCTGGTTCTCGCGAAGCAAACCCTAGAGAAGAAAGTGCAGGTCTTCGGCAAGAATAGTGCAGAAGCACTCACCACCTCCCATATCATCGGCGCAGTAATAGGTGACCAAGGGAAGCATCAAGAAGCTGCCGTAGTCCATCAAGCCAATCTCGATGCGCGGAAAGAGTTACTTGGTGCCGAACATCTGGACACCCTCCGCTCAGCTGCCCACCTCTCACTCGAGCTCTGGGAGCTGGGTAAATTCGTCGAAGCGGAGGAGCTCGCGCGGCGAACCCTTGCCTCCCGGCAACGTCTCCTGGGAGAAGAACACCCCGACACTCTGGAAATTGCAGGGACACTAGGCTTCATCCTAGAGATTCAGGGCAAGTACCAGGAAGCCAAGGACCTCAAGCTCTCCATGCTCAAGTTGCGCGAACGCATCTATGGCGAAGACCATCCGGATACGGCGGACAGCCTGCACGACGTCGGCTGGATACTGCATCAAATGGGCGACTACGAAGGCGCAGAGCCATACTACGAGCGGAGCCTGAAGGCGAAACTTCGACTACTAGGCGAAACGCATCCCAAGACCCTAACGACCATGTGCAACTACCCCGTCTTCTACTGCGATAAGGGCGAATACGACAAAGCGGAAGAGCGCTCACAACGCTTGATCGCGGTCTTCAAACGCGTGCAGGGCGACATGCATCCACAGACGCTCGATGCAACAGGCGGCCTGGCGGTCATCCTCCGGCATCAGGGCAAACTCGAAGAAGCAGCCAAGGCAGCCCGGACCAGCATCGACGGGCGCAATGTAATCCTTGGACCCGACCATCCCTGGACGCTTCCGCCGGTCAGTCACTGGGGTTACGTCCTCACGCTGCAAGGCGACCACGCGAAAGGCGAGGAAGTAATCCGCACCGCGCTCTCCGGGCTCGAAAAAGCCATGGGCCCGGAATCTTCCAACGTGCTCACGTCCCTCGTCTTCCTATCCAAGAACCTACTCCTCCAAGCACAAACCGCTGGCAGTCCCTCGCCCTCCGACCCGCGCCTTGAAGAAGCCGAGCAGCTCGCTCGGCGCGCGCTGGAGAGCAGGAAAAAGTTGCTCGGCGAGCAGCACCCATACACGTATAAGACTATGCATCATCTGGCGAAGGTAGTGATGGCAAGGGGAAGGTACGAGGAGGCGGTGGGGCTGAGTAAGAAGGCGCTGGGGGGATTGTGCAGGACGTTGGGGAGTGAGCATCCAGATGTTAGTCTTTGTGATGAGGAGTTGAGGGGTATGGAGAGGAGGGTGGAGGATAGCGGCGGGAAGGGGAGTGCCGGGGAGGGAGTGGATGTGATTGATATCTGAGGAGGGGAAGGATGGGTTGGGAGAGAGACGCGGGATGTGGTGATGCGAGGTCCGCGCATCAAATTATAGTCGAAGAATGGAAATATTGGAGTACGTTGGATTCATAGGATCGAGCTAAGGACAGGTGAGAAGATAGGATGGTGTTAGAGTGATCCCGGCTATATATCTATCCTCTCGGGGCCCTTCAACTCCTAAACACAAATCGAAATGTCCTACTGTACGTATAGCAACGGCCCTCTAGACCCCCAAGGTAAAGCTCCCGCGTCGAGCCGCGCATACTAGCCCTGAAATCCTTCGACTTGGGCCTCGTCTTCGATGCCGGCATCCTCCTGAAGCACAGGCAATCAACATAGTCTACGCTAGTCCAAAAGTGGTTAGGCTGCATTGGCTTTACTTGCCGAGGTCGCGATTCTCGGGGTCACACCTTCTATCAACCACATAACGGACATCTCGGTATTGCTGCTTGCAGGAGCTCTCGTCCTCGCGGAAGATAGCTCTACAACTGATTATCCATGTATCGCATCGCGGGGCACCCCGACGTCATACTCCAGCGATACGCGCTCCGGCGCTCGCGAACTGTGGCTCTCCGCACGAGTCCACCTACGCATGTGAAGAGCCAACGTCTATCCCGACTTCTGGGAATGCAGCGACGTTCGAAACAGGTGGAGATTGCTATGGACGTCTTCTGGTGACACAGGGCGGTTCGAGCGGAAGCGTGACAACAGAGGAGTTCTTCGCGGCTGCGCCGTACCCCCTTTTCTTCCGGACTCCCAAGAATACAAGACCGAGATATTGCAAGAGACGAGACGACGCTGTTCACACCGCCGGACCTTGCGCTCTCTTCCAAGGTAGACTTTTCGATAAGGATAAAGTCCGCACCGCTGTGGGTCTATATCGAGCTTATCGGGCAGCGCTCCTGCAGCTGTCCTCGCTCGTTTAGGCACTGAGCGATGCGCGCAGCCAGGATGTCAGCGCCACATGTTTCGAAACAATTCCGCTTCAGAATTTCGACTGCGCGAAATGCATTGCGTGCGCCTGCATCATTCGTCGGCGCTTCATCATCTGCCCCTCGTTCGGCTGTTGGCTGACAACGTTCATCTACACTCATGCAGGAACCCGCAATCTTTATTTTCGCGTGCAGCGTGGGCGCGCTCTGCAGGGGAAAACTTATTTTCTGAGTTTCGAGGAAATTGCAGCGCTGCGGGTGCTTCGGTGTTGTAAGTTGGGTGGTGACACAGTCAGATGCCCTCTATGACTATTTCTTTGCCGATGACCCCGAGAGCGCGAGAAGCTTCACCAAGTCCGCTTTTTGACTTGACCATCGTTTGGCGTCCCTTCAGTTCTGCGGGTTTGATACCTGTGCCATTCGTTTCTCGTTCTTTTCACTGTCGCTCCTTTGGAAGTCAATTTCCAGTCTCTCTTTCAACGCTCGCTCGTTTCCGTTCTCCGGCAATATGAAGTCTGTTCTGCTCGGCCTCGCTGCATCGCTCGCTGCTCCAGTCAGAAGTACTTTTGTTGTCCAATGCTATAGCCGCCTCTTCGATCAGAGAGCCGATCCGGTCATCAGCCCTGGGGTGGCTTCAGGGCACGTCCACACCATTTCTGGGGGAAATGGCTTCAACTTTTCCATGACTTATGAGGATGCCCGAGCATCGCAATGTTCTACGTGCAACATCAAGCAGGATTTGAGCAACTACTGGTCTCCGAAAATGTACTTCCACGCGCAAAATGGGAGCTTCCTCGATGTTCCCATCATTGGTGACAATGACGGGGGAAACATGGGAGGCATGGCCATCTACTACCGTTCGTAGCGCCCTTATGCGACATAGCTCAACGGTACTGACTGCCCGCCAGTGACTCGCGGTGGGCCTAACAACGATAAACTGAAGGCCTTCCCACCGGGCTTCCGCATGGTCGCCGGCGACTCCAGCAAACGCAGCGAAACCGACGACTTTGCCGGTCGTGCAGTCACGCACAAGTGCGTCGGAGGCAGTGGCGAGGATACTAAGCATCTACCTAATGAGAAGTGCGATCAGATCCGTGTTCAGGTCACTGTACGTCTACTACATTTCAGCTCGATGAACAACTAGTTGATCATGGCTAGTTCCCCGCCTGCTGGGACGGCAAGAACCTCGACTCTGAAGACCACAGATCTCACGTATCGTATCCGGCTGAGGGGAACTTCGACGGAGGTGCATGCCCCTCAAGCCATCCTGTGCATCTGGTCACTCTGTTCTACGAGGTCTACTATGACACGCAGGGATTCAAGGATATGTGGTACGGCGACAAGCAGCCGTTCGTGTTCGCGAACGGAGATGCCACGGGCTACGGCTACCACGGCGACTTCGTAAGTCCTCTTGCCTCCACCCTCATGCAAACGCTCACCCCCACATAGGTAAATGGCTGGGACATTGACAAGCTCCAAGAAGGCCTCGACACATGCGTCGACGGCGTCGAAAACTGCGCCGAGCAAGTCTTCGGCGAATTCAACTCCCAGACCGAAACCCAGGCCTGCAAGCTCCCCGCCATGATCGACGAGCAAGTCACGGGTGCTCTCGAGGCCCTCCCGGGCTGCAACCCCGTCACCGAGGGCCCCGAGCCCGCAAGCCCGGCCCAGAACTGCGCAGCGCCGAAGCTCATGGCGGTTGCGACGCCCGAGATGGCGGGCTATGTCGACGTCACGAGCAAAGGGTACAAATACATCGGCTGCGGCAAGGACAATGCGGGTGATCGCACGCTCGGCGAAGAGCTGCTCACCGGCGACGACATGACGGTACCGAAATGCATCGACTTCTGCAAGGGCAAGGGGAAGCAGTACGCGGGCCTCGAGTACAGCGGCCAGTGCTATTGCGGCAGCAGTGTTGCGGCGGACAGGGCGCCCGTGCAGGGCTCCACGGGCAACTGCTTGATGAAGTGCTCTGGCGACGCGAACCAGGTCTGCGGCGGCGCTGACGCTATCAGCCTGTACGAGGCCTGCTCGGGCGGCGCTTGCACCAATGCAGCAAAGAGGATGAGCCGGCGCCTCGCAGGCCTGGAGAGGACCAACGCTGGTTTGTGAAGGGGAGGAAGCTGTGTTGGGAGATGAGGGCCTTTACTTCGCTTCTTCAAAGCCCCGATTTGGTGTGCGACTGGTGGACTGCGCTGCTGTCTTTCGCTTGGTACTCGCGCTGCTGGGCATGCTAGGCTGTTCGATGCTTCTCTTCTTGTACATATTAGACTTTCGCTTCGAACCTCCCTTCTTCCCCGATCTTTCCGGAACACTAGCAAAAGCCATGCATGCTACTGCCATCCTCCATTCCCAAATGAGTAACACACCATAGCCAACAGCCGCCTCAGGTAGGTGAACATGCACACACATAACCCCCCAGCTCACCCAGCTCGCTCGCCCCGGCCCCGGCCGCATACCTCCCGAGGTCCCCCACCACCCTCTCTCCGTCATACATCCTCCAGACACTCGCTGAACAGCACAGCAATCCCACGGTTCGGCTCCCCCGCCCCCAGAAACTACCTCAATACCGCTTGCTGATCCACCCCGGGCCGCTCCATCATTCGCTCGCGCGGGGCGATCTTACCTATTCAACCTCCCCCGCCGCCACCCCCAATCCAATCTGATCCTTGGTTATAGAATCCAGGGTTGCATAGTCGGATCGAACGGCTGCTGCCTTCCAAGGTTTGCTGGATTAAATCGAATCGAATCAGATCAGACTAGACTAAACTAAACTAAACCAGACCAGACCAGACCAGAGAAAAACGGTACTCACGTGCAAAGCTGCGCACTGCAATCATCCGCGCTTGGAAGATGACGCAGCAGAAACCACGTCTTCCAGAATCCGCACAAACTGCTCAAACTGCTCAATCAGCGGCACAAGTCTCCCACAAGCCCTCACGAGTGACGATCCACCCATCCAGTCGTCACTTGCATCCCCATCCTCCACCCACATTCCCCCAACCAACCAAACAACCAACCTAGCCGCGCCCCGTCCCGGCCGCACAAAACCCTCAATCTCACCTAAGGCTGAACCCCCGCCCACCCAATAAGCCGCAACCGATAGTGTCATAGCGGGGGCCGAATCGTTAGTCACCCGCCCTCCGCGCTTTGTATAGGCTAGAAGTGGATGGACAGGTGGGGTGAGCAACTTGTGCGGTTGGTTTGCTAGCTAGCTAGCGTCACGGGCTGGGCTGACCCGGCCCGGCCGCACAAACAGCGCAGAGTAGCCTGCGGGACGGGATACTTAAGAAGGGGGGCTTGCTTGCTTCTATTCCCCGCTTCTCATCTCATCAGACTTTGACTTCGACATCAAGACAGCGAAGACCAAGCCAATACTTTCGATACTTTCGACGAAACGAGAAACGAGAACATCGCAACAATGGGCAACTGCGGCTGCGCTGAATCTGGGACTTGCAACTGCGGCGCCGACTGCTCTTGCGATAACTGCCCGGTGCGTTTCCTCTTCCCTTCTATCCCTCCCTCCTTGTTCTATCGATGGAGTATTGTTGCTAATATGATGATGCGTGTAGCATAAATAAACAGTTTCGCATGGCATGAGCGAGATGGAGGGGATGTGAATCGGTGCGTTGCTCTCTGTGTTAGGGATGAGGCGGATAGAGCGGGGCTGACGAGTGCGGTGTAGAAATTGATTTGATGCATGTGGATGGACGGTGTTGCTGAGTAGGAGGAGGGGAGGGGTAAGAGAGGGAGTTGAGATTGTACGCTGCGGAACGGGAAGCGGAGGGGGGAGGGGGAGTTTGCAGGTAGCGGACGTCGCCACATCACAGAACAGAACAAGAAGTCAGTCTTTACGGAAGGATGGCTACCATCTCATCAATGTGTCGCACCTGTGGATTGTGTGAAGGAACTCAGTGAGAGTTTGGTTTGTTTGCTCCAATTTTGCTACTCCGTCGAGCTGGTGCGGTGCGGTGTGGTGCAGTGCAGTCTGCGATGAATGATCATCGCCCATCCACATCCCGCCCTCGTATTACCATTACTACGACCAGCAGTTATAACGAGCACTGCAGCTACACTAGTCGCAACCGCAACGCTGCCAGAACGAACGAACGAGCAAACGTCCAATTTGTATGTATTCCAGCCCTGCACGCACGCACCCGCACCTCGCCTGCCCTCCCCTCCTCAACCGCAGCACACAGTAACATTCTCCTGCATGCGATCGCCGCCCTTCTGACTGATATTGAAGCTCTCCCACCCAAAGATAAAGTACCCCAGATAGGCACCAATAAAGATGCAGATGATGATGTAGCCATTGTAGTACATAGCGAGCAGCATGATGAAATAGGCGACGGCGAACTGGAGCATGTGCAGCAACGCGCGGATAGCCTGCTGCAGCACGTTCGGGCGGAAGCGCTGGGTCGCGACAGGCGTGCATGCGGCAGCGGCGGCGGAGGACGTGGCGCCGTTCTTTGCGTGGTTGCCGGCGTCGGAGGAGGCGGCGGACGGGGGGGAGGGCGCGAGCGAGCGCGTGTATTGCGCGATGATGAAGCGGTCGTATTCTTTGCCGGCGCGGCGCAGGAATTCGAGGCTGATGACGAGTAGGATTACGCCGATGCAGGAGCCGGCGAACATGCCTTTGGAGGTGATGTGCCAGGAGGAGGAGAGGAAGCCTGGGGGATGTTAGTGGCTGGAATGAGGGAGCTAGGCGATCGTTTGGATCTGAGGTGGTGCTGCTCGTGGACATGTTCTCTCTGGTTGCGCTGGGCTGTCTGAGGGAGTAGCGATTGCTCGCCGATTCCCCAGACCGCCAGAGTCCAAAGATGTCCCATCAGAGCTGAACAGCCGCGGTGCGCATAGAGAAGGGGCTCTCGAACGATAGTGGTGCGGAGGGAACGAAAAACGTACATGCATCGATGGTGGTCCAATTCCACAACATCTGTCCCTCGTTAGCCACATCACCCACTGTCCAACCGGTACGACTGCTTGCAGCACCCCAGGTTGCCGGATACAGCAGCGAAAGCTGCTTCACTCGGGAGAGAGTCTCAACCCGTCTCTCCAGAGAAAAAGGCGAGGAAACGTGCAGAACTTACGCTAATCTTGCAGCTTCCGCCCATGCCCATACTGCTGTGATCCGCCATGCCGGTGCTCGTCGACATAGCAGCCGTCCCCGTCGCGGTGCCCATAGCCATGCCGGTGGAGGTCATCGACATCGACATGCTCGAATGGTCCATGGCGAATGTTTCGGTAGTGTGTGTGTGGGAGTATTAAAACGATCGATCGAGTTTTGTTTGAAGTTGAGGATGAAACCAGGTCCCCACGTGGAATAAAAGTGGAATAAAAGCTGGAGCCGGTAGCGAAAAGATGTAAGTAAGGCGCGCTTGACAGAAAGAACTGGTGATATGATACGATTGCCAGAAGACTGCGCGGAATTGAGCAAGTTTCCCAGCCTTGAGGCGGGCGCGGGCGCCGTCGAAGGTGAAAAAGGTGACAGGAGAGCTCGTGTATACAAACAGCAGGAGCAGCGATACGACGAAGACAACAAGAAGGACGGGACCGACCGACCGACGAACCGACCTACGACGGCCCAGCTGCGGTCTGCTTATAATTTGTCGCGCTCTCTCAACAGGAGGACAGGCAACATTGGCTCAATGATGCGCAAACCCCCTCAGCATATAAACGTACTACCCGCCCACCATGGCACCACGACCATGTCGGTGGAGCCGACCTAAGAAGCACCCGCGCCGCCGTCGTGCTCGAATCCAGGATTACACGAGAGCCATCGCCGTCGTCGCTGGAGCAAGGCAGGCCGTAAGCGCGAGCTGTGAGGTCGCTGTACGGATCCTCGGCCTCGGCCCGTGGCCTAGCTCGGCGGACAGAGCACATTTGCGCACATTATTGCACGGGACTTGGCTGCAGCCAGCCGGGTCAGTCCATCCATCCTCCGTTCGCTCGTTCGCCCGTGCCTCCCCACCAACAAGAGCAAATTCAAAAAGAGGCAGAGATCACGCCGCGATGTTGGACGGCGAGGATCCGAAAATTTTCTCGGCTGCGATTGTTGAACAGGCGAGGTACAGCGCGGTACAAGGGCCTGTTCATTACGACCACGTGCGATAGATGAGGCGCAAATTGATCTCGCCGGCGAGCTTGGGGATTGTGATCGCCGGAAGTGTCCGAGGGAGAGGGTGCGGAGGATTTGCGACGGGGATGCTGTTGGTGGTTCGCAGGTGTAGCCGACCGACTTGCATGGCAAGGCCCAGCTGCGCGACTGGGACGACTCTGGGTGTGGCGAAGGAGGGAAAAGCAGCCCTGGAGAGCGCTACTGTTGATGTCTCGTGTTCAAGTGACTTGTGTTTCCGAGATGGTCGTGTTCGCTGCCTCTGATTGCCACGTCCTTTTTGGCGAGTCGCGCTAATCCGGAAACGGAAGCATAATCGTGACACTCTGGATGATGGCTCCATTATACAGCGGCAAATAATTGTGCTCAACGTAAACCGTCCGTGAGTGATCATTTTGCACTCAAATGCTGTGTCTTTTATAATAACACTTATTAAGAAATAGTGATATTGGGCTGTTGCTACTGGCGGCAGTGGTAGCAGTCATTAATTAAGACGATAGCCACTCATTCATGGTAGATTGATATAGTGTTCGAGCTACATAAGAACAATATAGGTAGCATCCGGAGGGCGCCTCGTAGACCGATTCGCCTAGGATTCGTCAGCGAAGCAAGGCCACGAGGGACTCCATCCACAACTTCTGGTGCGGCATTCGAAGCTGCAGGTATCAAAAGCTTCACCCGGCAGTTGGAGCGACTATCGTATCATTTCTCGCAAACGGATCATCGTCCGGGTCGGTATGCCGAACGTATTCTGTCAGCTTCGAGATCCACGTAGCATTCTCGCTGCTGTAGAACGTCTCGACAAAGTGGAACATGAGGTCCAAGCCGGCCGTCACGCCCGACGAGCTCCATATTGGAGGTTCTCCGGAGTCATCTTCTACCCAGCGGGCGCGCGGCACCCAGGTCGTGTTGGGTCCGAAGGGTATAACGTTTGGCCAAGAGGTTTTGTTTGTTGTGGCCTGAATCCAGTCAATGATGCGTCCGGCAGGAAACGGGAGACGCTACCTTTTTGCCGTTCATGATACCGGCGCGAGCTGCCAGTGCCGACCCCGTGCAGATGGTAATGACATGCTTGACCTTGGGAGCCGTCTCTCTGATGTACTTCAACGTATTGTTCAGGTAAGGGCTTCGAATGCCGGCGCCGCCCGGGATGATGAGCACGTCCAGGTCTGGTGCCGTCTCGAACGTATGGGTAGGCACGATCTTTTGAAATACAGACGAGTTGAACGGGTTCATCACCGCCATAAGAGGCTCCGTCGTCACCGGGTCAAGTGTCTGCGAACACGGCGGTACAGATTAGCTTCAGTATCAGTGGAGAAAGGAGCCCAAAGCCTGTCTGAGCTGCCTCAAGTGCTACCCTGAGCGACCTTGGTTGGCTCCGAAGGGCAGAGTGGGTAGCATCTCGAGATTGACAGCTCTGGCATGTGTAGGGCGACACACGTACCTCCGAAATCCAGGCGATTTCCGTCTTGTGAACTTGCCCTATGAAATAGAGGAGCTCAGCCGGCCCCAGTACGTCGATGGAATCGAAGGCGCGGAAAAGGACGATACCGTAAGTCTTTGGTATAGTACCGTTCAGAGCTACACGGAGTTAGTAAGTATGCCATAGACGCCCGTCATTTCGCAAGGCTTCGAGGCGCCAATGCAACTTACAGGCAGTTGTCTGAGCCGACAACAAGCCCAGAAAGACCAAGTAGGCCCCAAGAACCTGCAACATCCCCATCACGGAGGCTTCAGAGCACAATTCAGCGAAAGCCAGAGGAGCGGACCCGAGGTTCTTCTAGGGGAGATCCACTCTATGATACCAGAAAAATGTACCTAGCCTCTCACGCTTCTTTAAGCTCCACCGGATTTTGGTAAGACCCTCCATCGGTGATCATGCGTGGCTCTGCTGAGGTTTATCCGGGAATTCCATATTGCAAATGTATGCCAAAGGCGTCTAGGCAAGGGCTGTGTACCGTCCGCCGGGCAATTGCGACGTATGAATTGCGGGGACAGGACCGGTGCCCGGAATCCCGGCGCTGCAAATCAACCAGCCGACGTAGTCTAGGTCATTTGAGCGCATTGTTTCGGTGCGACATTGCGATCTCTAAACGGAGAAAGCATTGGCGATGATGGTTGCAAGGAGATTGCCCAAGCGAAGGGTCCGAGCGGAAAAACCTTTGGCCGAAGCAATCGGCACGGAACTTCAGCCCACTGCTTACGCCCCGCCATCTATCAATGCGCGCAAATGCCCTCAACACGGTCCCGATTTAAGATGGCAAAAGAATGTTCATTGCTATGATGTGGCTATCTATCTCTGCGAACGCTACGGCCGTGCCGCAAACGCTAATGCAGCCGAAATCATCACCCATGAACGACCCCTCTTTTCACATCGCGTATGCTTTCTGGAACACCCCTACAAGAAAGAAAGCGTTGATTGACGGAAGAGATGTTCAGTTGAAGCCGGACAGTCGAATATTCTAGGCCTCCACTGTCAGATACCGCCAGATTCTCCGCATCATGTTTGGGAACGTGAGCAGTGAATACACAGGTACAAGGAGGCTCCACCTGCCCTTTTTGACCGATTCGACGAAGGCTGAATCCACCCTCTTGGCCGGTTGGGTGGGCCGGACGACCAAAATTGGCATCTTCTCGTCCAAACCGGTCGCTTGTTCTACTAGGCCAGGTTCCGATCCGACGACCTCGATTGGCGTACGAGGTGTACTATGCTTGAGGCTGAAATAAGAGCCGTCCGGGCTATCAACCCACGATCCTTCCATTCCCGAACTGGCGATAGCGGTCCTGGCAACCTGGGAGCGTGCCAGGTACAGGAGCTCGTCACCCTCGACCTTGATGATGGAGTTGTGCCACGGCGTTGGGATCTGGAACTCGTACGCCAGCATGGGTTCGAGACGACGATTCAAAGAATCGATGGGACGGACCATACTTTTAGGCAAGAGGCGGATTGCGAACTTTGGTCCGCTGTTGTTGTGGGCATGGATGGAGAGACGAATATAGTTTGGAAAGAGCAGCTCGACTAGGTTTGAGTATGCTTGGTTGCGCGAAATCATCTCTTGAGCGACAAGCGCGGCCGTTTTCTTACGCTGCTTCATGCTCAAAGCCTTCACCGAGGCAACCTCGGCAAGGTCCTCGAGCATAAAACGCGTTTGGCCGCGATACAGCTGAAGAGCATGCGGCTCCTGTTCCTCGATGCAGCTTCGGATGAACGCGCGGTCGGCTTGAGAGACACCAAGCAGAAGCTTCCTGCAAAGCTCAGAAGGGGCAGTGAGCTTCGTCTTCACTGGATGCGGGATGTTGTGCGACATAACCTGTCGGTACACTTAGCGAATGTCTCGGGTCAGGGGAGAAAAGTGTCACTCTGCCATATGTTAGAGCTTTAACTGCTAAACTCCTCCCGGAGGAGCTTTCCGCAGTTAAAATCGAAGGCATGCGACCTACGTACCCAGGACTCATTGAAAGAGTGGGAACTGTCCGGATTGGACATGAAAATGTCTTTCAAGCCCTTGAAGCGGATGGCTGGGACAGGCCCCTCCTCCACTGGATACTTCTCCTTGTACATCTCGATCAATTGCGCATCATAGGTATCGACCTTGTCGTCGTCGACGCCGACTGAAAGGATTAGTACTGTTGCTCGCTCGCCCATCGGCCTGATTATACGTACTACAATCAGAAAAGACGTGGCCATCACTGATGACCCAAAGAGTTGCGCCTGGCTGCGAAAGTTGAGCAGATGTCTCAGACCAGATGGGAACGTTAACACTCCAGCACGCCTCAGCTTTTATCAACAGCGGAAAGCCACTGCGAAAACCTTCAACGAATAAATGGATCCAAGATATGCTAGAGTGTGTAACGTGATCTACGCACCTTATACACGTGGCAAATCTCCTTGACAAAGCTGCGGAGCACGTCTATGGCGATGTGCTCGCCGAGATCTGGCATCGTACCGCCGACCTTATTGGGGTTCGGAGACTTGCATGGGAAGGCAGGAAGGCAAAGGAGTATCGGAATGCTTCTCTCGACGAAACCGTACGCCTGATCCATGAAGTTTTGGCGTCCAAGGGCGTGCCACTGGTCATCGCGAGAAGCGTTCTTGAGCTTCTGCTCGAAGATGTCCGCGATGATTCCGCATATTCTTCGGTGCTCGTGTGCCGAGGTTTGTGAGAGTCGCGCGAATGGCTGGAATTGCGTCTCCAACAGGATGAAGTGCTCCGCCCAGGCATCGAATACATCGCCAACGAGAGACTTGGGTCGAGATGTCAACACACCCAAGACCAGATTATTGGGATGCGCGATCTCGGCGACCGTCGTATGCAAGTCTTCATTCCGATACGATGGCGGGAAGTTGGCTCGGATTTCACACAGCGCGGGGATGTCGGCGGTGATTTGCAGGGAATTGATCTGTCTCCCCGAGGGCAGATGCAGTTGACTCCATGAGCCTTGGTTGGAGCAAATCTCTTCCCTCAACTGCGGCCAAGCTCCGGGCAGTGCAAGAGAGTTTCTGCCCTCAACAGCCAGGAGAGTACCGTTTGATTCCCTCCAATACAGGCCGTGGACGGAGTGGTATGTTGAAAGACCCTTGTTGAGCGCTGACATTGTGGAATACTAACGAAATTGGGTATCCACTATGAGAATGGGGAGAGGGGAAAAGAGGTTGAGGATAGGAATAAAGCACGAGCAAAGGTTGGGCGATAGCCGTTGAATGATGGTGAGCAACTTGATTGACGATGATGGAGAATCCGGCCTGTGGGTCTAATATATGAATACCGTCTATTTGGAACCTCCTCGAGCAACCAACATCATCATTGCTGCCTTGTTGCCGCAACAAGCGTTATGGACCAACCCACAGCCACTGTCTTCGACCAGGCAGAGTGATGCCGATAGTAATTCTGGTGGAGCTCTTTTCAGATGTCGAGGCCGGATGACACTGGCACGACTGGTTTACGGAGGCGTTGACGTCTACGACGTAGCATCCTCAGTCTGAAGGCGTTCAGCTCTCGTCACGCATGATCCATCGAAGCAACCAACGTGCGCGTCCCCCACCAAGTAATGATGTGAAAGAGGAGCCCAGCGGTCTGCTAGCGTGGAAACGCGGAGCGAGCATCGGAAACCGCCCTGTGTGCGGCACCCCACGGAGCGCCAAGCAGTGGCAGCGCCATGGTGGTGTCACTCCCAGAAGCCCGTCCCGATCATGCACATCTTGGCGTGCTTCTCTGTGCGGTGGCTGGTCCCAAGTGAGCGAGCCCCGCATCCCTGTCCGAGGTATGCGAGCTCAACAACCACAATCCCTCTGGAAGCCAACATTATCGTCGCTGCAATGTTACGCTCACGGATTATAATTTCGAAGACTACCTATTACCTAGACCCGCTGCGGCACACTGCGCTCATGTGCTTGCAGCATGTTGACTCATCCCGCTGGTCAATGCCTCCGTTGGCGGACACGGGAAGCGCAAGCAATGCCATCCTGTGTCCTCTTCGGTTTCCTAGAAGAGGTAACCTCGCAAACTAGACAACGTTGTACATTCGGCGCTTAGAACGTTTCAGCTGTGGGCCTCTGTTGGAGCCACACGCATTGAGCAACAGCAGCGGAGCTTTTGTTTGCGAAGTTCTTCAGCACAGCCTCCCAACACCATGGTCTCCTACTTCTCTTTGATTGCTTTGACCGTCTTCAGCGCATTCTTTGCTGTCTTCTCCTTCGCAGTCTACCTCTTTACTCCACCCCGTAACTTTCCTAAGAACATTCCCACGATTCCTTTCTACTACGCCCTCTTACCTCTCTTCAAGGACGTAGATCAAACCGAGCTTTACCGCCAATACCTAAAGGGGCCTCTGGAAAACTACGGCGCAGTCAATCTCTTCTTCGGCGGACGATGGAATATCCTCGTGCGCAAGCCTTCCTTCGTCGCCGAACTCTTCAAATACGAAGATATCTACGCAAAGAGCGGAAATCAGATCAAGATTCCACACAGTCTGGTGGCCGATTATACGGGCGAGAACATCATCTCGGCGCACGGTGCGAAATGGAAGCTCTTTACTTCGGTTATCAAGCCGGCGTTGCAGCATGAGCAGGATCCCACACTCATCTGGCACAACGCTAGGATATTGAAGAACATGCTGCTTGCGGGTTCCACAAGGTCTCCCTCAGGCATTCCTGTCTATGATCCGTTTCAGCGATATGCACTTGCCAATCTGTCCGAGGTGCTCTTCGAATCGAGTTTCGAGACGCTTCAGAAGTCGGACGCGCCGCTACATGTCCTCCAAACGCAAATCAAACCCAAGATATTCCGTGCGTTTATCAATGTCTTTCGAGTGTTGAGTCTAATCTCTTGCGACAGAACCCGTTTTCCTCAATTTCCCCTTCCTAGACCGCTTCAATCTCAAATCCCGGCAAGACGGCCGTCAGCTTGTCCGCAAGTTCAGGGCCCTATTATCCAGCATCGTCGCCCAAGGCCATAAGCACGTCTGCGATCCCGAGTCCGACAGACTGGCTTGCCGATTGTTCGGTGCCCACCGCGAAGGCCTCCTCTCCGATAAGAATTTCCAAGACAATCTCGCCGTCACTTTCCTCGCCGGCCACGAGAACCCACAGCTGGCGCTGATGTCACTCATGTGTCTTTTGGGCACGCATCGCGATGTTCAAGAACGACTCCGCGCAGAACTGAATACGCGATTTCCCGAAAACGCACACAAGGACTTCGAGCCCCCGTATACCGACATCCACAACCTCCCCCTCCTCACAGCCGTCATCTACGAAACCCTTCGCCTTTTCCCACCCCTCTCGCAGATCTGCAATCGCCGCACCAGCGCTGCCACCGTGCTGGGCGGCACAATTGCTGTCCCTGCTGGCGTCTACTTGGGTTATCACGGGTATAGTACGAACCGCGACACGGAATTCTGGGGCGCCGACGCCGACGCGTTCAAACCTGAGCGCTGGGGCGAGAATATAGAGGATATCACCCAGCTGCATAGACGGGCTACTGCCAAGGGCGCTTTTATCAGCTTCCACGGTGGGAGGCGAGCGTGTCTGGGACAGAAGTTTACGATGGAGCAGCTGCGCATTACGATGGTGGAGTTGCTTAGGGGGGTGAGGTGGAGCGTGGATGAGAGTTGGGATGGGAGGATGACGCCGGTAAGCTGGACCCTTCTTCACTTCGCACGCGTCGCTTGCTTTTTTGCGCGTTCACTTTGTTGTGGCTTTTCACACCTTTTAATCGTCACATCTCTTCTGATATGTATGATCGCGTGGCTGACATGCATGCTGCAGGCCGGCCCGCTCTACCCGCGGAACCTCAAGCTCGTTTTCGAGGAGCTGGACGATGCGTCGCCGTCCGCAGCCGCAGTAGACGAGGATATGTGATGTGATGCGCGTATGCGTTCTGCATTGCGTGGACGCTTAGATATGCGTCTGCGCATACTGTAAGAACCGCTTCGCTGCAGCACAAACGGAAGACGGGCACGATACTCTGCCCCTGTGTGACGGCAAGATTCATTCATTATCTTCGCCTTCTAGGTTACTGTCCGGACTTTGTTGATGCGCGCGCACAAATCAAAGCCGCAGAAGCGTATTGTTTATTAAATTAGATATAGATTTAGATGAATCAATCGATCCTCTCCTTTGGCACTTTCCAGGTCCACGGGTTCGCCTCGCAGGCCTGTAATATATGTATATATGTATGAAGATCCCAACAGACGATGTGAGGTGAGGTGAGGACATGCACCAGATATAGATTAATAGCTAGCTCGCTCGCCTATATAGATCCGCTCCCTAGGTTTGGGACGTCGGCGTCTATGCATCTGCATCGGTGAACCCTCGTTCGCAGCTGCGCCTTTCTCGTTCCCTCTCGCAGGCTTCTAGAAGCAACTACCAAGGATTGCTATATAGAAAAAAAGTGCTTATAGACGGGACCTCGTGAGCGGGCCGCTTAGGCATGTGCCTCCTGATGCACGCATTGCTCGTATCCAACACGCAATGCCAGACACGGTCATCGAGAACGGTGTTGCATGCAAACTTGAGCTGGTGCAGCACGCTCGAGTATCCCCTATGCACGGATCGAAAGTCGGCTAGTCACTATAGAACATGGCGGAAAGCCGGTGCTGCCTGTGGTACAGAGGGTAGCTGCCAGAAAGAGAGGAACGTGACATGATCTTTGACGTTGCAATCTCCACGCAGCTCAGCGACATTGATGCTTCTAAAGGTGAAGGAGATCGCATGGCCGTCTCCACTTCCCTTGGAGGGACGTTGGCCAGGTCCTTGACTGCATGTCGAGGTAGATGGACCTTAGGCCGCATATTTGCGCAGCATGGCTGGAGCTCGTTTCTCTCGCGAACCCACGCTTCTGTGAGTACACATAGTTTGCTCGGATGTCTGTTTATCGGCCCATGAGGAAAGCGGGGCTTGCTATGCGACATGCGTGTTGGGGGAGCTTGGATGTCAGCAGGCAGGGTGCACAGGAAGCACCTCCACTCCTCCGGACTGCCATCGCCAAGTCCCAGGATTTATCGAATGTTCTGGCCATTAGTCCTACGCTACAGACGTAAAATTACTCTTCTCTGCAGCATAGCACCGTAGCGATTTGCAGCGTCACGTAGGTTCGTGGCTGAGGACGCTGTGTCTAAGACTGTCAGTCAGAGAATACCAGTTGTTCGGCCCCATCATCGGGTAATGGACATGCAGTTTCGGGAAGTATGTTGGCGGCGTGACCGGCGCTAGTGGTGGAGTAGAGGAGCTTGGTAGCAACACCGTATCGACCAAGACCTCGGGATGTATTGAAGCGCGGGCCGCCCGATTGCGGGAGCGGGTCGCTTGGCAATGCACCCAGAGCGCCTCATAGCCAGGATGACAATAAGTTGGTCCTCTGGGCCGTTTGTGCATCAATGATGATATGAACAACTCAGCGGCCCCGCTGAGTTCGCAGACCCAGCGCCTAGATCGAAGCCTGACTCGTGATGTAATTTGGATGAGTGTCGTCTCCGAGTGTTGGGCGGTGCACACGCCGTCATACACCTCGCTCGCTGGCTCGGTACTTCAGTCGAGAAGCCCACCACGGATGGAGATCATTCTGCACCATGCCCTCTCCTGTTGACTCTGAGAAATGTCAGGCCAGGCTTGAGACCTCGATCCTTTCTCCAGTGTCGCCAGTCGAACCAACACCATACTCTCAAGATGATGCTCCACCTCCGCCTCCGCCTCCGCCATACACGGCGTTTTCGCCCGCTCGACGGCGGTTTATTCTTGCTGTTGTTACCGCTGCAGGTTTCTTTGGCCCACTATGTGGAGCCGTGTACCTGCCTTCCATTCTTCTTTTCCAAGATATCTTTAAGACTTCGGCAACGGCGATAAACGCGACCGTGTCAGTCTACATGGTCGTATTCGCTATCGCTGTACGTATGCGCTCGATGTACTCAACGACTGGTCCTGACGAAAGAACAGCCGCTCTTCGGCGCGGCAGCCTCGGATATTGGAGGTCGAAAGCCCGTCTACGTGGTCGGCCTTGGAAGCTTCCTCGTGGCCAATATTCTCCTAGCGAGCTTGCCGGCGAACATTGGCGCTCTCTTCGTACTGCGCATCTTTCAAGCTTTTGGATCGTGCATCGTCTTCTCCGTGGGAGCGGGTACTGTGGCCGACGTTACTATGCCGGCGAAGAGGGCATCTAAGCTTGGGATCTTCCTCCTTGGTCCGCAATTAGGACCCATTCTGGGACCGCTGATAGGGGCTCAGTTCACCGACGCTTCCCGTTGGCGATGGGTTTTCGGCTTCCTCGGTGAGTCTAAAGTCATTGAGGTACGACAGGGCTAACAATCGTAGCTTTGGCTTGCGCGCCGGTGTACCTCACGATTGTGTTCAGTCTGCCCGAGACTCTGCGCTCACTAGTTGGCAATGGCGCTGCCGTTGCAGGCCAGCCATGGATCTCCATGCCAAAGTTCCAGACAAAGCCAGCGGAGGAGCTCGACAGCAAAAAGTTCCCGAAGCCTCCGCGCCCGTCGTTAAAGAAGTTCATGCAACTTTTGAAGTACCCACCGCATCTCATCGTTTCTTTCAATGGGGCCTTTCAGTTCGCGGGGCTGTACGCCATGTATATTACGTTCCCGAAAGTGTGGCAAAAGGAGTTCGGCTGGTCAGCAGCAGAGGTCGGGTATGCGTATCTTGTTCCCGGAATCTCGACTTTCGTAGCCTCCATCGTCGTCGGCCGCCTCTCGGATTGGCTGCGCAAGAAAGCGGCAGCAAACAGCCCTGAGGGCAAAATCGCACCGGAGCGTAGGATCGCAATCCAGATCACTGGCTTCATCATCGGTGCTGCCGGGAAATTTATGTATGGATGGTTCTCAGAGAGGCATGTCCATCCGGTCGGTGGCCTGTTCGGGTCAGCGCTGGCTGCCGTGGGCATGGCCATCATATTCGTCACAGGTACATCCTTTCAGACGGAGTGCGACCCATCTCAAGCGGCCATTCTAGTGGCGCTGGGAGGCTTCCTTCGCAATGTTGCCGCGGCCATCGCTGCCGTGATTATGGACGGTCTCGTTCGAGGCATGGGTTATGGCTGGACGTTTTTCGGATTGGGTCTTCTCGATCTCCTGTGCATCCCGGGCATCATTCTGATCATGGTTAAGGGTGCGCATTATCGTCAAAGGTTGCAGCAGAAGATGCAAGGCTGATGTCGATGGTTGGACTGCCGCGCGATGTTAATGCGCCTTGGTGAGACGGCCTGTCCTGCGCCGCATAGCGCGGCGTTGAGGGCGTTGAGGGCGTTTGGGAACCCGTAATCATCAATCAGTAGAAGAGAATGCATGTTATTCAATCTGAACAATCCTTGCCGAATGTGTGCGAAGAACAGGGCGATGGTGGTGGAGGGGATGCAGGTGCTGTCGCGTGCCCGGGCTGCACCTTTGGTCTCCAGGGCTCTCCAGCCACACTAGACCCAATGTGGTAAGGCGCGACCCCTCAATCTTCAAAGGAACTCGCAACTTCTCGTCTCCGTCATCCATCTCTCAACTCTCGTCTTTTATATGCTATGATCTTCATCCCTCAATGCAATCGGTTTCTTGAAGATCGGACCGAGCTCTCGCTTTGCTGTTACCATTTTCTCTAGCCGCTCTACTACTGTGTCCTTTGGCGGGATAGATACCGCTCATTCGTAGGAGATGCTCAGTCCATTTAATGTTGAAATCAGTCATTTAAAACGAGATGTTATAATAAAACCGAGCATGGGACTTGGGGTTGCGTGCGCAAAGAAACGCCGGTGCAAAAGATATTCATAGCTAGAGCAGCCATCCTCTCATACAAGTCTATTTCATCCTCCCAGATTCTTAACGCCATGTTTAGCTATGTCTGGCCACTTTGTATTACCCGATATTCATGTATTAAGTCCGTCCTCGTGTATGTCGCATTTACCGCCCTAGCGGACCGTGTTCTCTATCGCTTCTTTCTCAGTATCATTAGCCCCAGAAAGTACTCCGGAAGCCTTATGCGCAGCCCAGAAGAAAGAGATAGAGCAAAAGCCATGAAAGACCATAAAGGATCCATGTCGCTTCATCAGCACGTCCCTTATCGCGCCATCAACTCCTGCTATGTGGATGTCGCTCGTCGGGCTTCCCGAATGCATCCGGTGGGCCGGCCAGCTATGGAGCACTCTGAAGAGACGGAGATGGCGATGCGCAGGCTTTCAGCAGGCGTTCTTGAGCGCTGCATCACAATATGCCCAGTAATTCCGACTAGGCGGGTCTCTCACGGTGTAGAAATCTCCAGATAGAACAACGCGCGCAATAGCTACCCTAGAGGCCCTCGCAGGTACGTACAATAGATAAGCTAATTACTTACTTGTACGGCGAGCCCTTAGATCTAGAGAATCCCCTACCGTAAGAGCCGAGCGCTGAGAGGGTCAAAGAAACAAAAGCGCCGCATATGCTGAAGGAGCATGGGAACATTCGCAGCGCGTATCGTGGGATCACACGCACCGCATCTATCCATCCCATCTCAATACAAGCCTAAGACCGCGCAAAACGCCCCGCACATGCGAAATTATCGCGCCCCGCTCCTTCCCTCCCTCGGCGCTCTTTCCTCTTAGCTCAGCCCCACAAACAAACCACCACACTCACCTCACGCACTCCCATCTCCCACCTCACCAAAAAAGGCCTGTACGTAGATTAAATGGCGTATATATATTTTATAAATCTGTAGTACTTTCATCAAAACAAGAATGGCGTGGCTGGTGGCGGTTCGATACTCGATTCTCCAAACGAGACCTCCGGAGAGCGTGGGTTCGAATTCAGGATATCCAATCCAATGTCCTGCCATTCTGAGGCAATGAACTACAAAAAAATCCTGCGACCCGCATATAGGATTTTCAGTTCAGACTAATGTAGTGTTGTAATATACAACATTGCCTTGTTAGTCCCTTCTGTTTTTGCATTTTTTTCTAACTTTTTTTTGTCTTTTGGGGCTCTCTTTTTTTGGCGGCGGCGGCGTAGAGAGGAGTTGCCCCACGTCCGGTGACGTAAGGACATAAGCAGGAGAAGGTATAGGATGAGCTGGCTAGCCGTAAGTCTGAAAGGCGGGCTAAACTGTTTCCCATTTCGACAGTACATACTCTTCGCTCTCCTAAGGACGCCGCTTCCACTACCTAGGTATCCCGTATACCGTCATATCCTTTTTCTGAACCAGCCTGCTCGAACCTGTGTGCCCGCCTTCGCTGCACATTGAAGGTCTCGCGGCTCCGCGATGTGCCTCAGATACTGATCCGCTGTTAATAGCTCCTCCACTTTACTGGCCGCGAACAAGCACGTCTCCCCGGCCACTTCCCTTTACCCCGCTATGCTAAACACATGCAGTTCGGAAAACGGCCGAGCCTACCGCGGAGGAAAAACGCTACGCTTCTAAGAGAGCCGTGTCTAACTAGTTTTCGCCTTTATTAAAAGCCTTATTGCTATTATCTTAGTCCTTAGAGCCGCTACTAGTCTTTACAAACAGCGGATTGGGCCAGTCCAATACGTGTGGGAATGGTAGTAGCATTTGCTGCACTGTTTGCGGTCGGCTGCGCGATTCTGGTCCGTGCTAAGAGGGTGGTGTTTTTGCAGCAACGGCGGCGTGTGTTTGTTTCGGCCGCAGAGTCTGGGAAGTATAATAAAAGAAAATACGAATTATGAGCTGCTGGGATCTGTTTCTAGCTAGGTGGGTGAAGAAGAGAAGTGCCATGCCCGGTCCGACGAAATTTTTTTTTTGGCTTCTATTATGTCCAGCGCCGACCACACACGCGCACGCCATAGAGCACAGTACACCAAGCCTCTCACGGTGTAGAATTCTCCGGATAGAACGACGTGCGCAACAGCTACCCTGGAGGGCCTCGCGGGTGCGTACAATAGACAAGCTAATCTTACTTACTTATACGGCGAGCCCTTAGATACCGCAAGAGCAAGCCAAGAGAGCAAGTCAAGAGAGCAAGCCTTTCGAGAACTCCGTCCAAGTCCTCGAATTTGCGCCTTATCGAACAGCGATCCCGAGCCACGGGCGAGGCGGAGACGGAGAAAAGCATTAAATGCATTGTATGCTCCGTAACCTCATTTACGAGGAAGGCGCGACGAGCAGTCCCATGACGTCAGACCACCGGGGGAGCCAACCTCGCCGACGGCCGCAAAGCAACAGCTCTGCCGCTGCCATATCGGCATTATGGCATTCGGCTTAAGATTGGCGTGCGAGCGGTAGCGGGCTGTGTACGTGTTGAGGTAGTTTTCTTCGTGCAGGGATTTCCAAGGTTGCTCGCGTTTGAAGGATCTTGGCGTGAGAGGTTAGCCCGAAAACGGACTAGCGTGCACGGACGCGCCCACGAACACCTGGGCAACTTCGATGAGCGCCACCCTAACCTCTCCTCTTCATCACACACACACAGTATGACCCCCGCCGTATTGACATTATAACCTGCTAAAACTATCGCACAGGCCCCGTCGCATAACACGGCGAAAGAAAAAGCAAAAAGCCCCTCCACTAGAAAGCGACGACGCGGATCCTGAAGAGCCCGTCGAACAGCAACTGGAGAAGAGCAGCCCCTCTGCCACTGGCACGAGCTCCGTCTTCAAGAAAATTATCCAAGAAGCCTCTGCCCCAAGCGGCGGAGCTCCTGGAAAAGACATGGCGTCTGGTGCTCCGGCTCAGTCGACCATAACGCGGCCGAAGAAGCCGCTTCAGGTGGATAAATCCCCTGTAGCTATCAAGGCTGAACAGCCTACTGAGGAGAGCGTCTTTGACATCCCCGAACGCGTGGACGTGGGTAAGGTCCCGTTGGGAGTAGACCCTCGGCGTCCTTTGAAGGGATGTGAGGATTGTTTCGACCAGGCGCTCTCCTTGGAAGCGCGGGTTGGAAAAATCAACATCATCTTGGGCCACTTAGATGGCTTCAAGATAGACTGGCAGGAAAAAGGGTCTCCTGCCTGTGATGTGTGCGGCAAATCGCACCCCCCACCCTGCTGGGAGTCAGAGCAGGGGAAAGCAGTCAAGACCTTCCGAACGAAGGCACAGAAAGTCCTGGCATACCAGGCAAAGCACGCCAAAGACCCGGCGAAGCCTGGAAAGGCTGAGGGCGAGAAGAATGAAGGCCCGGTGAAGCCTGGAAAGGCCAAGGGCAAGAAGAACAAATCGCGCCGGTTTCCCTGCGAGAACTGCGCGAGATACCACCAGGGTGGCGCAGCGGAGTGCAATGCACCCGTTTGCAGGAAGGAGGGTTGTGGCCTTGGTCACTTCCCTCAAGAAGGCTGCTGGGAAGCTCGAGACCGCTTCATCAAAGCGGGTCTCGTGTCTAAAGGCGAGGAAGAAGAACCGGCCAGAAAGGCCACCAAGAAGCCGGCGCCAAGCGCCGCTCCTGATGAGAAAGACACCGAGAAATACGGCGCATTATTTGGCTACTTCAAGAGAGAGGAGATAGGGTCCGTCGCTGCTCTCATGAAGCAGGAGAAATACGGCATATTATTTGACCACCTCGAGCCAGAGCATATGGGGTCCCTCGCTGCTATCATAAAGGTGAACAGGAAGAGGCAGGCTGAAGAGCAGTCTGGACCGCCCCCCAAAAGGCCAAAGAGTCCGTGGTCCCGCCCGTCCGTCAAAAGGACGACAAGAAGAAAGCCAGCGGGCAAGAAACCAGCGTCTTCGGGCGTAGGTGAACTTTGAGCCTGCATTGAAGGGGGAGACAACCTCCAAAACAAACCGGGGAGACAACCTCGTAAAAAAACAAGCCCTGGATTGCCCATCCTCCAAGCCGGTCAGGGCGGGAACTTCGTGAGCCCTCGGGCTCACGATGCTAAGCTGGGTAGACGACTCATCGCGCAAACTAAAAGTAAGTCCCCTTAGCTATCTCTTGATCGAACTAACTGACCCAAACACAACATCGACTCTTTCCCGCTCACGACCAATCTGCCTCGTCGTTCGATTCGCTAGCTCGCCGCTCGTTCGCCACTCGCCCGTTGATCACGCCGTTCGCCTCTCGCTCGTAGCTCACGCATATACAATAAAGGGCGTATACACTTGCTCCACGCGCTCCGCGAATGCTGCTTGCTCCGTCGTGGGATGTGGCTCCGATGGATCAGTCACCGCTCGCACTAGGTGCGCACAACTCGAATTACTCGCTCTCGCGGTGTGGAATTCTCCGGATAGAACGACCTGCGCAACAGCTACCCTAGAGACCTTCGCGGGTGCGTACAATAGATAACCTAATCTTTACTTACTTATACGGCGAGCCCTTAGATCTGGAGAATTCCCTGTCGCAAGAGACTCGCTCGTTCCGGTAGCGCAGCTGGAAAGCGAAAGGATACCGTGATAGATGAATGTGGCGCCGTAAGGCTATTTCTGCTCTCCGGCTGGAGGGGACACAGTTGAGGGGTGCTGACTTGGAGTTGTGATGGATGCGGCGGTAAAACGAGGCAGCCTCTTGAGGTACGGAATTCTCCGGATCTAAGGGCTCGCCGTATAAGTAAGTAAGATTAGCTATCCTATTGTACGCACCCGCGAAGGCCTCCAGGGTAGCTGTTACGCACGTCGTTCTATCCGGAGAATTCCACACCGTGAGAGGCAGCGTGCCGCTCGCTTGCCCTTACTAGGCTCTTGCGGTAGGGAATTCTCCAGATCTGAGAGCTCGCTGTATAAGTAAGTAAGGTTAGCTTAGTAAATGTACGCACCCGTGAAGGCCTCCAGGGTAGCTGTTACGCACGTCGTTCTATCCGGAGAATTCTACACCGTAAGAGCCAGGTCTTACTATTAATATTGACCTAAATAAGGTCGAAGCAGACGAGATCAACGAAGACGAGAGTGGCGAAGACGAGAGTGACGAAGACGAGAGTGACGAAGACGAGAGTGACGAAGACGAGAGTGACGAAGACGAGAGTGACGAAGACGAGAGTGACGAAGACGAGTTTGGAGAAGACTCCTTCAGTGACTGAACTTCCCACTCAACTTAACCCTGACTCAGGGAACTAGATTGAGAGCATCAAAGCGTCTATTGGATCATCTCCAGGACGCAACTTACAAAGCTAAACTTCATCTAAGCTTAGCTCTAGCTCGGAGCAGTAAATAAGAGCAGAACATCAGACATTTTTAGGGTAATGCCTTCAGTGTAACAGCCTAAAGCTTTTGGAAAAAAAGTTTTCATTGCGTCCTTGTGCTAATAGCAAAGGCGTGAGGAAGACAGTAGTAATGCCGAACCACAGACAAGTTGAACAGGTTCATCAACGGCCTGTTTCAAACGTTTCTTCATCTGCGCTAGATAGTGAACCATGCCTGTCTCTTGCGGTAAGGAATTCTCTGGACCTAAGGGCTCACCGTAAGCAGGATTGGCTCAGCGAATTATACCGGTACGTCCCATTCATTGCACGCACCCGTGAAGGCCTCCAGGGTAGCTGTTACGCCCGTCATTCTGTCCGGAGAATTCCACACCGTGAGAGCCTGTATCATTTCCACCGTGCCGCCTCACGAGTAGGTGGACTGCTTGGCAAGGGACTGCAGGAGTATCAGGGGCGGTACTTCAAGGGGCCGCCAGATGCAGGGGAGAGGTTTGGAGCCGCGGGGAGGGATTCGAGGAGCCGAAGGAGGCATGCTGTGGGCGGTTCTGGGGCGTGCAGGAGAAGCGAGTGGGAGGTTCTACTGGGCGCAGAATTCGTTACAAATGTTATCATGGTGGTGATCGCGTTGACCGGAATGTAGTATAACTCGCAGGCTCCGTTGAGCCTTTGCTTAGGCAGTCTTCTACACTACTATACATGTGAACGTATCGTACAGTCTATCGTCGCGGGGTATAACTCGTCGCTCGTCTAATCCTGCCTAAGGCGCTTTCTCTGAGGCAGGCGGCTCCGTCAATCTGCCTTCGGGCGCATCGGGGTCGCTCTTCGTGGTGGAATTCGGATGGAAATGTGCGGATCGGGGTGTGGAGCTACCATCGTCCCAGAACTCGACATCGCCTTCGGTGCTCAGGGTGCCGCGTTTTACCAGGTTGCCCTTCTCTCGCATTATGTCTTCAATGGTTACGCGCTTGTCGGAGAATATCTGAGAGCAGTTAGCGCTATGCGAGTGTCCTGTCCTTTGGACGCACCTTGAGATGGTCGCTTATGAGATGCCGGTTCTTGCATCCGGGACAAGATATGAGGACGGTCCCGTTATGATATCCTTGCTTCGATATGCGATGCGACGACCGTGTGGTGCACACCTTGCAGGTGAAAGTCAGCTCGTAGGCCGGTACCTGGTCGCGGTCCAGCCGTGATTCCGGCGCGGTGGTCGAAGGTTGGGGTTGCGACGGCGCATTTGAGCTCGTAGATTCGCAGCGAATGTTTGAAGGCGCCGCTCGTAATCTGGACAGCGTTGGCGAAGGGCGGACGAGAGTCGCCGTTCGCGGTGGGTGGTAGAGCCGGCTAGATATTGGGATCGGAATGAGTTCCGGAGAAGGCCGCACTGCTCGGGGAGCAGACGACCGCGCGGCACGGCGTAAAACGTGTGACGCAGGGCGCATCATATCTGAGGCTGAATGGAATGGTACAACCAAACACACAAAGTTTACTACAGGCGAAAAGTGAGGTCGATGGCAAACTGGCGAAGAGCGTACCACTGGTAGACTAAAAGACGTTGACGGCTTGGCAGCGCTCGGGCCGTCTTCGTCATCCGCATGCGGCAACCTTGGACCCCGCTGAAACCGCGAGCTCTGATCCTCACCTTGACACTTCCACCACCACACTCCGCACGCCGCCAGTCACTCGCTCCGCTGGGCCTGGGGATATCGCCTCCGACTTCTCTCCCCGTTTAGCATTCAGCCTAGAGCAGCGCATACCCAACCCCCACGGCCAGCCTATCTCCGTACCTGGTTCCGGTCAAGACCCCCGCCCCGGCTTCAAGTTTGATATCTGGTAAAAGCTCCGAAAATCAACAAAGATGATTGCGGGGAGAGGTCGCCAGCGGATACGCCCGCCACGGAGGGTATGTTATTTCCCGTTCCTTTCACTCATACCTCCCCGCCTAGCTATTTAGCGCCTTTCTTCCGCAACCACCAGCCCTCCTCCGCGTTGTAAACTAACAACATGCCTCTCCACCGACAGGGTCTGCACGGCGATGAAATCGATTTCGAGAACACTTGGGCTATTATCGAAGCCGCGTTCCGCGAGATACACACCAAGAACGCATCCCGGCTATCGTACGAGGAGCTTTACCGGCATGCCTATAGGATAGTGCTCAAGAAGAAGGGCGAGGAACTGTACAGGAAGGTCCACGAGTTCGAGAAAAAGTGGCTGAGCAGCGAAGTCCGCAGCGCTATCCAACAGCTGCTGTCCCCGAACTTGTTGGCGAACACGCACAGCGTCGGCGGCACTACCACTAACGAGCGCCGCGTGGCGGGCGAGAAGTTCCTCAAGGGCCTAAAGCAGGCATGGGGCGACCACCAAGTGTGCATGAGCATGCTTGCAGACGTGCTTATGTATATGGTAAGATCCATTGGCCCACCTTCAACTACCTATCTGTGAACTGTAGCGCTGATAAGGAACATGTAAAGGATCGCGTATATTGTCAGGACCATCGTCGTCCGTCAATATACACTGCTGCCATGGTTCTCTTCCGCGACGAGATATTGAACTCGCCCACCTCCGAGAGCGACGACCGCCTCATACTCGGTCTCCTTGACCACGTCATTCTGGAGCAAATACAGATGGAGCGCGACGGGGATGTAATAGACAAGCACCTCATCAAGTCCTGCGTGCATATGCTCGATGGCTTGCACGCAGACGACATGGAGTCGGAAGAGCAGCGCCTCTACAATGTGTCCTTTGAGCTGGCATACCTGAACACGAGCAGGGATTTCTACCGGAATGAAGCAGAACTGCTGCTCCGCGACTCCGACGCCGGCGCCTACTGCAAACACGCGCGGCGGCGCATCAATGAGGAGGAGGACCGCTGCAGGTCGACGCTGTTGGAGGCCACTATGCCCAAGATCCAGAAGGTGGTGGAAGACGAGCTGATCAAGAACCGAATCCACGAGCTGGTCGAGATGGAGAGCGGCGTTTGCTTCATGATCGATAATGACAGACTGGACGAGCTGAACCTCATTTACGATCTCAATGCCCGCGTCGACGATAAGAAGTCGGAGGTCACCCGAGCCATTCAGAAGCGCATTGTGGACATGGGCACCGAAATTAACAACGACGCTATCGCCGCATCGCAAGCGTCCGCATCCACATCCACGTCCGCCCCCGCCCCCTCCGATGCTGGAGACAAAGGCAAGGGCGCAGCACAGGAGAAGACTCTCAATCAGCAGACGGTCGCCGCCATCAAGTGGGTGGAGGATGTTTTGATGTTGAAAGACAAATTCGATAGGATCTGGCGAGATTCCTTCCAAACCGATAATCTGCTGCAGACCGCCATGACGCGAAGTTTCGCCGACTTTATCAACTCGCCGACGTTCCCTCGATCGTCGGAATACATCTCGCTGTTCATCGATGAGAACATGAAGAAGGGCATCAAAGGCAAGACGGAAATGGAGATCGATCTCCTCCTTGAGAAGGCCATCGTCCTGCTACGGTACGTGCAGGACAAGGATCTATTCGAGCGCTACTACAAGAAGCACCTGTGCCGACGCCTCCTCATGAACAAGTCTATCTCGAACGAGGTCGAGAAGCAGATGATCTCGAAGATGAAGATCGAGCTAGGAAACAATTTTACCATGAAGCTAGAAGCCATGTTCAAGGATATGACCATATCCGAAGAACTCACGGTTGGATACAAGCGACATGTCGAAGGCCTCGGCGACAGGGATCCGAAGCGCATAGAACTCGCCATCAACGTCCTCACCAGCATGACTTGGCCTATGGAGACGATAGGCGGCTCAGGCGAGGATGATGCGGGAAGGCGGCCCAAGTGCAATTTCCCGCCGGCTGTGGAAAAGGTCAAGCGCGGTTTCGAGAAGTTCTACAGCGAGAAGCATTCCGGACGACAGCTCACCTGGCTTCCAAATATGGGCTCCGCCGACATCAAGGCCGTGTTTCCCAAGGTCCCGCAGAAGGACGGATCGTACAAAGAGCGTCGCCACGAACTCAACGTCTCAACCTACGGCATGGTCATCTTGCTGCTGTTCAACGAGCTTCCTGCAGACCAGTACCTCACCTTTGAGGAGATTCAGGCCCAGACGAATATTCCCCATAACGACCTGGTACGCAACCTGCAGTCACTAGCTGTGGCGCCCAAGACACGCATCTTGATCAAGGAGCCCATGACCAAGGATGTGAAAATCAGCGACAGGTTCTACTTCAACGAAAGCTTCAAGGCTGGTTTCGTCAAGATCAAGGTCGGCGTCGTTAGTAGCGGCAACAAGGTCGAGAGCGACCGCGAACGACGTGAGACCGAGAAGAAGAATGATGATTCGCGCAACTTCTGCATTGAGGCTGCTGTGGTGCGAATCATGAAGTACGTCTTCTCCCCTTATCCCCCATTGAATTTGCTGACTCTGTAACAGGCAACGCAAGGAGCTTCCTCATCAACAGCTGGTCCTCGAGACCATCAACCAGCTCGCGGCCCAGTTTAAGCCCGAGGTCAACATGATTAAGAAGCGTATTGAATCCCTGATCGAGCGCGAGTATCTCGAGCGCATTGAAGGCGCGAAAATCGACTCATATCGGTATCTGGCGTAACGAAGCATATCTCCTCGACCATCACCGTCGGGCGTTCGGCGCACATTTTCGCATTTGGCGGTTTGACCTTAGCGTCATGCATCGCGTGGGAGGGTTGCGGTTCTCCCGGTGGGTTTACCAAAGGTTGGGCACATAAGGGCATGGCGTTCTTGCGCAGCGTTGTGGTCGTCTTGTAGGGACGAGTCATCCATCGCATTTTGGCTGAATGGTGGAGCACATGGTGTATATCTAGGGCAAAGACATGTTAGCAATTTAAGATACCGGCATCGAGGCCTATGGTCCTCTGTTAATGGGAGACGTCTATCTACTTCGCGGCGATTCGGTACTACGGGCTCCACGGTCAGCGACGACTACTTGACTGGAATGCTTGAATGATTCAGAGTCGCGCAATGAATAATGCGGGTGTGTATGATTCATCAGCAAGAATTCTGATACGGAGTAATGAGAGCTGCGTTCCAAAGGTTGTTTCCGTTTCGATGCTTCAAACGCCCACCCAGATCGTCGGACGCGTGAACTGGATCGTCAGGCACGGTCACAGGCGCGTTTGGTGTATACAAGGAGAACCTGGGAACCGAACCAGGAACAAAACATACTGTATCCGAGCCGCAATGCATAGGTCTATATATTTCTCGATATGTGGTAGCGTGTAGAAGCTGGCCTGGCAAATCCGTCCTTCTCCGCATGGATCTTTACTCACGAGTCGATCCGAGTCGATCTGATCTGCTCTCCAGATGCGCGCTCTTGGCTGCTTGATATAGCAGAGCGTGGAAGCAGGCATATCGCGTGGTACCGTACGTCGCTCCGGGTCGTCTTGAGAATTGCGCAAGTTATGGGGTGTTGATCGTTGATCTGAATGTGCGGATCTGCGGATCTGGATAAGTGTGATGTTCGTCATGGGGAACGCGATCGCAAGCGATGATCAAATTTCTTTCCTAGCAGAACTTACTAAAACGCGTAGGCTGGATCTGGTCTTTCTGTAGAGTATGTTAGAATCCGTTCTTGGCGAGATTATTAAGAATGCTGGTTAGGGAATGTTTGCTGGAAGGCTACGTCGTCACGGTGTTGATGAGGGAGGAACTAAGGGAACTATCGTCTGTGGAGCGTGGAGCAAGAGTAGAGATGCCTCAGGAGGCCATGTAGCTAACGTTTGAGCGCCGCCTTAGGAGAGCAGAACCCCCCTCATAATGTTGAACTCTGTCTATGCCTCAGTACGCGCTTGCTTTGGTGAGAGGAGCACCTCAGCTCTGCACTAGTATTGCCCACTACTTCGCATCTCCATTGTTTGACTTGATAGATCAGATAAAAGGGAGGACAAATTTCACCAGCCAAGAAGAGAATGCCATGAAGTGAGTAATTTAACAGCAGCAGTCAAACCTGAACTTATAATAGGCACATTTTGGTCACTAGTTGTACCAGTATGACCAACACGAAAACACTAAACTCTGTTCGCTGGTTCCGCTAACTGCAAAGAGGATATAACGTAACGTCCCTCCCCACGTGCTGGGACAGCCTCCGTGCTAGGACGCTTGGGGGTACTCTGACTTGAAGCAAATCAGGTTATTTTCGCACGCGGAACAAAGTGTCCGCGACGCGTTGGCTGTCTACCACGCCAGTCACTCCGGGCATAGCTGCGAACATCGCGGCTGAAACCGAGTTGGATAAAACTACGTTGTGTATTGAGACTCCATATCGTACAGTTGTTTGCGATTGTGGTTGAAGGAGAGATAGCGTCTTAATCGCAGGAATTCAGACATTGAGATTCTTCTTGAACTGTGCTTCTAGATCTTCTAGACTCTCCTTCGTAGCACCTTGCTGAGTGTCGACGTCGGCGGTCGAAACGACTCGATGAGGATCTTTCTTCGCCAGATCCCGGTCTTGCTCTCTGCATTGGAGTTGATCTGCAGATGAAGTCGGAGTTTGTTCGGTTGGCCATGGACCGCTTCACCCTTGTCAACGCGGATTCCATACTTGGCATCGTTTTTGGTGTTCCTGGCGGGGTAGACACCTACACGCGCGCCACAGTACCGCTCGACATTACCCCACGACGCGAAGCGCTCTACCGCCTCAATCGCAATTGGCACTGCGATCGCATCCGGTATGTCACTCCTTACTGCCTCAGCTACTGTTCATCGAGCTTCTACCTCGAATACGATTTTACGCTCTTTGCAAATGAGTTGGTTCCGCAGACAGCTCCTCAAATCTTCTCGGTTCGCGACTCGGCAGCACACAATGACTTCGCACGACGCCGACATTCTTCGAGACTGCGATGTGGAGCTATTTTACAAGTACACCTCGGGCCGATGGCTCTGGAATGAGAAGTACCAGCTTGCTCGCCGTTACGTTGAGTTCGACCTACCGGGACTCCTCCAAGTCTCAGCGCAAGCGATCGGAGCTCGCTCTTGCGTCAAGGTTGAGAAGCTTCCTGAAGGAAACTTCAGCAAGGTCTTCCTGATTGCAATGGACGACGGCCGAGAATTAATTGCTAAGCTCCCGAACCCGAATGCTGGTCGGCCGCACTTTACGACAGCTAGCGAAGCCGCCACCATGGACTACGTATGGGCTCCTCGACTCATTACATCTGATGATTGCTGACATGAAGGCAGGTTCGAAATGTCCTTGGTATCCCGGCGCCCCGGGTATATGGCTGGAGTTCTTCGACAGACAATCCCGTTAGAGCAGAGTACATCCTGATGGAACGCAGTGGAGGGGTGGAATTGGGCAAGATATGGCATGACATGCCTTGGGAGGACAGACTTGAGGTTGTCAGGACCTTGGTTGGGTACGAGAAAGCCTTTGTTTCTGCCAATCTTCCTATGCACGGGAGCTTGTATTATGCGAAGGACCTACCTAGCCCGAGCCCAAGTCAATTTCTTGACTCCGTCAACTCGATAGACAAGCGAGAAGCCTTCGTAGTCGGTCCGACAACTAACAGGGCCTTTTTCGACCAAGGGAGAGACGCTGTCGAAGTAAATCGAGGGCCGTGTAGGTTCCCTCACCTTCCCTGTCATGCTCGTCCCAAGCTGATTAGATGACAGGGCCTTCAATCGACGAATTTGTCCATTCCCGCGCCGCCCGAGAGCTAGCGTGCATCGATAAGTTCTCGTCGTATCCTGGTCAGCAAGGGCTGTTCAGCGGTCCCAACCAATACCGTCCAACCAGCGCATTGAAGGTCAGAGTCCTACGGGATTACCTGAAAGTCGCAACCCAGATTCTACCCAACGATGTCAACCTGTCAAAGCCGACTCTATGGCACTCCGATCTGCATAGTGACAACATCTTCGTTGACCCTTCCCAGCCGACAAGAATCCTCAACATCATCGACTGGCAAGCGGTCAATGTTTCCCCGCTCTTCCTCCAAGCACGCCATCCTTCGCTCATCGAGTTTGAAGGGCCAATACCAGAAGGCTTTGAGCCCATACCACTCCCCGATGATTTTGATGATATGAGCGAGGAGGCACAACACCAGGCCAAGAATCTCCGGGCTGCTCAGTCTCTCTATAAGCTCTATGAAATCCTCATGCTCCGGCAATGTCCGGAGATTGCTCGTGCACTGCACTTTCGAGACACCCTGCCTGGTCAAATCACTGGATTGGCAAGCTCAATCTTCAGTGATGGAGAGCCAATCCTACAGGGAATGCTCATTCGACTTCAGGACGAGTGGGCCACATGTGTTAGATCTTCCATACCGTGCCCCCTTTCCTTTACTCCCGAGGATAGGACGCAGCAGCAACGTCTCGAGGCGAGTTGGAGCGAAGGTGTCGAGCTAATGCATGAGATATTGACCGAGATCGGCGCATACCAGGGATGGGATGGTTGGGTCAATCATAACAACTACCCCGTGTATAAGGAGCGGTCGGCCCGATGTCGCGAGAACTTTCTCGATCGCTACGCGAAAACCGAAGAGGAGAGAAGCCAATGGATCCAAGTCTGGCCGTTTGAAGACAAAACATATCCGCCAACTTCTCTATAAGCTTAGAATTTAGAAACGCATACTATGTCTTATTCTATCTAACTCCGGTCGCAGGTATAGACATGCAGAATTAACGATAAGGGATAGCGACCTACTTCCTTACGCAGTTTTAAATTTTAAGATTAAAGGCAAAAAGAGGGAGTTTTTTCATTACTTCGCGTAGTTTTCCTTTATCTGCCCTGCAGGAAAATTTGTAGAATAGTTGCATAGCTCTCAAAGAGCTAGGTTAATTCAACGATTTCAGCCAGCCACTTCCTATCACAGGCATTACTTGACTAACTCGTCGGGTGGCTTTGAGTGCCTAAGTTCAGAAATGTGTCAGAATGAAAACAAGCAGAGGCTCGGCTGCATATTTCGTACCTTTGTGTGTGTTTGCTTTTCCACTGCGCGTGGTCCGTGTGTCGCACACGATGGTGCAAGCCATGGTGACAGGATCACCGCGCCCAAAGTCCCAGGCTGTTTGCACTGGTTCGGCAGATTTGTCGTCTTCCGTCAGCTTTCGAGTGACGTTCTTCCGCCCTTCGGTCCACTCGATGATGGCAGGAGCATCCTTTCCTCCCTCAATGTGGTAAAAGCCTAGGACGTCTTGCAGATTGGCATCCTCCGCGACACGGTGGAAGTCATCCACGAGATCCCGGGGTGGCTCATCCGTCTGGCGAGTTGTAAACTCGTATGGCGTACCACTCGCCAGCCAACGCTCCGGATACAGATTGGTGCCACGAAGAGGGCAGAAGGATGGACTGGAGGTCGGACCTAGACTAAATACTGGTGCCGGCACTAGGAGGCCAGGTTAATTCGTGCTCCCCGCACCGCGACGTAATTGTGCAATCGTGTTCATGTTCTATCTGCCAAGGGTGACATCTCGAACCCTCCACAAGAGAACCTTTTGTCAGTTAGTGCTAGCTGTAATTGCCTCCACCATCAGTCGCAGTTCGAGCAGCGTCGGCCGCTCGTCCGGCACCTCGCGCATGCATGCATCGACGATGGCCTGGAGCGGTTGAGGGACAGGCCACTCGACTTGATTTGTGATCGGCGCATTGGCGTAGACCATGCACTTGATGCAATTGCCGATATCATATACGTCGGAACGAGTAGTCCATCCAGAGTTCGGTCCGCCGTCAAACGCAATCTCCGGAGCGGCGCGCTGGCCCCAACGGCTCTCGATGTCGCAGACCACCAGGCGGCTGCCATCTTCGGTAAAAAGGCAGTTGTCGATACGAATATCCCGGTGGACAATACCGAGGGAATGGAGACAGGATAGGGCGTCGATGATGTGGAGAATCCAGCGTTTGTAGGTATCGAGGGAGGAGAAGCGCGACAGAAGGACCCCACGCGTCGCCAGCTTCTCGAAGACCAGCTGCCCGTCGATGGATTTCCCAAGGAGGCGGACTAGGTGCTCAGAAAGAACGATTCCAGGACACGATCCTCCTTGGCATCTCAGAAGATTCGCAATCTCGCTCCGGTAATTTCCCTTCTTCACGAAATGCTTTGAGGAGTCAACCTCAACAAGCGGTAGTTGGGCAACTAGGTCTCCAACGTCCTCAAAGTCATCTTCAATAGGCTGGGGTTGGTCGGGGCACTTGTCGAGGCTGCGGACAATATCGCCCTCGACTTCGAAATGACCCAGTATTGGAGGCAGATTGCGCTCAAGACGAAGAATGTCTCCGGAGAACGTTCCCGGAAGGTCGAACAGCCGCACGTGTCGACCAAGTTCAGTGCCGTCCTCGAACCAGAACCTCATAGACGGCTTTTCGCCAGGTACAAGCTCCATCTCGAGGATGGGTTGGCCGGCAGGAGGGAATAGATTGGATCCCTGACGCTTGCGTTGGTAATCAGCTCGAAGGCGGATGACTTCCTAGCTAAAATGTCGTCGATATCTGATGCCATGCTGGCATGGCGTCTGATGTAGTAGGTGTGATTGTTAAATACGGGTCATCAACTCGGCCGAATGCTAAGTGCAGAGGCGAAAAGGGTAAATTGAGAGACAGGAGGACAACGCTAACATCTAATAAAACTATGCCACAGAGCCTAAGAGGAAAAATAAGCGGTCTTGGCTACTTGTCTTACTAAAACAGAGCTTATTTTTCTACTCTAGAGCTATATGCATCTCTTCTAGCTAATATAGCTTAGCTAGTTAGATATTCCGCTCTCCAGATACGCGCGCTTGGCTGCTCGATTGAGCGTAGAAGCAGGGCATCGCGTGGTGCATCGCTCCGGGTCGTCTCGAGACAGTTGCGCAAGCAAGTGCAGGGCGTTGATCTGAATATGCAGGCCCGTGCATCTGGAGATCGCAAGCGATGGCCGGTGACGAGGCGGGGAGCGAACGGCGTGTGGGACCGATGTTGCGTGGTTTTCGCACCGAGTTTTCGATTTGATGGGAGGTGGGAGTTGCTGGCGGAGGTGAGCGAGGAAGAATGTTGCATGCGTTTATGCATTAGTTGTGCACTTGCGAGGTGCGAGAGCGGCTCCTCGTATTTCCCATGTGCGGCTGCAGTTCCCATTCGTCGGGCGTGGGCGAATAGTCGGTCCTGGAGGGTTTAAAATTTCATCCCATCTCGACTTTAAGACGCGGTTGCAGACCCGCCTTGGGCGGTGAGGCAGAGGAGATTTTCTGTGGGGAGCGGGCTCGGCACGCGTTCTGGAAGGTTGGATGAGGTGCTGGGGCGGTGGGCGAGAGGCGAGAGGCGAGATGAAGAGCAGAAAGAGGAAGGTCGAGCGTGATGACGTCTGTTGATGGCGCGGCATCGGAATTGGGACGGAATTGGTATGCGTGCCGACGTTGGTTCACACCTCCAGCTCTGTTTTGCTTGACAGCAGGACAGGATCAAGCGGAAAAGCGCTCACGGTGTCTCGGGAATGCAATTCGAAGGATTGTGTAGGAGGAATAAGGCACGTGCGAAGCTTCTATTGAAGGTCCCCGCATCCATCCATCATTAAATGACGACGTTTGAGCTTACGAGCCCCCTCATATACCAGCGAAAGCTTCCTATAATAGGACGCCCATAAGCGAACGAGGATGTCGTCGCCAACGCTTCGCAATTATAGCGAGAATCCCAGGCAAATAAGTGGTGATGCGGACCTGGTCGCTGGGAAAGAAGTACCTGGTAAGCGTGGACAACTTGCCGAAGCGTGGCATAAAGTCATCTTTTATTAGTGGCAGGAGTAAGCGAGAGAGCTTGGTCTAGGTGGGGAACCTTGAAGCTACACTGCGCTCGACATCTCTAGGTTCGTTCCGAAATAGTATGGCCTGTGTGCGCAGCTCAAAGCACTCGAGCGGCGCAGGAGAGACCTCGCGTGCGGCGAGGTATTGTCAATACAGACTACATGCAGGTTTCATTATCGACGCTCGCTGCGAAGTATCCTCCTGGTGGGTTGGTTACGCACATGCACATGCATGTCTGATAAGAGATAATAGGATGCTTCGTCGAAGTCCTATGGGAGCTTTCCCCGCTTATTCGCAGGCCGAATTGAATACCACTACTACCATGTGCTGTGCTGTGCCTCGTACCAGGCCAGCGGATCGTTCCCCATCGAGCTTTGTTGACAGCTGGACGGATGTCGGTGCATGAGGCTGGATATATAAGCAATGAACGTCAATAGTCAGTCTCTTGAGCTTCATCCAGTCTTCTGTACCATCTCTCCGAATTCAATATGTCGCCGCCCTCCGACGCCAATGCTCCTGACGCCGCCCACTCACCCTCCACAGAGCACAGCCGAGGAAACAGCGATCGACATTTCTGGAAGTTCTGGCTCGTGTTCCTGTCGCTATGCCTCCTAGTCTTCGCCTCCGTGCTCGAAGGCTCCATTATAACAACAGCCCTACCCACGGTTGCACGAGCGCCCGAAGCGTCGTCCCAGTACATCTGGATCGCCAACTCCTTTACACTCTCGCAGACGGCGATTCAGCCCCTCACCGCGCAGCTGTGTGATATATTCGGCCGCCGAGCGCCCTTGCTCCTCGCAATCGGCCTTTTCGCTCTAGGTTCCGGACTCGCGGGCCGAGCTACGGGCGTGGCGATGATTATAACGGGCCGCACGATTCAAGGATTGGGGTCTAGAAGCATATACATGCTGGTCGACCTCATCGTCTGCGACCTCGTGTCTCTTCGCGATAGGGGGAAATACCTGGGCATCGTGTTGTCCACGGCAGCTGTCGGCGCGATCCTGAGTCCCGTGTTCGGCGGAGGGCTGGCGAGGCCAATTGGCGATGGACGTTCTATCTCAACGTACCGATCTCTGGCGTGGTCCTCATCGTCGTTTGGATCTTCCTAGGCGTCTCCTATGAGCGCCTCCAGTTGGCGGCAAATTGGACGAAGAATCGACTGGCTCGGCAATACGCTGTTCGTTGCGTCCATTACTTTGATGCTCCTAGGTCTAGTATTCAGTGGGGCAATAGCGCCTTGGTCGTCTTATAGCGTGCTGGTCCCTTTGGTCCTTGCGACAGGTTGGATAGCATTCCATGCCTTCGAGGCGTCAGAGTGGTGTTACGAACCATCTGTGCCACCTACACTCTTCACAAATCGGACTTCTCTCGTGGGATTCCTCCTGGCCTTCGACGCGGCAATGCTTCTGCAGTGGACCATTTACTTCCTGTCAATCTACTTTCAGGGCGTCCAGTCTACCTCGCCTCTGACTTCGGGGGTAAACACGTTGCCATACAACGCGTTCCTGATCCCGGCAGCGATGGTGGCCTGTGGCATCATGTCGAAAACGGGCGTCTATCGACCGTTGCACGCCGTCGGCTTCGGATTCGTCGCCCTCGGGGTTGGCTTGTATAGCCTCTCAGCTCTGCATCGAGTACAGCGCTATAGGTTATCTTTCAGATGTTTACCGCCATTGGCCAGGGCTTTCTCGCCACTACCATCCTTCCAGCCATCCAGGCTGCTCTTCCGGATACGGAGATAGCTAGTGCGACGGGGATGTACGCGTTCCTCCGGTCGTTTGGCTTTGTCTGGGGTGTGACGGTACCGTCACTTGTTTTCAACGCGTACTTTGATAAGAACATCCACCGGACTAGCAATGCAGCACTTAGGCAGAGTGTTAGGATTGGAAGTGCATACGGCACAGCTAGTGGGGCGTATCTTGACGACTTGTCCGCTGCGGCTCGGGCCGAGGTGGAGAGTGTGTATCGGTACGCTTTGCGGGCGGTATGGCGGACTGCAATAGCATTTTCTCTCCTAGGATTCGTGCTCTGTTTCGGTGCCCGACAGTTGGAGCTGCGCAAGGAGGTAGGAAAGGACTTCGGCCTGCGGGAGAAAAGGGATCCAGAACGCGAGGGTTGAGGCGTGCTCCGGGAAGCTGCAGGCGGCGAGGTGCCGCTTCTCAGTGCAGAAAAGGGCCTTTTGGAGTTGGTCTCATGTTGTTATGAGTCGTCGATCAATCTACTATACAGATGCGTTGCTGATTCTGCGGTGGCGCGCGGGGATCTATATGTGTGTCAACTCTAGTGTTGCGACGTCGAATGCGGGGAGTGCAGGTCAAATTTAGTGACGTCTCGGAAACCTCCATCCCAAACTCCTTCGCAGGATCACCTCGGGTGGTTGCTCTTATGTGCGGGGGAAGGACTAACGTCGGGGAACATATTGCCATTAGGACGCTAGCCCTGTTTGGTAAATAACATCACGTGCCATCGGCCTCCCAACCTTGGAACCTTGGAACCTTGGAATGACCCTTTCAGCCTTGTTGTACAAGGAGAGGAGATTGCTGATGACATCTGCTATTTTCGCGAGCCCAGAGATGCACGCCGTCATGCTCGTCGTCAGCTCTCGGCGCCTCGCTGTGCCTTGACTTGTGCCTTGCTTGACGGCGGCTCCCCACACACTCACACCAACCGCCCACCGCCGGCTTCATCTTAGCCCTTCGAGAAAAGCTACCACAGTTGTATAGGCGCAGCGACGGGCGACGCGTTTGCAGACGTCAACGTCATCAAACTCATCACGAAGAGCGGAAATTCGCGCCAGCCAACGGGTACGCCCACGGAGATGAAGCGGCGCAGCATCGCGCACGATTCGCCAAGCTCAGCAGAAGGAATCGCGGCGGTGGGTCCGCGGCACAGTCCGCTCCCTCCGACGACTCGCCGCTCTGTTGCTCATGCACATGGTCTTTCATTTGCCTCACCCAAGCGGCAGCAACCTTGGAATGTGGGACACGGCAATTGGCGTCGTGTCCCTCCCTCGCGACAGCCACGCAGCAACAACGTGTACAGTATGGATGAATGCGCACGCTCGCTATCGATAGATGGACCCGCGGCTGGAATCTACATGCCACAGAGACGCACGCAGGCGATTCGCACACTCGGCTTCCCTTCTCGTGCCCCTGGCGCCCTGTTCCTGGCGGCGCTGCGGGTTCCTGAGTGTGAAACGGCGGCGCTATGCGGCGACAAATTGGACGGCGCCACGGCAAGGCCAAAATAAAGACAAGCTTTTGTCTTGCCGATCGCTCGCCCAACGAACTCCCCTGTTTGGATGGCCTAGCGCAGGTACCCCTGGGGTTTCAGTAAACGTGAGTGGCCGTCATCTTCGTTTCCAGCCGAGCGGGTGAATGTCGTCGGCCGGGTGCCTGGCGCTTGCCCCTGAATGGATACCCAGTTGATTGCGGTGGCTCTGACTGGTGCGACTTGGCCTAAGAAAAGTTTGTCGCATTGGGGCTGATTGCCGTCCTGCCAACCAGGTGTGTGCGCCGTCCAGACCACGCCTGTCGCCCCGTTTGTGACGCCGTGACCCCCCCGCCCTCCTATATTAACTGAGCCTGCCCCATACCCCCAGGCTTCCCGCACCCTTCCCTCCCTCACGACCCACGGTGCTGTTGCGTTCACTCTCTCAGAGCATTCGCTCGTTCCATTCATTGTCTGTACAGACGCCACTCTCGTTTCCCGTCACCCTGCAATAGCCCTGGTCGGCCCCGGTTCCCCAGCTCGAAGCTGCAATTCGCATTCACTGTCCATAGCCTACTCGAAAACATCACGAAGCATCACTATCCTGCTTTTCCGAACGCACAGCATCATGTCTTCCAGCATCAAGCTCAGCCTTCTGGCTCTCGCTGGCGTCGCTGCCGCCGTACCTCACTACGGCGCCCACAGCAAGTTCCACCACCGTCCCTCGGGCTCCGGCCCTTACTGGGGAGGCAACGCGACTCGTCCTCATCCTACCGCCACCGGCCTCGCGGAGGAAGCGACCACGACTACATACCTCGACGAGACCATCACCTCGACCATCACCTCCACAGTCTACCTCACGCTGTCTCCTAGCCCCGTCGAGGCCCCCAGCTCTGTCGGTGTTGCTGAGGCTCCCACGGGCGGTGATGCTTGCGGTCCTGCGACCGTGTATGTCACCGCTACGAGCAAGGTCACCGTGACTGTTCCTGCGGGTGGCGAGGCTTCATCCGTCTACACTCCTCCAAGTACCCCCGAGGTGCCTTATTCATCCGCCGCCCCCGAGGCTCCGTCGAGCTTCGCCATCGCCTCATCTGCTGTGGTGGAGGAACAGCCCAGCTCTAAGGCTCCAGAGTACACTCCCGTGGTTACCCCAGAAGAGGTCTACAGCTCTGCTGTCGAGACTCCCGCTCCTTCCAGCGCGGCTCCTGAGTCATCAGCGCCCGCCTCATCTGCCGCACCCTCTGCGACCCCGTCCTCCCCCGCCTACTCTGGTGGCAAGCGAGGTCTCGCCTACCGCTGGGATGGTGCCGCCGACTGCAAGAGCTTCGCCGACAAGGGCTTCGGCTTCGCGTGGAACTGGGAATCCGACTCTCGCGGCGACATCGGCGGAATCGCCTTCATCCCCACGCTCCGCACGCTCGACAACGCCGGTGACTGGGCCGAGAAGTCCGAGGCAGCCATCAGCGGCGGCTCCACCGTCGTCTTCGGCTTCAACGAGCCCGACATGCCGTCGCAAGCCAACATGGGCGTCGCGGCCGCCTGCGACGCCTGGAAGACGTACATGAACCCGATCGCGTCGGCGCACCCGGACGTCACCATCGTCGGGCCCTCCGTCAGCAGCAGCGAGACCGAGGGCCAGGGCCTCTCCTGGCTCACCCAGTTCCAGAGCCAGTGCACCGAGGCCGTCTGGGGCTCCGCCGCCTTCCACTGGTACGGGCCGTCGAGCGCGGGCTTCGACGCCTTCAAGGCGTACATCGAGAAGGCCAGCGCGCAGATCGGCAAGCCCTTCTTCGTCACTGAGTTCGGTCTCACGGGCGCCTCGCCCGAGGAGTCCGCTGCCTTCCTCAAGTCGGCACAGGAGTACCTTGACGCTAAGGATGGATGCCAGGGCTACTCGTACTTCGCCGTCGGCAGCTTCGATGCTTCGGCCAACTTGCTGGGCACTGCTGACTCGCTCACTGCCACTGGTGAGGTGTACGTCTCGTAAGTGAATGCAAGGCGTGGAGAGTGAGAGAAGGGGATTGTGGCGTTTGCATCTTTTGCCGGCGCAGTTGAAAATTCTTCGTCTGTGGATCTAGGGAATCAGGGTTCATCATCAGGGGATTGATTGATATCATCATCAAAGGTTCCTGCACGCATGTATGATATGCGACTGCCTTATCTCATCCATTATATTGTGTTTTGTTTAACTTCGCTTCTCCTTTGTACACTTCGGGGACGTGGGTTGGTGTAGCGATAGCTGGTGTGTGTGTTGAGTACGGACGAGCAATGAAGAGAGTGTCGTGAAGACATGCATGCAACTACCTTTTTACTCTGCACTTGACGATTGAGAACAACTGCCATTCATGAATGTCCTACTCACGCCAGCCATTATCGTGCGCGGTGTCCGCAACTTCAACAGTAGTGCAACGCAAAGGAGCCCAGCGCAGGTCTTCCTTCCATCTTCCATCCTTCCTTCGCTCGCCCATCTCGCCATCCATCCTTAATATCCGCCTGTCAGCCTCACCCATTCACGCTTACGACCCAGGCACGCACGCGAACTCAGGTCCCCGAACACCAGACCCCAAATACCTAATATCCAATACGCAATGCAAAAACTCAAGCAAGCAAAAACCCGGAATAGGAAGCTTCACAGCCGCCTGGCGAATCAGAGCCAAGCATGGCCTCGCGAGAGGTGGCGCGGTTATGCGCGAAGGAATACAGAGGAATGAGAGTACGAGAATCGGCACGCGAGAGCCGTGACACGAGTGGCAAGGGGCGAGGCATACAGTGGATGGACGGATGGGCGGCGGGAAGCGGAGTGGGAGTGGAGTGGAAGCCTGGAAGGAGGATGGCGAGGGGAAGGGGGAAGGAGGTTGTATAAGTATCCGCTGATTTCCTGTCTCCTACTACTACGATTACATCCTACATACCTACCATCCCCAACCAACGCCACCCACTCAATTCACACCACCCCACCCCTCCACTCCCCCAAAATGCGCCCCTCCCCCTCCCTCTCCCTCCTCCTCTCCCTCCCCCTCCTCACCCTCGCATCCCCCGCCCTCCTCCCCCGCCAAGACACGACGCCCGACTACGGCTACTGGGACGCAACCGTGACGACGGACGCCGGCCGTCCCGGCTGGCAGACCCGCCAAGTCAGCGCAACGTACTACAACCCCGGCCTCGCGCAGCCGCTGTCCAGCACGTGCACGTGGAGCTTTGTGCCGCAGGGCACGAATGGGCCGCCGGTGGAGACTAGTAGGTGTGATAGGGAGGGGTTTGCGTATGCGTGGGGGGCGCCGTGGTGTGAGTTTTTTTGTTTTGTTTTGTTTTGTTTGGGGGGTGTGGTTGGCTGGGTGGGTTGGAAGCTGGGGATGGGGTGGTGTGGAAATTTTCGAGCAAGGCTGACGAGGTGATTCCAGATACGCTGAATCTTACGCAGACGGTGGTGTTGGACGGCGGGGAGGAGGTGACGCTATATGGAGGAGCGTTGCTGGAGAGGAGGTGTGGACTTGGGGCTGGGAATGCGTGTAGTGCGCAGGGACGCATTGAGGCGGGTGTTACGCCGCTGTAGGGAGACTGTCTGGCAGGGCGCGGGGAGGGAATTTGGTGAGTAGGTTGAGCGGTGCTAGGTGTTATGTTGGGGTTTGGGAGAGTTGAGTTCTAAGGGAGGAGTTAGAGGGGTTGCTGTGAAGCGTGAGCTGAGGCCCGCCTTTGTAATCAGCGGGATTCATGTGATTGCTCCTCACGACAGGTATGGTTCTCTCTGGAACTCTTCACTTCGACTCGTGGTCGAAGTGATAGTGGAACAAGGCAGTCGCATGCGTGGTGAGGTCGCGCCTTCTGCTCCTGCCTCGGCGATCTGCGAATACATTAGCTTCATCTACCACCTAGGAACACACCGTATCTCCCCCGTCTTGTTCGATCCTCATCGACATGCTACATTCCTTCTTCAACAGATCCGCGTTTTCCACACCCCTACTCCCCTCAGACTTTGGGCTCCGTCATCTCAACTACGGCTCTCAACAGCGCAGCAGCGTTTAGGTTCGAAGACAGCCTATTTAGTGGTATCGCATTGCGCTGCTCGATGCCTTACAGTAGAGGTGTGAGTGGGGGGTTTTTAAGAGCGCATAAAGGTGGAAGGGGCTTGGGAGTCAAAATAGGTCTCCGCTCGTGTTGAGATTCCGTCCTTGTGAGCAAAAGAAGTACAGCAAAGGTAAGCAAATCGACCCAAAAGACTCAGACTGACGAACTGCAGAGTGGCTCTAGAAGCGAAGAATAAGAATCCATCCACAAGCTCGCCCCCCTCTTAGCTGTTGTATGCTCTTTCGCTCTTCCGGTTTCTCCGCTGCCGTTGGAGTCTGTATAACTCATCTTCCGCCTCGTCGGACTTGTTCTTAAGTCCGCGGTAATCTAGAAGAGCTCGTGGTCCTGGTATCGGGCGGGATAGTCCTTTGCCGCGTAGAACACTAAGGAGAGTTGAGGTTGGACGAGGTTGATCGCCAAAACCATGCAGCGATGTCATCGATTCCCGAGCTGGAACGCTAAACGGATCTGCCACAAATTACCGCCTTGCGGTCGTCGAATAAGCTCTCGGGATCTCGCGCAATTACGACGCGGGGTTAGCTCCGATCGTTAGCGCGGACCCTACCCTTCAAGAACCCGAAGCCTATTGGGACTGGGAGAAGCCATCGCAATCACTTATCTTCTTCCTTGCACAAGCTGTCGCGTTGTGTGAGACTGAAACGGAGAAACCTCAGCGCCGTTTACCTATTTGGAAGTCCCGGTACGAAGCCTGGTTAGACACTCCCGCTTCTCCCACCGGAATACATCCGAGTACAGATCGCAGAGCGACATTCACCAAAGACAACAGCTGCCAAGAACGGGGCTCTTCGAGGCACCATGCCGGCCGTCGTGTCACGGTTCCAGCAAGGGCCAGGCAGGAAACGCAAGGCGCATGCAAAGTCTCGAAAGGGATGTGGTAATTGTAAGCTAAGAAGAGTAAAGGTCAGTCAGCCCCCGCCCAGTCGAGGTCGAGATCGAAATTGATCCATCATAGTGCGATGAGACAAGGCCGCGCTGCAAGAAGTGTCTCTCGTATGGCGTTCTGTGTAGCTATGACGGCTCGAAACCCGCATTGGATCTCGCCGCTCATGGGTCTTTCCAAGTAGACCTTACCCAGAGCGCACACGTGGAGAAGATTGTCGCTTTCAGCACGCCGCCGCAGATGCCGCCAGTGTCGGTCAATCGGATTATGGCGGCAACTGTTCAAGACTCGCTAAGTGCCGCTGCCGTGGGCATGGATATGAGCACAGCAATGCCCGGGTCGGAGCCACTACATCGAGTGTCGTTCTTGTCATTCACCGCAGCGGACCTGGAGATTGTTAAAAGGTTTCAGGAGCGGACAGTGATGACCATCGGAACTAGGAAAACGGCGTCGACTTATAGGGATTGCATTTGCCATCTTGCATTTACCGTAAGTTAGCCCCAGTCATTGCGTTTCTCTCGCGATCCACCCAGAAGCGGCAACTCTTTGCCGGACATGACTGATAGAGCACAGCATCCTTTCCTCATGCATATGATTCTCAGTCTCACATTGCTGCACGACGCTTACCTCGCCTCCCCACAATTAGAACCCAACCCTCGTGCCGCAAACTACCAGTATGCGTCGCTCCAGCACTGGAACATAGCCACGAAACTCTTCAATCAGATTCTCTCCCGGCCGATCCCCGATTCCTACCGCGACGCGATCTGGGCCACAGGCGCGCTACTAGGCGCCGCAGTAGCCGCCTACGTCGAAACCACAAACGCCGAAGAAGCGTGGCCACTCAAACCCACGGACCCCAACGACCTTGACTGGTTAAAGCTCAGCGAGGGCAAGAAGGCGATATGGCACATCGCCGAACCGGCAAGATACGATAGCATCTTCCACTCTCTAGCGAAGGACATGAGCCATTTCATGTTTCCTCAAATCGCCAGGGATACCGATTTGTCGCTGCTACCCGATCAGCTCAAGCACCTGTTCGGTATCACGCCTGGATCTACCATCGAGAGCAACGTGTATCACCTCCCCTTGCTGATCCTGGCCCGGCTCCAGCATATGACGCTGAATCATGACAACGTGCTCAATTTCTTGTACTTCATGGGGTTTATGACGCCCGAGTTCAGAGTGTTGTTGGAGTCCAAGGATCCGCGGGCGCTGCTTCTGCTGTTGTGGTGGTTCCGCAAGCTCGAGGTGGGCGAGATGTGGTGGCTGAAGCGGAGGGCGATAGTGGAGGGGAAGGCTATAGAGATATGGCTCGAGAAGGGGTACGGCGGAGAGGATGGCCTTATTCGACTGTTTGGAAGTATGCCGCAGGCACACCGGGAGAGCGATGGGATGGGGGAAGTGGCTGATAGCACCGCTGGTGTGGGCGACGTATCACCATCCCTGACGGATTGGATACGCCGAGAGGGGGGGAATAGTTGGTGTCCTGTGCAGTGAGGAGCATCGCGAGGATTGCGCAAGGCTGGCGGGCGGTCGCTCTTGCCTTGCGACCTGCTGCTACTGCTGCTGAGTAATGCGCACGCTCTTCGCCTCAAGGTCACCCACTCTTCACTCCTCACCTCCAGCTCTCATATCCATTTCTGACCTTGCGCATTAGACCACACCGGACAAATAAGTCTTTCTCGTGCTTTCCCACCATGCGATCTGCCTTGCCACGTCGAGGTTTTCCTGACCGGTGAGGGCTGCGCTTCCGATTGGTTGGTTGACGTGCACAGCGTGCGCCTTCTCGTCCTTCACCCCTCACCTCCTCTCGCCAGCTCACATCTCGGTTCAGACTGAGCCACCGCAACTTCGCGAGTGTCCACGGCACGAAGTTAATCACTGAAGTGATCGTTTCGTCTCCGTTCCTCCTCTCCTCGCTGCTGGATTGCGCTCTCCCTCACGGCAAGACGGCAGTCCTTCAACAGGTGCCGACATGGTTCTGGAAGCGCTGGCCGCTGTCGGCCTCGCTGCCAATGTTGTGCAGTTCATTCAATTTGGCTGTCAGCTGGTTTCGCTCATGTCGGATATCAAACACAGCGCCGATGGGTTGGCTCCTAGACACTCTGATCTAGGTGCAATTGCGAAAGCCCTCGAAGAACATAGTAAGAAGCTGAAAAGCACGTCTTTGCCCGAGGGCGATGCTGTAGCAGTTTTGGCGGAGCGGAGCGCTTTAGTAGCAAATCAATTGCTTCATACCATCAAGAACATTGGCGGAAAGAAGCCAGGCAGCACACCTGAGCACTGGGCTAGCTTCTGCCAAGCTGTAAAGACAATTTGGAAGCATGATAAGATCTCAAGCTTGGATTTACGGATGAAGAACCTACGAGATCAAATGATACTCCATTTACTCTCCGAGACAGCCTTTGAGACAAGGTATGTCTGACCATCAGCCTATCCTGTGGAACTTACCATTCATTGCTACGACAGGTTCTGAACTATTCAGTGTGTAATTGCTAAGGGCGACCACAGGGAGCATCAAGTGAGGACAGAAACTTCGTTGAACGAGCTCCAAACGGGCCAGGCCCACTCGGATCTTCGGCTTTCACACCAGCTAGCGGATATTATGAAGAACCTAAGCGCCATCGGAGAAAGGTTCTCGGGAATCCAAAGCCCAATCTCGCTCACCGAGCTTGAGCACTCATTCTCTCGGTTCTCTGTCGATTTTGAGCGTATAGCGGTCAGAAAATCAATACAAGAGAGCCTACTGTTCGATAGTATGACTATGCGACATACCAAAATTCCGGACGCTCATCGACGAACCTTTGATTGGATATGGCTGACGGAGTCATTGCCAGTAGAAGACCACCGCTCGAAGATTGAATTATCTTCCTGGTTAGAGCACGGGAAGGGCATCTATTGGATAACTGGCAAGCCAGGTTAGGCACCGCGCTTCGTTCCTTAAATAGGTTTTCGGGCTGACCATAATTTAACAGGTTCCGGGAAGTCCACATTGATGAAGTACCTTGACGACCATAAGAGCACCAACCGGTTACTTCAGGCATGGGCTCAGTCTTCCCGACTGGTAACCGCAAGTTTCTATTTCTGGAATCCGGGCACGTCGATGCAGAAGACTTTGCTTGGGCTACTACAGTCTCTCCTCTATTATATTTTGAGCCGCTGCCCAGACCTGGTCGAGGTCTTATGCCCGAAAAGATGGAGCGCCGGGCAAATTTCCGCCGCCGCGTCAGGTCCGTGGTCAGTTTCGGAATTGCGACACTCACTTGATCTCCTGAAAACCCAAGAAAAGGTTTCTGCAAGGTTCTACTTTCACATCGACGGGCTCGACGAGTACGAAGGTGACCACTACGAGGTCATCCGCACCATCCAAGGCTTAGCTGAGTCGCCGGCTTTCAAACTGTGCGTTTCCAGTCGACCATGGAATTGCTTCCAGGACGCCCTCGGCGGTTCAAACGAACGGACCCTCCAATTACATGAGCTCACAGAGAAAGACATCGAACTCTTTGCGCATGAGAATGTCCTGCAACACAATCGGCGCTTCAAGAATGCATTTCAAGAACAAGAGTATGTTCAGTTGGTCCACGAAATCAGGAGACGGGCGCAAGGCGTGTTTCTCTGGGTGCGCTTAGTGGTACATTCGCTTCGCGAAGGGCTAGCGAACGAGGACCAGATTTCGTTACTCCGGGAGAGACTTGAAGAATTACCCACCGACTTGGAGCCGTTCTTCGAACACATCCTGAACTCTGTGCACAAGGTATACCGAGAACGGATGGCGTCCACCTTCTTGGCCGCTCTCCAAGTTACGGAACCATTAAAGATCACTCATTATTTCTTTCTGGATGAAGAGGACCCCGAAGTTGGAATGCAAATGCCCTTTAAGCCTCTAAATGAAGTGGAGATCATGGAAGCAATCGAAACAACACAAAGACGATTGAATGGCCGTTACAAAGGCCTCCTCGAGCCATCCTCCACTCAATACTTAACAACCAGAACGACCGTGGACTTTCTCCACCGTACTCTTCGCGATTTCTTGAAAACTCCGAAGATGGAAAGCTTTTTCGAATCACGGTTGGCTGACGGCGCCAGCGTCTCAGCAAGCATTGTGCGTGCTCTCCTCGCTGAGACGACGTTGGTGAACAAGTCTGTAGTTCCCAGGGATTTCGAACCCGCGCTGCGACTAGCAAATCAGGTCTCTACAGAGATGGCCGACGCTTCGTATGAGCACTCGATCATCGACTGTATTGAGTACGCCTGCCACCAACTCTGGTCCTGTAGCGAGCCACTCGAAGATGCTCCTCCGAGCTTCATGACGGATATCGCCATCCATATTGGACGGATAGATTATGTGGAACACAGAGTAAAGCAAAAGCCATGCGTAACCGACCTGGACTCTATGCTGATGCATGCGCTTTTATGTTCGTCTGCTCGCACCCTTACATTTGCTACAATCTTCGACACTGATCGCAACGGCATAGATTCCGCGCTGATCGACTACACTAGCGACCGGTTTTGCTTGCGTCGAGAAGCAGAGCACGAGAAGAACATAGCTCCTCTAAGCAACCTCGTCCAGGTGCTTCTCGAGCGTGGTGCGGATCCGAATGGAGTAGTGCTCGGAATACCTGTCTGGTTTGCGTTCCTTGAGCTTCTCCTACGCGGCTCGAGAATCACACACCACCAAGAATGGTGGAGAATCTTTCAACTCATGGTCAGTCACGGAGCTGACATCCGCCAGCAAGCTCCCATTTTGTCCTGCCTTGCAGGCAGTGCGGAACAGCTGGATGACGAGCAACTCCATGAACTCATTAGAGGCTTCTCTCCCTTCCTGGACCAAGGCCTGGATCCGAACTTCAATTGTGGCCGGAATAGCATTTGGATCGAATTCATGTTCTCCGTGGGAAATAGACGGTCCAATGTTACCATCTGGGATGCGCTCAAGGGCCTTATAGCTTCATTCTTCCACCATGGGGCCAAAGTAGCATCTTTAATGGGAAGGCACAGCGGTATCGAATATTCTTGGCTTCATTACACAATCCGTCAACTTAGGTCCCAGTTCACGATCCTGGGCGGTCTGGAACCTGCCTCGATATTCGAAATATTTCTGAAGAACGGCCTTGATCCAAATTCGGGCTTCGGCAGGTCCACTATCTGGGAACATCTTCTGGGAGCCCTGGGACATGGTTTGCAATACGCACACTCTCGCAATTATGTCGAGATGAGCTGCAAACTCATCCTACTATTCTTGAGCTACGGCGCCGATCCCAGCTCTGAGACTCTTTTCCAGATGATGGGTTGGACCTTTGGCGGGAGCTGCAGATTCGAGCAATTCGACGCCCGTGCCATAGAGCTCGCAGTGCGTCGAGAAATGGACGAACTCCAATCCCGCAATGGGCTCGCTGCTTGCTTCCACGGACCATTGAATCAGCCGCCCGAACAACCACTATCGCATCCTCCAGCAGCGCCGCTAGGCTCAGTGCCTATTGGGGAGCTTCGCGAGCAGCATCTGCAAACCCTACACCACGCTCCTCTGAGAAGAGGGGGCACTCAGCGTAACTCACATGTCCGCAATGACACTTTTGCTTTTGGATCGAAGCGACCGTTTCCATTCTCAGATTCGGAGTCGTGGGATGATGATAGAGGCTCTGGGTACAACTCGATCAAAAGAAGAGCACAGTAGGGAGGGAGGCCGTGATGCGAGACATAGCGAACCCGATGCATCCCTTCGGAAGGATACCGCAGACCCAGGAATGGCGGGTCAAAATGGTTCACCCTAAAGAGGTTCGTGACGCTACGGGCTCACAAAGTATCGCTTGGGAGGCGCGACAGTAGATCGCTTTTCGGCCGATGCCGAGGGCGATCCTTGGTCGAAGGATCCCGCGCTGAAACTTCGGGGCGGGGGGCGGGGGGGCTCCGGAAAGCGCCCGGTCATTGCGGCTTACCTCCACAAGGGAGTGAGCTTGGGAAGGTGAGGTCCGGACCCCTGCGGCTTCATAGTACGTTCAGGTGCGATTGTCAGACGAGAGTCCATCAATATCTAAGGGATGCATGCGCGGAGTTAAAGGGCGAGAAACTCGAGGCTTGGAGAAGGGTATTTCGGGAAGCTCATCAGATCGTTCAATGCGAATTACCTAGATATCAGGAATCATATCCAGTGTCTCTCACGGTGTGGAATTCTCCGGATAGAACGACGTTTGCAACGGCTACCCTGGAGGCCTTCGCGGGTGCGTACAATAGGAGTTCAACGAAATCAAATTGGACGGTTTCGGGCACAAGCTCCTTCGATCTAACGGGGGAACCGCGCTTCAACCATCTATCCAGTTTCAATCCATAGTACGAACCTTTCTCCTGCTCATACTCGAAAACAAGAACCGCCCGAATCATCCAGCGAATTCATCAATCTTATATTCCCCCATCTTCCGTGGCTGCACACCCCTGGCAAACAACATGTCGATCTCGCCCGTTGTCCTGCCCTTCAATTCCGGAACATACAGCCAGGACCCTACAGTTCCTATAACTGCGAGCCCACCAAACACGAACCCGACCTTGCCCTTCATATTCGCTTCGTCGGGGTTTACCTGATACAAAGTTAACATACGTCTAGCACGAAGTATATATGCACACACCATGTATGGTATAGAGATGTTCATAATGACGCCGAGCACGGCCTGAGTTGCGGTTGCGAGAGCGGTCGTGTGCGCGCGGAGACCCATGCTGGACACCTCGCCAAGCAACACAAAGGCCATGGCACCGATGGTCATGAAGTAGACGAAGGCGTAGATGACGGTGCAGGAAGCTTGGACCCATTTTGCACCCGAGGAGGGTACGACATCCTATAGTTTTACGTGAGCTTCTGTGGGTTAAGCGGGAATTCGGGTCGGCACTGGACATACCATAATTCCGATTAGCAAGAGGAGAAAGGTAAGACAGCCCATACCGCTGACAAACACCTTGCGTCGTCCGAAAGAATCAACAACGAACCACGACGCGATGTTGCCAGCGACGCCACAGGCCGTGACTCCTACGCCGAGGTCGAACGAGCGGCTCGTGTCAAGACCAGCCAGCTGGAAGAAATATGTCGAGTATCCGAGAACGAAGACAATACCAACGAAGTGCTGGCACGCGAAGGCCCCAGTGGAGATGAGGCTTCGTTTCAAGTTTGTCCCCTTGAAGCAGTCTGTGAACGTCAACTCTTTCTGGGATTGCTCCCCCTGTATTGTGACCTTCAGGCCGGCGAGTTTACTAAAGCGTTGCAGACCCGGTCAGTGGATATCTCGCTTAGAATGTGTCCTCGGATCTCACTTACTCTCTGACATCCATGTCTTTGCCCCAGAGCTTCTGCAACGCTTGCAGCGCTTCCTCATCCTTACCCCGGCGAACCAAGTACCATGGCGATTCCGGAACGAAGACGAAACCGCAGACCAGGAATGCGACGAAGAATAGCTGTATAGCGAAAGGTGCAGCGTAAGCCCAACGTGTTGTCCATTCGCCAAACCCCTTGACGACAGCATTTGATAGGAGCTGGCCCACAGCAATACCCAAGTTGATGCCCGCAGTGGAGATGCCGCGGAGCACAACAGGCGCAATCTCACTGCAAGCCATTGGCCCAATAGTCAAATAGAACCCAAGACCGAAACCAATGATGAGCTTGGACATGAGGAAGGCGACTCTGGCGGTGGAAAACATCTCACCGAAGATGCCACCTGAACAAATCAAGAGACCTGCCGCCAGTGCACCTTTGCGACCGACCTTGTCCGCCATCCAGCTGCATAGAAAGCCGCCAAAGAACATCCCAACGGAGGACACCATGTTGAACGCGGTTTGCCAGCTGGCCGGTAGAACGGGTTCGCCTTCGAATACGTAGCCGAAGTCGCGGCGAAAGGCAGCAACAGAGATCATGGCGCCGTTGATCTGAGCATCGAAACCCCTTGAGAACTGAATTAGCAGGATAAGTTTGGAGAGATGCAGGAGCTTGGTTCCTTACCAGCCAATAGCGCACATTGCCCAATAGAATGAACACCAAATCAGGGCTGGATGGTTCCTCCAGACTTCGGCGAGGGTGAGGTGATGCTCTGTCTCGTTGTCGGCTCTCGCCCCTTTTAAGTCCGCAGAGAAATGCACGTCCGATGCATGGTGAGTTAATGCCACCTCGTGCTGGACCTTGGATGAGGGTTTTTCGTTTGAAGACTTGTCTTCCATGACGGTCGCTGTGAAGAGCCGGTTGATGTAACAAGAGCTGTTCGCTGAAGCTGATCCGAAGGCTGATGAAGCTGTGCCGATCCTCTTCCAAAACGACCATGGCACGCAAACTTATACTGTCACGAAAGAAGAGGCTTGACCTCGAAGAAACATCCTTGATCGTTCGATCGGGTTAGACGCGCCGAAGAAGCGCCTGAAGTGGCCCCGCATCCTTTCCCCAGCATTCGCGGGCTAGCGCCCCAATCGCCCGGAACACACCTTGGGGTCCCTCAGGGGGCTAGGATAGTCGCTCGCAGTGGGCTAGGGTAGCCGATCATTTGCCGAAGTCCTGCATTTATCTCCGACATTCCGCGCCAGAAGATGCGATCCTTCACCAGACCTACCATCTCAAGCAATGAGCTCATCTCAAGAATACGCGACTGTATCTGCAGAAGACCCACCTCCGCCTTCTCCCAGGCCGGACTCCCAGAAAAGACCTGCGCCACGTGGATTCGCTGCATACCCCCGCAAACGAGCCGTGACGGCTTGTCAAGTCTGCCGAGCGCGGAGAACGAAATGCGACAACCTCAAGCCGTCATGTTCCTTTTGTTTGAAGGTTGGAGCGAAATGCATCCAGTCGTCCGTGGACCTCTCTAGCTATGATCCTGCTAGCTTGCAGATACTACAACGCTTGGACGATCTTGAGCAGCTTGTCCGGGATATTGGGGGTGGCCAGAATGTCGTACAAGCACCGACAGAGGGAATACCAAAGCGGGAGAGCTTCGATCGCTCCAGATTGACCCCCTGCTCGATCGATCAAATTCTGGACTGGAGCTCGTTAAAGAGCTTACGGGGACAGCGTCAACCAAACGAACATGCCTTTCCATGCACAAATAGCGCTGTTGTGCAGATGACGACGACTTCGCCCATGTCAGGCCACGATGAGCTGGAACCGCATCGGACGAGGAGATTAGTCGACAATTTCTTCAATTACGTCCATGTGAAAAATCCAGTCTTGGACGAACAGGGTACCCGACAGATTGTTTCGAGGGTATGCATGCATGGAATTGACTGGTCACCCGAAGCGTGCCTGACATTGCTTGTATGCGCACTTGGAACGATTGCAACTCCTCTCCTCGGCTGTAGTTACGTCGTGAGAGACTCCGACACATATCGCACTGCCGAGTCTTTCTTCCTAGCTTCCAAGAAGCGATTGGGAATGTTGTTGGGGTCATCCAGTCTGATCGAGGCGCAGTGCATGTTTCTTGCCGGCGTTTACACAATGTGCACATTCCAAAGACTTCCAGCATGGCGTTTCTTCATGCAATCACTTGCATGCTGTCAAACATTTGAATCCCTTAAGGCGTTTCGGCAAGACTATGGCGAACAGCTTGACGAGGACGGCCGACGCTCCGCTGCGGCTGAACAGGCTATCTACTGGTCGGCTTGGAAGTCGGAGCGGGAGATCCACCATGAGCTAGGCCTGCCGGGCTATCTTTTCTCAGAAATCGACATTACTGGCTACCCACCATTCTATCCGACGCCACCGAGACATGAGGACCAACCGCCTAGTATCATCAGTCCCGACACTGAACGCCGTGAACATGCGTCTTGGTATTTCTACCTTTCAGAGATATCGTTGCTGCGACTGCGGCGACGTATGGCTCGAGAAATTCAGGACATTGAGCCTCACAACAGCAACGACCTGGTAACAGACCTCACCAAACTGGTTGCAGACCATGAACGCCAGATCCTTGATTGGATCAATGCACTTCCCGAGCATCTGTCTATCAACGCACCTCCAGAAGAAGACGAGATTTGTCGCTTTGTGTTGAGAGGGCATCTCATTGACGTCTACGAGATGCTCTATTGGCCTTTTGTTGATAGGGGGATCAACGGTCCGGCTTCCTGCGATGACGACCCATTACTCGCCGAGCTGGCGACCAAAGGGCTTCGTTATCATGTGGAACGTATCATCGTCAACCGCCCCGGCTTTCAGCATCGACATCACGGCACCTTCGGCATGATAGTTAGTTGCACTCGAAGTGCACTTGTGCTGCTCGCAGCAGCACAGGCCTGCGCATTTATCGGAAGCATGTGCCCTCAACCATACCATATGCCGACAGGGTGGCAAAGCGCTGTGCAAGAGGTCATTCGACTGAATGAATCGTGGGAGCACGAAGCCCCCGATTTGTGCCGGATGGTGTTGATTCTCAACGACTTGTGGCACCACTGGACACTTTCTTGACATCCTCAGGAACTTCCACCGGCCAGAGAGATCCTGTACCGGCGGCTAAAAACATGGTTCAATGTGTTCAAACACGCATGATGCGCGGTAGTGGAGGGATCTGGGGAAGATTCGGCCAAGACTATGATGCTCGGCGTCTCCGCATCGCGGAGTGTCGCACTTAAGACCCACCAATCGGAAGCTGCTTACCGAACCGGTACCGACGCTAATGAGAGAGGTGAGAGATTGTAACTGAATACCCGTCACTGGTCCCCTCAAAAGGCTCGATGTTTCGAACATTTTTGCATTGATCAAGTTCCTCTCTTACCTCGCGGTTCTATCAGTACGCTTTGTTATTTCTCAATCTCGCCTTTTCACTTCTCACAAATAATATGGCCCTTCACACGGCGAACCCATCATGCGAGCCTCTGCGAGTCTCTGGCGATGCGATAGTCAATGCCGCCGGTGAGCGCATTGTGCTGAAAGGTACGGCGCTTGGCGGCTACTTGAACATGGAGAACTTCATCACGGGATATTCTGGTCATGAACACGAACACCGATCTGCGTTAGCGAGCGTCCTAGGCAAGAAGAAGGCAGAATTCTTCTTCGATCGCTTCTTACACTACTTCTTCACAGAGGCTGATGCAGAGTTCTTCGCCTCGCTGGGCATGAACTGCATCCGGCTTCCCTTCAACTACCGCCACTTCATCGACGATCAGAACCCAGATACCTACAAGAAAGAGGGGTTCGATTTCCTTGATCGTGTTGTTGATATCTGTAGCAAGTACAACTTGTACGTTGTCCTTGACCTTCATGCAGCTCCGGGTGGCCAGAACCAAGACTGGCATTCGGACAGCGGCATCACGAAGGCGCTCTTCTGGGAGTTTCGGATATTTCAAGATCAAGTAATCGAGCTGTGGAAGGCCATCGCTGCGCATTACAAGAGCAACCCTGTCGTATGCGGATACAACCTCCTTAACGAGCCTGCGGACCCTGAGCATACCCGGCTGATTGCGTGGTATGAGCGCGCAGAGAAAGCGATTCGTGCTGTCGACCCGGACACAATGCTATTCATCGACGGGAACACATACGCCATGGATTTCTCCCGCTTCGATAATGTGCTCCCCAATGCTGTATACGCCATGCACGATTACGCCATGCTCGGCTTTCCGATCCCAGGACAAGCGCCCTACTCCGGCACCGCGGAGCAGAGGACGAAGCTCCGGAAGTCGTTCGAGCGCAAAGTCGCATTCATGCGCGAGAAGCATGTCCCGATCTGGAACGGCGAATTCGGTCCCGTCTATGCAGACGACCGCGTCGATCCCGAGGCCGACAAGATCAACCATGCGCGTTTCGATATGCTCCAGGAACAGCTCAACATCTACGACCAGGACAAGGTCAGCTGGAGTATATGGCTATACAAAGACATCGGCTATCAAGGCATGGTCTACGTCAACCCGGACACTCCCTACCGGCGACTCATCGACCCCTTCGTCGCCAAGAAGCAAAGACTCGCACTCGACTTCTGGGGCGTCGTGGACAAGGAGGGCGTCAAGGATGTGTATGGTCCCTTCATCGAAGGCCTGAAGAAGATGGTGCCCGAACACCTGCAGAAGAAGAAGTATCCGCATATCTGGGACTTCCAGCGGCATGTCGAACGTGTGGTGCGCGAAACACTGTTGAGTGAGTACTTGGGCTGGGAATTTGCCGGGCTGTTTGAGGGGAAGAGCGAAGAGGAGCTTGAGGAGTTGGCAAGGAGCTTTGCTTTTGAGAACTGCATTAAGAGGGACGGACTGAACAGAATCCTGCAGGAAGATGGGCAGAGATCGGTTCCGTCTACGCCGTAGATTGGCTGTAGAGCTTGGAGCATATTGCTCAGTTTTCATCCCGAGTAACAGCCCTCTTCCTGCGCGTTTCGAGCTTCTTTTTTCAGGGAGCGAGACAGTCTTCAAGGGTGTTTGTATATATGTACCAATACTTACGCTGTTGGAGACAGAAACTCAAAGCGCGCAATGATCAAAGAACAACACAACGTACCTAGCAATTCCAGGAGCAAACTCTCTGTGCACCTAGTTCCCTTTCTATACACATGTGTATGCCTCTTAGACATTACCTTTACAAAAAGTTGGTTGGGGCCAAATCGGCATTCCGATCGTTCCGAGCGCGGTCCGAAGGATCCAGCATCGTCAGGCCACCATCTCGCCATTCGACACCCGGACCCAACGCAAGCACCAAACCGCGGGACCAAAAACCCTTTAGAAATAAGAACCCGCCATCGCAAGGCCGTACAGACGTTCAACAGCCTAGAGCAAGCGATCCGAGCTCTCCCGACTCCACGAGCCCGGTGCCGCATCACGGATCCAGACCCCATCAACTCCCCCAAAACCCCACATCACCCATCAGGACCTCAGCGACACACCCAAGAAAACCATGGCAACCACAACAGTCCTAGGCCTAACCCTCACCCTAACCCCCCCGCTCCTAACAACCCTCCGCCTCCTCCCCCTCCTCAGCGCCACCGCCTCCCTCACCCACGCCTACTGCGAATGGCTCACCACAACCTCCTTCCTGCACCCGCCCGCCACCTCCTCGCGGCTCACGCGCTCCATCGTAAAGCCCTCCTCCTCCAACTCCACTTCCACCCCCCAAATACCAACCAACAACACCGCAGCCCTCGAAGCCGCAAAAGACATCCTCATCCCCGTCTGGTTCGTAAACTTCTTCCACACCGGGCTCTACAGCGTCATCGGCTTCAACAGCCTCACCACCTCCTCCGCGCTGGCGAATCTCTTCCTGTTCCCCGACGGCCTGGGGGGCGAGGGTAAAATGTGGTACACAGCGGGTCTCGTCGCCGCGCTTGCGCACTACGCTTTCGTGCCGGGCGTGATGGGAAGTGTGGAGCGGCTGTTCACGCTGTGTGTGAGGCGGGCGAGGGGCGGGGAGGTGGAGGAGGAGGAGACGGGGGCTGCGGCGAGGAGTGTGAGGGAGTGGGTGGGCGTGCATAGGGTGAGGTGGGGGACGGTGGATGCGTGGGCTTGGGGATGCTTTTTGGTGGGTGTGGTGGGGGTTTTGACGCCATGAGTGGTTGAGGTACGATGGAAGGATGCTGAGGGCTGCATTTTAAGGATGAGTGTTCGCGGGAGAATGGGTGCGTTGGATTGGATTGACGCGAAGGAGGGTCAAGATGGAGCACTAAGCGCGAGAGGCGGTGATTGAAACGGGGTATCGTTATCATCATTCAAGTTCTATGCATCTACCAACCCCACAGACTCCGGCCAAATCCCACTTTTGGCCCCTTAAAACGCCGCGCAATGCAATCTCATACCCTCCATCACACCGCATCACAAACACCATATTCACTTCACTTCACTTTACCACCCCCGTCTCTTCCCCTTATACTCCGCCGCCTTCTCCTGCCTCTTCACCCTCTTAACATCATTCCTCCTCCTCTTGTCCCTCGCAAACTTCTCCGGCTGCGCCACCGCCTCGATCTTCCTCTTCTGTCTGCGCTCCTCCCTCCGCTGCCGCATGCCCCGCTGCACATCCCCGATAACCTTCAGATACTCCGGCGTGCCCATGCGCTTCTGCAGGACGTCCATGACTTCGCGCGCTTTGTCGATGAGCGCGCGGTACGTGTCGTTGAAGGCGGAGTCTGTGGAGCGCGGGATGGTGGTCGCCGGGTCGACGAGTGTAGAGAGGGTGGTGAGGAGGTGCGAGAGGGATGTGGTTAGGGAGGGGACAGGGAGCTTGGTACAGAGCGTTTCGAGGAGGGTCATGGTGGCGGATTTGGGGTAGAGGGACGCGAGCTTCATGATCTTGGTCTCGCGGCGGATGAGGCCCGAGAGGCGCGTCATGAGGCGGTGGATAGCAGTTGGAGGCGCGCTACTGCTCTTCTTTGTGTCCGGTTCCTCGGGTTGTGGGGAGAACCCGCCCCATTCCTCCGCTGAGGATTCCGCATCCCCGTTGGTGACGCCATTCGCATCGTCTATAGTGGTATCCTCCACCTCATCGTCATCATCCACCTTCTGCCAGTTCCACTTCGCGCCGTTCGCGGCTAGACATCGTGCTAGGAAGGCCAGGTTGCGGACGCTCTGCGCGCACAAATCTTCGCTGACATTTGGCATGGAGAGGTTCTTGAGGAGGGAGTTTGTAAGCCGGAGCATGTCCTCTTCGGTCAACTGAAGGCCACGGGAGCCTTGCAAGGGCAGTTTGTCGAGGCCAGCATCGCCATTTGTGCTGGCGAGATCGGCAAAATAGGTTCCCAGAAGCTTTGCAGCCGTGAGCTTGACCCAAGCATGGGGGTACGAAACGCAAGCTTGGACGGCGACCCAAAAGCTCTTCTTGTCCGACGAAAGAGTTGTGTCTGGGTGTGACTTGCAGAGCTTTGAGAAGACTGTTAGAGAGTAGTAAATGAGCTCCCAGCCGTCCCCGTCGCGACGCTCAAGGCAGCCCTCCACGCTCGACTGAAGCTGCTCAAGCACGAATGCCAGCTCTTTCGGTTTAGCATCGGCTACTTCAAAATACAGGCCCCAGCATTGAATGCCAAGACGCTTCAGGCCCGCGTCTTCGTCCTGTCCCAGCCAGCTCCTAAGATCGGTAGTGAAGCTTTTCAACCGCTGCGAGTCCGCGCGTTCTAAAATTTTCTTGACAAGAGCCCCGGCCATCGTGCGGCAGTCGCTCGAGTCGTCATTCGCCATGGAATGGATCAGAGGAATGAACATTAAGCTCAGCTGGTCTTGCAGGACGTTATCTCCGACCTTGGTGAGCACCAAGTTTAAGGCCTCCATGATGGACTGTCTTCCCTCAACGTAGTCGTACCGCAAGTTCTTCAGCAAGAATTCCAACTGCTTCTTGAACCGATTCTTCGCTTGTGGGTACTCCATCAGAAACTGGAAGTAACTGCTCCTTGCGAGGTCTCTGGCAGACCTAGTATGGTTTGTGACCATCATTGCCGCGACTGTGTCCATGACCTCGTAAATCTCGGCAATCACGAGCTTCCTGTTCATGATTGCCCTCAGGAAAGCAAACGTAACACCCTGGCGGTCAGGCTCATCCAGGTCGGGGATAATCCGCTTTAGGAGGAGCGCGAGATCACGCTCTTTGACTTCGACATTGGGTCGCTCTCGTAGGACAGCCGAGATCAACTTGAGGGATGCTTGGGCAATCTCGCTGTTGGACGACGGGGCACCTTTGATGGCCCGTACGGCTTCTGTCACATAAACGGGGCAGTTCTCGTCCAACTCTGGAAATTTTCGTCCCATGATTATACTGAGAAGACGGATGGCGGATATTTGTACCTCCTCGTGGCCTTGTATCAATGCGTCGCCAATGACAGGTAAAAATCCGGCTAAGTTTTGGGGCGTCTGCAGTTCCTCGTGTTTGCGTAGAACAGTGCGCAGGATGTCGAGGCTGAAGCGAGTGGCCTTGTAGAGGTAGGACGTCGCTGAGTGTCGCGCACCAGACTTCGCGGCGCCTTTCATGTTGACGAGATATTTCCTGTTCCTGGGAAGCACCTTTGGAGCGGCATCTGCGCTGTTGCTAGCTTTATAGACTTCCTGTATTAACTCGTAACAGAACACCAGCACGTCGCGATCCTTGACGGTTGGATTTTGGAGTATACCCAGGCCTATGCGGCGTAGTAATTCGTCAACCTTCTGTACTGTCCTGACACCGAGATTCTCCTGCAAGAGTGACGTTATGGGTAGCACGAGGTCAACCAGATGCGCTGTAGTGGCAGTCCGCGCGATAAGGTCCATGGTATCGAAGCTTTTGCTGCTCTTCACCTCCTTCATTTTACTGATGTAGTCCTCGGCATCTTTCTCCTGACCCGTAATACCGAACGTATCATCCATAATGACATCAACGATATCCGTAAGGCAATAGTCCAGGTCCCCCGGCTTGAGTTGCTCCGATAACTTGACCAGAATACTGTGCAGCGTGAATGAGAGGACGTGGAGTTGGTAGCCTCGTTGGAGTGCGGTTCGTAAGGCTTTCAGAACGAAGCTCAAGTAAGTCGGGCCAGTAAACGTGACGATTTCAGTGAGGGTGTTCCTAGACATGTCTCTGCTGTCTTGGGACCGACTCCTGAGGATGTGACATATGTCCAACAGAAGCGATGGAAGCCGTGCTTCGATCTCACGAGGCGGTAGGACAAGGAGTACCTTCGTCACCGCGATCGCGATGGGAACTCGGAGACTGACAGTTGATTCGTCCTTGTTGTGCAGGAACTCCGTCAACTCGGGAAGTACGTTGTTAACGAGATCGTTGGTCAGCTTTTCCTGCTGCGGAAGCGTCTTGCAAAGTGCGGCAGTCGGTTTGTCCACGTCCATTACAGTCTCCTCGTCAGCACCTTCGGATGGGGGTGCCTTGTCACTCTGTGATCCACCCGCGATATAGCCTTTCGAGCGCCCAGATTCATTCAGGCTATCCATCAGCCCTACAAGGAGTTTGATGATGGTCTTTTGCATATCCTCCTTGCTTTTCAGATACCCGATGTACCTCTTTAGCAGAGAACGAAATTGAGGCCATTCCAGCCCTTGGCATAATGCAGCGATGCTCTTAATGGTCTCGCCAGCGAGGCTATTAGCGCTCTCGTCGTCGGCCTTATCGAAGACGAAATGCTCGAGGAGGGGTATCAAGAGATGGTAAATATGTCCTGCCTCGAGTTGTGTAGCGTGAGAACCTAGTCGTCTTAAAGCTCGTTGGCGGCGATGACCCTGGATGTGCAGAACATTACTGTAAAATGATGACTCCTCGTCTGCAGACAGCAATACAGATAAATCAGCGATCGGGGCCCAGTTGCAGTACGTCTTCACCAGCTGAGCGAGAACAGTCAAGAACTCGCTCCTGACAAGCTCCGAGGATTCTCGCATCCCGTTCTGTATACCGGGCAGAACGGCTGTAGATATGAAGGGTTTGAACACGTCATCGGTGATGGAGGCTTCGATAAAGCGCTGGAGAGATAGGGACGCGCTGACTCTGATGCTGAGCTCGTCATTATCCTTGATGAAGTAGAGCATGTTGAAAACTAGCGGCTTCCATTGCGTGAGTGTGTAAGATTTGACCTCATCTCCGTTGATGGTATCGAATGCGCTCGAACGGCGACCGAAATCAGGCTCATCCAACCGGGAGGGGGAGAAAGAGTTGAGGTCGCGGCATAGATCGGCAATTGGTGACAGCTCATCCTTATAAGATGCAAGATCTTCGACGATACCGCAGAGGAGGGTCCTGACCTGTCTATCCTGAGAGAATGCGAATAATGGAGTGGTAGCGTCAAAAGCGACTTCGAAGAGATCATCCATGTCTTGGCTATCACAGCGCGGAATGAACTCGTGCAGTATTTTGAGCAGCCCCTGTTTAGTTGGCGCATTCACGCGCTTGGACGGTTGTCTAAGGAGAAACGAGGAAATTTCGATCATGCTGCGTGACTCTGCAGAGCCCACCACATGTGGCGCGAGCTCCGCAACTGTCTGAACCCCAGACACAAGGACTTCTCTGCTCGGGCTCTTTCGGAGGAAATCGCCAACCTCGCTGAGGATCGTATTCGCGTAAGGCTGGAGGATCTCGGAATGGATACGATTTTTCAGGAACTTATCGGTGTCTGCAACTGAAGCAATGAGTGTTCGAAGGATGGCATCCAGAACGAACCTCTTCACTTCATCCTTAGCTGATGGTACACCTAGGCATTCTACCACCTTGGTGAGAATCTCCGGGTTGTATTCGACCAAGAAGTGGGCCGTTAGGGGGGATTTGGACCAGGCAGAGAAGAGTCGAAGGAGCCCTGAGATAGATTGGGCCGTCTCAATTGGGAACTGCTGAAGCCTTGGGTTTACCAACTCCTTGACGATGTGTGGCGAGTAGGCATCCCAGGCAAAGTCGGGGCAACTCTCGAATAGGACGTTCAAAGAATGAAGGGCGCGTTGGCGAATCGTCCTGGACAGCGACACTTGAACGTCCTGGACATCATCGGTCTCATTTTCCGACGCTCTAGCCTTTGACAGGCACCGAGAAGCTTTGATAAGACAATAGAGGAGAGGATCCACGATGAGCGCAACGAAGGGCCGGATTGTTGTCTTGAGGGTAGTGACCATGTCTTCAAGCATGGTCAACATGCCAACCTGTTTGCGCGGGTTCTGCAAATCAATTTGCAGCAATTCCTCATCCAGTACACCATCTCGGAGCGTGGTGATACCACTCAAAGGACCCAACGCAATGCTGAGGAACTTTTGGGTGGCTTTCTCCTCGAATCTCGTTAGAGCTTGAAAGACAGCCTTCCTCTTTACATCCAAGTCTTTCTTTCCACTGATGACCTTGCCGTACAACAGGCGGAGCAGGACAGGGAGTAGCCGATCACGATGCTCTTCCTTCACGAGACTATGCTCAGCGCCAGCGTCCAGGAAAACCGATATCTCATCTCGGAAGCGGGCGTCATCCAGAAGGTTGAACAGATTTTCTTGATAATCCGCGATGGCAGGTTCCTTCCATGTGAGAACGGCTTTGAGAGCGGCCTTTTGGATCTCAACATCGCCGTTGCCTACTAACGCCACCAGAGCCTCGTAGACCTCAGCGGATCGATATAATACCTTCGGGTTGGTGAACTTTGAGAAAACCAAAAGCATTGCCTTTTGGTCCTTCCGCCCCCAACGCGAGCCATCTTGGTCAAGCAACTCTTCTCCTGTGGAATTGTCTGCTAGACTAGCTGTTGTAGGCTGGTCCAACGCCCAGTCAAGTAATACAGGAACGAGGAGCCGTGAACGCTTTTCCGCGACAGCAGGCAAGCTATTCAGCACGCGCAGCGCCTGCGTCCTGCTGAAGGGATTTACGAATGAGACCTTCGCATTCTCGGTGTGGAATCGACCTTTTAGTGTTCCCTCTGCATTTTCGACAGAGGCCTGCTTTTCCGATATCAGTTGTTCCAGCTGCATGACGTTTGTGCACTGAAACTCAGACACATATCGGGGCGGCGACGCAACGTTAATGGCGGTGGCGATGGAGTCATCCTGAGTTTTGGCCTGGCTCAGCCATTTGAATGCGATCCGTGTAACATGGCCTTCCCCCTCCTTCGTTTCGCAAATTGCTTTTAAGGCAGCGCAGGCGTCATCCCAGACTGATGCGAGCCGAACGTGCAAAAGACCGAAGCAGAATGTCGGAATGGCTTCACCTACCCACTCGTCCGAAGAAATTTCCGAGTACGTCCTGCTGAGTTGCCCGATGCGCATGGACACGGTGCGTTGAGTTTCTAGGGTCATGGGCGATTGCTCGATCGCGATGACGTCCTGTAGCTGTTGGCTTTCGGGAGCGATGATCTCAAGGATGCGTAGAGCAGTGAGGCGCAGGTCATGAGAAGGTGATCCGATGCAATTCATGATAGCTTGCTTGAACGGTACCATGTGTGGCCCTTCCATTTCAAGCTTTTTTCCATTCTTCTCGGTGAAGGAGAGTAGAGCGTGCCAGAAGGGAAGACGATGGCCATAGATAGGGGAGGCGGAGCATAAGGAAGGCCAGATATCCAGTATAGTGTTACTCATGTCCCCACATTCAACTAGGAATTGGAAACCGTTTCCTGCCGCTAGAATGTCGATCGGTCGAGAGGATTTCATACCGTCGACTTGCATAGCACGTTTGAGTGCAGCGTAGAGGTGGTTCGAGATAGGCCGCGTGCCTTCTTGTGAGAGGCTAAGGCAGCCAATCGTTTCGAGAACAGCACTGCATTGATATGCTAACCGCACGGAGTCGTCAGTTTGGAGGTCCGATGCAATCAGGTTCCAAAAATGCTGGACCATTTGATCTTGCCAAGTGCTAGACGGCTGCAACGAGCCGCCCGCTAGGATCCCCGCCCTGTAAAGGTCGGGCAACACCACGCAAAGCTGGTCCCCATGTTCGTGCGCCTTTTGGGCAATGAACCTGTTCGGTCAGCGCCTGCCCAATTGCGAGACCAGATATGGCGCGTACCTCTTGAAGAATGAGAGCAGAAGAGTATTAAATCTATCTGTCCTTGACGCGAATAGGTTACAAAACGGAAGGAAGTAGTTCTCCCAACGACCACGGCAGAGTTTCTCCAGAGTTTGGACATGGGGTATCGCAGCATCGAGGGGGCAGTAATGGAACGCGATCGACACAGTTGAAAGGAATTCTCGCATATGCGAAGCATCCGGCGTGGCAGAGTTGTTGGCCGCATCTAGGAGGAGGCCAAGGACGTCCAAAACCGCTTTCCAGTCTGCCACCCGAGATCCTTTTCTAACACCGCAAGCGACGAAGACTAAGCGTGAGGATAATCCGAGATAACGTACGTCCTGCGACGTACTCCTGACTTGTCCGAGTATAGCTTCCAAAAGGGGCCGGAAACTCTCCGCCTCTGAGTGGTGGATAACGGCGGTAATGACACCAACGAGGACAGGTTCGAGAGGTGGGGTTTGGAAATAGACGTAATCCTCGCTGTAGACCAGAAGTAGCATCTCCTGTATTATGCCCACGGCGCTTGAGTGCAAACCGCACTGTACACCCTTGATAGAGTCCGCGAAGAGGTACATGAGACCCTGCTGAAATTCATAGTCGCGCCCTGTGCCTTGCAGCTCTTTCAACCGGTCCGAGATGTGGCTTGTTATCAACTTCAATGGAGCTTTGTCTCGGTGGTGCACCGCCCCGGCTTTGCGCACGAGGAAGCTGAGAGATTCTGCGGCGAACCTCGTTACGAACAATTTCTGGTGTTCTTTCCCCAGCAGTGGCGCCATCAGGTCGAAGACGGGTCTCAGATCCGGGACCAGGAGCCTGGACAGGTACTTGAAGAGCCAGGCCAGGCATGTAAAGCTCCACTCGATCACCTCAGCGTCCGGGCGCTTTGCCGCCAACTGCGACACCGTCCTGACTGCCCGTTCGAAATGCTTTTCGAACCTCACACCCAGGTCATGCGCAAAACGCGCCAAGAGGCTCAGCAGCGGCTCCTCACTGTACTTGTCCCCATTCTCTATGCGTTCCACGAGCATATCAAATATCACCGCTTCGTTATGGAGGAGCTGTGGTAGCGAGTCGCAGAGAGGGGCGACTCGTCGGGCGAAGCTGGTGAAGGCTTCGGACATGTTGATGTCCCTCCATTCGGCGAGAGAGTCGCGGAAGAACGAGAAGGTGGAATCGAGTTCGGCATCGTCGAGAATCGTGCTACGACCGCGGCGTACGGGTTCGATTTTGAGCTTCGCGATGCGCTGGGAGAAGGACTCGAAGGAATGGTTTCGCGACGAGGGAGTGCCGCCTCTGGGCTTCTTGGGCGTCCGTAGCTTCGTCAGCGGTCCTCTCGACATGGCCGCCATGGCGAGAATTGGTGAGCGAAGTCTGAGGTGGCAGCATCTCGTCTTGCCTTCTCCACAAAATTTCTGGACGTGCCAAGATTTCTGGTGGTCTGTGCACCTGCCGAAACGCCGACGGCCGACGGTCGCCAAAAGTTCACCACCAGCATTCATCACCAAAGCAGCCCAGCCGTCATGGCCTACAAGATGTGAGTGCCCCCTCAGCCCGCGTAATGGATTTCATGCGAAGTGCCCTACTGATGCCGAGCAGCGCGGTGATCGGAGATGTGAACGGCCAGTTTCCGGCCGTTTTCCAGAAGCTGGGTGCACTTCACGCGAAGAACAATTTCTCCTTCGCACTTATAGTTGGAAATCTCTTCGCAAGCCCGTCCGACGCAACCAAGGAGGATGAGACGAACGTGCGTAATCTCATTAGTGGCAAGGTCGACGTGCCCCTCACCACATACTTCGCTCTAGGCAGCAATGCGTTTCCCCAGACCGTCGTGGAAAAGCTTGAATCGTCAGATGATGAGCTATGCCACAATCTCCATTTCCTTGGAAAGCGAACGACTATGAAAACCTCTGAAGGAATACGCATTGTGGCACTGGGCGGCCGGCTTGATCCCAACATCATTGCAGGACAGTCCATGGACAAGTATCCTCCGTTCTACAGCGAGACAGATGCCAAGATTCTCCGGGGAGCCACTACTGCCGATATTCTTGTCACGAACGAATGGCCCGCGGGGGTTCGAAGCCGTTCTAATGCCAGCTTCAATGCTGACGTGCCACCCCAAGAACAAGAATGCATCGCCGACCTCGATGTCATGCTGAAACCCCGCTATCACTTCTCGACCTCCGGCTCCACCTTCTACGAGCGAGAGCCCTTCTTCCATGTGCCGAGTGAGGAGACTGACGGACTCTATCCAGTCACCCGCTTCATCAGTCTCGCATCGTACGGAAACATCGCCAAGCAAAAGTGGATATACGCCTTTTCACTGGATCCCAGCGCAAGCCATCCCATCTCGCCGCCTTCCGGATCCACCATTTGTCCCATGACACACCCAGACAACAAGAAGCGGCAAGCTCCAGAGCAACGTGAGCAAGCCCTTGTCTACGATGACGGGCGCCGCGGGGGTCGCAGGCCTCACAAGCGGCGCAAGGGCGAGCACAAAGGCCCGATCTCAGCTTCGGAGTGCTTCTTCTGCCTTGCGAATGAAAATATCGCAACGCACCTTGTGACATCCATTGGCGAGAACTCATATCTGACAACCGCTAGGGGACCTCTCTCAAATTCACAGACGTTCCCCAAATTGGGTTTTCCTTGTCATCTTCTCATCATACCCTTCACGCATCAACCTACCCTCGGCTCTATGGAAGAAGAGGATCGTCATGCAACTTATGCAGAGATGCAGAAGTACCATGCTTCGGTGAACAAGATGGTGAAGTCGCTTGCAGGAGAAGAGTATGGCTCTGTAACATGGGAAGTCAGCAAATCCAGCCTACCGCACACACACTGGCAATACATGCCCGTGCCCGCCGATCTCATTCGCAAGGGTCTGCTAGAGGCAGCCTTCAAAGCTTTGGCGGAGAATCTTCACTGGCCCAAGTTTACTAAAGAAGATGTGGGTGACGGGTTTGAAGAGACGAGCGACTATTTTCGAGTTCTGATCTGGGATCCCAGGAATGACGCTGAGAAGCAAACCAGCCTCATTCTTCGCTTCGACGAGAAAATACGATTCCATCTCCAGTTTGGCCGAGAAGTGCTTGCCAAGCTACTGCGACTCGATAGTCGCGTAGACTGGCGAGATTGTGGGCAGACGCAGGCAGAGGAGGAGCAGGATGTGGCCAACTTCAAGAAGGCATTCCAGGAGTTCGACTTTGCAGCTGATTAGGCGGGATATCGTGGGGAATCGCAACGAGATACACCTGTACGACTAGTACATTTTCTGAAGGCGTTAGCGGTACGCCGCGCGGAACGAGGTCGCAGCTCAAGCAAGAAAGGCTGATATCGAAAATTGAGCGTGAAAGCCATAACTCGTTGAGATCTATTTATCCGGTTCTCTCGCCCCCTGACACATTTACGTCCGGCCTGAGCTCTCGTAACCCTTCCGCCACCCTCTGCCATCGATTGCTCAGCACGTGTTCAGCATGCTCGTCAATGCGCTCTTCTCCGCACTCGTAATCGTCAACGAGTACACGCTCTTCACCTTTACCCACATCTTGGCGTAGGTGCAATAGTAGCTCGCTGTCTCGCATTAGCACGCTGCTATCCACATAGATCGATTCAAACTCACTTAGCGGGGGCTTCCAATCCTCTGGGCCTTTGTCACCTTTTGACTGATTGACGTTGTCCGTCACGGCAATGAGCTGCGGATTCGTCAAGTCATTGGCGAAAGCCTGGCGTCTTGATGTCGTCCAGGAAGCCGCTCCAGACTATTATCCCGTCAGTACCTAGTCCACAAACTGCGCCGCTGATCCAGAAGACGGATCTTACCTTCCATGCATTACTCAACGGTACGACGTGGTCGATATCCACATCACTCGCCGCCGTCCACGTCGCCCCGTCATACGTGCTATACCAACTCCCGCTCGTCGCCGCGCAAGCAGAGTCTTGCACAACGTTCGTCCCGTCGCGCTTCAGCACCACTTCACGCGTGTTGCACGCCCCGCTCTGCGTGATCCAGTGTGGGAAAAGATCACGCGAGTACCCGTCTTGCGAGCCTTGCGCGGCGACGGTCAGGCCGGCGAGGAGGCTCTTGGCGCTCGTGGTGGAGGGGATGTTGGGTGGGGAGCGGCGGACGAGCTCCGGGGCAGGAAGGGCAGAGATAAGGGTCGCAGAGAGGAGGGCGAGGATGAGGGACTTCATCTTGCCTGGGTGGAAGCTTGCTGCGGAAAGCGGGATTCCAGTGGAAGAAGCAAGGATATATGAACGGTAGCGCACGAGCACGTGTCCCCAGATCAACGGGCCGCTGGAATCCTCCCGTCCGCTTGTGGCTGCTCAGACAGACAAAGCAAAACACGTCCCTCGAGTGGGTGGCGATCCTCGCCACTCTTTATATCCACCCCATTCGGCCCTGCACACGAACTCAGCATCTGCCCTCCCACCCAATGATAACGCCCACGCACCGATTACCACCACATCCCTCCTTCCATCCTGCATCGCACAAGAGTCCCTCCATCGCTTGTTAGCCTCTGAAACGGAAGGTCCGTAGCACGGCCAAGCCCAAGCATCGTGTGTGGCCTTGCACATCATATACATCTCCGGCGCGCCTAGGCGACTTGTACCTGCCTAAGAGTCGCGATCCCTCCAGCTTCCGTACTGGGACCCCGGAGCCGACCTACCTGCAGCACGCACGCAGCTTGCTAGCCCGATGACTGGGTAGCGTGGAGTATTACAGCGGTCTGTTGTTTATGGCGCGGGGCGAGGGGTGCTCTTATCGTGACGTGCGATTGGCGCGCGGGGTAGGGGTGCTGCCGATCGCGGGTGTGATTGGTGCTGTATTTGAAACTGGGACGGCTGCAATCGCGGCGGTTCACGAGTGGGAGGATCTTGTTTATTTGGTATGGGGCGAATGGGAGGGGCGCTGGGAGTGTCGTGCAGATGTGATTGTTGATGGGCGCTTGATTGTGGTTGAGGTGTTCACGTAATGGGAGATGATGGTTCGAGGATCGAAGATATGCGATGGAGAATGCGCGGGGGGTGGGGACGAATTGTTGTCTTTGGATGACCTTTCGAAGGCTTGGGTGGTGTATAGGTGTAGTTTGGTAGGATAACACCCTACTTGAAGAAGATTGGGTTGGGATGGCGGCATCCTGGAGCGCTGTAGAGCTCTACTGGGTAATGGGCGTCCGGAATGTTGCTCTCTGTTGGGGATTGGTCCATTTCCTACAAATACTTTCGGGATGTGGGATATATATATATATCGTAATAGCATATATCTTATTGAGCTGTGGATACCAGTAACCTTGGAATCTATATAAACGTCACGTGGTGATAAGATAAGCTTCCATTCATCCTCCACTATGCGCAACCTCGCGCACTTAACTTGTCCGTGATGCATAATGGCCGTGCTGAAAATACTAACATGGGCTAAAAAAATACCGACAAGAGCTCAGCATAGCTATTGAAGTCCTCGCTGGTCCGATGGGTACACGAATCGGATGCCGCAATGTGCCGACCGCCGTCTGATGACAAACCTCCCGTCTCTTACGCCATCACAAGCCAACGCACCGAAGTAACCACCGCTCTCTCAACCCACACCATGACCCGCCGTAAGCCCACCCCTCGAGCTCCAATGTCCTCTCCGCGCTCCCTCCACCATTCCCAATGGCATCCACTCCGACGAGCCAGAAGCCCATCCTCATCGCCGGCGGCGGCCTCGCCTCCCTCCTCCTCGGGCGCTCCCTCCTCCGCTCCAACCTCCCCTTCCTGATCTTCGAGCGCGACGCCTCGCTTGTCTTCCGCGCCCAGGGCTACCGCCTGCGCCTCTCGACCGAGGGCCTCGCCGCCATTGAAGCCGTCCTGGGCCCCGACGCCTTCCGGCGCTTCTACGACACGTGCGGCAAGACGGGCGGCGCGGGCTTTGCGGCCATCGACCCGCTGACGGGCGAAACGCTGGGCATCCAGCACCAGAGCGTGGCGAAGGAGGTGCTGACGAGTCGCGAGGGCAAGATCGTCGGCATCGCGCGGGGCGAAATGCGGAGGCTGTTTATGGAGGGCTGCGAGGACTGCATCCGCTGGAGCCACCACGTCACCAGCTACGAGCTGACCGGCGACGGCGTGCGCGCCGTCTTCGCAGACGGCTCGAAGTCAGTCGAAGGATCCATGCTGGTCGGCGGCGAGGGCCTGCGGTCTGAAGTCGCCGCGCAGCTCTCCGGCGGCCGCATCAAAGTGTTCGATCTAGGGGCCCGCGGCATCCACGGGCAGGCGCCGACGACGGCCTTCGCGGGCCTGGGCGAGGGCGTGTTCCGCCTCGCAGACCGCACGTCGCAGCCCGGCGGCGTGCTGACGCTGATGACGAATGTGCGACCCGGCGAGATGCACGATCCCAACGTCACGTTTGGCTGGACGATGGGCGGGTCGCCGGGCGTCATCAAGCCGCCGAACGACAACTACACCATCATTGGGAAACCCGCGGCCGACATGGCGAAGGCGCTGACCGCGGCGTGGCATCCGCGCGTCAAGCCGCTCATCGACAATATGCTCGAGTCGGAGGCGGCGTTCTGGAAAATCACCTGCTCGTCGCCCGACGGCGTGCCGGAGTGGCCTAACGAGCCGCGTGTCACTGTCCTCGGCGACGCTGTGCATGCCATGACGCCCGCGGGCGGCATGGGCGCGAATACCGCCGTGCGCGACGCGGAGCTCTTGGGGAGACTGCTCGCCGAGGCCGGCGGCTACAAGGAGGGCGTCACCGACGCGTACGAGAAGGAGATGAGGGTGTATGCGAGCGAGGCCGTGAGAAGCAGTTATGGGCATGCGGAGTCGAGCATGGGCGTCAAGATCGATGCCTCTACACCTACGCTTGCTTAGACTTTCGAGATACTTGCTTGATATATTTCTGCCGGAACGCGATTTCTATGCCATGCTTTCCATCTTTACAAGCAGCAAAGCCGCCCTTCTTAGCGCCGATACCTGACATGCGAACGACCTAGATTATGTGGTCTGCAGTCAGTCGGTCAGTTACTATCCTTCCCTTTCCCACGTATGTAGCACATACCCGCACCGCTCTCAGCAATCCTCCCAAACCCTTAACCCCCCAAACCCACCTCCCGCCAAGCCAGCCCCGTCCCCAAAACGGGCAAAGCCAAGCCCCAAGTATTCACCCCTCCCCACCCTCGCATATCCCCCCTCTATCCCGCTCCTCAAACCCACTCGCAAACCATTACGCAAAGCCTTTTCTTCGCTACCCTCTTGAACGGTTTGAGCGATTCGACAAGACGGTCCCAGCCGCTTGGTACGTCGGCGCGTTCTAGGCCGAAAGCTTGCTTTGCCAATCCTTTAGTGCAGTGATCGACGGGTGGGAGGGAGATGCCGGTTTGGGCAGGTTCGGCGGGGGGTGTCTTGGAAGGTGGGTGGATTGGAGGATTGGGGATGGGATCTTGTTGGTTGGTGTGTGAGATGTGGGTGTAGGTGGAGAAGGGTATGACTTCTGTGGAGGCGGAAGGAAGGACGGATGGACGGGACTCGCCAAGGAAATTTTCCAAGCATAATTCGTTTCGTTTTCTCGAGAGCCGGGCTAGCATTGGGGGGATCTTGTTGGTTGGTGTGTGAGATGTGGGTGTAATGGATTCTGAGTACAACTTGTGTAGAGAAGAACGCAAGAACTGACGGACTCGCCAAGGAAATTTTCTAAGCGCAATTTGTTTCGTCTCGAGAGTTGGGCAACTAGCTATGTCCTGTAGAAGAAAAGAATGGTACGTAAGAGACGTAAGAAAATCCGTTCGAAGCGAGCGCTGCAATCTGGTGTATGCGGTCTGACCGCAACAAATGTCAACACCGAGCTCAGATACAGCAAGACTTCGAAGAAACATACACGCTTCACGAGCTTTCATACCTCGGTACGAACGCCCTTGCTCTGTTGTTCCGGCTTTGCTTTGCCTCGGAATCAGAGCCATCCCAATGAGATATGCCAGCCATGGGTGGGCCGCCGCTTAGCCGATACCTTCGTCAGTATATGCTCTGTAGGACATGAAGCATCGTGGAGAGTCACTTCGTCTAGCTAGGCTTTCTCGGGATGCAGGCCTTGGTCATTCTCGAGTTCTTCCTGCTCATTCAAATATGCGTCCCTCCTCTCCTCAAGCTTTTTAAACCCTGGTGACTCGGGCCTAAACCCGGGCAAGTATTGGATGATGGTCATTTGGAGTAGTATGAAATAGTCGTTGCGTATCCGCTGCCAGAGGTTGGAAAAGTGCTGGACGTTCATGGCGATAATGATCAGGGGCACGGAAATTGCAATTGCTATCCCAACTGCGTGGTAGGTTAAGTATGGATCGGAGGCATCGAAATGGGTATCTTACATAGATACGCTGAGAGGAGCCCAAGAGGCCAGCTTGATTCCCCGCTTTTCTCATCCTGTGGGAATGCGGTGATGTTGAGCGCGAAGAAGGACGCCATAAAGGACAGAGGAAGCTATACTAGTTTCAGCTTGTGATACGAGCAGTGGGAGTTAGGGAAAGCTTACGAAGATGATGGTGACAACGGTGAAGACCATCATAGTCTACAAAGGTCAGCAAGGCACCGAAGAGTGGGACGAAGAAACACGTGAAGGGATAGGCTGTGCACGTACATTGCCTTGTTTCGCAGCTTCTAGGGCACACTCTCTGGCAGAGCGCGCCTCCCAGGCATTGGATGCTTTCTGCTTCAAATCGAGCAATGTATTGAGCTTGAGCATGCGGTTAGAGCCTTTCGGCTTGCTGAGAGGTGGCTGCGGGCCATACCTTATCTTGAATCAATTCGGCCTGATTATCCAGCTTCGTGAAGTCCGTGATGTTGTTCTGTATGAGTCGTTCGACCGCATTGCTGATGGCGAAGGGCCCCAGGTTAGTGTTCTTGTTCGATTCCTCCCCAACCAGTCGGTCTAGGACTGATAGTTGGGAATGGAAAACCGAAAGGATGATATGTATCTCATCTCGAATGTCCTTGATCTCAACCAGAGACCTTGTTTCCTCTCTTATATCCAACAACTGTTCCATGAGCATACGCTTTCTCTGGCCGAAGTTCCGGCTTTTCATTCCCAATTCATGGAGAGCGGTGGAGTGACTTTGGAATTCGCCAAACAGGCTACTCTCATTGTCGTCCTGATGGGTGTCAGCGTATTATCGCGGCTTCGTCTTGTCATACTCACAATGGTGCGAACAGAATCCTCAAACATGTGAAAAAACTGTAGCGTCTCACGGTCCTGAAACCTATCAAAGACATTGAAGCATGTAAACAGAATGCGGGTTCCAAGGTCCCGCATGGTGCAAATCGGCTCCCTTAGCCTCTTGTTCGAAGCAAGCACTTGCGACTTTATGTCTTCAGAGCAACCTCGGTTCAGGTAGTCGGCTTCAGTGCGTTCGGGAAAGGCGGTGATGACATATTCAGGCCGGTATTTTGAAGACGCTTGCGTGGAGGCTTGTGCTGGGGATTGCCCTAGACTATGCATCCATAGCCAAAGCTGATCCACCATGAGGATGTTGTGTATATGAACGCGTTCCCTTCTAGCCCACCTTCTAGCCCAGCGTGATACCACCTGATCTTGGTCCCATCGGGCGGTACACCGAAGCATGTGGTAAGAATACTGGTCTAGGGTCCTATGAATGAGTAAATATTTTGTGCAAATAAATGAGAACTTTGAAGCCAACCTTCGTATATGAAGAGCAGGCGGATCGTTCAAGTAGGCCGTAATAGTGCTCTGATCTACTTCGTCCAGGTCATCCTCAAAGTCTCCCATTTGCAATTTCCCTGAGTTGTCTCTCCCCTTTGCGAATGGTTCTCGTGAGATCACTCTGGGTCTCACGTGCTTGTATTGGGGATATTGATTTAGCCTATCCACGGCTTCTATGTACGGTCGCCATTTGGCTTGCCGGACGTTGCTTTCGTAACTCACATACGGGGCCTAGCATCTCACGTTAGTTGCACAAAGAGTATGACGCCTCTTTTAGGGTACTTGCGAAGATGGAGACGATGCCGTTCGGCAAAGTTTCCATGTGGGGTGTAATTGCACGCTGGAAGGCCGTGTTAGACGAGTACCAAAGCTTGGTGGGGGATAATCACGTTATGAATGGATCTGAATGGCATCGCTCTACCGCCACCCCAGATGGAATCATGGATCCCTAACTTTATAAATAAGTCCTGCACGCGGGGCATTAGCAAGAGCGACGATTTTATACTAGACGAGCGACGTTACCTCAACCCAGATCATCTAGCGGCGCACGTTAGCTCCGGAAAGGGCGTGGTCAAGCTTGGGAACTCACATTGTTATCCGGTATGTGTAGCCAGACGCAAATTGGTGATCGCTCCATGGCGTCCTTTGGGCGGACCTGACTCAGCAATTCCTGGAGAGATTTGGGACCGTAAAGCAGCTCGCGGACAGAAAACGAAATAGACCAGTGCGTGGGGCATTCACCCGCATGGCCAGGCGCAAGATGTTCTGTAACGGCGATGCGGGTCTTTTCGCAGACTAACAGACCATCTATAGTAACGGGCGGTTTGTTCTCGCCAATCCGTCGGCCCGCGGCGTCTGGACCCAACCCTGAAATGAGTTTACTTCGAAGGATCTTGAGAATTTTTCCGTGGTGCTGGCGTCTCTGTGCTAGCTCATAAGGTGTCTCCTTACCCCTGTTCTGAAAATTTATGTCGGCTCCTCGATCAACCAGGTGTTGGATTATGCTGTCGTTATCCGTCGTGACCGCGTCGTGTAGAGGCGTGTTATGACCGTAGTCCGTGATGTTTGGGTCTGCATTACCTCTGTGAAGCAGCACCCTCACCATGCATTCGTCTAGTCCCTCGACCGCAATATGTAGAGCTGATTGTTTCCTATGACACCGGTAGTCAGTATTTGTCTAGAATAAGGGCCGATTGTAGGCAGTTGAGTTCTGGCGTACCTTGGATTTTTGAGATTGACGTCGATACCATCCCTGATCATGATCTCTATCCTGTCCACATCTTTCGCGGCTGCGGCTTCAAGAAGTTGGTATGTGTCCAATGCAGTGCGGAGTAGAGCCACTATATGCTGAAAGCTGGAATCTCTGGGGTCGGAAAGCTTCAGAGACTCTCTACGGTATCGTTCGATTGTGATTGGGAGAAGACTAACCAGTCTTGCCAACTCATCTCTGGGGCAAGGCTGTTCTTCATTGTTGACGAGACATGTTATGGGAAAACTAACATGGCGAGGCTCCCGATATTGTGGGCGCCGCAGTTTCTGCTTACGATTCCACTCGCGCCGTGGTCGCTGCGCAATGGCTTCGCTCCAGAAATAATGTAACAGTTCCACAGCAGTATTGCTTTCATTTCTTAGGTCAGCGAAGATTTCCTCGTCCACAGATATTCCAAGAAATCGTGAGTGATATTCGAGGGACCGGGCTGAATCGAAATGCGGTGAGGCGATCATAAGCACCCCAGCTGTGTGTCGGAACAGTTCATGGGAGGCGGATTCCCCAGGAATGCTTTGGACGAGAGCTTGGAGAATGAAACCCGAGCCGTATCCATGACCCATCAATAAAACGGGTTTGCCTGGAGGATCTGACCTTGCTGACCTTATGCTAATGAGCTCTTCACATAGTCGAGATCCTGCAGCGCGAATGTCTAAGGGCGTGTCCAGCATCGGTCCGACGTCGAAGCCGACGAAAATGACTCGTGAATTCCGAATCTGGCCTAGGAGGAGTATATTCCGGTCCAACAGCCAATCAACCATAGTATCGGAGTCGTCACAAGTAGTGGTATCGGACGAAAGTTGAGGGTCGGCGAGGAGCAAACGGCCGCATGCAGTCTCCCAGTTCGAGCGTCCGCCAAGAGCCTGCGAAGAAGATTCGGAATTGGCTGAAGCTCGTGTGGACGGTGCTCTCTCACGAGACCCATCGTGTTTGCCGTGCATGGCATGAGGGTATTCATGCTCCACCTTTCTCCTTACGGGCACATTCCGGTGTTTGAAGAGGTTCATCTCAACATCTCCATGCCTGGTTCCCTCGTGTTTCCTGCTGTTAAAAAGGTACACTATGACAATATCCACCTCCGAACACTCTTTCCTCCCTGGCGGAAACACCTGTGATTTGATCCACCACTCTCTTTTATTACCGAGAGGCGGTCTCTGGGAGGGCGCTTTCCTACGGGATACTGGAGCCTTCGATTTGGAGGCGCTTGAGTGAGGTGATGGGGTGGCCGATGCGACCAAGGCGGGAAGGTCATCATGGGAGTATTTGGACGCAATGAACGCAGGTTTAGCATCGGCTGATTCAGCTTCCGTTCCATTCCCCTCTGATTGAGGTTCCTGAATGAGAGGGATTGGACCCCGCACACTGTCATACCCTAACCACAGTGAGTCAATACTCATCCAGAGATACCGGGCGGGCGCAGGTTGACTGCGTAGATATTCGAAAATGGCTTACCTCGATGGGTTGGACCCTCGGGTGGTTCCATCTTGGAGAATCAACGAATAGAAGCCCCAGTGGTCGCGGCAACTCCGCCAACAGACTTGATCTTGAGAGGGCGCGGCCGGTGGGGAAAGTTGGCATATATAAACACAGATATCATCGCCCCACTAGTAAAGAGATTTTTGGGCGCTGATATGCCTTCCGAATACGGGTTTGAGAGAGACGAGGCAATGAACACAACCATGCACAACGTAGCGACAAAAGAAAGAGAGAAGCGCCCTGTCCAATGATGAAGGACTGTGCGACTTGTGTAGCTGTCCAAGTTTCATGTATGGGGACGTTGTGTCATGTTAGCTCGGTAGAACGAACGAAGAATTGCCAGACCAAAGCCACGCAAACTACCTCTCCAAAACACATATGGCGCAGCCCAAAACCTTGGACCAGCTAATGCAGAGCTCGCTGTGAGCTCGATAGAGGCCCTATTCGACGAATGGGTTGAGGAGGGTAGAGGTGACCACGCTTTGGAGGCCGATGTCATGGTGGGACTCGAATGCTCTGCTCCTTGGGGAGTAGTGCAAAGCAATATACGAAATGATCATGAGAATGACAAGTGAGACAGTCCGGTGTAGAGCGAGAGATAATCACCCCTGGTTTCCATCCCAGAAACGCTGGGCTTTGGCGTAAGACCACCGGATAGGATAGTGCTGTTTACACCGGTTCGTTCGCTCGTGGTGGTTCGGTCGAATGAGCAATTGGCGTTTGGAGCCATTGTATCATCCGGAGCACCCCTGGCAGCCCGAATGAATCTTAAGGTCGATGCAGTGTTGCATCCTTTGGTTTTGCAGGCAGGGTGCCCGACAGGGGAGGATGTCGGATCAAAGTTGATCGATTGCGGGGCTTCCGCGTTAATACCGCTGACGTAATCCAGCAAGCCTCAACCCAGCCACTCCTTCCCACTCGCGCCACAGCACTTCCTCAACTATTACGTGGGGGTTCAGTCGGAGATGCTGTCTTTCATCTTCTGGGACAGGGCAAAGCGGGAGGTAATTGAAACGAAAGAACTTGTGCTAGCTAGGATCAGGATAGACTCTGTCCTCTGTTGAACCCTCGCTCGCACCTTCGCTCTTACCGGGAATCCACTGTAATTTGTCAGCAACCGCACCACCCACATAAAGACATCCCCTTCCCAGACACCACCTGCAGCATCTCCCCAAGCTAAACCAGTCCAACACCGTCACCGTGGCTTTCAGATCAACCGTCCGCAAAATGACCAACTTCGATATCAAAATCGTATCCGACACGGTGTGTCCGTAAGTCTCTTTCCCTGTTAAACTTCACACACGCATAATGGATGCTGACCTCATCGCCACAGGTGGTGCTATGTCGGCAAGAAGCGGCTCGAAAAGGGCATTTCGTCATACAAGGAGAAGCATCCGGACTCCAATGACACGTTTTCCATGACCTGGTACCCTTTTTACTTGAATCCCGATGCGCCGAAGAGCATCGACAAGCAGCAGTACTACAAGTCCAAGTTCGGCGAGGAGCGGACTGCGGCGATGTTCGAGAGGCTTGGGGCGCTGGGGAAGAGCGAGGGGATTGATTTTAAGTTCGGTGGGAGGACGGGGAATACGCGGGATTCGCATAGTAAGTGCCGTGCAGCCTACGCTGTTCATATCCTGACTGCATGAAGGATTGATCCAACTCGCGAAGACCAAAGGCCCGCAAATGCAGACTCGCGTGATTGAAGAGCTCTTCGCAGCCTACTTCGAGAACGAGAAGGACATCACCTCCCAGGCCGTCCTCATCGAAGCAGCCGTCAACGCCGGGCTCCAGGCATCGGAAGCAAAGGACTGGCTCGAGCAAGGCAAAGGTGGACCCGAAGTCGACAAAGAAGTCCAGGACGCGTATGCGCAGGACATCCACGGCGTGCCGAACTTTACCATTAACGATCGTTTCGAGGTCGGCGGCGCGCAGGAACCTGCTGTTTTCGTGCAGCTCTTTGAACGCCTGAAGAGACAGGAAGGAAGCCTTTGATTTGAATGACAATGCGCTGCGTATGTTAGAGTAGGTACAGCTTAGGCGGCGTACATACATCTGTTCATGACGTTGCATTTCAGCCCCACATACAAATTGTAAGACCCACTCCGTCTGCCCGTGCAATATCATATGTACCTGCATTCGTGCGGCGCATGCATCCCAACTTGTGACGGAGACGTCGGGCGTAAGCCCAGCGTTATTGATTACGTTGGAACGGGGAGCACGCTCCGAGGCAGTCCGGCCTGGTAGGAAGTGCCGATCTTGTCCTCGCTTGGGAGGTGCATAGTAGTTTATCCAGGGGTAGGGATCCCCCACTCCAAGAATGCTTGTTGTTAATTCTCCACCACTGCGAAATCTTTTGCGGACGTCAAGCGACTTTTGCGTTCCGTCATCTCTTTCAGGATGGCTTTACGAACATGGTATATAAGGGTCGTTCGGTCCTCATTGCTCGTGCGGTCGCATAGCTTTGGGATATTGCGCATACCACAAATATGTCGAAAACGCTGCTTTCGATCTTTCTGGCTTCCGCGCTGAGCACTGCAGCTCAGGCCGGAAGCCGTGCGTATCAGGCTATCGATCCAGACGACTTTGTTTATGTTGATGGATTGCGATTGAAAGATTCGCAGGGTCTCCATTACCTTACCGTAAGGTAGCTCTCAGACTTTCTCAGCCAGATCACCAGCGCCTCGAACATTTGCTGACGGACCCCAAGGGACTGAACTACTGGGCGTGCATGAACCTCGCGGCCGACAAATCGCAAGGAGGGAACTACTCCCGCCTAGTCACCGAGCTCGACCAAATGGCCGCGAAAGGCGTGAACCACCTGCGCATAATGGCATCGTCCGAAGGCGCTCCAACACCGCAGCCCTTCCGGATGAACCCAGCCTTGATGCAATCCCCCGGGCAGTACAACGAGAAAGTCTTCCAAGGCCTCGACATCTGCCTCGACGAAATGTCACAGCGCGGCATGCGCGCCACCATGACGCTCGCCGACGAATGGCAATGGTCCGGCGGCTTCGCGCAGTACATCAGCTGGGCGACCAACAAGACCATTCCGTACCCAAGCTCGTGGAATATGACGAAGCCGCCGCAGCGGCCGGTCCCCGGCACGGGCTGGGGCGACTACACCAACGAGACCGATGGCGCCGCGTCGTACGAGGTCTTCGAAGACTTCGCCAACCAGCTCTACACCAACGCGCAGGCGGAGCAATGGTACAAGGCGCACATCAAGACGGTCATAAACCGGAAGAACACCGTGAATGGCCGCGTATACAAGGACGACGCAACGATCATGACATGGCAGCTCGCCAACGAGCCGCAAACGCAAGTCGGCGGCGGGCCCGAAGCGTCCGACCCGTTGATCGCGTGGATAGACCGCATCTCGACGTACATCCGCTCGCTCGCGCCGAAGCAGCTCATCAACGTCGGCCTGGAGAGCAAGCAGGGCGAAGCGTACTTCAAGCTCGTGCACAACTTCAGCACGGTCGACTACGCGACGTCGCACTGCTGGGTGCAGAACTGGGGCATCTACGACATGTACGATTCCAGCACGGCGGGCTTGCAGGCGGCGCAGGACTTTGCGACGGCGTTTGTGCAGAATACGAGTCGGTGGGCGGTAGAGATTGGGAAGCCGATTTTCCTGGAGGAGTTTGGCATGGCGAGGGATAATTGGCAGAATAGGAATATGACGTATCCGTATCTGAGTAGTGCTACGACGACGCATAAGGATGCGTACTTTGAGGTAGGCCTTCCCTCCCCCTTGATGGGTAGATGTACGCTGATTTTTGGACAGACGATTATCGGTGCAGCGATGGACCAGTTCAAAGGAGACGGCGCGTATGTGGGTACGTGCCCCTGGGCGTACGGGGGCATCTGGAGGCCCGAGACGCAGCATATGAATGAGTTTGGTATGGTTTGGGCTGGCGATCCGCCGCATGAGGCTCCTGGATGGTATGATCTCTACGATACGGACGAGGCGATGAATATCGTGGCCAGGCAGCAGGAGGATATTGCGGATTGGATAGAAGAGAACGGACTTTAGAAAGGTAGGAAATGGTTGAGCCAGGAAAAGAAGGTAAATTCTAGGACGAGCATGGGCTAGAAAAAAAAAAGATCAACGCCGGTCTAACGGAAAATAAAAGACAGATGAACGAGAGGAGAACTTGCCTTTTTACGCGAAACTCTATCCGGACTTCTTCGGGGTGGCAGCATCTCAAGTGGCCATGTCCATCGCCTCTCTCCCACGATCAAAGCGACTAGACGCCGTCATATCATCTGGGAGATATAAAAAGGGCCAAAGCCCTCCCTGAAGCCCCATGATACTGCCGTCCAAGAACATCACGCTCGTCAAAATTCTCAAGCAAATCTGCAGAAAAGTCCAGCTCACCAACGGTTGCCCCAAGCCGACCCCAAAGTCAAGCAAAGACAAGATTGCAGGCATACTATTTTCGACCATGGCGCACGCCCACATGCAGGGGGCCACGGAAATCTCCCGCCTGGAATTACTTTCTTGGAAGGCCGCCAAGTCGATTGCAGCCTAGCGCGAACCACTTTCGGACTGTTGATAGGTCAACACCAAAACCTTCCTCCTCAGCCTCTTCGCGATACGATACGTCTTGGCGCTTTTCCTCGCTTTATGCATAACCAAACGACAACGCGTCGGGTCATCATTCGCCCTGCAATTCGGGCCCCAAGCGATGCTGTGCTACAACGGCTCCGGATGAGTGGTGTGAAGGGGGCCAGGCTTTCGGGACGAGTCCGAGGGCTGGAACGTCCACGGCGGTTTGCGAACCAATTGCTAGTGGCGAAGATCAACTCCGGATGGGGGCTGGGTAGGTGCTGCTGGGACGCCCCTGCAACGTCGTGATACCTTCGCTTTGCTCGCTCTCGTACCGCTTTTTCAGCTTGCGGCTGTGATGGCGGGTTTTAATCTGCCCGCGATGCCCTCCCTTTTTCTTTTCTCTTCTTCATTGTGTTCCTGAAGTTGTTTCTTCGGCGTCACTTTCTCTTTCTTCCTGTCGCTCGTTCTGACTTTGTATTTGAACTGTTGTTGTTATTGTGTAATATCCGGCCAAGATCGACGTGGTACTACTGCTCAGCATGTCGTACTCCAGCGCTCTTATTAGTGCTCTTGCTGTTCTCCCGTTGGCGAGGGGAATCGCATTTGGCGGACCAGCTCCTACGGCTACCAGTCCTGATCGAGCGCTCGTTGGATTGTCGCCGAAACCTACGAAAGGACCATCGGTAGCTGAGTTGCGCAGACGGCAATCGAGTCTCTTCCCAGAGACGTGCGGATGGATTGATGGCGACTACTGTAAGAACGATTCCGACTGTTCACACCAGCAGTGATTGATCAGAACTAGATTCGGGCTTGACATGCAGCTACGGGCGGACATGTATGCTCTATACAGCCAGTGGGGTCGGCATGGCCGGCTGCTGCGACGGCTCGGATACCCAAGACTGCGGCTGGGTCAATAGCTGCGTCGACTACGATGCGTATACGGCTGGCGGCTGCGACTCCGACTGCGAGCTCAACACCTTCGTGCGGAAGTGCTCCAACAGCCTGTATCCTTACTGCCATACCTGGACGTACCCGGGAGACAACGTACTGGATTACGGATGCACCGACCTCGACTATCCCGTCGAAACCGTCCTGCAAACCGCGTCTGACACCCTCTCCGACACGACCTCGATATCTCTGCCCACTGTCGACGGCGACGCTGTTACCGGCTGGGACGGCTCGTCCGCAACCGGCGGCTCCGTATTCACCACGACAGACAGCGACGGCTCCTCGTTCGAAACGTCGTTCCCGTCGTCCGGCGGCAGCTCCTCGAGCGGCGGGAGGAAGAAGAAGGTCAGCGTAGCCGTTATTGCCGGCGCCGTAGTCGGCGCCCTGATCCTGCTCTTCGTCATCGGCGCCGTCATCATCTTCCTCTGCGTCAAGAAGAAGAAGGCCAAGCAGCTCGCCGCAAACCAACAAGCCGTAGCCGCAGCCCAGGCCTCGCGTCCTCAATCCCAATATCCCCCGCAGCAGCCGCAGATGATGCAGCAGCAAATGGCTCCGCCCATGCCCCCGCAGACACCGCAGCCCCAGTACAACGCAGGCGGCTACTTCGCGCCACAAGGCCAGCAGGACCAAAAGCCCCAGGTCCACGAATACGGCCTCCAATCCCCTATCTCGAATCCTCCGACTCCAGCTCCCGCGTACGTGCAGCCGTACTACGCAGCACCGAACGCACCGCCGATGCCGTCGCAGTCACCAGCGCCGTACCAGGCACGGGAGCCGACGCCCGGTGCGCACGAGGTGGACGCCATAAGCGCGGTTCGTCCGCCGCCGGGGCAGGGCCAGAACGGCCCGGTGTACGAGATCGGCCATGGCAGGAGCTAGATGGTAACGAGGCGACTACAGTTCGAAAGTCTTCATCGTTCGTTTTTTTGCGATTCCCCCGTTTTTCTTCGAACATCTCTTTACTTTCTTTTCCCAGACGGGATTCTGAATGCCGATTTCCTGTAGCGAGTCTGTCACGCTTTCATGTTAATGTCTGAATATTTGATTGCATCAGAGGGTGAAGCAGTGTTGGGTAGCGCATAGAAGGGAAGGTGTGGTTGGTGGAACGCAGGAGGAGGGACGAAGACCGGCTAGATAAATATGCGAGATATCTAGTGCAAGCATGTCGAATCGATAGCACGATGAATCCTTATCGCAGTGCAGGAGTATTCCGCAGGTGTGACCACGGGTAGCTAACCTTGGAAGTACCTTCGTACCAAAACTCCACTAACCCAATCCGTCCAACCTCGGTCCAAAACCACCGCGAAATCCTCATGGATTTCTCACAATCCCATGCATGCCTCACAAACGTCATCCTTACACTGCACCACCGATCTCCAATCCCCAATCTCCAGTCTCCATCCAGACCCTTTCCTTGCGCCTCTCCCGCTCCCGTCCCCGTTCAGCGTCATCTCTTTTTGTGTTTGTTTTTCCGCACCATGGCGCGCCTCCATCTCCCCTCTCACATCATCCCTCTGCATCGCCTCTGGCTGTTCCCCCTAATAGCGGGCACGAGCTGGTTTCTCACGCTGGCGGCTCTGCTATTGACCTGGATCGGGCGCGGGTGCCCGCGGTATCCGGGGCAGAAGAATCCTTATGTGGCGTGCGTACTGTGCTTTTCTATACATACTGCAAGTAGTAGAAGTGGTTCTAAGTTTGGTTCTGGGTGGTGGCTGGCCTGTGGGAGCAATATGCCTGCCTCTAAGATGGCCGGCGGCTTGCTGGACGGCAAGCTGCAAGCAACGCGTGGGAAGAGAAACGGGCGGGCGTTAAGAATTCGCAAGTGACATCTCCACATCTCCGCACCCATACTAACCCCCCACCCATCCAGTTTCATATCCGACATCGCCGCCTTCCAGCTAAAACCGCTCTTCCTCCTCGGCGGCACCACAACCGCGCTCTTCTTCATCGCCACGCTCCTCGCCGTGCACTTCGCGCGCTACGACCCGCGCATGTACGGCATCGACGACGCGGCGTGGAAGATGCGGGCCTCCGTGCTCGCCATGTGCAGCGGCGTGGTCGCGGGGCTCGGGCTGGTTCTGCTCGCGGTGCTGGACACGTTCCGCTTCCACGAAGAGCATGCGGTGCTGCTGCTGGTGTGCTGCGGGGGGCTGGTGGTCAGCATGGTGGGGACGACGGTGGTGTATTGGGAGCAGGCGTGGGGGGCGTCGCCGTTTCGCGGGTTGAGGGTTTAGTAAGCATCCTTGTTTCTTCCTTCTTTCCAGGCTGTTGCTTGCAGCTTGGGTTAAGTTTGTGGTGTGGGTCGCTGAGCTGACAGGAGAATAGTTGCATAGCGAGCGCGCTTACCGTGTTCCTTGATTTTGGCCTGGGTGTCTCATTCTATACCCTCATGCAGCTGTATTACTGGAAGGCCTCTGGTATTCTGGAGTGGGTTATGGCGTTCACGGGAGCTATCTATCTCTGGGCTTTTGTGGGGTTCGTGAGCGTGCCTGAGGAGGGGATCGATGAGGCCGAGAGAAGAGCGTTGTTGAGAGGCGTGGCAAGATAGCGAGAGCAGTACATCGAGAGAATTAAACACACACCTGTTAATTCTCATGACTGATATTGTACACTGGCAAGAGATCTAAGCGCTGGCCGCTATGCTTCATCCGTGTTCCGCGCACACGAGGGGATGTGGTGTCCGCCCTAATATACAATCCCAAGCCCTATCAGACTACAAGAACCGGGTCGGCGAGCTCTTCTTCAGCACCAGCGGGTGCCTGTGCACGCTGGGCATCAGACCCAGCCCAATTGCTCTCCGTATGGCCTTTGCGATCTTTCTCTGGTTCTTCGGTCGCAGGCCAGTGTCCTGCGAGTGCTTTATCCGGCCCATCTCGGTCATGTACTCCGACATCATGGTGAAGTTCTGCCGCGGGTCAGCATACCTTGTTTACATTCTAGCGCGTGGGAAACGGACCTTGTACTCATTCACCGGGTTGATGCCCAGCGTGTCAAATGCATCGCTCTGCGGCGTCTTCCGCCCCGTCTTCCACTTCTTCTGCTCGGGCCCCGACAAGTCGTGCGGCGCATACACATCCCCTGGACTCCACCTGCGGTGTATCTGCTTCTGGTAGTTTGAGCGCTGCTCGCTCTCTAGTATATCCCTCGTGTACCGTGCGGGGGCTGGGAGCGCCTCTTCGGCCATGCGCCTCGTGAGAGACGACTGCTTCGGGGCTCGTTGCGGCGCGGACGGATGGCTTCGAGCGGCGGCGGATCCACTGAGGATGCTGAGGACATCTTGGTCATCTGTTGCTGCGTGTTAGCGCATGTCGGGCGACGCTGGGGGGAGGCGTGCCTGCATTGCGCCTGCTGGTGGAGAAGCACCGGGCGCATGTTCGAGATATGGCGAAGGTCGGCCGGAAAGGTATTCGGGAGAGTGACATGGCGGCCGTTGGCGTCAATGGATGCTACCGTCTGCAGTCGCGTCGAGTCGAGTGCTGGTCAGGAAAGAAAGCTGCAAAGCTCCGCTCCGAACGCCTAGCGCCGGCTTGGCAATGATTTCACAGTTGATCGATGGCGAGAAGCCGACGCGACTCCTCACACTTCTCGCCCCTTCAGCGCAATTCCTCGTCGCCTTTCTTCTTGTACAATAATTCCATCTCATCTTTGCTCATGGCAGCAGTGACAGAAAATTAATAGCTGCCCCGCGCGCCTCAATTGCACTTCGAACCCGCCACCGCAGAGAGCTCCTCGACCTCCGCAATGCCGTCACATCTGACCCGCGTCATCTTCCGCAGCATCATCGCCAACAGACCGCTTCTGTACCGTGGATGCCTGCACCGCACACCACGGCCGCGATTGTCTATATACAATGTAAAGATCCTGCCGGCGCAGCGGCGCACCTTCTTCGACAACATCTTCAAGCCGCGGCGGAAAGTCAAGCCCGCGGAGCTCCCACCCGGCATTGAAGTCCTCTCTGAACTGGCCCATACGCAGCGCGAAGCCCTCCGGTTGCCTCCGCCCGCCGAGATAAGCCCAGCCCTGAAGGCTTTCTTTGCTCAAAAGGACGTTCGATTCGAAGATTTCCATGTCCAATTCGCCCACAATGCGTTCCGATACCTTCTTGAGCATCCGAGAGAAGATGGCCAGCCGTGGCTAACAAGGCAAGAAATGGAGGAGATGTTCTGGAAGCTATTGAATCACCCGCCCCTCGCAGGAGGAAAGCCGCATCTGGCCTTCGGAAGAGCACTGCATGCAGAATCGAAGAGGTTAGCTGAGAAAGAAGACACCCAAGAAGCAGACGAGCACGAACCCAAAGGACTCAGCACATACGAGAAGTTCGAGCTCCCGAAGTTCATCCTACTTCTTTCTAAGTTTGGGGCCAGCCTTGAGGCTAGAGGCATGGCCGAAAAAACGTACGCTGGCCCATGTGACTCAATGGTGGATTCGGAGAAGAAGGCGACGTTGTGGGCTTGGGCTGCAGTGCTACAGGGCTTAGCCCGTGAGGACAACAAGGAAGAGCTCCTCGCAACCGTCGACAAAATGCGCCAGCTCTCCGTGCCCTTCTCGGCTAGCATGCAAAAAGTCCTGGTCACATATTTTGCTGAGAGGAAAGGCCTGGAACAAGCAAAGCACTGGTTTTCGCAACCCGTTGTTGGTGCCGATGGCATCAACGCCGAGGAACCGCTCGGAGACACATACACGGCACTTTTGAAGGCTTGCGCCTTGTGCGGGGATCTTGCGTTTGGCCAGCAAGTTGTAGCTTCCTTGCTGCAGAGGCAGACGCCGAACAAGCAAGCCTGGGACGCCATCTTCCTGTGGTCTGCTGCTATTGGGAAGGGCCCGGATGAGATCGATCGCATGATGAACGTAATGGTCCGGCGGAACAACGAGGAGCGACAAAAGAGCCCGTCAACACCAGTAGTCGAGCCAGATATCGACACCGTTAATGCCTTAATAGAGTATGCGATGTCTAAGAAAGATTCGTACGCCGCAGAGCGGTATGTATCTCTCGGCGAGAAGAGAGGTATACTTCCGAACGCCAAGACCTTTACCATGCAAATACGATATCGGTTGTCTATCCACGATGTCGATGGAGCTCGAGCCGCTTATTTCGGCCTCCAAGGGAACGCGTCGGGCGACGAACAGAGCCTGGCAGCGGTCAATGAGCTCGTCCAGGCTTTGTGCGAGTCCAAGCAGCATCACATCGACGATATCATGGCTATTGTAGATGATCTGCATGAACGCAGAGCTCGACTTGCGCCCGAGACTGTGGCTGCTCTCTGCATTCTGCACCTGAGGCGAGGCGAGACACATGACGCCGTCGACCTCCTCCAGGTGCACGCTCATCGCTTCACTCCTGCCCAGCGCATCGTCATCCGGAAAACCCTGGCGGCATTCATCATGGACGGACAGACCAGCACAGCGGACGCCTGGGACACGTACCAGATCATGCGCAACTCCTTCCCCGAGACGCCACGCCAGGATCGCATTCCTATCCTGAACGAATTCTTTGCACGGAAACGCTCAGATATGGCCTGCCACGTCTTTTTCCACATGCGCAATTCCACGCACGAAGACATCACAACCAATAAAGAAGTATACGTAGCTGCATTTACCGGCTTCGCCCGCAACGCAGATGCCGACAGTCTAGAGCTTGCTCACAATCAGCTCAAGCTCGATCTAAACGTCGAAATGGACACGCAGCTCAGAAACGCGTTGATGCTAGCGTATGCTGGGACGGGCAACAACCGGCGTGCTCTGGAGTTTTGGGCCGAGATTGGAGCGTCGAAAGAAGGGCCTTCATACAACAGCATCGCGATTGCTTTCCGCTCCTGCGAGGGCATGCCGTTCGGAGACACGCACGCCAAGTCGATATGGAAGAGACTGAAGGAGCTGGATATCGATATTGACAAGCAGATATTTACGGCGTATCTATCAGCGATCGCACGGAACCACCTTCATGACGAGGCTCTGGCTTTGGTGGAGTTGGCCGAGGAAGACTACGGATTTGCGCCCGACTTGTATATGTGAGTTCTTTCCCCTTCCCGCAAGCCCCTCGCTTACCCGTTTGCAGACTCGGCAACTGGTTCAACACGACGACCAACATTGAGCGGCAGTCAAAAGTCGAGGAATGGATAAAGCAGCATTACCCGGCGGTGTGGACGGAGCTTGAAGCTCTGGGCTATTGGGTCACCATGGACGGCTTCGGCTACAGACAGTACAACATCAGCCGCGACCTGGAGCCGTAGGTCTTGACGTAAGGCTAGTATGTAAGCATACATGTAAACGACGGCTCTTGGAGCTCCTTGCATGCTCAGATGGGCAAGGAGACGAATACTACTGCTGTTGCTATCCTCGAGTAAGAATTCATTCCGTCAAGGCATGTCTCGCCTGTTTCACGTCATGGACGTCATCTCAACTTCCTCATGCAGCTATCGTGCCGCGTAGGCTAGCACTTACGGTCCATTCTGTTCCACAGCTACACACATTCATACGACTCCACGCAGCCATGCAATCCGCACCCTGGGGTCCTTCGATGAGATAAAGCCAGTCGACCCGCGTTTTTATTAGATTGCTGAAGTGCTGCTGAGCACGGCCTGTTGGCTTCCAATTGCCTCCGCTCGGTTCATTTGACCACGCAGTTGCCCAAGCAGCCGTCCAAGCGCCTGCTCCTGCCTCCACTCTTCCTTCCAGGCTATCCGTCAAGTCACTCTCACACTCTACGAGAGCACCTACATAATCCTACTCTCACCGCTCGTCATACCTCAACCGCAGCTCCACGCTCTGCGTCCCCGCTAGGTGCGTCCATCTCCTCAACCGCCAGCGTACAGCACTGACACCAATCCAGTCCAGCACAACAATGCGCGCTTTCCAGCTTCTGACAGCCCTCATCGGCCTCGTAGCCGCTGCTCCCGCTCCTGCCTCATCCTCCGAGACCGCCATCGGCCACCCTGCCGCCCGCGACGTCAGCGAGGACGGGCCGTGGACCAGCTACATGTGCAGCCAGAACTACATGAACGAGTACTGCGTACGCGTGTACGCCTACAACAAGTGCGGCAACATCCCGCAGCCCGTACACCTCAAGAACAAGTCCATGATGCAGTGGAAGGGCTGGCTCTGCGTCTACTACTGGACCGACAACTGCGACGTCGCCGACCACGCCGCGCTCACTGTCGACTCGCGTAAGGACTTCGTCTGGATGATGACCATGGGGTCGAACGAGTGGGGCCTTGCGAGCGCGAACTGCATTATCCCCAGGACGCCGGCTGAGGCGCGCGGGTTCGTTGCGGAGGCTAGGGGCGCTGTTGTTGAGGCTGGCGCTGGGCTGGCAAGGACGGTGCTGGTGTGCAGCGAGCCGGGCTTCAGGGGGAACTGCACGGCGGTCGATGCGTGGCGGAAGTGCAGCGGCAATTTTAACCACGGCGCTGTCCAGTCTGTCGTCCAGCAGCAGGGCGCGGTTTGCCAGTACTTCCGCGAGCGTACGTAGTCCCACCCGTTCATCCCCACGCGCCATGCTAACTTCCCCCAGTCGACTGCGCGGCCGGCCACTCCCCCTCCAAGCAGACCAATTCAACCGCCGGCACGCTGGCCTGGGCCGACATGGCCGACTGGACCGGCAAAGTGCGCTCCTTCCATTGCGACGCAGCCGGGCTGCAAACCCGCGCCCTCTCCCCATCCGCCTTCCCAAACCCGCAGCCCCTCCGCGCAAACTCCTCCCTCCAAGCCCACGCCGCCGACGTCCCCGGCCACATCACCGTCTGCACCCGCCCCAATCTGCAGGGCCAGTGCTGGACCTTCAACGCGTGGATGACGTGCCTCGCGCGCTTCCCCGCCGGGCTGATCCGCTCCGTGCTGCAGGACAGGGGCGCCGTGTGCCAGTACTACACGGCGGCGGGCTGCTACTCTAGGGCGGGGGAGCCGCCGTATGCGACGGTGGGGAGTGCGGCGGGGAGGACGCGCTGGGAGATGGGGGCTTGGGAGGGGAGGGTGGTGTCGGTTTTGTGTACGGCGTGAGTAGGGGGTGGCGTCGATTGTGGACTCTGGACTCTGGGGATGATGGTTCGGCATGGATCGGGTCCTGGTGGGTCTGTTGTGCTGGGAGTTATGGTTCTTTTCACTAATTGCTGGAGACGGCACCATCCATGTGCTTGCTTGATGGGTGGGGTCTCAAGCATGAAATGCAATTCCATGCCATGCAATGCAATGGAATGGAATGGAATGGAATGGAGTGGAACAGCAACATCTTTCTTATCTTATCTTCTCATCTACTATATCACGTTTCTCGGAGGATGATGTTGATCACTAAATTAAGCTAAGGCCCGGTCGGTCCTTCAACCCAAAAGAAACATGAGCCCAGCACAGCACAACACAGCACTGGATTGGCACAAACGAATGAATGGATGTATGATATCAGCTCCATCCCATCCCATCCCGTCCCATTTTATCATCTATCTGCTCTGCTGCTCACACTCACTCACTCACTCACTCACTCACTCACTCACTCACTCACTCACTCACTCACTGTACAAACAAGCAAACAAACAAACAAACCCATCCCATTCCTCAAATGCGCTCTTCCCTTCCTTCCCTCTTTCCGTCCTCCCGTCCATCCGTCCACCAGAGCCTCACTCACTCCCCCCTTCTACGCTGCCAATCTAGCCACGCTGGCGTCTGTCTATCGAACAACTGTATGTTCGCTCCTTCCTCGCTTGCACACCTGCATGTATTTATACATAGGTCAGACCAGACCATGCCATACCAGGTCAGGCAGGGCTAAGCTACTCTCTCGATTTCCATCTACATCTACATTTACATCTACGCGTGGTGGGGCGTGCGTGCGTTGGCTGCATTGGCTGCGGTGGGAGCGTGGTAAGTGTTGGTAGTGTTGGGAGCAAGACTCCCCAGCTCTGGCTATCCATCCCCCGGGAGGGAGAGGTACAGGTGAGATACCCACTACAATTGCCTAGTATACTGTATATACTACACTATAGTCCATAGGCTACACTACATCCACCCCATCAGCCCATCCTTTCCCAGCATCCCCGCCATATCGTCCGTATATCTAGCTCCCAAGGATCCAAATCCAAACCAACTACCCTAGTGTGTATCCCGGCATCCGCCAATCAATCACCTATATACAGCACCAACCCAAACCAAGCCAAGTGAGTGAAATATCACAAGCACTCATCCCTTAGTCTTCGATATAGATTCAGATATCATTAATTCGTATGTGTGCGTATATACAATACACCAATAAAAAAGAGTCTCCCGGAGCTATTTTTCTCCGTCCCGGGCTCCTCCTCGTAGTATCCTCATATGCTCGATACGTATCCTTCCAGCATTACATATCGCTCGTTTTGGGAATGCATACACACGCTTGCTTGCTTGCTTGCTGAACCTTCCCTCGAAGAAACAGGGGGAATCAAATCATCGTGCCGTCCCTTGATAATTAGAAAGAAAAGAAAGGGGATATCACCACCCCATCGGATGCCAGATGCCAGCTTTTCCTCCTCCTCCTCCTCCTCCTTTTGCTCTCCAGCGACTCCTGGTTAATCCCGATTAATAACGCGCAAGCTCCGCCGCGGATTCAGCAGCACGCCCCTCGTGCCCCAGAACACCGGCTCCTGCCCCGCGAGCAGATCGTCCGTCGAGCTGCCCACACTGCTCCGCCGCCCCAGCGCATCCACCCCGCCTACTCCTGCCGCTCCTCCCGCCGCTCCCGCCGCAGCAGCTCCGCGTATACTGCCCGCCAGCCCTCCTCCAGCCCGCTCGTCGCTCGTCCGGATATTGCTGCCCGCCTCGCTGGACCGCGTGGCCAGCATGTCGCGCTGGGCGCGCTCGCTCGAGTTCTTCCCGCTGGACGCGATGGCGCTGGCGCCCTGCGGCGCAAAGGGGTCGTTCTTCTCGTTCTGCGCGCCGCGCGCGGCCATCATGGCGGCGTGCTGCTTCCAGATCTTGACCTGCTTGCGGTAGATCCAGGCGCAGAAGGCGAAGTAGGCGGCAACGAGGAAGAAGACGCCTGCGATGACGCCCGCGACGATGGCGCCGACGTTGGGGCCTGAGGAGCCGCTGCTGCCGCTGCCGCCGCCGCCGCCGATGGTCTGCGTGATGGTGGCGCCGTTGGGGCCTGTGACGGTGTATGTCATGGGCGTGCCGGTTTTGAATGGCCCGTCGGTGGGGGACTGGATGGGCGCGGTGAGGGTGGCGCCGCCGGTTTCTTTGCCGCCGATGACGGATTGCACGGGCGCGGGCACGGCGTAGCCGTAGCTGCCCTCGAGGCCTGCTTTGGCGTCGAAGCCGCGCTGGTTGGCTTGCTGCGCGAGCGGGTTCCCCTGGCTGCCTTCGCTGCCGTCCCAGGCCTTGAGCGCGTTGTCGCCCGTGAGTGCCGTGAACTGGTCGCTCCATTGCAGGCTGGACATGTTGAAGACGTAGATACCGGGCGACTCGCAGCCGAGATCTTTGCCGACGTAGCCGCCGATGACGATCATTTGGCTGTCCCAGACGTGGCAGGAGTGGCCGGCGCGGGCGTAGGGGACGCTCTGTGTCGACTGATCGACCTCGATCCAGACGAAGGAGGGAATAGAGAGGATCCACATGTCGTCGTACTGGGTTTGGTTCCCGTAGGGAATGAGGTTCTGGCCGCCGAACATGTAGACGTTGTAGGAGGAGCCGCTGTCATGGGTTAGTATGGAATGATGAGAAAGGGACGGATGCAGGAACGTGAGGCTTACTCTGCTGCGGCTGCGACTACGGCGCAAGGGTTCACACGGTATTTGGGCATGGTTCCGGAGGTGCTTTGCTTGTACCAGGTCGATTTGGCGATGTCATATACGTCGATAACGTTCATTTGCGCCTAAGCCCAATAGTTAGAATACTGCCCAGTCCATAATTGCGGATGAAGCTTACAAAGGTGGAGTTATCTCCACCGGTCAGACCGAGCAAAATGCCCTCGTCTCCGAAGCCGGGAATATAGACGAGGATCCCGTCGGCGCGTTCAGGAAACGAACCGGTGTCTTGAATGCCACCTTCAGTAATGTTGCGGTACACACCATCCTGACCGGCCGTCTTCCCGTCCCCAAGGCTGTCGACAGCTTCGTTGGAATACCCCGGGAACGTAAATTCCAGCAGGCTCTTCAAGTAGATTCTCGCAATCTGGTTGCTCCAGCCCTCGGTTGTAAATGTATCCAGATGGCCGCCGAAGAACCACCCACGGCCCAGGTTAGCCACGCTGAAGCCTGCGCCCTCAGCAGCGCGCTGAATAGACTGTCCGTCCCCCTCTGCATTGTCGCCTGCAGAGCTCTTCGGGTCCGTGTGCTCTATCCACTGCTTGTTCCCGATGTTGTATTCCCACATTGAGTTCGCGGTCGGGCTCTCGGCGGGATCTTCGGAGAATTCGCCACCGTAGAGGTAGAGCGACGAGTGCGAATTCCATAGATAGCCGAGCGAGACGGCAGGTGGACCGGAGGGGATGGGTTGGCCGGTGAGAGACGGCTGGGCGATTTGCCACGACTTCGTCAGGTCAAGAGTGAGGAAGTCGTTTGCTGTAGCGCAATGTTAGATACCAATGCCTGTTATTGAAATCAAGGCAAGTATACTCACTCCAGGTGTTGCTAGTTTGCGACGCGTCGGTAATCGTGCGGAAGCCGTACATGTACAGCGTTCCGTTAACAACGGCAGCTGTGCGTGGTCAGTCCCATACCTCGCATCAATGAGTAAGAACCTGACTTACATTGGCCGGCCCACCTCTTGCAAACCTCCGTAGGGGAATCTTCTCGCTTCGCAAGGTTCGAGTAGCTTGTATACTCAATCGTTTCTCGTGGAATGACCCCGCCTTTGACGCCGACTGGCGATATGGTGCTGATCTGAACGATCGGCAACATCAAGGCGAGTGTAACCACCAATATCCCTAGGCGATACATTTTGGACAAGGCGAGGTTCTGCCGGGGCAGCGACGGCTCGACTGAATCGGTGTCCTCGACGTCCGACTCAGAGGCAGATTCCCAGTCGTCTTCCTTTGTCTGCCGTTCCTCCTCCCTCTCGTCGAAAATCTCATTCTGGCTTCGGAACCTCACAGTTCTCGCTGGTCTCAATCGCCTCGGGCTCGGATCGGAAATCAGAATAGGCGCAGGCGCAGGCGCGGGGCTGCGCTCTCTCCGCACTGTCTCTTCGTCCACAAGTCCAACTTCCATGAAGACGGACTTCCGGCGTCCGGGCGCCCGGAGAGCGGGTTGGGGTCGCGTTCGCTCCATCGTTGGGTCGAATGCGCCCTTGTCGAGGTCGCGCGTCGCGTAGTTAATGCTTTGAAGACGGTGTGTCTGTATGACGTGCGGTAGAAAACTGGGATCGGGGCTTATATGCCGAATTGAGCTGTATTATAGGCAGAATGATACGGGGGCCGGGTGGCGGGACAAGCAAGAGGGTTCTGTGGCTAGAAAATGTAAAGCAATTCGGGTGCTTCGCTGTGAAAGGCGGGAATCAATGGCGAGGCAATGCAGCACAAGGCTTTGCGGTGATGGCGAGAGCTGAGCGAGAAAAGGAACAGAGTGACTTTGACAGGTGCGACGTGAGGATGGGGGAACCCCGTCGATAAGCAGATTGGCTTCCCCCATCCCGACTTGTGCTGTCCCGTCGGGAGCAGGATGAAGGCAAAGGCACGTCATGAGGCTGCCCGGACTGGCAGTGATCACTCCATCGCGATTTTGGCTAGAGGCGCATGACAGGGGGCGGCATTGGCTGAAGCCCGTGCCCAGCCGTCACCCCGGACTTTAGAGCATGACGCGGGCCAAGACATGGAGGAATGAGAGTCAGAACAAGGCGCCGGCAAATCAAGCTCCCGCGACGATGCTAGAATTTCCCTGGCAGCGCGTTGGCGCTCGTTCACTCCGCGGATGCGCTTTGTTGGTGTTTGTGTGCTGGGGGCTCTTGCCCGTTCATTATTCAACACTGCCCCGCTCCTCAGCGGCCGATAAATGCGCTGCGGGCACCAAGCCAAACAGAGCACACAGTCGATATTCGTGTGTCGTACTCGGAAGCCAGGCCCCTCACCTGATGATTAGTGGTGCTCTGCGACTTCCGCATAGAGAAACCGTTTAGTGTAGCCTTTATTGATGCCGTGACCTGTTCTATTTATTGCGCCCGGCGCCTCAACTTCGCGAACCTCGAAGCGAGGCCAGGCGAGCGGCGGTGCTATGTGGCGCCTGTGGCGCGGGTCCTTCAAACCTCAACCTCGGATTCTGGACCGCATGTGCCTATCACCTTGCCGGCTTGCAAAGCTGTTGAGCCGGGGCCCTGGGATTCCCTTCTCGGTTGGCAGCCGAGTGGCACGTCCAGATCGCCCGCTGTGTTCCATCGGCCTGCCCCTTGCCGTTAGGGTGACCGCGAATGATGCTGTGAGCAACAGTCGAAAGAACCTTAAAGGAACGTGCTCCGTTCTCTCCTCCGCTCTCGCAACTTATCCATGCGCTGGATAGTAGGCACATCCTAACAATGCATAACGGTCCGCTCAACCAACTGAAACCTCCGAGTTGGAGCCCCCGCGCAGCTGCGTATGCTTTTCACGTGCCGTCACCCACGGCGGCTCTCCGTCGTCGTTGAACTCGGCCCATTGGAAAAAGGAGCACCCGTCCTGGCCTGGAACATAGTTTGTATGACACATCCACATGTACCTGCCTCGACTCTCTTTCTTCTTCGTCACGCACCGCAGCACCGTCGGCACACCACACTTGCACTTTGGCGTAAACCTGGGATGGAGGTTTTCCTTGTAGCATCGATACGTGATGTTGAGGCGCTTGTTCTTCGCCAGGGGATGAGGGTCGATCGCCTGTGCTGGGGCAATTGAGTGCTTCCACTCCTCTTGCATTTCTGCATGCATAACGAGCAGTGAGTTGTGCGGCAGATGGATCGATATCTGCCCTTGAGCGTCGGCGAGGGAGTCGTCCTCTTTGCGGTGTTGGTCGTCCTCGGCAACGATCTTGCGGACACGGAACTCGCGAGCTACGCCGAGGCTCAGACTCCCAATGATCGCGCGTGGCCCTAAGTATGTAAGCTGGTCGGAATGGTATCCCACGCACTCTTTGGGGCCGTCGTAGCAGTTGACGAAGGCGGTGTTGGCTTTCCAGCGCCCTGGGGATTGGTATTTGAGCTTCTTGCCTTCGGGATAGAAGTCCCGTATCCTGCGTTCGATTTCGCGGTTGACGGCATCCTCGACCTTTGGACAAGCCCTGAGCATCTCCGGCGTACTTTGTCGGACATCGTCCACCTTTCGGCCATCGTAGATGTACTCAGTCTTCTGCCTTTCGGCCTCAGCCAGACTGTTGACGTAGAAACAGAATGTATGCGGACTTTTGACGACCTTGTCGAATAGCTTGAACTCCAGGCAGGAATATGTGGGCGCCTCGTTGAGCAGTTCCTGGAGCAGGGCGTCCGCTTCTTGAGGCGACAGGAAATTGTGGATGATGGAGCAAGGCGTATGTGCTTCGATGTCTTCAGGGCTGTACAGGTAGAGTGTCTTGCCCTTCTTAACTAGAGGTTTCGTCGTCGAGCCGCGCTCTGCTGGATTAATGCGGTAGGACGAGAGAGACGACTGGTGTCCTAGGCCAGAAGAGGCGGGCCGCTTTCTGGGAGAAAGCGCCCTACTGTGAGCGAGAACCTCGGATGCCTGCTCAACGGCTCCGTCGGAGGCGAGAAGAGCCTCAAGCAACGTTGCCTCGTCAAGATTCGGATGAAGCGATGCCAACATGGCTAGCTTGAAGTCTGTCGATTCCTCTTCTGCGGGGTCTTCGTGCGTTGCTGTGAGAGCCGGCGACGTGGGCTCTTGCTGTGGCGCCTCCAGTCGGCGGCGCTTGCGTGACACGAAGGCATCCATGCTGCACTCTGGCGGTGTTGAGCACATGCATGGCGCAAGAGAAAGGATGGGGTAGCGCTGGAGTGGTTGAGCTGAAGCGCGGGCGCCTGAACGCGCTTTCGCCAAAGCACGTGAATTGAAAGTGGCCCCCGCATGCAGCAAGGTGCCGCAAGCGAGGCGGATGGGGGAAAGCCTCGGCCATATACACGTCGTCACCGAGCAAGATGCTGCTCGACACCTCTCGCCCCGCCAACGCTCTGCGAACGATGGTGTGGACAGAGAACATACTGGTTGGCGCGCCGTAGAGTCCTATCATACCATACCTAGCCAACCCTCTGCTGTGCCGCGCCTACACGACTCCACGATGCTCGAATTCCGGACGCAGGGCTACAACGGCTACAGCGTCAAGTACTCGCCCTTCTTCGACTCGCGCATTGCCGTCGCCGCGTCGGCGAACTTCGGGCTCGTGGGCAATGGCCGGATATACATACTCGGCCTGACGCCGAACGGCATTGTCGCGGAGAAATGGTGCGCGAATCCATTACAATAAGACCTTCACCTGTATCACATGCATGCAGTACTGACAAAGGTTATCCAGGTTTGACACCCAAGACTCGCTCTTCGACACAACGTGGTCAGAATCGCACGAGAACCAGCTGCTCACCGCAGGCGGCGACGGCTCTGTCAAGCTCTTCGACATCACCCTCGCGCAATACCCCGTCCAGTCGTGGCAAGAACACGCACGCGAGGTCTTCGCCGTGCACTGGAACCTCGTCGCCAAAGACACCTTCCTGTCAAGTAGTTGGGACGGCACAATCAAGATCTGGAATCCAAACGCGACCGCCAGTCTGACGACGCTGCCCATCCACTCGTGCACCTACTCTGCCGCATTCAGCCCGCACAGTCCCAGCATCCTCAGCAGCGTCAGCTCAGATTCGCACTTGAGAATCTTCGACCTCCGCACTCCAGCATCCGCGTCGAACCACCTCACGCTCAATATCCCCATGCACACCCCGCCGAAGGCCCGCATGGGGGTCCCGGCCCCGGTTGGCATCCCTCCCTCCGAAGCGCTCACGCACGATTGGAACAAATACCGCGACAGCATCATCGCCACAGGAGGAGTCGACCGCCTCATCCGCACCTTCGACATCCGCGCACCGGGCGCCGGCCCCATCGCCGTCCTTCCAGGCCACGAATACGCTGTCCGCCGGATAACATGGTCGCCCCATCTCTCAGACATCTTGCTGAGCGCGAGCTATGACATGACGTGCCGGGTGTGGACCGACGGCAGCGCTATGGGGGTAGGCCAAGTGAAGCAGGAAAACATGCTCGAAGACCCCATGGTCCACGGAGGCGGCAGGGAGTTGGGCAGGATGGGACGGCACACCGAGTTTGTCACGGGCGTGGACTGGTGTCTGTTCGGTGCTGAGGGCTGGTGCGCGAGCACGGGTTGGGACGAACGGGTGCTGGTCTGGGATTGCAGGGCCATCATGCAATGACCTTTATGAGCGAATATGACTTGGCGGCATCTTGCATGTATTTATGGCGTTGCGAAAAGTTATTAGGTATACCACGATCTGAGGACATCGATCCATGACTGGAAGCTCCCAGGGTAAGTGTGCTCATGCTGCGTTTTCGTACCCTAAGCATGGCCGCCTGCATATACGTTCAAGGGCACTTTGAACTTTCGTCTTTTCTGTGCGTGTACGTCGGCGCAAGGACATTGAAAGCGGCGTTACGGCGTCTGCGACTACCGACCTCTAGGCTTCGTATTTCGCATCGCAGCCCGACCTACAGCAAACATCATCCGCAGCGGTAGGATAATATCCCTCTCATGTCTCTTCTCCTCTTCTTCTCAGATACTTCTTGCTCATTTCTTGCCCTAACAAAAGCGGGCTCGGCCTGTCCGTGGCAACCTCCCTTTTCGTTTATATAAAGCTGTTGTGCTTGTATTTCACATTAACGTCTTCTATGCATGTAACCTCTCCATCCTCCGGGGACCTCGAGCTTGAAGAAACCGCCGCGAACTTTCCACCATTTCACTGTTGAGTTACTCCATACCGGTATCAGGTAATCCCTTATCGTCGCCTGGAAGGGAACCGCCGAGCAGGCCAGCTCTCCAAAGCAAATAATTGCAAACACTCCAGAATCTCCACACCATGGCCCTCAGCTATCTCTCCGCCAAACTCTCCATCCTCCCTCGACTCTTTCAGCCCAGCTACGATGCCATATTCTCCACCCTCCCCTTCTCCCAACGCTGGCGCCTCCTCCTCCTGCAACCCATCAACCTCCTCGCCGCCCTCCTCACAGCCCCCTACTGGCTCTTCAACAACCGCTACTCCGTACTCTACATCCCAACCCGCAGCGGCACCCAGCGCTGCCTGCTCTTCCAGCCGCCCGTTTCCAAACCCCGAAAGCAAAAGAAGGAGAAGGAGGAGGAGGACAAGCCAAGACCCCTCCACATCGACCTCCACGGCGGCGCCTTCATCGGCGGCTCCCCCGAGCAAGGCGCAAGATGGTGCGCATATCTGAGCGACAACACGGGCGCGGTGGTCGTAAGTTGCAGCTACCGCGTCGCGCCGCGCCACGTGTTCCCCGCCGCGCACGACGACGTCGACGATGTAGTGTCCTGGGTCCTGGACCACGCTGCTGCGGAACTCAACGCTGATCCAAACCTGCTCACCGTCGGCGGCGCTTCTGTTGGCGCAAACCTCGCGCTCAGCGTGGCCCAGTATCTGCTCCATCGCCGCTCTGTATCGTCCCCGCCTACCACGCTCACGTACACGGCAACAGCGAAAGGACTCCTCGCCTTCTGCGCCCCCGTTGACTTCCGCCTCCCGCCCGAAGAAAAACCACGCCCGCCCAACTTCCCCACCCGCGATCCGCTTTCTTTCCTCATGCCGCTGTATGACGCCTACGCCGGGGGCCCGACGCGCCAGCGCGCCTGGGACGATGCGCGCTTGAATAGCTTTCTTGCGGGTAGGGAGATGTTGCCGCGGGATGTGCTGTTTGTGGCTGCGGGCGTGGATATTTTGCTGGATGAGCAGGTGAGGTTTGTGGAGAGGGTTAGGGCGGAGGGGGAGGGGGAGGGGGTGGAGATGAGGGTTTGGGAGCGCGGGTTTCATGGGTGGTTGGAGTGTGAGTGTTTATTTCATTTCTTGATGTTGGTGGTGGTGGTGTTAGAAAGGGGAGTTGGACTGGACTGAGCTAATCTGATGAACAGTGCCGAAGTTCGTGCTAGAGAAGGAAAGGATGGAGGCGTTTGAGACCAGTGTGGCGTTTATCAAGAGGGTGCATCGGAAGTATGGCTTTGACTTTGATGTTGGGAAGAGAGTCGATTGAGTGTAGACGATGCTACTAGCTATCTGTCTGGCGTGGTTATTTTGCTGGCGTTTTCGGATTCGATCGAGATACCCTTCTCAATGAACGTCAGAGTAAACCGGTTTCTCCTCAAAGAAACGCCTCTTCAAACTACTAGAACAAAGCCAGCAGGAACAAACCCCCGCTCCCTCCGACCACGTCTTCTTCAAAACGCTACCCTTCTATCTAAACCTCCCTCCTCCATTTGTCAACCCAACACCGCCACTCCCGCCCCTCCACCACCAACACCACCACGATGCCAACATCATCCCCCTCACCTCCAAACCCAAACCCAAACCCCTGGACCGCCCGCCTCCGCCCCCGCCCCAACCGCCCTATAACCCCACACCCCCCGCCCAGCAGCAGCACTTCGGCCTCCAAAAAACCACACCCGCAAGCCAAACCCAAACCAACCTGGTCCAAAACCCTCGCCCCCGCCTCCGCCGCATACCAGCAAGCGCGTCAGCGCCAGCGCAAGCGGAGACGCAAGACTGGAAGTGTGCGGTTTACGAGGGCGAAAGGGAAAGGGAAAGGGAAATCTAAATCCAAAGCGAGGAGCGCACGGGCGAGCGAGGGCAAAGCGGCAAAGGGGGGCGCTTCTGCTTTTGGTGGGGTTGCGGAGAAGAGGGGGAGAGAGGAGGGGGAGGAGGAGGTGAAGAGGGTGGAGGAGGAGTAGGTGCAACGAAGTAAGGTGGTAAGGCGTGGGCGGGTAGCGCTGTCGCGGAGGGGATGGCGGTGCGTGGGTAGCGTTTAGAGGAAGGCTGGATAGGGCGGTCGAGGATTGGAGGAAGGAAGGAGGTATCACTGTGAGTGACGGAGACGATTCTGGACGGCGATGCCGTGGGGTAGAAGGAATTTGAATGCGTAGAAGCACGCACGACGGTAGATATTTGCTGAAGACTAGAGGACAGAGGAAAGGTCGCTCGCCCGCTCGTTGGGGTTTCATTTTCATACAGGTGAATACATAGACGTACATATGCTACAAAGGCCCTTCATCATGTCCTAGAGCAGCCTTGCTCATGACGGCTTCTCGAACTCGGCTTTTCCGTGCCGGATGGTGGCGTACCGGACTGTGGTGCCATCTGCATCCTGCGATGCAAGGCGTGTCTGTGTCGGGGTGCCTGCCGAGATTTCCTTGATCTCTTCCTTGATCTTCCTCGTCACTGCGTCTTGGACGGCGCCAGGCGGACTCTCGGCTATTTCGTTGACGTCCTTGAGCGTGAGGACGTCGCTGATGCGGGACGCGCGGGACTGGAGGAGCATAGTTGTTGGGCCCTCGAAGCGGAGGAAGAGCTGACGGTGCGGTTAGTCGAGAGTATTGAGGAAGATGGGTCTGGACTTACTCTATCGCCCCATATTGATCTCCGGAGCCACGTCTTCACGGTGTGGTATATTGTGGCTAGTGTTCTCCATGTCGCCGTTTGGCTCATGACCCTGAAGAACTTGACGTTCTGGACTAAGGACCCGAAACCGAGATCTGGGACTTGGAACCGGAGATTGGAAGATTTGAAGCGGAAGGGGAGAGGTGGAGTGGAGGAGGTAGTGTATGCTACGACATTGCTGCTGCGTGTGAGCTTTTGGATTGAAACGACGAAGGTAGAATGCATACCTTGGATGCGCAATATAGCTCTCGCCAGCCTTCAGTTGGACCTGATATATCTGCCCGCTGCCCACCAGCGCGAGCAGCCCCCGTCCGGTGACATAGGTGTTGCCCCAGTTCGCTACTCCAAGCTTGACATTATACTGTGGCTTGAGAGACAGCGTCTGTCCTGACCATGCAAGAAGCGCTTGCCGCTGCGCTATGATCCAGTCCTGCCTTCCATCCAGATGCACAGTAACGATTGAAGATATGGGCGATTTGGTGGATATGAGAGCCGTGACGGGGCCTGTAGAGGACACCTTCTGGTAGAGGAACGGGATGCCGACGGGCGCGCGTCGGAACGGCTCGAGGAAGGAAAGAGTCGAGAGTGTGCTTTCGGCCTTGCCGCTGAGGCCGACTAATGTCCCGCGGCGGGTATAGAGGTTCTGCGAGGCGGCGAGGGAGACGGAGAGGAGGGAGAAGGGCGAGCCGACGACTTCGAAGCGCGCATCTGGGCCTGTAAGCTTCCATTCGTATCAATTGAGCAAGAAAGTGCACCTGGAGAAGGAATTGGCGTCGCCGAGGGGCTCACATCCGCCTGCTGGTCCAGCACCGGCTCGGTGGAGACATTCGTTGCCGTGATGTTAATGCATCGGGCCGCAATTGGCGTCCGCCGCACGAGGCCGGCGGATGTGCGACGGGCGAGGCACCTCCAGGGCGAGGCAGCCGGACGGAGCATGGCTGTGCCTACGGATGGGCGTTCATCAGAGTGCGGTTGTGCCTGGCGCAGACTTGCGGGAGATTCGCGGTGATGCAAGCCGGCGTTCAGCCCTATCGGGTGCAAACAGGCCAAACTCTGACGCGATAGGTGAGCACCCCACGACGCTGAGCTCGCCGCTCAATTCCTCCTCAGCCTCACGCCCTTCTATAAATCCGCGCGTCCCCTTTTAAGCTCCGCAGAGCTCCAATTGTACTTCCTGCAGCTTCTCGCGCCTGAACATGTGAGGGTCGCCATGCTAATCCCCCCGCTTGCCCGTGCCTGCCGGCCAGGCCTCCGAAGCTGGCAACCTCAACCTCTATACTACGCGACACGAGTCTTCACCTCCAGCCCGCTCCACAGAAAAGACGCCCACGGTCACCGGCCTACGCATCGTCCGCCACCCCACGCCCACACCCATCATCGGCCAGCCCCCGGAACCAAAGATGCGGTCCAGAAGACAAGGGCAGCGCAGCCGGCGAGACCGGATATGCTGACGGAGCAGGTGGTCTCTACCAAGGACCAGCGCAAGGCCGACTGGGCTATCATGAAAGAGATGTCGAGGTATCTGTGGCCAAAGGACAATCTGGGAACGAGGTTCAGGGTGGGCTTGAGCGTGGGGCTGCTTGTCGGCGCAAAGCTGCTCAATGTGCAAGTTCCCTTCTACTTCAAGAGCATAGTCGACTCCATGAACATCGACTTCATGGCCGTGGGTGGGACGGCGTGGACAGTGGCCGGATCCATGATAGTGGCCTGTAAGCTTCAGCGGACCCTGCACAACACATGCCGGTGTGACTGAAAGGCGTAGATGGCGCAACCCGTATCGGTGCTACCCTTTTCCAAGAACTGCGCAACGCCGTCTTTGCCAGTGTCGCCCAGAAGGCCATCAGGAGAGTCGCTTGTAGCGTCTACGAGCATCTGTTGAAGCTCGACCTCAGCTTCCATCTGTCCCGCCAGACTGGTGGTTTAACGAGAGCCATCGATCGAGGAACGAAGGGCATAAGCTTCTTGCTCACATCCATGGTCTTCCACATATTGCCAACCGCCTTGGAGATATCGTTGGTCTGCGGTATCCTGGTATGCATGCCCCCTGAATCAGTCGCAAAATGAGGCTTATTGTTCCAGACCTACCAATACGGAGCTAAATTCGCCCTAATCACCGGCGTTACAATGGCTGCATACTCAGCCTTCACTATCCTGACCACATCATGGCGGACCAAGTTCCGGAAGCAGGCCAATGCTGCTGATAACAAAGCCGCAACTGTCGCAGTTGACTCCCTCATCAACTACGAGGCTGTCAAGGTATCCACCTCCTGGCATCTTTGATAGGTCGTAGCTTACCATACCTCAGTACTTCAATAATGAAAAATACGAAGTCGGCCGATACGACAAGGCGCTGCAGGCTTACGAGAAGGCCTCTATCAAAGTCGCTACGTCCCTAGCCTTGCTGAATTCGGGTCAGAACATCATCTTCTCTAGCGCGCTGACGGCAATGATGTATCTTGCAGCCAGCGGCGTTGCAGAAGGACAGCTAACTGTCGGGGACCTCGTCATGGTGAACCAGCTGGTCTTCCAGCTTTCGGTGCCCCTGAACTTCCTTGGTTCCGTTTACCGTGAGCTGAGGCAGAGTCTGCTTGACATGGAGACTCTGTTCAACCTGCAGAAGGTCAATGTTGCGGTTAAGGACAAGCCGGATGCTAAGCCGCTGCTGTTGTCTTCCGGCGAGATCAAGTTCGAAAACGTCACGTTTGGCTACCGCCCTAATCGCCCCATTTTCAAAAACCTCAACCTCACCATCCCCGCCGGCAAAAAGGTCGCCATCGTTGGGCCTAGTGGCTGCGGAAAGTCTACCATTCTCCGACTCCTGTTCCGATACTACGATACGCAAGAAGGCCGCATTCTGATTGACGGCCAGGACATTCGAGACGTGAGTCTAGAAAGCCTGCGCAAAGCCATAGGGGTGGTGCCTCAAGATACCCCTCTCTTCAACGACACGATCGGGCATAACATCAGATACGGTAATCTTGAAGCGTCGCATGACCAGGTCATCGAAGCAGCCAAGCGAGCGAATATCCATGAAACTATCAACCATTTCCCAGATGGGTACCTGACCATGGTGGGAGAACGTGGCATGATGATATCAGGGGGAGAGAAGCAACGTTTGGCTATCTCCCGTCTCATTCTAAAAGACCCACCTCTTCTTTTCTTCGATGAAGCTGTAAGTCCCCTAGACATCCGTTCTTTTTTATATATACTGATAAGGATGCCCAGACCTCCGCATTGGACACACATACCGAACAATCCCTGCTCTCCCACATCAACTCCATCATAAAGGAGAGGAAGCGAACCTCCGTCTTCATCGCGCATCGGCTACGTACCATTTACGACTCGGACCTCATCATTGTATTGAAGGGAGGCAGCGTAGCCGAAAGCGGCACGCATGAGCAGTTGGTGGACAGAGCAGGCTTGTACTCTGAGCTCTGGAGTGCTCAGGAGACGCTTTTCGCTGACGCCGAGGAAGAGAAGGAGGTGGCCGGAGACGCGAGGTAGCACGTCAGCCGATTTTACAATGACTGGAGGTCTCTTTAGATCTGTTACGGACGGAAATGGCTTCAAGGTAGTGGTAGATGCAGGTCTCTGGTGGCCTCGCGGCATTATAGAAGGCTCACTTTCTCCCATTGATTGAGGCATCATCAGGAAACATCTCGATTTTTGTACTAATTGTAGCGCGGATAATGATATCTCAAGCTCTTCACAACAAGGGGCGAAAAGGTCGCCGGGAGGATGCGAACCGCGGAAGCCGGGCTCCTTGGCATACAGCCGGCTACGTCATCCCGAACCGTCGGAACTTCCAAGGTTGCACAACACCACCGGCATTCCGCCATCCTTCACCCCTCGCTCATCTTTGCTTCTAACATCTCTCTATCCCCGCGAAGATCTCACATCAGACCTATCGCTCCATATAGCCATTCGCTTCGTAACCAATTGACGAACCCTCCGCCAGCCAATCAGCCTCCCACAGCGCATCTCCCCACCACCACCCCAGCAACCCCAATCCCCTACCCCCACCAAAATAACCAAAGCCCTACCCCAAGAAATGTGCCTCGTCACCACAAAACCCACCTACCGCCACGAGCCCGGCGTCCTCGACCCACCACCGCACCGCTCGCGCTTCTCCGCCCATCCGCCACCCGGCGTCGTGCGCCTACCCCGTGGATCCACGCACTCGTACCGCCGCTCGTCTACTACTAGCTTTAGCGACTCTGCGCCCAGAGTGGTGGAGTATCGGCGCGAGAGGCCGAGGGAGATCGAGTGGGTGGAGGAGCCGAGGAGGAGTAGGAGTAGGAGTGTGCTGAGGGATGGCGGGGCGAGGGGGAGTAGGGGGAGCTTTGTTGAGGATAGGAGGAGGAGTGTTAGTCGGGTTAGGTATGCTTAGGGGGTTGGGAGGTTAGGGAGGTGTTGGATGGGATGGGGGACTGGGCGGTGAGGTGGATGTTTCTGAGGGTTTTGGGTGGAGAGGGGAGAGGTGTAAGAGGGAGTTTGTTTGGCTTTGTTAGTCACCATCTATACTTCTTGCTTTTCTCCGTGGCACTGCTGATCACTAAAAGAAGTGTAGTAGCTGGAGTGGGAGCAGAGAGCCCGCGTATCGAGTTACATACGAGCTGGATTACTATCACGGCGGAGGATATGTCGAATTCGACCCAGCTATCTGATACTTACTCTCTTTGACCGCTTCAACGCAAGATACGTCGACCATGGCCCGGTTCGGATGGTCTCAATGCCGTCTAACAGATTTCTAAGCGCCGTGCTATTCTCACTCAGTAAAGCAGAGATTCTGTTGGGGTGTGTATTGCTGAGGGGGAAGTGAAGGTGTGAAAGGAGTTCTAGCTCTCTTTCTTTTTATGTTGCCTTTCCGAAGCTGATCGTGTCTAATGGGTGTCTGGATTGGGTTGTACCGAGGATTGATGTCTCGTTTCTATCTCTTCCTTGTCATATCGGCAGCGGGTTTTGGGATCTGCTTCACCTTGACCTCGGGATATATCATGCGGCCCGGGACCAGGTCTTCGCGCTAGGCGTTGCGCTTTCCGTTTGTAACCTTTTCCTTCACCCAAACTATCTCTCCGTCTAGGTATACTGACTCCGCCCTTCTCGAGCCATTGGTTTTGCTATCTTTCTCCGGCTTTCGATCAAGATTCCTTCAATGCTGGCAGCTGGGCTTCGGACAACACTCAAGCAGTCTCGACAGATTTCGCAATCACAGTACCATCTCTGGCCGCATCACGAATATTACCACATCTCCCGCAGCACGCCCCGCGATCCCACAGCGCCCTCCTACTACCAACAACGCCATCGCTCTCGGCCTCGGCCAGTAAGAGACCAACATTCTCGGCCATTGCTGTACCGTCAGCGGCGTTTTCAAAGCATACACGTACGTCAGTCCTGATATCAACACCGAGGACGCGTTCTGTTGGCAGTATTGCGATGTGCTGTCGTGCGCGAGCAACGATCCGAGTGTGATGTGCGTGGAGGAACGGGTGAGGCGTGGCGCGACTACTGGGCCGGTCCGGTGCTTTACGTCTGGTGGGAGTCTTCGCACGAGAGTCTTTGGAGTGAGGCTATGAGCTTTATTTAGTATCGTGGTTGCGTTGTGGGGTACTCTTTGACGGATCGACGTCCGGGCATGTAAGATGACGTGCGCCTGCAGCTCTTAGCAAATCGTGCTGATCGTTGAAACAGAACGAAGGCTAGTAGTGGATCCCATTTTTGGACTGAGCAGGGACAGGTTTGTATCACTCAATCGTCCTGCATGCCATGCAACGTCGCTAATCCAGTCCGATCTAGTCTGTGTCGAATGCTTGGCGTGTAATTGGCTACCATACTGCAGCTTACTTTAGGCCAGCAACACCACCTACTTCACCGGTGAGCTGAAGGACGCCTTATCAGCCCAAAACATATATCTTCCCCTGCTACTAGGACTAAATCGCACCCTGTCTATTCTCCACCCCGACCGATTCTTCTACTAGCGCACATGGCTTCCAAATCCAGTGAGATTGCTTCGTTGCTGAAGAATGTCAATGCCAAAGGCGACAGCCTGCTGAAGGAAGGAGACAATGAGGCCTCGCGCAAGGCGCTTCTAGAGGCTGCACGAAATCTTGTCGCCGAGCTAGAGCCGCCGTTCGAAGTGCTCGCCAAGATGAACTGGCTCGAGGTATGAATCCCCTTTGCTTCTATCACGGGGTCCGACACGCTTCTCGACTTTTGTCCGCAACTGACCATGGTAGCCAACGCGATGGGCTATCTGCCGCATCGGATTCGATGTCGGACTCTTTAAAGCAATGCTAGCAGACAATGGTTCGCCTAAAAGCGCCGATAAACTCGCCGAAATGACAGGCCTCGAACCAAAACTCATGTGTAAGAGCTGTCTCAGTTTATGGGGAGTTTACAGAAGGCTCACTGAAGTTTATAGCGCGCTGGATGAAGCATCTGTATACAGCGGGCTTCGTTAGCGAGACAGGCCCGGATGAGTACGCACCAAACGGCATTAGCACTGCCCTTGCGACCCGTATCGCAGGAGGAATGACGAAGAACTGGTACGCCAACCCTACTGTAAGAACAAGCAGTGGATGCTGACACGCTGAAGCTACGACTTCATGAACCATGTCCATGCGCGCTTCCCAGAGTACATGAAAAACACAGGCTACAAGAATCCCACCGACAAAGACGCATCACCCTTCAAGTACGGCATGGGCACGGACCTGCACTATTGGGAATGGATCAGCCAGCCCGGCATGGAGGAAAAGCTCGACGACTTCAAGGCGCACATGGAATTCAAGACGCTGGGAAAGAAGTGGTTCCAATCCGTCGACGTGCCGCAGATCTTCGACCACCCCACCGATCCCTCCGCAACCCTCATGATAGACATCGGCGGCAGCTTCGGCCACGACATCATCGACTTCCACAAGGCCTTCCCCGACATGCCCGGCAAACTCGTCCTCCAAGAACTCCCCGCCACTATCAACACCCTCCCCTCAGACTTCCCTTCACAGGACATCGAAGCTCAAGCTTACGACTTCTTCACGCCCCAGCCCATCAAGAACGCCAAAGTCTACTACCTCCACATGATCCTGCATGATTGGCCTGACGAATCCTGTCGCAAGATCTTGTCCAGCATCATCCCGGCTATGAAAAAGGGGCACAGCAAGATCCTGCTCAATGAGATAGTCATCCCGGATACGAATGCGTCATGGTTCTCGACGAGCGTGGACATGCTTATGCTGTTGTGTCACTCCGCGCAGGAGAGGACGGAGAGCGATTGGAGAAAGCTGCTGGGGAGCGTGGGCTTGCAGATCAGCAAGATTTGGGACTGCGAGGGGAATCCGGAGAAGATTATTGAGGTGGAGCTTGTGTAGGGATGTTTCTTTTGGGGACGTTGATTTTTTGGGAGTATTTTCATCTTACGCCGCTGACTGTCGCGCCTCCTCATCTAACCCCCGAACCATAGCCAGTGAACTCGTACTTAGGTGACGCTGCTAGGCCCAACCCCCTGCTTAGCATGCAGCTTTTACGAATTTTTGTGTACCGCAATCGACCTCTCATACTCTGTCTTTCTGACCGAGGCTTAAAATGCCGAGTCACAGAGTGCTCCCGGCACACCTCAAAGTCTGGAATCCTCAAATAGTCGAACATCAATACAGTAGCCCAGGCACCCACCTACGGAGCGGCTATGCCACTTGCCCCATGAGCGCCGGTAACCTGCGCCCTGTAACCTTGGCTATCAATGCGCAGCCTAGCCGTTTGCGCGGGTCAAGTAAACTTCAAGCATTCACCGCTCTGGTCAAACGGAGCCCAACCCAACACCATATTAGGCCCGTGCATTGAACAGTCGACTCATCGCCTACTCTAAACCTGCCAGAAACTCCCCTTGCCTCACCTCCTCAACATCACCAGCGCCGACTATCAGCATCCTCAGCCTTTGACCATCACCAGCGGTAGCAGAAGATTAAGCTAGCTTGCTTCACATAATCCTCCCCCCTCCGCTCCCGCTCGCGAACTAGCTCCCCCCGAGACCAACAACACAAAGACTCCGCCAACACCGAATAAGTGCAATGAGGACGCTGCTCAGGAACGCACTCCGCGAGCTTCGCCGGCATTGGCGCTACCTCATCATAGCCCAGGCAACCCTCCTCGTCATCTTCCCTCTCTTCTTCCTCTTCATCGGTAGGTACAATACATTCCCGCAACCCGCAACCTGCATCTCCACCTCACTCACCTACCTGTGCCCCGCTAACAACAACACCCCGTAGCACCATCCGCAGCATCCACACCCCTCACCGCCCGCAGCTGGGGCGGCTGGGCTGCGCACCCGCAAACAGAGCGCTGCTACAAGCAGGAGCGTATAGCGACGCTTCTCGCCTTCTGGCTGGGTCCGCTGGGCGTGGACCAGTGGTACGCGCGGCACTGGGTGCTGGCGGTGTTCAAGATGCTTACGCTGGGAGGGCTGGGCGTGTGGCACGTTGTGGATGTGAATTTGTGGATTGTTGGGGGCATTTACGGGACCCCCGGGTGTCCAGGGGGCAGTGGTAAGGCGTGGGCTTACTAGGGGAGGAGGGAGGGTTGATGGATGGGGATATCGAGCTGTGCTTTATAGGTGCGCGGAAGTATATTTTCATGGGTTGCGGTGGTGCGGCTAGCGAGCGAGGATGTGTCGGACTTCTCTGCAGCGCGGGCAGTCCGAGACGTACTCCATCCGTTCATCGAGCGCTTGCGAGTAGTGCTATTTCATGTTCAGAGTCGCGCGGCTGGATGGAACGTCGCAGTTGCTCACGGCGTGAATCCAGCCCATGATGGGAACCCGCTGGTCTCTAACGTAGCGGCGGCACTCTGTGAACTCTGGTATTCCTATTCGCTCCAGCGTGGAGCCGCTCATTCCGCATAGGAAACAGCTGTGGATAATCTTGGAATGCCGCACGTAGATCTTGAAATCGTTCCCACCGGCGGGTGATTTGGCATTTCGTGTGAGGATTATCCCATGTGATCCGTAAGTTGCATACGCGCTGCGGTAACTACATGGGCCATGGTCTTTTGGAATTCCTGGAGAGCCTTCCTGTGGGGAGGTTCGTCTTGGTCCGCGGCCTTCTCGTTCTTGCCCTCCTTTACATAATCAAAAGCCATCTTGAAGTCTGACGGATAATTAGATTATGAGCCTGGTTTTATGTTTTTCTAGCACGTGAAGATCGGCTTACCGCGAATTGGTATATGCCTTGTCGCGAGCGGATCGATAGGCTAGTTGCACTAAGAGCTCCATTGTCCCCTGCACAGAAATATGCTTTCCGGCGCGGATTTATATTGTCGGCGCTGTCCAGCCGCTTGCAAGCCTACCGAGTGGCACTGAAGTCGTTGCTCAGCGAGGCTTGGCGGTGGGACCGCTCTTACTTCGAATCCCTTCCGCAATCTGGGGAGCAGTGGGAGGACTTTCAGCGCCAGATTGACCGCCACCTTAGTCCTGTCGTCAACCGTATGGACCGCTACCGCCAAAAGGAATATGAAGACGCTATCGAGAAGCTGCAACTCGCCGGGTACCCTCGTTGGGAGGACTTCCAGACTTGGTGTGAAATGCGGTTCGAGCCTATCCAGGACACGGCGGAAATCGAAGGCATCAGCACCTCAAGGGCTTGCTCTCGCCTGGATCTTGTGGAGCCGGCTGAGACGTTGTACCAGAAGTGGGAACAATTAATTGCTAATTGCTTAAAAGAGCTCGAGAAGACCCTGCCGCCTTCTCTGTGGTATATTGACTCTCAATCTATCATCGCGGCCTGAAGGACGAGAAAGTATTCAGCTGGGACGAGGTGTACTATCCGTACAACTCTAGCCCTACTCCAGTCCCCTATGAAGGCCGCAGGTACAGATACCGACTCCGCTTCAATACGGACCCCACTGACAACTGGCTCGCTCCTGCTCCTCCAGCCGATGGCGAGGACGACGGCTCGGGTTCCTTCGACCGTGCCTTCTTAACTCTAGGCTTAGCCAACGATGCCGAGAAAGATCAGTTCAAGGGCATGCAACTCGGATACCTGGAGTATAGCGATCGCGCTGAGAAAGAGGACTGGAAGCAGACGAGCATCCCCGTCGTCCTTCGCTCGAACCTCGCAACCACTCGCTCTGACGGTCTGTACGCTATCAATCTTTTGGCCACAGTGGGCGGGGCCGATAGAAAGGTCAGTGGAAAGAAGGATCTCAAGGATATCCTCGCCGATCTCGATCTCAAGAAGCGTATCTGGATCCCTTTGGACGGCGGACTAGACGACAACACCCCGGTGCGTAGGCGTAGTCGGCATAACCTCTATAGGTTGGTGACTTAAAACGAGAGAAATCAATCAATCAACCCCGGTGCAGAAGATTATATCTAGGCCGGAGACTCCCATCTACCGCGGTATGGCCCTTCCATCAGGCTTGGTCCGCTGGGAGGACGAGGACTAAGGCATGACGTGACGTGTGGTGATTCTTGAAAGTATCATGAGTATACCCGGGCTGAGCCGCTGAGTCGCAAACACTGCGTCTGTGGCTCTGATGGTCACACGACTTGCCCTAGGGTTTGCTATCATGCTATGCAGCGCTACCTAGGGTAGGCCCTGCTCGCACCTGTGTGCATCGCTAGGGGTATGCTTCTTCTGTAACTGTGTTTATTCCCTTTCTAGGATTAGTTATCGATATCTAGCCTCTTTTTGTATAAGTCCAACCGTTCCCTTGCTGCCTCGCCATTCCAAGTCTCTGTCTGCCCCGTTTCATCCTCACCTTTCGTTGGGAATGCTATTTGTTGCACAGTAAAACTTTCCGCAACCATGGCCTGACAGATAGCCTCAACTAGGTCTCCAGAAGCGGCATATTCGATAGTGAAAGCCCCAAGGAAAGCATTTCCAGCACCAGTGGGATCAACCACAGCCCGGTTAAACTCGACTTCTTCTCCCTGCTTAGCTCTGCACTCCATATCCTCCTGCGGCCCATAGTATGCCGGAAACCAACGCGGTGACAATTCGCGAGATACCACCATGCAGCCCAATTCCGCAGCGCACACAATCAATAGCCCGCTGCCGTTGGGTCCGATTCCCAGATCTAGCAATTGCTTGCCATATTCCTCAATCTCGATTGTAGTCGGCCTCGGCGTTACCGGATGCTCTATAAACAGCCGGCGGAGTTCAAGATGGTTCGGGGAGAGAACGTTTATCTTGGACGCCGCAGAAACGGTGGAGGATAGGTTTCGGGTGAGGCTGGTACGCGGCTCCGGTTCCCAGACCAGCAGGGGCGAGTCCCGAATCGAATGTCTGGCGCGCAATCGAAGAATCTGTTCGACGTACGTGGAACACATCGCAGGCGCCCCAAGGAGATGGAATGACGATGATGCAAGCAGCGGCGTCTCTTGAAGGTCGACGGGCGAAAAGTCGAATTCTGGGGTGAGCTCTCGAAAAGTACCGCTCCATATGGACACAGATGTTAGCGGGCCCCTTCAGAGTGATTCGGATGGTGGGATCCAGGTGCAGACTCACGTCCAAATGTGGCATCGTCGTATTTTTGCAGGCCTCTTGCGCAAGGCCGTGACTCATCCCGCTTATTTACAATGGTGATATCCCAGGAGTCAAGCTGATGCTAGATCGTCATAGGGAAATCGTAACCAGTGTACGGTAACCGGCCGATGGACCTGCATCGTGGTGGACCATAGAAGATACGCGCACCCATTGTTGCTAGAACACAAACCATTAGTTCTCAAACGCCTAAAGGTTAGATACAAAGGCGTACCATAGCCTCCCGGACCGCCTGCAATATCTTTGAGAGGATCTTTTCCTGGCAGTACGAGCTCATCGAGGCAGATGTTGCTCAATGACACAAAAAGTGGCGGACTATCTGGGTCTTTCGCCATAGGCGACATGCTGCGATCTGCTATTGTGGACTAGACATCGCACGGATGGATTCCCGGTGCTTCGGTACTCTTCGTCAAGCGCGGTTTATAGCGAGATCGGGCGGTCTTTGCTGAGCGCTCAGTAGCCAGTTCGAGCTAGCCAGAAAGGAGATGGGCGTTACGGAGCTGGCCGTCGAAACACTGCTCCAGCAGCCTGGTGGGTTGATGGAGGTCTGCGCGACGACGCCTAACGAGGTAGTCACTTCGCTGAACAACATACTTAATCAGCGCGCTCACCGGTCACATGTCCAAGCAATTGACGGAGCTGGTAACCCACATTGAGTGCTTCAAACTGTGCTTGCTGCTCGCCCTGCATCCGGACCATCTGTACGCTCCACGGTCCCCTTTATAATGCGCGCCGCCCGGCTTCGCCTTGCATTCTGACTGAGTCCAGCACTTTGGCCCAAGCCATCCACTCGCAGCTCACGATACCGGCCAGGAGGAAATAAGATTGGCTGTCGCAGACATTGACGGCAGAGTCGACGACCTTTTGATCGAAACGCGCAAGAAGCGCGAGGTCGAGCACTTGATGCGCCAGGGTGTGTCCGCACCGGCCCGAGGCCGTCTGTCCGCTGACGCATCTGATAGAAAATTGCTGGCTCGATGCGCCGGACTACAGAGCGAACCATGCCAACGGCTGGGAGCTTGCCCAACACGGTACTGGCGTCTGGTTTACAGAGGGGCAAGTCTTTACAAAATGGCTAGCGGAGCCGCATGTGTCGCTTTGGCTCCACGCTGCTAATAGAAAGGGCGACGATAAGTGCTCAAGCCGTTGCAATGGACGTGGAACCGTTCGTCACTGGGCAGATCGCCGCTGAGCCGCATCTGCGCGACCTTACTCCGAGTTTGAAACAAGACATTATCACCTCCCTGGTCCAGGGAGCAAATGGCATGTGAGTACTTGTCTTTGAGTCACCAGAGTTTTGCAAGATAGACTACACCTCATACAGCCAGCTACGGACCCTTGCCTGGACCCTGCTTGGCGTCTGTGGACCACTATACGATGATGTACTAACACTGGCAGGTTTCGCTAGGTGAAATGCCAATTCGATCAGAAGCTTACGGCGACCAAAAGCAATCCGGAAGGCTCTATGGGATTTGCCGGACACGCTAGATGAGACCTATGAGCGCATACTGGTTTCTGTCCGCTCAGACGAAGAGCGAACACTTCTTCGAAGGGTCCTGTGCCTTATCATCTATGGCGCTCGTCCAATGACACTGGCTGAAGTTGCTGAAGCTGCTGTTATCGAAGAAGGCTCACCCTGTTTAGATGTCGAAGATAGGTTCACTCGTCCGGCAGACCTCTTCGTCGGTTGCAGGAACTTTATCATTTCCACCGGAGGCTATCTCGGCCTATCGCATTATTCCGTTCAAGAGTACCTCAAGTCAGATCGGATCTCTCAGGGACCAGCATCATATTTTGCCATTGCCGACTCGGAAGTATCGAAGGAGCTGACTTTGATTTGCTTAACATATCTCGGCTACGATGACTTCGACCAAGGTCCGTGCCACAGCGATAGCTGTGCTGCTGGATCAAGAAGCTGATACTACATTCCTGGGTGGGGCGTATGGGAATGCCCTCCAGTCTGAAGCTCGCACTGATCACTACGAGATTGCAGACTTGCTCATACAGCATGGTGCAAACGTACAACTCGAAGGTGGCCCATTCGGATTTGCCTTACAGGCAGCTGCAAACAACGGCCATTGGAGAATAATTCAGCTTCTTCTTACGCGCGGGGCCGACGTCAATGCACAAGGCGATGCATTCGGGAATGCTCTGCAGGCGGCATCCCTCAATGGGTCTACGAAAGCTGTGGAGATGCTCCTAGAGCATGGAGCAGATGCGAATTATCAGGGCGGCCTCTACTCCAATGCGCTCTTTGCCGCTTCTTTGAATGGGCACGACGATGTTGTGAAGCTGTTGGTTTACCATGGCGCCGATGTCAACATACAAGGCGGTCTATACGCTAATGCACTACAAGCAGCCGCAATCAATGGGCACGACGACGTCGTTGGCATACTGTTGGACGCGGGTGCTATCGTCCATACAAAAGGAGGAATGTCCGGTATTCCCCTTTCAGCCGCCGCTCGGAACGGCTATTTGAAAGTGGTAGCTCAAATTCTGAAGTGTGGGCCCGAGTTCGACGTCTGCGAGGGCTATTATGGAAGCCCACTCCAAGCCGCTGCTAGAAATGGATTCGTCGAAGGCGTGAAAATGCTGCTGGAACACGGCGCATCTGTAAACCCTGCCGGAGGCGCCTACGGGAGCCCTTTGCAAGCTGCCGCGAGCAGGGAGAGCAGAAATAGTCCAACTTCTTCTCGAGCATGGAGCCGATGTTAATCTCGTTGGCGGACCGTATCATACGGCTACGATAGCGGCTGCCGCCTTCGGCCATGAGCATGTTGTCAAACAGTTGCTAGACGCGAAAGCCGACCTGCTTGCTAGTGGAGGCAAGTTTGGTACCGCGATCGAAGCTGCGAGGCTCAATGGAAGAGACGCAGTTGCTGAGTTACTGGAGGGACACATGAAATCGATGCAAGGTGAGAGCTCTACACAGTGTCCACGGGCTGCTCTGGATGTGAGCATTGACTAATCGAAATATAGTGCAATCGTTGCCCGCCGTACCGAAGTGCGACCCCATCCTTAAGCTTCCTCTAAAGGTAGCATTTTCGGTCAAGCTTTACCTATGCAGATGATAGTCTCTTTCGATAAGGATTAGTCCATGTTATTTTTGCTTTCCATAGATTCAACAGCACTGACTTATAGCTGGCGTTGCGCATAGCAATGTCTTTCCCTTAATGTCCGTTTTCCACACTCTTGGTCCTCGGGGGCCTGTGCGGTCCTGGGCATGGCGCTTAGATGGCGCGAGGAAGAGAGTTAGTAATTGATGCACTGTGACCGTGAAGTTGCTATACGGCCGGGATACCGATGTATAGATCGTTGAAAAAGACGGGTACGGCGCCCTGCACATGTCCATTAGCTCGGCTGAAAAGGACACCGCTTTTACGTGGTCTGACACTTGACTTTTGATGGATTTGGGAGTGTACATGGAGTAGAAGGAAAAGGGTGATTAAACCTGGTTGCGTTTGGGGGTCCCGAATAGCGCGGTGAGAGTGGGTTGTATTCATTTGAGTGGATTTTCTATTTCCTGTCAAGCATTTCGCTCGCCGCAATTGCCTATCAGCAATTAAGGCTGTGCCGCAAAGACTGGAGCCATGCAGACAAAATATCGGCCGACTCAACACTTCTACGGCCGTGGGGTTCCTTCCGGGTGTCTGCGATCAGACGCGAAATCCCCAGAGCCAGAATCACTGAACAAAAATTACGGAAACTTGATCACGACCTTCGTCTCCTCATGGCGGTCAAACCTCCCATAATACTCCGGCGCCTCCTCAATCCCGATCTCACTACTAACAATGAAGTTTGGCCGCGCCCTGCCAGTCGCGATTAAGCTCACCAGCTCGGGTGCAATCGCCTTTGGATCCACGCCCCCAGTCCTCCACGACAGGCCCTTATTGAAGAAGTCGGCGATCGGAAAAGGTAGTGTCGCATTGATTGTACCGCCGCGAGGAGTACCGCTGCTGTTTGTGGGCGAATCGAAGACGCCGAGCGTGCTGATGCCCCCTTGCCGAGCTGTGACCGCGATCATGTTGTCGAGGACTGTGGTCTCCGAATGCTGCAACTGGCGATCCACGGCCTCGAACCCAACGCAGTCAATCGTCCTAGTGACGCCGTTGGGTTCAGCAGCCATGATGGCTTCGACTGGATCACTCTCGACGAAGTTGACAGGAGTCGCGCCGATGGAGGCTGCAAGCTGCAGGCGGGACGCTTCGTGGTCGACGCTGTAAACGCGCGAAGCACCGCGCAGAATGGCAGAGTATGCGGCGAGCAAGCCTACAGGACCGGCCCCAAAAATTGCCACGGTATCGCCGGCTTCCATCCCGGACCAGGTGACTCCTTGCCATGCCGTAGCAAAGATGTCGGAGACGAAGAGATAGTCGTTCTCGTTGGGAAGGGTGCCGTTAGCCGATACGTTTGCGGGGATGGGAATGAGGCTTTCATCAGCGAAGGGTACGCGGACGTATTCAGCTGCAGGCGACCACGCCGTTAGTGGTTGGCAGCAAAAGATTGCGGGTGGGACTCTCTACCTTGCGTCCCGCCAAACTCTCCATATGAGCTGCCCAAACCATATGCAGACACGTCCAGTGGCCCCATGGCTAAGTAACCGGAACTTGGCATGTCGGGGATAATGACATTCGCCAACGGAGTGCGCAGTTACACCGTCGCCAAGTTCCGTGATGACGCCAACGGCCTCATGCCCCATAACCCAGGGCGCGTTCGGACTGCCATACACACCATGGTATGTATGGAGGTCCGTTCCGCAAATGGCAGCCGTCGTTACACGAACGAGAGCGTCGTTCGCCTGCTGGACCTGAGGCCTGGGGACTTGCTCGACGGCCATCTGGTAAGGGATCCCTTGCCAGAGAACAGCCAGCATTGTCAAGTTCGCCATTGCTGTGTTTGAATAAGAGCGTGGGATTCGGGCGCTTGAAAGGTTCACGGAGGAGGAAGAGGATGCTTGGAGGATGCCGGCGAATGCTCATGAACAGTATTTATACACCATCCAGAGGGACGCCAACCATGCCTCGAAGGCAAGGGAGATACACATTCGGACCTTTGCTCTGGTAAACAGCAGATTGACTGTGGGTACGAAGCCAGTGTCAACTTGGCGATGGCTGAGCTGTTCACCTCGGCATCGGCTGACAACGTAATCCACCCGCATTCGGGATCCCGACATATTTCGGAGTAACTTAACTGTGGGAGTCGATGACGACTGCCAACGGTGCTGCGTAACTGTACAAGGGTGGAAAGTTCAGGAACCGGCGAAGTTGTAGAGAAAATATGTACGTCTGCCGGTCCGAGCCGTTGACGCTAATGCAGGTTGCTGACGCGCTAGTGGCGCCCACGTGATGATCGCCGAACCGCGAATTGGTAATCTAGCTTTAGATTGGCGGCGTCAGCCAGCTGCAGTTTTAAATCTCCGGTCACCTTATTGCTCTTCCATGCTTCTACGTCTGATCCTTCCCAATCGTTCAAACGACCTATACCGGCTTACGCAATGCTTCAGCCGTCGAAAGATGAGAGACCGCTGCATGTCCGAGCCCGAATGGTCACACTTCCGGCCAAGCCTGGGCTGCGAGTTGGCTCCATAGATGACTGGAGCGGAATTAGCGATCCAAAATTGAGGAGGAAGCTACAGAATCGGTTGAATCAGAAGAAATACCGTGCTCGTAAGCCGTTATTCATCCCGCGCGAACTGTTGACGTCTCTCTGACGTGATATGCGGCTGGATAGGGATTCGTCAAGCTGAACAGCTCCAGCCAGTCTCGACTACACTTCCGGCTCCAAGACCGACTGTTGTCAATGCCAATACCCTAGGTCGGCTAGAGCAAATTGCATATCAGAAATATCTGGGGTCGCCGGCCGCTGACCTTCTCTTGACTCTGGTCCAATTCAACGTGTTCAGAGCACTACTCCGCAATATGTTCAGCCTTCAACTTTCTACGTCCTGGCTCGATGACGTAGCCACCTCGGCCATCACGACCGGCGCTTTCAACCATTCTGCCCCACCCAGTCTTCTTCCGACGACACTACAGGAGCAGGTTACCCATCACCCATGGATCGATCTCTTCCCATTTCCGATCCTACGCGAAAATATCCTCCGCGTGTACGATGTCTGGAACGGGGAGGACGAGCTTTGTGCAGCTATGGTGGGATGGTGTAACTCTCCAGGAGCAAGGACGGGCCTTATCAGTTGGGGCGAACCTTGGAATCCATACGGCTGGGAGGCTACTGAGGAGTTCTGTAAGAGATATGGGTGGGTGATGAGGGGGTGTAGCGAATTGATGCACGCGACGAATCATTGGCGGGCTCAGCGAGGGGAGTCTGCGCTAACGTTTACTGATATGCACTAGATGCGGGCTGCTGATGAGCCGCGTTTGGTGCAGCTGCGGAACCAAAATTGAGCTACGCTATAAAGAAAAGCAGCGGAATACCATCTCTACGCCCTCACTTTTCCGCCGTCCTCTCTGCCTCCGGTACCAGGCATCCGCCTTCTCCACTGTTTGCGCTCTTCATTGCATCGAATCTCAAGCCCGCCATACGGTTAGCCCTGCCCCTATCACAGCAATAAAATGGCTGCTATACCTACGGAAAAGACCTACCTAGTTACGGGTGCTGCCTCGGGAATGGGTCTTGCCACGGCCCGGACTCCTGAGTCCTTCTGTACGTCTGCCCCATTTCCCTAGGGCGGGCCACTCACTGATGCAAAAAGGGGAGCTACAGAGACGCCCATGCATCGGACAAATATTGCACGCGATCCAGCGTTTCTTGAGCTGAAGACCCAATACCGAGAGTAGGAGAGGCGCAAGATGTTGCAAATATCACTGCTTTTCTGTTGAGCGATGAGGGCAGTTTTGTTACTGGCGCTGCTTGGACTGTGGGCGGTGGCGCGAACGCATAGAATAACGAGTTACACTGATGGCTCCTTTATTATATACATACTCCGACTCTCGCTCGGTGATTTGTTGGATGGCGAGCATTTCCACATGCAGTAAGCGCCCCCCGCACGGCTGTAGCACGTGCCGAGCTAGGGGAGAACACGGCTCCCAAACTCCGACCTCTCCAATTTCACCACAGTCATGACTTGTCGCTAAAGCGACAGGATGGCAGTTCACTCGCCGTCATCTCCAGCACGCACGCCTGCAGCTTCGCGGAGCCACCCTCCCCCCTTGAAAATCTTAGCACGAGCATGCCAGTTTTGTCGCGCTAGGAAAACGAAATGCGACACGCAAAGACCCCGTTGCGGCACTTGTACCACGCACAACCGCCAATGCGTCTACGCACTTGAGCCTCCAAAGCGAAGGCAAGACCAACTTCTCTTCTCACCGCCAAGACCCGCTGACCCCGTATCGTTAGGCCTTCGACTACCCTAGTGAATGCACTCCAGGAGGAAAAGGCGGCTTTGGAACAGTGTATTATCGCACTAAAGGCTGCTTCCTCTGACGAACGAATGCAGATTCTGGATTCTATTGTCGTGGTTGAAGGGAAGGTGCATTTGCCGGAGGCCCCGAGCCCTCCAGAAACCAGAGAGTGCATGCAGCCGGCCCCTCGGCCCGAATCACATGGTACCAATCAACTAGATGGCGGCGGCGAACCCCACGGTACGGATGAAGACTATGATCCTTCCAATTTTCTCTCCCTCGATGAGCGCGGGCGCATTGGCGTTTACGGCCCGACGTCTGCCCTCCATGGTTCCAGCCCAATGAAATCCACAACTTCGAGCGAGAATGAGGTCTCTGAAGGCTTCAGAAATCAACTCATAGCCAATGCTGCCCTCCAACGACAGAAGGAGCATGTGTTGGGAAGTCTCCCAACTATCGGCGGCGAGCCGACGGAGTTGGCCATGCATTTATTGGATCTCCACTGGAACAGACAGCATCATACCTTTCTACTCACGTATAGGCCCGCAATCATGAGAGATCTCGTCACTGGAGGACCTAGCTGTTCGGACTTTCTGCTCAATGCCATATTTGCATGCGTGAGCAAATTTTCCGACAGGCTCGAAGTTCGGGACAGCCCTACCGAGCCCGAGACTGCAGGAAGGCGATTCTTCATACGATGCGAAAAGATGCTGGGGCAGGTGCTCAATATCTCCAGCATTCCCACGATCGTTGGCCTTCTTCTACTTGGCTCAACGTTCAATGCTCGCGGGCTGACGTCGAAAGGCTGGCTCTACACTGGGTATGCATTGAGGATGGTGTTCGACCTAGGTCTACACTTGGACTGCAAAGAGGTCGGTGGGAACGCCGAAGATATTGAGATTCGAAGACGCGTCTTCTGGGGAGCTTTTATCTGTGACAAGTTACAGAGTCTCTACCTCGGTCGCCCGGTCACGATTCAACTTCGAGACGCTCATGCTTCGTTAGAGTTCATGGATACTCTAGAAGAGCATGAGATGTGGACTCCATACTTGGACCCCAAAGCTCCGGTTTCACGCCCGGCTCTGCCGCCTACGCCAATCTACTCCGTATCGACATTCAAACAACTTTGCTTGTTATCGAAAATCATCACGAGAATTGTCAATAGGTTCTACGTTATTGGCGCCACTGCTAGGAATACAGTATCTCATCTAGAGTCAGTCGACGAGGCCCTTATGTGCTGGTACAAGGATCTCTCGCCCCACCTTCTTTTCGAGCCTTGGACTGAAGCCATGAACAAACCAGCAACTGTAGCTCCCAACATCATCTTGCTATTGACAACTTTCAACGCACTTGTCATTCTACTCCATAGGCCCTTCGTTTTCGATGGGCACCTCCACGCCACCAACGGGCTAGCAGTCTCCAGGAAGCGATGTACCATAGCGGCGCATAACATTACCAGCCTTGCATCGGCATATAGGGAAATGTATTCGCTTCGCAGGGCTCCATACCTACTGAGTTATGCTGTTTACGTGGCGTGTACGATCCACGCACGAAACACGGCATCCGCACAGGGCACTCGTGAGGAGAACGCATCAGCGCTCGTTGCGTCTCTCAAGTGCCTCGACGAATTGACGGTGCCAAACTCAGGCGTCTCCAATCCGGCTGGAATTATTAGACGCCTTATGGCTGCCAACGGGATTCCAAATACAGCTGGTGAGGGACTTCAACGTCCATTTCGCATATACGTGCTAATTCATCGTGCAGAAAGTATTTGGGACGGGCAGACTCCGGGCCCGCAAGAGCTGGACACGCTATGCCGCTTGTTTCCGTCAACTACGCCCGATCTTCTCGAGCTCTCACAGCCCCAGGGCTTCACCAGCTTCGGATCTTACGGTTTTGATTCTCTGCAGAGTTTCATGGACATGTACATGCCACCATTCAACGAAAACATGCTCGATCCCAATGTCGAGGCAATAGAACGAGAGAATATATTCTAGAGCAATAAACGACAGTTGTCATATCTCTGACCTCACTCTCGCCATGCGCAAACGACTCAATCAAACACATCTGGATCTTCTGCAGCCACCTGGTCGAAATATGGCTGGAAAGCGAGCCACATCTTGCCTGAGTTCCCGCTCTTCTTGTGTGTGAATTCGGCCTCTTCCTTGGGGATCATAATCTTCTCCCAGCCTGGGCCACTGGCAGCATTAGCCATCATCTGTGCGTGGCAACATCTCTCCAGGGCAATGAACAAGAAGGCTGCTTCATCCACAGTAGCACCACAGGTGATCATCCCGTGGTTCTGCAGAACGACACTGCGGCATGATCCCATGGCCTTCGCAATCCGCGCGCCCTCCTCCGTACTGATGACGGTTCCGCCATATCGTGGGTACACAGCAAGATCATTGTAGAAGCGGAGAGCGTCCTGATAAAGCATTTCGATCGGGCGGCCGAAGCAAGAGAAGGCCTTGCCATAGACGCCGTGCGCGTGGCAGGCAGCGTTCAGGTCTGGCCTTGCTTTGTGGATCTCACTATGGATGGCAAATGCAGGCCCATTGATGGCACTCTGCGCGCCACCTGGCTGCACCTCGCCGTGTTCGTTGACGAGCACCAGGTCACTGACCCGGATCCGCGAGAAGTGGGTGCTGAGCGGATTGATCCAGAAATGCTCCGGGTTCAGAGGGTCACGCAGTGCTTTCCAGCAGCGTCAGTTTAAATTCTATCTGTGACGTGAGATGGGCCTTTCGGTTCACTTACAGATGTGGCCCGCGACGCCTTCATCGAAACCTTGCCGTGCGAAAACACGGAACGCCGCAGCGAGATGCCGCTTCTGGTATGTGCGCTCATCCTCGATGTTGTCGAATTTGGGCGGAGAGCGAATGACAACCTTCCCTTCTTTGTCGCCGAGGAAGTGAACCTGATCGTAGTAGGTGTCTTTGTTCCCCTGTACCTTGGGCTGCTCCGTCTTCAGTTCATGGACGGCTTGGACCTTTTCGATGGTTGCAGTGGCGGTGGACATGATGCAGGACCGATGTTGGAGTCTATGGCGGCTTCAGAGAGCTACAAGCATGAAATACCCGTTACGCGGAGCGCCAATTAGACGGTCGGGATGGCAATTGCTAGCCGGGCGAGGGGTCGTTCGTCGGAGCGCTGGTCTCCGATAGCGCCATCGCCTCTAAAGTCCCCGCAGCGGGGGATCAGCGTTGCAACGCCCAACTTGTCTCCGTGGAGCAGCGCACCCGCTTGCTGCCCCTGCTTGGAAAGCTTGACCACGGAACGGAAACGACTCCTGACGTATCCACACGCACCCTGTGTGCCCTGGTGGTATAATAGATAAGTACTGCACCACCATACCTACCACCGCGGCTCATAAAGCTACCTTTATCCAGGACGCGGTATTCGCTTGGAAAGACCCTCCTTCGTCTACGATGCCGCGAAATAGACTCGTCCCCGAAGGCGCTTGGGACACACACATACACGTCTTTGACCCCGCCAACTTCCCCTTCCCAGCCCCACGCTCCTACACTCCGAAGCCAGCGCAAATTTCCGAGTATCCCTCAGATGTGACAGGGTGCACCGGCGTTGTTGTGGTGCACGCATCTGTCCAGGGGTCATCACCTGCGGCCCTCGTCGACACCTTATCCAAGGCTAAAGCGACTGGACTCACTCTGCGCGGCCTGGCCACCATCGATGTCAATTCTATCACCGATGATGAGCTCGATGCGCTCCATGCCGCAGGCGTGAGAGGTGCGCGTTTGCATGAGATGTCATGGGGCCACGGACAGCAGTCGGGAGGCCAGCAGATTGCCCAGAAGGTGCAAGCACTGGCTAACCGCCTGGCGCGACTAGGTTGGGCCATTGGCACCTTCTGCCCCATTCAGGGTGAGTAGCTCACACGTTTTATCTGGGTAGCATTGATTCGATCGCACCTACCGATGCTAATGTCTCGTGTTCAGCCTGGGCTTCAATGGCCGACATGATCCGGAAGATGGATCCGCGCATCCAGATGGTCGCCGATCATTTTGGTGGTACATTTCCGGGCGAAGAGAAAACCCCCGAATTTCAGACCTTCCTCGAGTTGATCAGGGAAAAACGCGTCCACGTCAAAGTGTCCGGGTTTGAGCGCTTGTACCACGGACATGGCTCGGGGCGGCAGGGCATGAAAGCTATCGAGCCGATCGCGAAAGCAGTCATCGAGGCCGGACCAGACCAGATCGTCTTTGGGACGGACTGGCCGCACACGCAGCTGGGGGTCTCGAGAAAGGGGAAGACTGACCAACAGCGACTAGATGATGTCGAAGAGTTTCGAGAGGTGCCGGATCTGGAGCACATTCAGGTTTTGAGGGAGTGGATCACGGATGATGCGGTTTGGCAGAAGATGTTCGTGACCAACCCGCAGCGGCTCTTTGCATAGACCTTTTCGTAGGGAGAGCTTGAATACATGAACGTGCCCCTCTGCTATGAGCGCATGGCTCTCACATACATACCGGAATTCCTGCACTCGTTCTTACGCGCTCTTATCGGCCAGCCTTTCAAACAACTTCGAGAGGAACCATATTGAAGAATGTTGGAGTTGTTTCTCCCAACTTGCCTGAGCTAACAATGCTGCTTGCGGAACGCCATGAATTACAGAACACGTCGGGATATGAAACCGCAGTCTCGTTGCATAGGAGTCACTCACTAGGAAAGCTTGGGATTTCACCTCTGCTATTGGGCTACGAATTCACCAGGCACACTAGCTTCCCTGCGTTCTCATTCGCCTCCATCCGCGTATGAGCGTCCGCAATCTGCGACCAGTCATAGACACGATCTAGCGTCACTCGCATGCGGCCCGTGCTCAAATGCTCCAGAGCCGTCTCTACAAACTTATCCCGCAGCGCCGCCTGGTACTCGGCGTTACGTGTCCGAAGCGTCGTAGCCAGCACTGACAAGCGCTTATTCAGCAGCGCTCTTAGATCAAACTTGTCAATCACGCTCCCACTCAGCGCAGCCACAAGCACGATTCGCGCCTCCATAGCTGCGCATGCCGCGTTGCGATGCCAGTAACTCTGGCCCACGAGGTCGATGATCAGATCAACTCCCTTCCCTCCAAACTCTCGCTGCACCACATCGGCGAAATCTTCTTTCCGGTAGTTTACTGCAACGTCAGCCCCGAGTTCTTTGCACAGTGCGCATTTCTCGTCGGTGCCCGCTGTGGCGATGATCTTGCTAGCCCCGCCGTGCCGCGCTACTTGGATGGCGGATTGCCCGACGCCCGAGGCCCCGGCGTGAATCAGGACGGATTCGCCCTGCGCGAGGCCACCGACTAGGTGTAGGGCTTGGATCGCTGTGAAGAAAGTCTCTGGAATAGCTGCCGCGGTTTTGAAGTCCAGCGTTGGAGGGAGAGGAATCAGTGTCCTCTCAGGGACAGAAATCTTCTCGGCATAGGCACCACCGTAGGCAAGTCCAAAGACCTTGTCTCCCACTTTGAATCCCAAGTTACCTACGGCACCGCAATCGTATTAGTGCATTTCCCAGCGTTATGGTCAAAGCGGTTAACCAAAAAACTTACACTTCTCCCCAACCTCCTCCACGACGCCGCTGAACTCGACGCCCATTATCTTGCCCGATTCCGGCAGAAGCGGATACGGATACCGGTCCTCGCGCTGCATGATGTCCATCCGATTGAGCCCAAATGCCTTGATGGCGACGAGGACTCGGCCAGCGCTCGCAACGGGAGCTGGGACACTCGAATTGATGTAGAGAGAGGAAGCGGGGCCGCGACCGTCGCGGACGGAGACAGCCTTCATGGTTGGTCCTTTCGACATTGCAAATGGATGGTCGTAGGTGGGTAGTGGTGGGTTTAATTCTGAAAAGCAAAGCGTTCCGCGCCCGTTCTCTTGGGTTATACGTGTATACTTGTGGATACACAAGGCTGTCGAGGACGACTCACGTGCCCTGCGGTCATGGACCGCCCGGACGCTCGTCGGACCTGTGGCACCGAATTTTCGCGCACGTACATCGACGGCTGATAATTCTCCGCTGCTCTGTCGCTTGCATCGTCGGACGCGCTCCTTATGAGATGTTGGTTGCAAAGTGGGGCGCAAGTGAGGGGCAATGGATGACGATAAGCGGGGAAGGCGGGGCCTGATTTGTGCGCATTTTGCAGCATCACGTACATTCCAGTACGGGTACGAAATCAGTCCAAGGAAGCGCCAGATCAGCTATGCATTCTCGTCTATACTAGATATGCTCCTATTCTAGCCAAGAGTACTACTCGGACTTCAGCTTCTTCGTCCTCAAGCCTTCGCTCAGAAGCCGCACTACATCCTCCACTGTCTCCCCCCTGACCCGCTGCCCGGGCTGCTCCTTCCCAAGCAGTGTATCCTCCGCCACCGTTCTGTAGACCTCCGCCACGCTCTGAAACCTACGATGTAATCAGTAATTTCACTACAACGTGGTGAAGCAGAAGCCGGAGGCTGGACTCACAGATCCTTCTCAAAGCCCCCTTCTCCTGCCATCGTCTCCGCTATCTCCAGCATCTCGTGCACCCACCGATACGCCTTCGGCGGCATAGTCACTAGGCCCCTCTCCGCGAACTTCAAAGTCGCCGGGTTGTATCGTCCCAGATAACTGCGTAGTTCGTGTAGGACCCCGAGTTCGTGTGCTGTAGTGAAGGCTTGGATGGCTAGTGCATAGAAGCCTTTCGTCATGCAGGCATAGCACATTTTCAGACCTGTGGCGGCGCCGATGGGTCCATGGATATGGTCAATGTTCAGCAGGGATGCGAGTGCTTTGTCTGGAAGTTTGGCGGGACCTGAGACAATGAGAGACGGGCAGTGCCACCGCACTTTTCCTTCCACCTCCCCCGCTGCGTCAAGGGGATACGGAACTCCGCCAATGATACCGCCATCTATGAAGATGGTGTTTGGCTTGTCGGCGAGGAGTCTGCTAGTCTCGACTGCAGATGCTGGTGCGACCGCATTCAAGTCGATGTAGTAAAGCGGCTGGTTTCGTTCTTTTGGCGTTGCAGCGTGAATGCGTTTGGCGGTCTCGTAGGCATCGCGCGGCGGTACAATGGACAAAATGACAGAGCAGGAGGAGACAAAGTGCTCGAGCGTGGGAGAAAGCTCGATTCCAGCATTGCGAGCGCGGAGTTGCGTATTTGCGCTGGCGGGGTGTTAACCAGGTTCACTTTTGCGAGGACAGGTGGAGGCCATACCTTCTGTCCGCAGCAAAAGTATATACACGATAGCCATGTGCTATGAGCAGCTGGGCTATACCTAGACCCATCTCCCCAATGCTTATGATTCCTATATTCTGGAATGGCGTTGCCGACATCGTTGCGTCTGTTGCTTCTGGGGGATTCCCAGTGCTGCGCAGCATCCGCTATGTGTGTTCTGTTCCGGCGAACGTCGAATGGTTGCGCCTTAGTTTACAATGCTATACACACGTGCTTGTTGGTCTCGGAGGGGCGCATCCGCCGCGGAGCCAAACTCTCCGGTCTCCCCGCGGAGTTCCGCCAATCAACAGACAGTCGCAACATGAAGCCCCGCCCCCATAGCATCGCGAAACCTGGAAGCATCCTCGCTTAGATGACTTCGAGTTCGCGCCACGTAATGTTGCTAGATAAGCGATCATCCAATTCGGCGAGAAGCTGCATGGAGCCCACCTGTATTGATTCAATTGCCCAGTGCACATCCTAGCCCCCAAACATCCATCCCCAGAATAGAGCTCGAGCCTCGCATCCTTTAGATAACATACCGGAATCCATTCTTAACAGCCCTTGTCGCATCGTCATCCAACCTCGCCATAGCAGCGTAGTCGTTGACATCTACTTCGGCTGCTAATTTGTCAAACCTGCGATTGCCCCGCTGTAGCACGAGCCTCAGACTAAGAATGACGAATAGTCCAAACACCATGAAGGCCAACGAACACCCCCAGGACTCGCGGAATGTCGGCTGATACTTGTCGAGCCAGAAGTAGCTCGCGTACAGCGCCGCAGCGTTGGATATGGTATTAGCGAAGCCGATGGCGGCCGCGCGTTTGACTGGAGGCCGGATAATGGTGGATGACAGCCATGTGTATGTCGTCGAGTAGACGCCGAAGGAGCCAGCTGCTACCAGAAACGTGAAGGCGTAGCGTGCCCAGCGCTGATGTTCAGGGACCGTCATCAGAAGAATGCTCCCTATAATGCACATGACCATCGAAATGCTCGCATGCGGGGAGCGCGTCTGCCGTCTATCCGCGTTGTATGCGAGCGACAGCGCCCAAAGAAAGGCAAAGACGTAGGGCGGTGACGTGAGCAGCAGGCTCGTGACGTTGCTCTTGAATCCCAACTCTTTGATCAGCGTGGGGAAGTAGTGCGAGTAGGAAATCGAGGCCGATGCCGTCATCTGCAGCCCGGCGAACTGCCAGGTGCGATAGTCCTTCAGCGCCAGCTTGACGCCTTTCCACATGGATACCTTCTCTTCGTCGAGCACTTCCTCGCTTGCTACGTCCTTTGCGAGCCGGCCCTGTGCGACAACACGTTCTTCCTCGCTGAGCCACTTCGTCGTGCCAGGATAATTCGGGAGGAAAGCCAAAGCAATAGCAGCGATCACTAGTGTCGCCAGCGCCTCGATGATGAACAACCAGCGCCACGCCGCAAGTTTCGTCACACCCTGCATTCCTTCGAGGATTCCGGCTGACAGTAGGCCGGCGAAGGCATTAGAGAGGAGCAGCCCGCAGATCAGAAAGGCCATGCGGATGCCCAACTCCTTTTTCGTATACCAGCAGGATAGGAAGTACACCGCGCCCGGGTAGAATGGCGCCTCGACGATGCCGAGCAGGAAACGGAGAACGAGGAGGCCCGCAGGACTGGATGTTGCACCTGTGCAACCGCTCACAACGGCCCAAACGATGATGGTGGTAGGCTGTAAAGGCGCATGAAATTAGCCGATGAGAGGCCAGAATGAGGGAAGACGTAGGATCGTACCAGGTAGATAGATGGACGCAATTTCGTCATCAATATCGTTGATGGCAGTTGCATCGCTACGTAGCCAGCTGAGAAGATTGCGATAGCCGTGTTGTACAGCGAGCCCGTAGTATGCGTGTCGGTTTCAAGGCCGTACAACCGCGCCTGAGTTATCTGTCTTTTATCAGTACCATCTTAAGAGACATCTCGCTCCGCACGCTTCCCACTTACGCTGTTCCGGTCGAGATAGCTGAAGATGTAGATGATGACAACCAGCGGCATGATGCGTATATCGATCTTTCGAAGCAGTTGCTTCTCAATGCGAGCAGCAAATTCGGGAGTGTAGGCACGGTAGGTGGTCACGATGTTCTCGCGGCCAGCACCATCCCCTTTCTCCGTGATGGCGATGTCTTCGACGAAAGTGGCTTCTGGCTTCAGAGGCGCGGGCTCCGGCCCTACGGCAATAGCTCTTGGAGTCGCGGCCATGATGTGTAAGAAGTCTGAGAATCGCGAAAGGCGGAGTGAACGGGGTGCTCCTACAAGTCGAAGAATACCCCTTTTACTTATGCTCGTGCTGCGCGTTCGCTTCGGAAGTAAGGCACGTCTAGTTCGACTTGATCTTGAGCAGGTTGATGGCTTCTACAAGCGAGACCCCGCTTCCGTGTTACCCCGGATCCGTGTAACTGGGTTGCGGGGATAGCGCGTGGAAAAGACGTTTCCGGTGAGCCAACCGGGCGCGGAGTGTTTGCGTCCGAAAGTATCATAACCGTCACTGCGCTATCACCTCAAGCAGTGCTCCCTATCCCTAACGAACCGTGGAACCACTAGTGCTGACCACTACGGAGCATTGAAATGACACGGTTGAATTGGTCGACTCCCCTTTATCGAGGTTGGGTGATTGTTCTAGCTACAAGCGAGCATACGAGCTGGGCCCCCCGCGCGTTGGAGTTGAAAGGTCACGACTCATGGCGGATTGCCCGGCGACGAGACTCGCTGCGGCTGCCCTGGCCCTTCGTCCGAATACAGCGCTCGATGTGAGTCCACCACCTCACGGGTAGTTATCGTAGAAAAGACCACCGGGCATTTCACCAACACAAAACAAGCCCGCCACTTCGCGGCCAGACCGGGAAATTACCGCAGTAGTCTCCGGATTCACGGCGAGCCCCCCGAATGTGAAGGTAACACCACAACACACCTTTACGGCTATGAACGGTCCTTGATCGAATGGAAGTGCCCAGTTAGACTTCGCAAGGGGCAGCTTGGTGCGGGAGGACTGTGTCGACAGTCCATCTTTGATGGCAGGATCCCACTTAGCTGCTGGATTCTACTGTTTATATGCATATACGGCATCGTTGTATTCAAGGATGGTCTGAACAAACTTGTCTGGGCTGCTCAGTCCCTCCTCCGCACGGAGTTTTTCAGCGAGTTCTTCGACCGTAGAACCCCAGATCTTGTGAACGATCTCGTCGCGGTATTCCTCGGAGCGTAACCACGGAATGGCGTGCTGATGCCAGACCTGGAAGGCGACACCGTCAGGCTGTTCGTGGATGGTACGCCCGAATTTTGCGTAGGTATAGTTGCGCATGTCCATGCCCTCATCAACAAAACGCTCGCCGATGGTGTTGACCATAAGGCCAAGAGGATATCCGGATTTGGTGAACTCGCTCGAAATGGTGCGGTCACCGCCGTTCGCTGGTGCGTTGGCATCCCAGCGTGTAGAGTGGCAGCCCGCCCCCAGCTTGCCTTGCATTGACGTCTCGTATCGCGAAGTGCAGCGCTTCGCCAGTGTTATAAGGCGTCCCTCGCACCCAAGCGAAGTCCCAGCCAGGACCAAGATATTGTGCGCGAAGACGCGGGTTCGATTCGAAGCCTCCAGCCGCAAGGATAACGGCTCGCGTGTTGATGAGAGTTTCGACGCCATTGCACTCGACCACGAGTCCTACTATTGCGCTGAAAACATTGGTGACAATCCGTCTTGCCGGCGTAGAGTGATAGACTTCCACTCCATGCCTCCGGGCAGCAGCTTCATGGTCCTCGGTCAGGCCTTTGCCACCATCTTCGGTTTTCAATGTCATTCCGCCCCAAAACTTGAATCGTCCGCTCACTTTGTACGCCTGGCGGTTGAACGATAACTGGAAGCGCACGCCGTTGCTCGCGAGCCATTTGATGGCATCATTGGAGTCGTCGATCAGGATCTGACTCAAGGCAGGATCGGTACGGTCCGAAGTCATTCGGTCCACATCTCTGCGGAAATCATGCTGAGAGTACGGCTCCGGATCGATAATGCGGGCGATTTCGGAATCGACATTGTTGACAATAGGCAGGATGTCTTCCGTGCCGTCGTGCACTGTGCGAAAGGCTCCAGCGGCGAAGAAGCTATTCCCACCAGCCCACTCTGCAGGGCATTTATCGATGAGAATAACGCGACCGGCCCCCCTTTCGGCAGCAGATACGGCAGCAGAGAATCCGGCATTCCCGCTTCCTACGACGACGACATCGACGGCGGATGGAGGCGTATGGATACGCATAGCTGTAGAGGGAGACGAATGATAACGGGGTACCGCCGTGGTAAACACAACTGAAGAAAAAGTTTATGTTTACAGCGGGGGATAGCTCCAGGGGATCGGCCAGCTCTGCTGGCGCCGAAGCTCGGAAACCTCAACCCTCACGGCAAGTGGATATCGAGCGTTTCATCCCGTACAGTCGCAAGTCGCGCTTTGTAGCGCGACTTCTATCGAGTGTTGTTGTCGCAGTGGTGTTGGTCGGAGAGGCAGGGATTGTGGCGGGCTCATGGCTTCCGGCGCTAGCGAAAGGGATCGCCAACGGGCACTTTGCGCCGTCGCGCGCACGAACAGTAAGATCGCGAGAGCTTGTTCGTCACTTTTCCAAGACAAGAGCTCCAAGATCACCGCCGACGCTCAAGCACAGGGCTGCTCCAACCTAAGACCCTTGAGCAGCTCGGCTGCGACACTGGCAACTCTAGTAAGCCATCGCACACGGCGCACACGGCGCACACAGCGCACTCAGGCAGGAATTCGACTGACGTGGTTCAAGTCCCAGGGCGAATACTGGATCCTGACGGGCAGATCCGGGAATTCATGGTCGCAATGTCTAAGCTGAAGCAGCTAGAGCACGGGTGAAACATTGCGGTTTCCAATCCTTCTGAAGGTTACTGTTTGGGGCGCTGTGCCGTTCTCTAGGGTAGCTTTGAGCACTACTTTTGCCAAAGATTTATCGAGAAAGCGGGACCATAACAAGCCCTGGTGGTGGCTGTCGGCAAAGAATATGTGGTGTAGCTGAAGGGCCAGGTTATTCGGGAGGCCATCGTCACCTCTGGGTGCAGCGAACCTGCACTCGAAGCCAGGCGCCCCGTAAGCTAACTTTAATAGCATTGTGATTTCGATTTCACGGCCGACAAGACCTAGATCGACATGGAGGACTAGTCGTGCTTGGACTTTTCTCAAAGCGTCGGCATTCGCAGCCATCTGTGGCGGCACGGGTTGCCCTGCACCTGTCAGTCAGGATAACGTCTGAGCAGCAGTCGGCATCCAGCTGCAGGGAGTGGCATAAGAGGGCCTCGTAGTCGTGAAGCTGCACGTGGAGAAAAGTTCGTGATCGGATTGTAGGCCAGAACTCTTCGCGGAGCTGATGACATGCTTGTGCTGATCCCCAGCCCTCGCTGATGCCGTGGTTGGTAGTTCTGCCCGCCTCGGTGAGCGCACGAGTCGACAGGCTGCAGGAGTCGTCCACAAATTCGATGGCAGCCTTGTAAACTGCAGTTCGGAGTTCTGTGGAGTTGGCGTGATTAGCTCGTCCTCTCCCAGAGCGAGTGCATCCGAGCCGAGACTCATCGGGTGGAAGTTTCAAGAAAGGAAAGTACCTCTCACGGTTTGAAACACTCCTGGCGCCCGATGCGTGCTTCCGCCGAGCGTGCAGACCGGACGTGCCCGAGGCATGCGGTAGTGCTGCTCGTGAACTCCTATAGCGGCGCAGTCAGCGAGGAAGCCATCATAGGGTCGAGCTCGCGAGGGACGGCCTACTGTCGAGATGAGCGTGTCACGTTGCCGTCAGTCTGAGATCGAGTTTGAACCATTGCGACTTGGGTCTGGATCAGGCGGGAGTTAGAGCTTGGTGAGGATGGAGCCTACTGCGCGCACATTAGCCGCTGCTCGTGGTAGTGTTGCAGCTGGCCCCAAGACCTGAGAATACTGGCTAACGGTAAGCAAGAAGTAGTCTGTGAGCTGTCCAATCTCTTCTGTGGGTTTCGGACGGAGATATGGGGTGGTTGCAGCGCTACTATCCTCAAGTCGCGGAATCCAGCTGTTGCGCCATCTCCAGCTGCGAACAAACCTGTCGCCCACAGAAGATTTGCTGCCGTGCAGAACGAAGGAAGCAGCTACTACCCATGTGCTTTTCGTAGGTGAGGCGGAAACGGACGACTGAGCCGATCCGGTGCCGCTCGTAAGGAGGAAATGGCGCTATCGCCATTGTATTCCTCCACTCGTAAGTTCGAATCGTCCGTGCTGTCGCAGCCACTGCCTTGCCCAGTATTTCACGTCCACGGGTCGCAGTGAAGGTGCCCAAATCGCCCAAGAACCTCCACGCAGCCCGAAACCAAGCCGCCCGCGATGTGACTTGTATACCGTTGCCCACGGCCGTGCACCCGCCGCTCGCGAGACATGACGCTTCTCTCTCCGATCCGACGGCATCGGCGCGAAGGCTTAGAGCACTAGATGGAGATGGTCGATGATTGCTCGTGGCGCAAGGAGGCGGACGTCCTTCGCGTCCGTGGCCAGTATGATGCCAACGAACACTTGGAATTCCTCCGCGCTGCCCTCCCCCTCTTTTCTTAAAACGACAGCGGCCATTATCCCTTGGTTCCATCATCCGACAGCGGCATAACGGCCTCAGAGAGGCCTCAGGCTTGGACGGACATTAGCTTTCTGATGCCAAACATCCGTCTCCAACAATTTAGAACCGGTTAGGAAGTGTCTGAACCTCCGCACGAACGACGGCTTCAACACGTAGGCGTCAGCAGTGGATGAAGACAAGGGGTAGGAGAACGGCAGGACACGCAAATTCTTCTCAGGATCACGTTCCTTGGCCCCGTGCTGGAAGAGCCGGGTGATTGTAAAACAGCTCGGCGAGAATGTCGCAGCGTATGGTCTGCTCTATCTTCGTGCCATGGTTCGCAGCGCCGTGGTGGGCTACGCCCTCGTCATCCGCGCCCGAACCGTTCTTTTCTGTCGACTTATGCCACCTGCCGGTGGCTCTGTGATACCCTGTTCCCTTCCCTTAATTTTGGCGTCTTTTAAGTCCTTTTGTGCGTAGGCAGAAGCTCTGCTTTGCTGTTAGTCAGCATAACCTCTATAGGTTGGTGACTTAAAACGAGAAAATTTCAATCACCATTTGTGACTCATCCTTTGGCAGTCATCTACTTCTTTCCCTTGTGTGAATCTCTGTGCGTGACTCGCTCACGTGAAAGGTGAAAGGTGCAGCCAGAGGCTGCCTCCTTGGCGACACAATGCGGTCTCCTATAAAATACCCCTATTATCTAAATGAATAACAACCACAAGCCAAATGACTTCCGCACCCACACCCCAAACGACTCCCGCAACCAGCTCCGCCAAATCAAGACCTACAAACGAGGCATACGTAAGTACATCCAGCTCATATAGTCCCTACAAGTGTTGCATAAACTGACTTCCTTACAGTATGACTTCCATTCAACGCCATGGCACAAAGACGTTACCGATGCTCAAACATGGATGCTTGCGAGCGAAGTACGTGCGCAACTCGAAACCCTACCCGCGTCGGGCCGCTATCCGTCGGTCTTCCACAACATAGAAGGACTCATCGATCACCATGGACAAATTCTCCACCATCCACTTATTCCAGGTCAACAAACTGCATATGCAAACGACGGCGAACCGGGGGGTATCCGAGTCTTCTATTACCAAGAAGGGGGCAAACAAGAACACCTTGTCGGTTACCATATCGACGAAAAGAAGTTTGCTTTAGCAAAATTCGTAGAGGCGGCGCCATAAGTATCGGTTGCGACTCGTTGCAGTTCTTACCAAGCAGCCTTGTCATCTGTTAAGGGGAGCGCGTCTCTACCAATGTAGTTAGCATAACTTCTATAGATTGGTTACTCAAAACGAGAAAAATCATACAATTAATTAGTGCGCACGCTCAGCGAGCTTTTCACACGGCCGCGTCGTATGGTTGGATTGATATCCCAGAATCAAGGCGAACGATGGACGTGTAAGCGATTTTAGGTGCCGTACCTGTGGCTGTTTTTGAAGAGCTGGCTGGTGCCATAACTGCGGGCAACGGCGACGGTGGAGGAGGCGTAAGTATTAATGGAGGTGCTAAGAAACTCCTCAGTCCAGGTTCTCCAGATCAAAAGCAGTGACGACATTGGTGTATGTTGCTGCGAGCGGTGTTTGAATACATGCCCCCTGCGACAGAGCAAGCAGGGCTTTTTCTACCACTGGATCGTCCTGCCAGTTCGCCTGTGCCAGTTTTGTGGCGCCCCTCTCGCGTGAAGTATGATATATCGACGGAGTGTTTTGGATATTGTGCTGATATGAGCCGTTCCTATAACGTTCAGGTCTGAGATTACTCATTCGCCTCGTGGCTGAGCGGATACTCTGCAGTGATGTCGATCTCTTGTTCCAGGACTTCAGTTCAACGGTGCGGACCAGTGGCATGCTCTGCGCTGGAACGGCTTGGCAGGTCACCCGTAGAAAAAGATACCTTTATCTGTCCTTATTGTTGTTGGTGCGGACGGACTTCAACCCGGGCCTGACCAGTACGAGCTCTTGCACGCGGATATAGTCGATGTTATCGCGCTCCAGTTAGCATATCCTTCGTTTAAGGATCTACCTACCTTACGCACCCAAGCGTAACGTTCTCCATTGCTAGATATTACCTACACTAAACCGTGGATCCTTTCTGTGCTAAACCGCTGAACCTTTTGATGATACCCCTTCTGCCTGTGTATTTAGGAATATAGCGTCTTTTTTGCTAGTACTGTATATAGTATGCTTGCATCTTTATAACGAGGTCGAGCGAATTTATGACTGCGCACGCTGGAGGGTCCCTCATGGGTCGATGTCAGTACATCCGTCAATCAGATACTGGAAGTCGACGCGAAGTGGATCCCCTGAGCGAGGAGACCGAGTACATTCGCTGTTCTCCGAACTTGCAGAACCGCGGTCAGTAGCTGCAGCATTACGTGTAGGTACGGGAATACGCGCCGTCCCCGGATGATCCTTTGCGAGAGCAGTCCAACTCGTGTTCACCGTTGTCGACAGCACTGTGAACGCGGCAGGCGTACCTCTGCGACGTATGTGCGTGTTGCTGCGAGCGTTGTAGCCTGTCGACGCTGGTCTGCCACACGCCGTCCACGGCATGGTCCATGCGGACGTGGCCCAATGCGAATTGATTCAGCTCTGGGCAACCGGGTTCGGACACGCGTTTCGCGGTGCAGCAGACTATTTCATCGACTTCGGCGAGTAAGACTGACTACACGCAACTGAAGGTAAGGATGCCCGCAACCCGCGCCATCTGGCGAGCATGGGAAGGAGGAGCTTGTTAATAGGCAGGATGACCAGCGCAATCTCGCCGAGTATTTTCTGCTCCAGACCACCCTTCAGGGCATGTTGAAAATCTTTACACAACTCTTTTGGCCCGACCCTCCAAGAAGAACAGCCTCAGTCCACTGAGGTGTGGCATGAGGATGCCCAGCTCTTAGGACCAGGAAGACGGAAGATTACTTGAATAGGTGTACTTCGACTTATCGTACAGCGTCGGCAAGATAAGAGAACGTAGCATTACCTACTAGCTACAACCTGTAAATGCTCTGTTGCTAGCGAAACAAGGTTGTATCCGACCTTTGCAGAGCTATGTTAAGAGAAACAGGAAGCGTCAATTTCCCCTTGCAGCAATTGTGAGCAACTTTCCCGAACCGTTTTTGCTAGAGCAGACCGACATCGAAACACTCTTCCATAAGAGCGGGCACGCCATGCATATAGATCCCTCCCAATTTTTAGAGCAGTTTTGCTTAGTTCCAACTCTATCCTATATAATTATCTAAAGTAGAATCTTATAATATAAAAGAGTATACCTAATATAAATACTTACATACTTATCTAATTAACTATATAGAGAAAGAAAAATAGAAAGCTATAACTACATTATATAAAGAATTAAAAGCGAGCACCTCTCTATTTCTCTGCAATTTCCATGCTCTCTAAGGCTTTTAGTACCTTTTTAGTAGTATCGGCCTTAAGATTTACAGTGCTGCTAGCAGCTGCGAGCTCAGTAAATCTTTTCTTCCAAAAAGCCCACCGCTCTACGCTAATTAGCTCAACGTTAGGGCAAAGAGGGCCTAGGCGATACGCTCGCCGGGCCTGTTCAACATGAATCTCCAAACTATCGGGGTGGGAGAGACGATCATAACGAACGGTGTCGAAGATGTAACTACCGCAATAGATTACCCATACGCTCGCTATCCAGACGGTGGCGTCTCTCTTCCGCTCATCTTCTACTGGGGTTTCAAGCGCCATGCGGAGACAATTAAAGGGAAAGGACCTAAATTTAATGAAGCCCATACCCATTAGTCGAGCAATGAACGAGTTAAAATTCTTCCATTCATCAAGGGTAAGATCACCATCTAGAAAGTTATTAGTAAGTGTCTCGAAGAATACTTAATTGTAGTTTACGTACTCCAGTCTTCCCAAATGAACATACATAGCTCAGGTAGGTACTTGTCAATAGCCGAGTTGTTCTGTGTATCGATAAGTCTAGTTCTAGAGCTAGAGGTAGTCAGTTACGTACCTCTGTGTCGTTGGAGATAGGGCCACCTTTCAGGCGCAGCTTGGTAAGGGCAACTAGCAGAGCATCTTGCCATGGATGATCCAGCGGAACGCATTGCGCCATATAAAGAAATATGGACCAGATGTCCATATTTAAAACAAGGTCTTCTTGGCTTGAGTTGCGAATGAATTCAATATCGGAAGCAAGTTTTGCGCCTTTTGCTTCCACATCGGCTGGGAACGTAAGGGTGGATCGGAGGAGATCGAACATGGCTGGCCCACCCCTATCGGTGAAGCCTGGATTAGATATAGTGATATCCATGGTGCAGAAATAGTTGATGTTATGGGAAGGAGTAGGATGGAAGAGAGAGAAGAGCATAAGTAGGAGACTGTATGTTCTTATATAGTGGGGACTACGGGTCTAAATTGACAAAAACGGGGTTGAATCAAAGGACTGGACTTGAACCGCGAAAACTGGCCCTTTCACGCCCTGGACAAGCTCGTGCAGAACCCTTGCAATTAAGCCTTTGACAGATAACCAAAATAGCTACTTGAGCTCCCATTTCACCGCAAGGGGAGACAAAAAGGATGAGGAGGCTATTCTCCGCTTTCAAAGTCCTGGTCCTTTACGAGGGTGCTAGAGGACTAACCTTTCTTTGTTGCAGCAACTCTATGTGCGCCGCTTCGCTCTCGACGCCGACCAAAGATCATTGAAGGCAGTGGCATGATAAATGAGTGGTGTGAGTTTTTCTTTGTTATCAGGGGGGTTCAACGAAGCTCCAAACTACCCGATATCACAACGGTGTGGGGCGGGAAGGCGTCGCCAGGGAGACTTTTCACACCATATACGGCCGGTCGACAAGACTACACTCGAGATAAAGCGTGCCTCGTTTTAAAGGTTTCGTTAAGATTATTATCTGAAGCACAGGGCGGAGAGATTTCGAATGCTTTAGCAAGGTGCTTTCGGTAAAGTTCTTTGATTATTCTCATGTTCCGCATTAATCCTAGTCTTATATATAGAACAACACAGTACAGGGCTGGATAAAAGAAATGGCTGGGGACAAAGAAGGAGTCTCAAGGGTGCGCCTTCACGCAAAAGTATTAGGTGTTCGTCTATAATCTAATTCAACGGGTCTTTACGGCGTTGCCGCCACCCGAACGAACAAGGCTGTCAGGTTCCTTTTTGAGGAATATACGGAGTGGGTACTGTACTGTACGAGGAAAAAATCTTAGATAGCTATTTAGAATCCATTTGCTTTGCTCCCCACCTACCCAACCAGCCTAGGGTGGACTAGAGTGGCCTAGAGTGTCCTAGACCCCGTACCGCACCTCTACCACAAAGGAAATGCCGCGATGCCGGCTGCGAAGAGAGGGGAGGGCTGTTTGGGGTGTGTATGGTAAGATGGAAGGGGCGGTCAGGAAGGCCGGCTGTCATCGCCTGCTTCCGACGAGCTCAGAGATCACAAGCTTAAACAGGCACTCTTCAATGCGCTTCGGTGGGGAATTTGCGGCACACTACGGAATCGAGGATCTCCTGAAGAGCATCGAAACCAAGACCTTTAGCGTTGATGAGGTAAAGGAAAAACGCGGCTAACTATGCAAGGGAGACATCTTTACTCTTGTTACTGTTAGCGCGCATGAAGCGCCTTTAGACCTAGTTTAACTACTAAAAGATTCCTCTTCTATAGTCGCTCGAGCACCGTAATAGCAATAACAACAAAAGCTCTACTTACGCCAGGAATAATCCTGTTGTATACTATTATTAGGCTTATGTATTAGTTAGCTTATTATACCTTCGAACGTCTCTACCTACCTATACTATAGACTACTACTAATTCTTCTAGCTTCTAGCTTAAATCTAGTAAGTATCTCTATATATAGAACTTATAGATATATAGCTCTATAGCTATATATAGAAGAGTAGTATAAGTAGTTAGTAACTATACCTAAAGCTTACTTAATAGAGATATATAGTTATTACTATTACTATAGTAAGTATAGGTTTAAATTCTACTTCTTTCTTAATCTTTATCTTTAATACTATAGAATTTTCTTTATTAGGTAAAAGATTTTTCTTTAAAAGAGAGATATATAGAATTAGTAAAATAAGAGGTAATAGTACTTATTTTCTTTAACTATAGTTTTAAAGTTTATAGATTATTATAGAAAATTATTATAGATAATTATATAGTCTAAGACTAGATTAATTTAATAATTTTAGTAGTAGTAGTATAGCTATATATCTATATATATATAGTATAAGTTAGTATTATTATTATCTAGCTAGTATAATAGTCTAGTTTAGAGATTTACTTTAGTTATATAATCTTAGATTATATAACCTTATTATATAATCTAGTCTAGTATTTTAGTACTTAGTATCTCTATATATAGAGTTTTTTAGAGTATCTTTCTACTTTTTATCTTTAGATAGCTAAATTTAACCTAACCTATTCTACTAGTACTCTATTCTTATAGCTTATAAAAATAGTACTATCTATAGCTAACTTATCTAGCTAGGTATTTTAGAATACTTATAGTAGTAGAGACTATAAAGCTAGCTCTTATATTATCTAAAGATTAATACTTTTTTAGCTAGAAATAATAGTATAATATTAGGCTAAACTAAGTAGTCTTATAAGAAGTATTTACTAATAGCTATACTAAGAATTAGAGCTATAAGAACCTAGTTACTTACTCTAAAAATTAAAGCTATAAAAGCTCTAATTACTTATTCTTCTAGCGCTATATAAAACTACTAGTAGATCTAGTTAGTAGTAGAAAAAAATATCTCTAGTAGTAAGCTAAAAAAAGCTATAAAAGCTCTATAGAAAAACTTCTATAGAACTTCTATATATAGAAACTTTTTTCTTATTTTAAAAATTAATAATTCTCTACTCTACTAGTAAAGCTAATAATTAGCTACTCTACTAGTAGTATATACTTCTACTTCTTAAATAAGAAGCTATATCTAAGTTAAACTACTTAAATACTATAGATAAACTCTTATAAAGTAACTCTAGAAGTAAAACTCTAGTTCTATAGTACTCTTTTATCTCTATAATTCTTAAATTCTAGGTAGAGAACCTACTAGCTAGTTATTTAAACTAATATTATTATTATAAATTACCTAACGTACTTTATAGGCAAAAGTCTTATATAGGTAAACTCTCTATAATTTCTTAGCAAGAAAAATTAACAAAAATTAGCCTGTTTTTCTTAAATAACTAAGCGAAACCTTAATATTTTTCTATAAAATTTTAAGTATAGATAGAACTATACTATATACACCTACCATAAAAATTACACTAAGATATATTACGTAATTAAAAAGCTATACGTATTTAAGTAACTTTTAAGAAAAAATCTAGTTTTCTTCTAGTAAGTACTATTATACCTCTATAATAATTTATAAAACTTATAGTATATAGTATTTATAACATAATAAAGGTTTCTAGAAAACTTCTATAGAGCTAGCTCTTCTAGGTGTAGCGTAATAAGAGATAGAATTTTAAAAAACTCTTTTTAGACTTTTCTTCTCTAACTATAGATATATATTAATAAGCTAGCTATATAAAGTTATATATTATAAGCTAATATATATTAGAAGTCTTCTATATATTTAGAAGTAATAATTTTAAAATAGAGTTAGAGTTCTATTTTATTAGAAAAGTAAACTACTATACTAGTCTATAGTAAACTCTACGTAGTATAGAATATACGTAAGAGACCTATATCTTATAGAATAATTTATTATAAAGTAATTATATAGTAGTAGTAGTATAGATCTAGCTATATAATAGTTCTAAAAGAGACTAGTATATACTATATATAGGTATATAATACTATAAAGGTAGTATAAGAGAAATAAGAAGTTATATACTAGAATAAACTAGCTTTACTAGTAGAAGTATATTATAATTACGTTATAATTAGTATATAGAGTATAGATAGACTAGAGAGAGTAGATACTTATAGTATAGTAGTATATATATAGTATATAGGTAGTAGAGCTTAGTAAGATAAATAGAAGAGGTAGCTACTCTTCTCTTATATACTTTATTCTTATTATACTAGTTCTAGGTAATAGAGTTACTAGTAGTAGAGATATACTTACTTATAGTAGAGTAGATAGATAAAGTAGTAGAGCTATACGTATTATAATAGGTATTATAGTTATAGTATAAGTATATAGAGAGAGTATTTTAGATATAGATATAGTAGTAGATAGTAGATAAGTATCTTATAGTATTCTTATAAATAGAGCTAGAATTTATATAGAGTTACGTATAAAGTAAGTATTAGCTAGGTTAGATACTATTATATAGCGCGTAGCTAATAAAAAGGTAGTATTAGTATAAGAGTATATATTAGTAATATACGTAGTATTATAGAAGAGTATAGAGTAGTAGCTAATATAGAAGAGTAGATAGCTACTAGAAGTATATAGAAACGTAGAGTATATAAAGTATATAAAGTAGAGAGTATAAAAAAAGATTCTATATAAAAGGTATATAGTTATAGTAGCTTTAGTAGAGTAGTACTATATAAATAGTAGAAAGACGTACTATTAGATAGTAGCGTTATCTAGATTAGTAGTAGTAGTTATAGTAGAGTAGTTAAGCGTAGTAGATATAAAACTATAGTAGTACGTAAGTATAGAAGTATTTATAGAAATAAAGAGTAGACTATATATAGTATATAAGGTATTCTAGAGTAAAGTAGAGAGTAGTTTAGTAAGTAGTAGTATAGAGTAGGTAGAGTATAGATAGTTTTAGAAAGTATATTTATATAGTAAGAAGTATTAGTAAATAGAGATAATAGACGTAGTAGAGGTAGTTAAGAATAGTCTATTCTACTAGCTATAGCTATAGTATTTATACTTATAAGCGCTTAGTTTTATATTTTATCTTTAGTAAGACTAGGCGTAGGCGTATAGTAGAGTAGGTTATATAGGTATTACGTTATATTAGTAATATAGCTAGTAGATATTATAGTAGTAGAGAATTAGCTAGATAGTTTATATAGTATATAACTAGATATAGAGTATAGTATAGATATAAAGTATAGAAAAAATATATAAAATAAAAGTATAGTAGTATTATAGTATATAGATATATAAAAAGTATAGAAAGTATAAGTATAAGTATTAGAAAGAAAAGCTCTAGTTTAGTTATAGAATAGAGTTATTAGTAAGAATACGTAGAGTAGTACTATATTAGAAAAATATAGATATAGAAAGTATAGAGTATTATAGTCTTAGAAATATATATAAAAAGTATAGTAGTATAGAGAATATACTAGTAACTAGCTTTATTTCTAATAAAAGCTAGATATAAGTATAATATAATTCTATTTATCTATAAAGTAAACTACTATACTAGAAGTAGTTCTACGTAGTATAGTATAAAAGCTACGTAAGAAACCTATAGATTATAGAGTAATATTACTCTAGAGAAGTTATTTAATAAGATAAGCTAGAGGTAGTATAGGCCTAGCTATATAGTAGTTCTAAGAAGAACTAGTACTCTTTTTCTTAAATAGGTAATGTTATAAAGGTAATATAAGAAAAATAATATTTTATATACTAGAATATACTAGCTATACTAGATAGTAGTATAGTTATAATATAATTCTAATTAGTTCTATAGTAGTAGGTAGAGTAGAGTATAGACTTAGCGTAAAGTATACTAGTAGTAGTAGTTTATAGCTATAGTAGTTATAAA